CGCGTTTGCGGAGCGGTGCGTTATTCTCAAAGGCCTTGTCGATAACAGCGTTATTGACAGTATCCGAAGACATGTCGGTGCTGTGTGTGATTCGTATTTTCGGGAAACGAGGCGAGTGGGTGATTGTGGTTCTGGCCTCTGGGGCTCACAGGTTTGTTGAGTTTTTGGATGCTGCAAGGGACTGCCGGAAACCTGAGGGTCAAAAATCAAGAGGACGGAACGAGAGGACAGCCAAGGTTAGATAATGGAGAATACCACGGATGTTTTTCTTAGTAGTATTATTCAGAATTCAAAGATCTTATATACAGGGTTAATATGACATTAGTTGTGTATTTTTCTTCGCTATCTAAAAGAAATATGAATATGTATGAAAGGGTTGTTTGTATCTATGCCAAAAATAGTTGTATATTTATTTTTTGACATGCTACTCTCACGATATGTGAAGGACCAGCCTATTTTCCATAGAAAAATGACTATGTACCTAAAGGAAGTTTCTATATGTAAACAGCTAATCAAAATCCTCAATCAACAGGTAAGTGGACTAATTTTATTTATATAATATCATACAAGAGAGACGCTTGTCAAAACAGCTGCGTCTAAATCAATAGCGGCGACCTTCACCTTGAGAGAACGCCTTCAAGCTTCCCACCAGCTAGGTGCCTAAAAGTTCTATAAAATCGGGGGCCCCCGCAGCACCCTATGAAGACAACTTCGATGCAAGCTGATTCTGCTTCTTCGCAAGGAACTGTTCTATATATGAAGCGGTATGTTGCGGAATAATATAGTTCCCATTTTCATCCTTCTGCTGTTCCCTTTCCATTAGCCTTTTCTGGACCTTCTGGGCCATGAATTCTGTCTTTGGCGTGACCCAGACCCTGTTCCGGCGTTCCTCCATTTTCCTATCCTCCTCCTCCTTTTGTGCAACCCATTCAGGATCGTGCCGGGTGCGGAATTTCGAGAACTTATTCCTCAGCTCATCAATAATGGTGACAGGGAATGGATAAGCATTGACGGATGGTATATGTGTTCGATCCTCTACGTCTATTCGTAGGGTATCGACCGCTTCGTCGGCGTGGTCTGGAGCAGTTGGCTCGGGCCAGGGGATTTCTACATCAAGGTCTGAGATGTATCGAGTGTGTTTGGGCGTTTCAACGCCGTATGGATGGTCTATGTAAGGCTCTCCGCCATACATGTGCTTAACCACAACGTCTTCCACTTTGCCCGTTTCTGAATTGTGGAGTGGGACGACCAGCCGGACATCTTCGAAACGGAAGGGGAGGGAGATTGGCCGGAATGGACGTTTGTCGGATTCTCCTGCCAAAATAAAATCGGGATAGCGTACGTCAACCTGTTTTGATTTTTTTCAGGTCATTAAGCATATACATTTTCTTTCATTTCCGACTTCCGGACCCGAAGGCCGCTCGCCTGACTAGAGTTTATTTAACTCACGCTGTTAACCCCGCCGACGCTGACTGTCCCAGATTCAGCATTCACATCGTAGATCTTGCCAATCTTCCCCCGTTCCCTGCCCTTTAATATAACCACCCGATCCCCCGGGGCGAAATTGACATACTTCACCCTATCCTCCCGCGGGAGGGCTGGAGGCCGAATGCGCTCCGGTGGGAGGGTGCCATATGCCCCATCAAGATCCGCAACATCTCGCTTGGGCGCCAACGGGCCCTTTAGCCAGTCCTCCCGTCGGGATTTTCGCTCTGCATGGACCTGGTCGAGAATACTCCGTTGGTAGCGTTGTCGCTCTTGGAAATATTTTCTGATTTCGTCGCGCCTGTCTCGCTGTGCTTGGATTCTTGCCTTTCGTTTAGCCTGATTTGCGGCAAGGGCTGCTCGTCTGATGACTTTCTGCATCGTTGTAAAAGACAATGGCAATTATTCGCGCGTCAGGGCCGAGTGCTGGTCGACTGCGCTCGGCTGGTTTGTTCCTTCGCATTGGTTTCTCGATGGGAATTTGAATTGAATTACATAAGCACAAGGTCTTGGCGGTATCGTTAGCTCTGCTGAGTACCCACCCTTGCTTCGCTAGGAAGTCATACACCTTGATATTGAACTCCTTATCTACTATGAGCTTTCTCTCATCTAGCTTCTAATTCAATCCAGCTCAGTTGAAAACCATTCAACTATCGCAGGCATCATGTTTTCCAGTTGCTTTGCAGCAGCTTTAACACGCATTTGAATGCCATAGCAAGGAGCTTGGGATCGAATTGGAATCATAAATTAGTAGCAAGATAAGGGGTTTCGTAAGCCAACATACACAGGACAGGCCTGTGTATCAGCAATCCACAACTACCAAAAAAAACACCCGTGGCTTCCCGAGCAGCTATGTACTGTACCTTACTGGTTTCCAACGCCCTGGAGGATTTCTTGACAGTCATGGGTAGAGTGCTGTTGGCCCTAGGCTGCCTATCACGGACTAGCGCACCGCACATATATGCCTCAGCTGCCTACATGCTAATACAACCACTTAGACGTCCCACAAGTGCCAACTACGCGGCTCTTGGAGCGTGATATGAGTCAGTGGGGCCCAAGCCGCTTTTGGGTTCAAGATCTCGGAAGGTAGTAACCCCTTTAATAATAATGTAGACATATTCGATATGACTGGGTGTCGGCGAATGGCAGAGAAAGATCTGAGACAGGGAATGACGGTGGTAGGGTGACACGGCCGTATTAGGGGATATCATTTCCTGTCACGGAGAAACTAACCTCCTTGAGATTCTCTTATCTCAAAGATTCAGAGTGAGCGGCTCATGGTTGGCGGGTTGTTAATTGACAATACACCTGGGGCCCAAAGTACCTTGCACGATTATGGACGGGGAGACGACACCACAAGCGCGAAAGATCCATCATGGGCCTATAAAAATTGAAGTCGAAGTTCGGGGGATTAAAACGCTTTGGGGTGGAGCAATCAAGATCCACTTGGAGCTGTCTCAAATGTGACATCTTGGAAATCAATCATGGGAAAATTGCTTGCTTGGGGATGCTCGCAGAATTTCGGCCCCCCCCTGAGTTTCATGTCCGGGGTGTGGCGCGTGTATATGTGGCTGTGTCGGTCCAAAAGTTCAAGTCTGCCTTGCCGTGTTGAGGCTTGTAACGTTGCTGACCAACTATAAATTGGATTATTATGAATAATTGGACTGTCGATTGAGCGGACATCGCGAGGCATTCAAGGCGGACCAGGAGAGAAGAGTATTGGCCTATTAATGAACGCCCTTCCAAGACTTCTTCCGCGGACAATGACACAACGGCGTATTATGGGATCATCGAGGTTGCACCGCCACAGTTGACCATCTTGTTAGCTGCGTGGTTCCCCCATATCCTTGTCAAGCTCAGCACTAGGTTCATTGCTCGGGGAAACAGGCTCTTTGAGTTGGCTGTCAATTCTGGGGGAGAATGCAGCTCGAGACGTGAGAAGCCTCTGGCGATTTTATGCGGCTGCAAGAATCATCACTGCATTTAATGGCTAGAAGTTTGGAGCTGTGATGGGTTGTCAACACTTTCGGGAGAAATATGAGCGATCGAATTAATGGTAATGGTTACTCTACATCAAGCAAAAGCCTTAGTGTGGTAGCTTGTACAGATGCAAGAGAGGCGGGTGATATCCCAGAGCCCACTCTTGACACATGAAATGCTTGGAGCAGGAAGTTCAAGGCGGTTATGCGATGTAGACAAGTAGAGCTCAAAACCAAAAGGTTTGGCAGGAATCAGCGGAGCTAGGAAAGGGTACAATCTGCGGCTTTCAGCATCATTCTGCAAAGCTTGATGCAAGAACTTGCAACTGGATGGCAAGTGGTTGGCTTGGAATTGGCGGTGGTGGGTACACCACAAGACGGGATGCCTAAATCGCTGTCAGCCATTATCACAGGACAGATACTAGCGAGCAGAAAATGCAAGCATCTGTCTTCTTTGCTTGTTGCTTTTTATCTGTTCTGTTCTCCCTACGAGGGTTTTGTCTGGGCAGATGCCGGTGCCATGTCAATCACCAACATTTATTTATCAGACAAGGCAACCAATTCGAGGACTCATGTTTCGGCGCTGCATTTAGGACTGGTGGATTGTTGGAATGATTGAGTGTTTTGTGTCAACAATAAATCCAAGTGATTATTAGATCTATCATGTCCTTTTCTGATTGCTGGGGCCTCTGCATTATGGGTGATGTCCCCAACTGAAGGGGAGCAGAAATTCTCTCGCAAGGCATTCACATGTGCACCCGACAAACATCGGTAAGAACCCGCTGATAATATGGTGTGCTGTACAGATTAAAAGGATCATAAATGTCCGGTAGCATGGGAAGAGCTGAGAGCGTTGTCCTCCATCGCGCAATAATACCTCTAACTTCGAAGTCAATACTCTGGTTACGGGTAACTTATTATTCAACCAGCTGACTCAGCCAGGCGTCAACCAGCCGAGTAGCGCCAAGCCCTGGACCAAGCCGCCAAACGAGGCTAAGGCTCTTTCGAGCCAGATAAACCTCCTGTGCTTCCTTCCGCCTACGCTCGTCTCCTCCAACCTCCAACCTCGTCTCCATCCTCATCATCCATACCACTTCTCCACGCATCTCGCTCTGCCGTTGCCCATCGTCTATTTTTCGTCCCCCATCTCTTCACCCCTCAAAGCGGCGATTCCTTTTGCTCCTGTGCTTGTCTCTGGCTTCTCGCCTGCTTATCTCCTTTCTTCCTCCTTTTGGTTGAGGTTGCCTGCTTGCCTCATCCACTGCATCTTCAGAGGTATGTTGTTTTTTCATTCTCCTACCCACGCCCAAACAACGACACCGACTCCAACACCACCGATACCAGGACCAGTGGCAGTACGCAACCGTATCAACCTCCATCAATAGACTACTGCTGTTCTCATATAACTCTTGCTACGGTTCCTGAGGCTGCTACTGCCTTTACCATTGCCACTGGTTGCCTTCACAGTTGCCACTGGTTGGCCTGTTGCTCTTGTTTATGCTTGATGACTGATCTGTCTCTAGTTTGCTATTGAAAATGGCTGAGATCCGCCGTAAGCTTGTCATTGTTGGGGATGGTGCATGTGGGAAGACTTGTCTTTTGATGTAAGTGTGCTGTTTCACACTCGTGTCTTGTCGTCCGCTAAGTGTGTGCAATACTAATATCTGACATCTTTTTTATACAGTGTTTTCTCCAAGGGAACCTTCCCTGAGGTACATACTTTCATTGCACCCTATTCACCCTTTGACTCGTAGTAACCTCTCTGGCCGTGTGATGAATTTATATAATTATAATTCCTCGCACACCAAAACCACAAATAGCCAAGCTGATATTTCTCCAATTTCAGGTCTATGTCCCAACTGTTTTTGAGAACTATGTGGCCGATGTTGAGGTCGATGGAAAGCATGTCGAACTGGCACTTTGGGATACGGCTGGCCAGGAAGATTACGACCGTCTCAGACCCCTCTCGTACCCTGATTCACATGTTATTCTGATCTGCTTCGCTATTGATTCCCCTGATTCGCTCGACAACGTTCAAGAAAAGGTAGGAAACCTAGAATGTTGCCGGCCATTATTTGTAAATTTGTTTTAACCAGATCTACAGTGGATTTCTGAGGTTCTACACTTCTGCCAAGGCCACCCAATTATCCTCGTTGGCTGCAAGAAGGATCTTCGTCACGACCCCAGAACCATTGCGGAGTTGACTAAGACCTCCCAGAAGCCCGTCACCCCAGAACAGGTATGCCAACAAACCCAATACCCCCTTTAGTGGTTTCGACCATGTTGTTCATCCTGGTGCTGATATCTTTGTAGGGTGAGGAGGTCCGCAAGAAGATTGGCGCCTACAAGTACCTGGAATGCTCAGCCCGGACAAATGATGGAGTTCGTGAGGTGTTCGAGTCCGCTACTCGGGCAGCACTTTTGGCAAAGAAGGATAAGAAATCGAAATGCAGGATCTTGTAAATTTCTTTCTTGTGTTTGCAGCCCGGCAATATCGATCGGGGGTCCCAACAGCTAAGCCTCAGTAACTGGGACAACGATATCTGGACACTCTTTCCGTGGCTCGCGGTGTCCATCGTTGCGTTGAGATGGGTGTGGATTGTCTGAATCACGTGCATGGGTTCTCTTTAAATTGGATCATCTGGCAGTGCAATTGGTCGACTTGATATTTCATTTCCGGAGTCTATCTAGGGGGCTTTTTTTTAATGGTCTCAAAGGTTGATCCCAACTCGAATTTGACCAATCGATGCACATATCGCTTGTTCACCTTATTCCTGTGAGATTTTTGAGCAACGTCCCATCAGAAGCTAAATCCGAGTGAGGTCGACAACAATAAACAAAAAAAAAAAAGACAAAGATTCCCTCAAATCTTTTTCCAGTTGCCCCGGCTGTCCCATTCTGTGTTAGATGGATCAAAGTCAACCAAGAGGAATGAGCCACTGGGGAACTCAATATCCAGTGAACCGGATCATTCTCCCCTGCATGCTGCGGGCTTTGTCTTATTTTCGCTTGCACTTTTTTAAACTTCTCTTTTAAATTTTTCTCTTTAAGATCTTATTTTACTCTACTGGCTTTTCTGCTATTTTACATTTCTGTTGTCCCACATCAAAATAAGAGCGTTGTGACCGTTACCAATTATACTGGGCATCTTGTGTTCCTCTCTTTCGGCCAAATATGCACACGAATTTTCTGTATCGTCCAAGTGCTAACGTCCTCTCTATGCCGCCCATTTGCAATCTTTCATTTAATGAGGAAACACCAGCTGCTCCAAGTCCCATTGCTCCCACTGGACGACCACAACATTTCATATACCTTGTTCTCCCCCTGCCTCCCTTTTTTACCCCCCTTAAATTTATGGTTATTGCGTCCTTATCTAAACCCCCGATTTTGTGCTGCCCTTTATTTCATATTATTGCTTTACTCCCCCTTTATTATTGATTTCTTAAACTCCGCTTGGTGCCTTGTTTTCCCTTGCTGTTTTCATCTTTACCCTGTCTCCCCTCACATTGGTTTTGTTTGATCTGTTGTCTACTTCTTTAAAGTGTCCAATCTCGGGGAGTCTTTATTCTACCCCAGCTACAAACCCCTTTGCTATCCCCGCGACTCCCTCGTCTCCATGTCTAGTTTGGCGGTGTAATAATCTCTTGAAATTCAGGCGTATACAAGTCAGAAATTTGTTTTTTTTTCACTTAAACCTATCCTAGATTTTCTCTCGTGGTCTCCCTTCAAACGCTCAGACTCGCATTCTGCCCCATGGCGGTTTGCATGAATACCGCTCATCCCCTTTGTGGGCTGTAGAATAGCAGAGAAGAGAGGGCGGGAGATGAGGAGAAGTGGTTGGGTAGAGAACAGAATGAATAGGCCTGTTTTCTCGTATACATCATGCGCGCTCGTTGGTTTATTGTAGTGCATGCAATCCATATAGGTAAGGATATATATATATGGGTAGATGGGAAGGGAGTAGTTGACGAAGGGTGATCGATTGATGGATCATATTTACGATGGTGTTTTCTTTTCCCCTTGTATGCCTGAAGCTGTAACTGACGGTTATTGTCTCTTCTCCTGGATTATCGAATCCATCCAAATACCGAGACGAGGTAGAAGATTCTATCTAGTGAAGGATATTTTCTCGAAGTTTATATATATATATATTATATTTTGAATGGTTATTATATTTTGAATGGTTGTTTGGTTGGTTGATTTGGACTTATTATGATTCCGCCTAACATTTCAGTATCCCCTTAGTAAATCAAGGGGACAACTAGTTAGTTAAACTATCATTTCGAACAGAGAATTTTGTTGACAGGCACGAGAAAAAGAAATGAAGCCATCGTTGTCGTCTTCTTCTTCTTGTCTTTCCCGACAAGCACCTGGATAATGTAGTTACGATGTAATTATAAGACAGTCATACAGCTACGCTAGGGAGTTGAAAGAAAAGCCGCCTCGTGATCCTTTAAGTTAGTAGTTGTTTTTGAGTGTCGAGAAGTACGGAGACACTCTCACAGCATTCGGTTACTAGATGAGACAGAACTCTTAGGGTCGGCCTGACCTACAAAAGACACCTATGAGACATAGCGTACGGACGGCCCCCTGAAATCACTGATGTCGCTGAACACGATTCTCCAAGTCTGGATGTCGTCAGCTCTGTCGAGGATTGGGATTTTGAGCTCTCGAGAGCACTAGTCCCTCCCATACGCTGCACCTTGGGTCGTCAATAGGCGGATTACGTATGTAAGAAGCTAGCTCGGAGGTAGTGTGCTCCCTACACCGCCCTACGGGAGCTAACCGAAGGGTTGCAGGGCGTACGTACAACTTCCTGTATGTACAGCGTAAGTGTAGTGTGCACCTCGTCGCATTTGTGGAGGATCATGGGTTCCGGACCATCCGACTGATGAATGGCAGATAGTAGATGGGGGGTGGTTTAAATGTTACTGAAAAAAAGGGGTATGGAAGTGCTCTTTTAGGTGTGCTTGCGCAGCATAACTCGCTTTCGCTCACCAAATGCGTCGTTTAATATTGTTTTGTTTACTGGGGGTTAGCTGGGAGATGACGGGAAGGGTTGTAAAGATTCCTAATGGGGGTAGCTATATTGCCAAGGCAAGATAATAATAGCACTGGGACGTTTCTTTCCCATCACGATGATCTAACTAGGTTGTCATGTTGCACAGCTTGGCGTCTCGGCTGCCCACGTTCCTTGCCAGAAACCCCAGACAGATACTCTCAGCAGTTTCTGTCCCTTTTTTCGCGATGCAAACACTAATCCAGCATTGGGCTCGAATATGCTCTCTCTTTCGTCTTTCCATTCTCTACCGGTTCAAATTCAACAGGGCCTCGATATACCTTCGGGCATCTAGTCCCACACCTTCGGCGAGTTTCGCGGGACCAGTCCAGCTTCCTCGGCCATCCCCTGCACTGGACTGCGAAGTGCCTGATGCACCGATATTGTCGCGGAAGAACCCTCCTCTGCTGGAATAACGAGTGTGGCCTGATGTAGTGTGGTCGCTGGCTTTCCGGACGAGGAACGCTTCCTTGGGAGGCTGTTCGCGGCTCCGGTGATGGGCTGATGGAGTATGTGACTGCTGTTGTTTTCCTTCTTCCTCTTCTCCTTGTATGGCACCATGCGAGCCCACACTGGAGTCCCTTAACCGCATCCACAATACCCACCAGCCCCGGCTTGTCCTGCACGTCCGTTCGATCTCAGACGCGCGACTTCGGGTTTCGATATATGTATTTATGATTTGCGTATGGACGTTGAGAGTATCCTGGCGGGTCCATGTTGGTTCAGAGGAACCGGCGGATGATAGTTTTATTGTTTGCACGGGCATTCCTGGCTCCGGAATGTTTGGGAGGGATGTGTGAATAAAACGCGTTGTAGGGTCATAAATAATGTCATAGAGAGGAGACTGTTCACTGGGACTATCCTTTGAGTTTCGATACTGAGTCCAGAGTGGACTTCGTTGGGGGATCTTGTCTATTGAGGTTGATAATAACAGAGGCTTTTGAAGAGGCCCGATTTGGTGATGGATACTTCTGTAAAACGTTGGGGATAGTAACGAAGGCGTTTGAGGTTCAAAGAGGAATGTGAACATGAATGGTTGGTTCTGGGTTTCCTGGTTAGTTTCCCTTGATGTGGGATAAGTTACAGTGTAAGGATTCTTACCAGATATACTACGACTTGTAGATCCTTATATTTATCGATGGATGTCGTATCTATGGATATTTTAAAAGGTCAATCTTTTTGTGACTAAGCATCCTTGCACCAAATTGGAACGTACCATCAAAATCCTCATTTTTCGTGCGCTCCCGCATCATTAGAGTTAGTATCCGTAAGACGGTTCTCTCTCTTTGAGCCCCTTTCGCTGGCGTATGTCCTGGTCCGGGGCCTTGTGGATCCGCTTCTTCATCGCTCTCCTCAATCTCTGGGTCATCACGAAGCCCTATTATAAACCTCCCGTTATTGTGCAGCCGTGGAAGCGATGTGCTTTCTTGTTCAGTGGAGCTAGTCATGGACAAAGAGTCAGTCTCTGATGGGGCTTGCTGTGGGCTGCCACCGAATTTCAAAAAATTTACTCGAGGGTGGGACAGGGAAAAGTTCGAAGAATCAACCCAAGATGTTCCGTATCCTAGAGTGAGTAATTTCATAAACTTTTCCGTACCAAATCCGGACGGATCAGCGGGCTCTTCTGTAGAACGTTTTATGCCATCTCGTGAGTTATTTTCTCCAGATTTCGAGATTTCAGCGGCAGGTTTGGGTGTAGATCCTACCACCAAAGGAGGAGGGATTCCAGGAGACAAACTGCGTTTTGGAGTATGGCTCGGTGACTTTGAAAGGGTCTTGGTTTCACCACTTGAGGCTCTGCCCTCGGGGACTTTTCGTCGTTTTCGTCTTCGGATGGATCTGGGATCATGTCTGACCCCGAATGAGTCTTCCCCATACCTGTATATCCACTCCATCCAGTGGGAGACTCGAGTAAGAGACTGCCTGGAAATAGCCCCGACTCCCGAGAATACCACACCATCAAATGAATGCGGAATGGCGTTACACCCTATCCACTGGTGACTTTCCCCAACTAGTCCAATATTTGCTGGGTGCTGGGCGGTGGAATTATCATACTGGTGATTGGGAGACGTATCTCCAAAACGAGATACTACCAGATCAACCAGGCCATCTGTTCTCGAAACAAAATCTTCCAGAACTTCGCGTTCTCCACTCCCCCATTCCTCTTCTCCAACACCAATCCCTAGTTCCCCAGTCGCCGCAAGTTTGATACCATTGAAGATCTCAACTGCTGGGTTTCCATTCAAAAGAGGATCCCAATTCCATATAAATTTTGTCCAAAACTGCTCTAGTGCACTGCAAAATGCTGGCCTCTGCAGACGTGTGTAGAGAATGCCGAGGGAGGGCGCGTGATGGAGGAGGAATATGGAATGCGCTCTAAGAAGTTGCTGAAGGATAAGATGTGAAGGGGCAACTTCGCGGGAAGAATATTCAACTCGAGGTGCCGGCGCATTCTCTGGCCGTGGTTGCGGTGAGGCGGGTGACTCTGGGAATATACGAGTATAGTTGATAGACTACAAATGTATTAGACATGAACAATACGAACGTGGGAAGAATGCCCTACAGCTAGTATCCACCAACCGGATTCCAGCTCATGCAACACGATCCGAGACTTTTCCGTCTCAACTGTGTCTACCGCTTCACCATTGGAGAAGTTCCTATAGCAAGTTCAGTCGTTGCCACTGATATCTACACGGGCGATATGCGGAGGCGATACCTACTTCCCGAAGCTCACCATACCCTGCGCGAGACCTATCTGGCGCAACTTCTCATTGTTATCGACTTCAGTATCATCGCTAACGGCTCCCCGCGTACTCCTCCGTTGTGTCCTTATTGATGGCCCTTCATTTTCCTTTGTTGAATAGTAGAAGACGATTTGATCTCTGAGAGTCTCCTCCGTAGATCCAAGGGACGGGTTGTATATCGTAAGGAAAGATAGTTGTGCGGGGACAACTGAACTTGGCTGCTTTGCAGGCATTGGCCTTTTAATCAAACGCCCTCTAATACCATGGTTGTATGGCCCAACCGTATACGCCCACTCTTGAATTAAAGGAGATGTTCGAATGCTGTAGGTTGAGGTTGCTTCTTGGGCAGCGATAAGGAGATTTGGTGTCAATCTATCATCACGTGATATAAATAATGAGCTCGTTTCCAAATTAAAACATTCTCAGTTTTCAGGCAGGCCAACTTCTCTCATGATCCGATGAGCTATATGGTGACATCGGGGCTGTTTATTTTGCGTCGGCCGTTACCGGTTCGTACAGCCTATCTTCGAGTTCGATATGCCTCCACCAAGTCATGCGACCCTTTGAGGATCCTCTTCTGCGGGTCAGATAGCTTCAGCATTGCTTCGTTGAAAGCCCTGTGCAGGGAACGCGCGAACAGTCCGGAAACGATCGCCTCGATTGATGTTGTCTGCAGACCTGGGAAGAGGGTTGGACGGGGGCTGAAAACTATCCGCGAAGGTGTTCATATGTTCCTGTGCACATAATATAGGAGTGTTGGATTGATCTAACTTGTCAAATAATAAGTCCCAATTAAGGCTGCGGCAACGCAACTGTCTCTCCCTATCCACGAAATAGATACATTCACTGGTTGGAAGGTGAGGATTCCTTATCACAAATCTAGAATATTCCGCTTCCCTAACTACCTTTCTCGGACAGCCTCCGAAACCGCAAGGGGATCCCATAAACCTCATCATTGCTGTATCGTTCGGTCTTTTTGTACCTCCTCGAATCCTAAACGCCGCAAAATATGGCGGTCTTAATGTCCACCCTTCACTGCTCCCAGAGTAAGCCTTATTTTCTCGAATTGGCTGAGAAGATAGTCTAATTAAGATATGTCAGTTTCCGGGGGCCAGCGCCCTTGCACCACACGTTGTTAGCAGGAGAAACGAGAACAGGAGTAACTCTACAAACACTTGATACAAGGGACTTTGACCACGGGGTAATTCTTGATCAAACCCCTCCTCCAGGCTTTAGCATACCCGATCCGGATACGTGCGACGTGCCGCGGTTGTTAGATTTAGTGTCGGACAAAAGCGCCCAGATGCTGGTATCAGGTATTCGAAACCGCATTTTTGTTCCCCCGTTGAAAAGTGCGGGATGGCGCAAGCCAGATAACGAGGGTGCTTTGCGGCATGCTGGGAAGATCCAACCGGAAGATCGTCATATCAATTGGCGTTCCTGGACCGCGCAAGAGATATTCCGACGGCAACGGGTGCTCGGTCCGTTGTGGAACAATGTCGTCATCGGGACTGGCTCTTCAATTTCTGGAAGCAATGAGCAGACAAAGAGAGTTATCTTCACTAAGATGGCACTTGACGAGTCTATTCCACGTGTTCTCGATTCCGTCAAAATAGACCCTGGCGTGGTATTCACATTGTCAGATGCTCAGACTTCGGCCAATGAGCTAGACCAGCCGCTATACGTGACAACGTGCGACCGCAAGACTTTGCGGATAGACGAAATTAAAGTGCAAGGCCAACACTCGGCACCGGCTTATCGAGCCGCCAAGAAGGCAAATATGTTGAATATAGAGCCTCCGTCTGTCTCATTATCCATTAATCCTTGGCGGGTCTTGAATAATACAGGTCTTGTTTAGGGGCCCAATGTAGGCGCATAATTGGGTCATTTATTTCAATTTAATATGCATGGTTATATTCCTACGAGGTTACGTAGGACGGGCCTAACGTACGGTAAGATAGGTTTTTCAGATTATTACACGACTCTTTGTCCATAATAAATACTGCTGTTCAGCAGGTTATATCCATGTCTTCTCTCACTTGATTTCTTTCCCTTCTTGGAGTTTTTAGTGCAGGATATGAACCACAGATCTATTGATTCCTCAGAAGCAAGGAGATATTACCGAATAAAATACCCGGAATCTAAGCCACAGTCAATGACTCGAATAGACCGAGGGTTTGGAATATGTTGTTGAGCTAACCAACTTGAATCTGTTGCCCAGTCGTGGACATGTTTTTGGCAACCGTGATGAATACATCGGCGCAATCCTCAATCTCAGGCTTTGAGTTGTGGTTAGCTCCCGTCAATAACTATGAATGGTTGTTTGTTGCTACAACATGCTTGAGAACAGCCTTATCTGTATATGCCTGGACTGTCTCCTTGGAGAATCTTTCGCCCTATTTCCGCGTCATTAATACAAACTTTCAAAATCGAATTACCCGTCCTGGTCGCGCTCACCCATTCCGTGAGGAGAAGCCCTGGGAGGACCGCGTTAGTTCGGACCTTGGATCCCTGAGATGAAGCGAGTGCTTTCATCAGATGCAACCCTATGTTGAGATGGTTAGAATGCAGGCGGATAAGATTGGAAAATCTAGATTTGCTTACCTGCAGCCTTGAACACAGAGTAAGTCATGCTATACTTAGTGGTTCAAAAGTCTGTTTATGCTTTTAAAATCACCAAAATCCACCTGTTTCATTTCTTTCTTTCTTTTTCTTCCTGTATTATTCTTCCTGGTTTTGATTTCATATCACAAACTAACACTTTAGAGCGGGGTGAACCAAAAATTAAAAGATATCGAACCTTGGTCCCCCGGTAATGAGGACATTTCTTCCCTTGAGGGAGTATGGCATGGTTAAGCGCAGAATCTTGCGAATCGCGAAGACACAATTTAGATGCTAAGCCGTAGGGTTGCTGACAACATGGCAAGTATTATCCATTGTTTGGGCTAAGGAGGAACACGCGCTTTCCCACTGATTCATGGCAAGCATCTCAGGAAGTGGTCGTGATCCTAGTAGCGTTAAGGGGAAACTGAGCGTGGAAGCTGCGGCAGGTTGAGTTGGCGTTTCACAACTTGATTTTAACCTCGGCCTGTCACAAGAATTGGTTTTTGAACGCGCCGCCGTGTCGAACATCAGTTAACTGACAGAATACATAACTTTCCTCCCTTTGGTTTTACTTGCTGCTAAACTCTTGTCCAGTTCTGCGTCTAGGCGACTACGCTCTTTGGGATGGGTATCCCGTACGCAAAATAGGAGATCCCTTGTTCTCTTTATTTCCCTTTCAAAGAGATTGGCGTTTTGACAATCTCATGCCCTATTCCATGTTTCATTTGATCATCCAAGCGCTGCTTCTGTGCGTCTGGGTATCGGTAGTGGCTATGAAGCCATGTCTTCGGTGGTTGTCGCATGTTTCCATGGTTTCTCTCTTTATTTTTGATTGTATGAGGTTTCCCAGATGGCGGAGCACGCACCTCGACGTTCCTCTGCTGTATCTGGCACATGGGGCGTAAGATTGGAAATGCGGACCTAGGGGCTGCCCGCTACACTTCTAAGGATGAGCTCCGAATAGGCTTCGTTTCTTTTAAATTGCTAGACTTGCGTAACCCGCACGTTAGGCTGTAAGGGGCCATGCTTAGGAGAAAGGAGTATTAGAGGGTGACAAAAGGGGTAGTTGGATGTCCCCTGATCTTAACTCTTATGCTTCCAGCGAGAATATCTGCTTACCGAGACTTGGAATTGTATGAACTGCCTCTGATGAGGCCATGTCAGAACACAATGTAATGGAGGATGTATATTGCTGTGGTTGCTTGTCTGATGCTGCTGCCAGTCAGTTAGCAACTGCACAACCAGTTATGGCCATTGTGAAAGTGTCTATGTCAGGTCTGCTGAGGAGCACACAAACACCTCACTTCTGTTTGCACCTCACCTTCTCACCCCTTTCTCTCTAAGAACTTTGCTGTCATCTCCAAAGGTATCCATTCAACAACAAAGCTCTGAGATATCAGTCATTACATATCAGTCTGCTGAACCGCACTCTTGTTGTCTTCTAGCAACCTTTCTCACACAATACAAAAGGGGGGAGGTGATGGAATCGTCTCCGCCTAAGAACAACGACGACAAGGCACAAACTTCTCACACTGAAGGGAACAAAGCAGGGGACAAAGGTAATATTACCAACATAGAAACCAAGATACTCTCCCATCCCAACAACTATTCATGCAGAGTTGATATCAAAAAGCTAACTTTCATTTGTGTATTGAACAGCTGATGAATTGCCCAATAGCTCCCAGAACAATGCCAAAACCCGTCGTCGCATCACATTTGCATTTTTCAGTTGGCCATTTTTTGGCCGCCGTGAGAGACATCATGGAAATGGTAAGCAGGTAGAAATCTAGTCATTGGAAACCAGATGTAATCTTCTGCTGCATAAGGGTAAGCTAACATCTGATTTTCAAGGCGTTCCACCGGCGGAACGACGTGCTGCAGAGCAAGACAACCTGCAGCTGCCAAAAGTTGCGAGCTTAACAGGCGCTATTTTTTCCCAACGTCCAACGGCAACCAGCACTATCACTAGACGTAGACACTCTTACGCACCCCAGGCGTCAAGGGACTACAGTCGTTGCATTCAGGATTTGTCCGTATGTACCGATGATGAACGTGAGATTGAGGTGGAGCCAGAACTGGATGGCAATGCCATGGATGAGCCGCAAGTTCACCCCCTGCGCATGAATCCTGTGAACGATGAGAAGCAGCACAGCACACCATTTAGTACCAATGATGCTGCAAGCGTTGTTGAAGCTGTAGAGCCTTCCGGAGGGCCAGAAGTTGTTTCTGTAGCCGAGACTTCCTTCGTGACGGCCACTAACAACACCGATGATGCTGAAGAAATGGGAAATGGAGAAAACCCTCCTCCCACCACCCCTTGCGAAGAATATGCAGCTGAAGATGACCCTTACCCTGTCTCTGACACCTCGTCTGTCTATGCTGAAGAGTGGTTCCCGTTTCGTGAGCTCTCGCAGATATCCTGGCGCACGGCTGGACCTACGTCTGCGGAGGAATTGTTGCCATCAACTCGCAAATCCCCCTATCGCATGGGGAGGACCCGTCGTTATGGCTGGATTGAAGGCCAGCCATTCTAAGATGGAACAGATAAGTTTGTCTTCTTCGATTGTATTTTCTGATACAGCCACGGAATTGTTTCGGGCTAGGTGAGGACTCGACTGTGCTGGGCTGAATTATTTTCTCTTTTCTTGTTACATTGTTTATCCTTGTTCCTTTTTATACTTATTTGACTGTTTTTCTTTTCTTTTTCTTTTTCTTTTTCTTTTTCTCTTTCTTTTTTCTTTTTCTTTGTCTCTGGGTTCTAAGAATTTCCCTATAAGGAAAAACATTCGAGACGTGTTTTTGTTCACTATCATCTCAAGTGGTTTTAACCCTCCATGGCTTGGCCATTTCAATTTCAGTGTTTGAACTTGTTAGCTGCCTTTACTCCGCTTCATTTTTCTTTCTTCCTCAACAGCATCATCACTGAGGTTAAAATGCAAATTTGTTTGATCGCTAGGCAGAGATTTCTCTCTGGCCCTGCTCACAGATGAGAGTGTGTGAAGGTTCTTTTTTGTTTCCATGAAATTTTATCAATGGGATAAATCATCCACTGAGATAAGGTTTTCCTAGTTCAGGGGATCAAGTTGAACTGGTAGTTAACTATGCCCCAGTTAATAAGCGAGTTAGTTTTAGTTAGTTAGTTACCATTAAAAACAATGATGAGTACTTAATTAAAATGGACATTCTCTTTGTATTTGTGTATAAATAGCTGTGCAGTACATAATCGCGTCCCGAGGAAAGTGCATGGTATATTTACATGGTCGGAAATAACCCAAAGTTTGATACTGAAAAGGCGATAAAATTGATTATTTTGACTTGAGCATCCGAGTAAAATCATGTAGATAACGGGAAATAAAGAAACAATAATATAAGAACAGAAGAAGAGTTCATGCTGATTTTGCCTTATATCATGGGATGGGTTGACGTACTCATGAATAAGGTCATGATATGATCCATATACATTTCAATTCACAAAAATAACAGTGGAAGCGCTGAAGGACACATGCCTCATTTCACCAATTAGAAACCGTACAAGTATCCCAACAAACCACTCCTTCTACGCCCGTAGGAGTCTTTCACTTTTTGATGGGGTGGGGGTGCAAAAACAAAATCAAAAGAAAAAAAATTTATAAATAGATGAAGCCTTTCTACCAAACGCATTTTAACACGCCCACAGGCATAACGGCATTGTGTAAAAATAAAACTCTTCAGATTATGTAAGTTTCTGCTTAATGAAGAAGGATCGAAGATGGGAAAGTTGCCAAGCGCAAGTTAATGACAAGAGGCCTAGCTGGATTAAAGTCCAGCGGACGACACGGGCATTGGTTGCTTCGGATTGGTTGCGAAATAATGCTTCCCGTTCCTGCGATGAGATCCAAGTAAGTATATATTATTGTTTTACGCGAATAATATCATGGATCACTTACCCGCTGGAAAACCTGCTCTCGGCGGATATCTTGTAGTCTGCTATTAAGATTCTTGACTCTGTGAGCCATGTCCTCCATCTTGGATTTATCTTCGCTTTCGATTTTGCTAGTTTCTCCAATGACCATGTCGAGAGTCAATTTTATGGCCGGGGAAGCTGAGAGCCATCCTTGAGTGGCACCAGGATCTGGGGTGAAACAGAGTTTGTGTTGACCTGCATCTGCAGCGGAGAATGTGAACCGTCCAGTATCACTTCCGCGTTGGAATACAACACGGTGATCGTTGTCAAATGTTTCGTCGACTGTGATTGTAAGCGTGAGGCCAGGGTCCGTGGTGTAGGCGTTGACATCGTTCTTGAATACTTCAGCTTTGTAGTTACCTGTTGACGAGTATGGTTAGTACACAGAATCCAGCCCCGACCATCATCGTATCTGACGCGATATAATGAAGTTGCCATAGGATTAAAACAAAATACGCACCAACAACTAAAGTTCCTTGCGGCATATCTTCGAAGAAGCATTTTTGCTGCCGTGGCTGGACATAGAAGTAGAGGGAGTGGGCCGGAGTTGATAGAGTGAGAATCGTGACAATTGCGAAAAAGGACGGCAGCCAGGACTGCGAGCGCGAGGAGGCCATGATGGAGAGTCAAGCCAAACCCGCAGCGGAAATTGAGAAGAGTCTCCTGAGCTTTGTGCGTGCGTTGGCTTGAAAGGCTAAAGGGGCTCTTGCTGCTTGACGGAAGGTTGAAGTGTCCACTCCAGGATGTCAAGGGCGATGCAAACACTGCAAACATGTCCTCCGAGTCTCCAATCGCCATTCAATCACTGTACAATTCCATCATTGTTGCAAACTATCATCAATAACCATCGCCCTTCGATCGTTGCTTCTCTTTCTATTAGACCATATGTACGTCAGCGACTTTTAGAGCTTCTAAATTACCCCTTCTTGTGACCCCTTCTTCCAAATCGCCGCCATGGCTGCCGCAGATGTCCGTGACATGCTGGATCTTCCCGCAGACGGCGGCCCACCTAGACCTCATAAGAAACAGAAAGTCGTCGAAAAACGACCAGGTAAGTGGATTTTAAGCCCGACTTTGCAATGCGCTGCTAATGTGTATCCATAGAAGGTATTACCCGGGAGCTCTTTGCTCTTTTAGGCGAACGTGCCCCTCCTATCGCTCTGAACGAGAATAAATACAAGGGACGGCGGAAATGGGTGAGCAAGCTGAAAGTAACGCCATGGTAAGGCATCTTGTGGCCTTGGATATTTGAGTAATCCGCGACTGACGTGCGTATGTTGTATAGGGTGATGGCCCCGTTTGAAAATTCCGCTCGATCTGATGGGCTTGTACTCCGACACTGGCAAAGAAAACAAGCTCCCATTATTGAAACGGCAGTGGCTGATGGGGAAGATAAAATGGAAACTGAGGCTCCGGAACAGAAACCGGAAAATGTCTATGCATTTGCGAAATACAACGTGAAAGCCCAGGTCCCCAAGCGGTATACCGATGACCAATACAATCGCTACCTGAAAAGCCATACGTGGAGTCGTGAAGAAACAGACTATCTTATGGATCTCGTCGAGGAATATGATTTGCGATGGGTCGTCATTGCTGACAGATACGAATACCCTCCAAACCCGCCACTTACAAACAGTGATTCTACCGCTCTTGTTACAACAACTCGACGTCGAACAATGGAAGAGATGAAATCGCGTTACTACACGGTTGCTGCGAACATGTTGGCACTTGAGCATCCACCTTCTGAGATGTCTGAAACAGAATTCAACCTCCATGAGAAGATGATGAAATATGATCCCGAACAAGAAAAGGTTCGCAAGGATTTGGCGATTTTACAATTGAACCGATCAAAGGACGAAGTTAATGAAGAGACTTTGCTACTCGAGGAACTCAAAAGGATTGTGGCCAACGAGAAAAATTTTATAGAAGAGCGCAGAGAGCTTTACGCCAGACTCGAGGCTCCCATCAGTACGAGCAATACTACGATGTACCAGTCTAGCCAAGGCCTATCACAACTTCTCCAATCCCTCCTCCATGCCGATAAAACCAAGAAACGGCGCTCACTTATGGGGCTTGAAACCGGCACATCTAGCCCAGCCAGCCTACCAAGCTCACAACAAAACCCCCCACAGAGCGCTCGGGAAAGTCGACCTCAGACGCCTGCTGCTCCGGCGCCAACGCCGACAACTACCAAGAAAGCAGCCAACACAGCAGCTCAGCAGCCAGCCATCAAAACCCTCACTCCGGCCGAAGAAGCCAAATATGGCGTCACACGCCACGATCGCCTTACCTCAGGCGTTCAGTTCCGCAATGACAAGGCACATAAGCTCACACAGGCCAAATCCAACATCCAATCTCAGAAACTCGCTGCTGCGCTTACTGAGCTTTCTATCCCACCCCGACTCGTCATGCCAACAGAGAAGGTGTGCAAGGAATTTGAAAAGCTGATACATTCCGTCAATCTCTTGCTTGACGTGCGCAAGTTTATGGAGAAGGTTGAGGGCGAGATTCGTGTGCTGGAGGCTGCGAGGCAGGAACGAGAAAGGAAGGAGAAGGAGCGACTGGAGGCGGAGGCTAGTCAGACGGGCGAAGGCGCCGAGGAATCAGGACAGGGAAATGAGGGTGATGATAAGGAGGGCGAAATTGAAAAGAAAGGGGCAGGGGAGAGAAGTGACGTGGGGGAAGATAAGAACATTCCTGCTGCAGTCTCTGTTACCAATGGTGCAGACGCACCGGTGACAAAAGGACACGATGAAGCTGGCCTTGCTGTAGCCGAAGCGGACGAAGGACCGAAAACGGCTGGGTCTGAGGGAAAAGGAGCGGGGATAGCTGGCTCTGAAGGGTCGCACAAACGAAGCGCCAGTGTCTTAAGTGCGGTCAGCGACAAGAGCATGAAGAGGCAGAGGAAGTAGCATGATGAGAGTTATTATTTGTTTATTTGGGTTCGCTCGGTGTTTTACGGAATTTGATGGATTGGGATAGCTGAATTTAGGTTGTTACTAATTATGGCCTTTTATTCTTCTTTAATTTTATACTCTATTCGCTTATAAGTTGTAAATGATCTAATTTTGCTCGATTAATGAACAGTTCGTACTTTATCCGTTTGGGTCTTTTACGCCAGACCGATTGATGGACAACAGAATTAGAATTAAGAGTTTCACCTACTGACAATAGTTTTGCTTTACTATCTTGTATTGAATTGTGAATTACTAGACTGGTTATTTCCGAGGAGGATAATAGGAAATTCTTTGTTCTATCCAATGGGACCGGATTGGACTGTCAATACTTCTCTGCTGGGAGGATGAAGCGGAACTGAATACACCAAAAATATTCAACTAATTAACGTGCTCTACAACACTATCCATCAACCGGTTGTACGTTATATCAATGCTGAAAGGTGTTATATAGGAGAGGGTAAAAATAGTGGCACACACTCCAAGAGTGCATCCTTATAAGGGTGCTGCTATACAAACAAATACCTCAAAAAGGTTGGTTGCGAAACTATGTAGCTTTGCGCAACGGGAAATGGGTCACAGGCCCCGTGTAGAACAAGTTAATGATACTACTCTGTTCCCCACGTCTGCTCAACAAGTTTCAACAGACCATCCTTCGAGCCCACTTCGTTCAAAAGTTGCTCTTCTTTGAAGTCCACAGTTGAATCGCGGAGATCCATGCTTCTGGATACCCGACGATGCCCCTCACTATCAATCAGGACCTTCTCAAGTCCTTCTTCCGTCCCATGATTAAATGTAACATCGTCGTCGCCAGAGAACAACCCGATACAATCTTCATACAAACGTGACCAGACATCTGCAGAACATGGATCTGTGGGAGCATTCATGCCGCTCCCACCGAAAGTAGAGAAACCCAATCGGCATGGTAGACGCGATCCCAGAGGAGCAGGGTCGAGCATCCTGCTCCATGGAGTCCGCTGTTCACTTACCCTCTCGTTTGATCCCCGAGCTTTCAGCTGCTGATTATGCCGCTTAATTTCGCTTCTGATATCTCCAATTTGCTCAAGAATAAGTTGACCGGTTGGTCCTCCGGGAATAATTTCAAGATCCGGATCCTTCAAGTCGTCGCTCCTGGAGGTTTCCCTCCTATGGCCTGCCCGATATCGTCGGCGATCAACGGAATCGGAACGATGTAATCTAACCCAGTTGAACAACCCCATACCCTTTTTAATAGAAGGCAATGAATCGGATTTGTCGTTTGAGATTCTTGGTAATGGGGGCGAGTTTGTGTCTTGGCTGTCCTTGGGCGTATCTATGGATGCAAAGTCACAAGCAGCAACGTTATCGGAACGCCCAGCAGATCCGTTTCTCGAAATCTTAGAACGGCTTGGGAACCTGGCCCACGACGAGAAGGGTTCTTTGCTAATATCACTATCAAAGAGGTTCCTCTCTGACACCGCGAGTTCCCCGCAACTGACAACGTTCAGATCTTCGTTGCAGTGCGACTCGACCGGCCCTTGTGCCTGATTCCTGGTGACAATTGATTCACCGGAAGCTTGTGAAAAGCATTTTAAACTTTTTTCTCTGCCCGTAAACTCGACTAGGTCACGTAGATCGGTCTCAGGTGTGGATTCTTGATAAATTAGCTGCATTATATCGCTTGTTTCTGAGTTTGGGGGTTTTCCATTATCTTCCATCACAAAACGATAGCCGTAACCACGACGCTTCCCATCAGACAGCCATCCATCGCTGATGCTTCTCATGTTCGTGTATTTTTGGATGCCATTGGAGCTCTGAATGGCTGAATCGCTAGCGCTACTGGAATGTATATCAACGAAATTCTCGATGAATCTGCTTTCAGTCCGATATTTGTTATTGCGTGGACAAGCAAAGGAGTCTTGGCTAGTAGCATTTGGAGTCTTTTCCGAGCTTAGCTGTTTGCCGTTGAATAGATCAAAGTATCCGCCGCTAACTGCTGCCTTTCCACCAGACGCCGCAGCGACATGGCCAGCTTTCGGCGGGGATAACTCTAGCTGGAAATCCGATGGCGGACTAAGACCATTCGTGCGAGCCACATCCGACTCCCATGAGAATCTAGACAAAGATGATTCAAAGCGTGGGACTCTATCGAGATATTTAGCGCCTGCAGGCTTCATAGAATTTTCTGGGAAGTATGAACCAGCAGTGGATGTGGGTGTGGATCTCTGGGATTCAGCTTCGACATGTGGCTTGAAACCGTCCTCGGATGTGTCGAAGTTGAAAAGTCCTCCGTTATTTTCTGGTAAAGACTCTAAATTGCCGGTGGTTACCTCTTTTTCAGGGTTAGATGCTTCATCCCAGATTGCGGACGAGGTTCCGTCAAGTCCTGTGGGAAACATATCATGGTTGATGTCTAAGGGACGCTCGGGGCTTTGAGTGTCCGGTTTGCTGATGAAACCAATTATACCACCTGCGATACGCTCTGTAATTTGAGGAGTTAAAATACAACGTGCATCACTGTCATACTCAGCATCATTATTCGTCGTGATATCCACACCGACAGCCGGATTTACATTTTGATCACCACCCTGGAGTGTAACTCCGCGTCCCTTAAATATCTTGGAGGACTTCTTCGACAATTGCGATTCCCTAGAAAGCCTTCTTCGTATCTTATGAGACAGCTGGATTAAGCTAATCCGACTGGCCTTGGGGCGAATATGTATCGTTCGATTGGCTGCGGTCTTTGGAAACTGATGAGATCCAGGCGTAATTTCCGTCTCTGGATTGCCCGTCCGACGTGTTGATGGACGGAAAATCTCCTCAAAGGCGAGTCTTTCCTCGCTGAGATTACCCACGGCAGCGGAACTTGGTCGAGTTGGACGATCTTGGTGGGCTAGATCAATAGGGAGCATAACGTCTTCTGCATTATTCGCCGACCCTTTGGATCGCTGACCTCGAGGGCATGGACTGAAAACCATTGTGAGTGGCTTATAATAGATACTGCAGAAAACTTCGCCCCTTCGAGTTTTCTAGAGCAATCGACGTCGAATCAGGGGAAGGAACTCTGAAGGCCTGTCTCACTCTGAAAATAACGAGGACTCCAAAGTCGCCAGTCTGATACGAAATTCTCGTATGGAACAACAATTCGGTCAGTCAAAAGACAGAGATTCAAGTCAGCATGAGAGCCATATAACTGTTTACACGGAACACAGCAGGGAAGGAGAGCCCCAGGAATCCTCAAATAATAATAACAACAACAACATGGAAGGCCGTTTCTTTTTCCAAAATAAGCAACTTGTCGCAAACATTAAAAATAAAACCGGAAGCGAGAAAGGTAGCATCGATCTTGTCATTTTTGGTTCTGGTGTTGGCCTTCAATGGCACTTTCTATATCTCAGATAATAGTATAGTAGTAGTACCTAGGCACAGAGGTCAGCAAGAATTAATGGGGATGGGAGTTCTGCTCGTTGTTAGTTATTGTCGAGGAAGCTAGGGCTCTTCAGCATAATTGCCATCATGTGCTCAACTCCAAAGATTCAGATATGGGATATAGCCAGTCTGGATATATCTTCAGTAGCCAACCTTGTTTCCCGTGTATGCTGAGGTTGACCTGGGATAGGGCATATTATATCACATGACCACTAATCTGCACGTCCCGCTTATCACGTGAGATAATCGGTGGTGTGATGTGCGCCATTTAGCCAATCAGATGTCGTTATACACAGTTAGTTAAGTTTGACTAAGCGGAAGCACCCCTCCTTCGGGTCCGTGAACTTTTTTTCCAATTTTGTTTTTCTTCCCCTCCATCCCCACCTCCATCCTCACCTTCACCAAATTGATACTTTCTTTTCTCTCTCTTCCCCCATCGCCCTACTCTGGGATTGCCCTGCTGTGCGTCTACTGTGTTTCAGGGTGCTACAGACAACACCCTATTTCCCTCTCACAACCCCACCTTGATCCTTTTCGGAAACAATTGCTAGAGAAAACTCGTGAAAATGGTTCAATCGTTAGTATACATTAGATCCCTCAATTGACTGATTTTATCTGCGTAAGTACTAATCAAGAAACTCAGATCTGTTCTCGGCTTCCCCCGTATGGGACGTCTCCGAGACCTGAAAAAGGCCACCGAAGCATACTGGGGAGGCAAACTCTCTCGCGACGAGCTGCTCGACGAGGGCAAGAGACTCCGTCTCGAGCACTGGCAAATCCAGAAGAAAGCCGGTGTTGATCTTATTCCCAGCAATGACTTTGCTCTCTACGACCAAGTCCTTGACCATATCCAACTTTTTGGTGTACGTTTAGTTTACTTGCTCGGTTTCCTTGGCCTTGAGATCCTTGTCATCCGCTAACAAAAGCCCTCAACAGGTAATTCCTGAGAGATATTCCAAGTATGGCCTCCATCCCGTTGACGAATACTTTGCCATGGGTCGAGGCTTGCAAAGGCCTGCCAAGGATGGCGAACCTGCTGTCGACGTCCCTAGCTTGGTAAGATTCTACTCCGCTAGGATCGTACGATTCCAGGTTACTAACACAATTCATTCCAGGAAATGGTAAAATGGTTCGACTCAAACTACCATTATGTTAAGCCTACCCTCCAGGACTCTCAAACCTTCACTTTGTCAAGCAACCCTAAGCCGGTTGTTGAATTCAAGGAAGCTAAGGATGCTGGTATTACCACTCGCCCAGTCCTTCTGGGTCCCGTTTCCTTCCTTGCTCTCGCCAAGGCCGATCGTGACCAGACCATCGACCCCATCTCCGTTGTCGATAAGCTCGTCCCTCTCTACATTGACCTTTTGGCCCAGCTTAAGGCTGCTGGAGCCGAGGATGTTCAGATCGATGAACCTGTCTTGGTATTTGATTTGCCAGAGAAGACCAAGGCTGCTTTCAAACCAACTTACGAGAAGCTAGGCTCGCTTGGTGACAAGGCACCTCGGTTGGTTCTTGCAACCTATTTTGGTGACATCGTCCACAACATTGACGTCCTCCCATCCCTCCAAAGCCTCCATGGTATCCATGTCGACTTAGTCCGCAACCCAGAGCAACTCGACACCGTTATCAATGCCCTTGGACCCAAGCAAACTCTCTCTGCTGGTGTTGTTGATGGACGTAACATTTGGAAGACCAACTTCAAGCGAGCAATTGAGATCGTTGAGACTGCAATCCAAAAGCTCGGCAAGGACAGAGTTGTTGTTGCCACTTCGAGTTCTCTTCTACACACCCCTCACACCCTCGAAAGTGAAAAGAACCTTGACCCAGAGGTTCGGGATTGGTTCAGCTTCGCTGTTGAGAAAGCCACCGAGGTTGTTATAATTGCCAAGGCTGTCACTGAAGGCCCCGCTGCTGTGCGGGAGGAGCTTGAGGCTAATGCCAAATCCGTCCAAGCACGTGCTTCATCCAAGCGGACTAATGATCCCAAAGTCAAGGAGAGACAAGCTGCTGTCACTCCTGAAATGCACAACCGCAAGTCCCCCTTCCCAACCAGAATTAGCCAACAACAGACAAAGCTTAATTTGCCAATGTTCCCAACTACGACTATCGGATCTTTCCCTCAGACGAAAGATATTCGGATCCAGCGGAACAAGTTCACCAAGGGTGAAATTACGGCTGCGGATTACGAGAAGTTTATTGAACAAGAAATCCAGGACGTTGTCAAGATTCAGGAGGAACTTGATCTGGATGTCTTTGTCCACGGAGAGCCAGAACGTAATGATATGGTCCAATACTTCGGTGAGAGGTTGACTGGATATGTATTTACCACCCATGCTTGGGTCCAGAGCTACGGTTCTCGTTGCGTCCGCCCTCCTATCATTGTTGGGGATATCTCGCGTCCTGCGCCTATGACAGTCAAGGAGTCCAAATACGCTGCTTCCATCTCCAAGAAGCCCATGAAGGGAATGCTCACTGGTCCGATCACTTGTCTGCGGTGGTCTTTCCCTCGTGATGACGTTCATCAGTCTGTGCAAGCTCAGCAGCTCGCCCTTGCTCTCCGTGACGAGGTCGTTGACTTGGAAGCTGCTGGCATCTTTGTTATCCAGGTTGATGAACCAGCTCTTCGCGAGGGCCTTCCACTCCGATCCGGAAAGGAGCGTGAAGCCTACCTCGACTGGGCTGTCAAGGCTTTCCGCCTTGCCACATCCGGAGTAGAAGACAGCACTCAGATTCACTCCCACTTCTGCTATTCCGAGTTCCAAGACTTTTTCCATGCCATTGCAGCCCTTGATGCTGATGTTCTCAGTATCGAGAATAGCAAGAGTGATGCCAAGCTTCTCAAAGTCTTCGTCGACGAGGCTTACCCACGGCATATTGGCCCTGGTGTATATGATATCCACTCCCCTCGTGTCCCAAGCGAGCAGGAAATCAAGTCTCGCATTGAAGAGATGCTTCACTATCTTCGACCAGATCAACTCTGGATCGACCCTGATTGTGGTTTGAAGACAAGACAGTGGACTGAGACTAAGGCAGCTCTCACCAACATGGTGAATGCCGCCAAGTTCTTCCGCCAAAAGTATGCTAAATAAATGCAACAACTAGGCGGGTTTCAATGTCGCAATTACGCTCAACACGTGCGACTAGAATATGATGGTGATTAATGATCATGAGTTATAGAGACGACTTATTTTACTAAAAAGGAAAAAACAATGAGGAATGTTTTAACATGCATGCATTAGGATAGTTAGAAAAGTTAAAAAATCATACCCACGATCTCAACATCGGCGTTTTCTTTTTCCTTGCCTATCTTTCTTTCTCTCTTTGTTTTGTATGTAATCTTTGGAATTGTCTTCTAATTTATCAGCCCTTCTAATTTTTACTTTTTTTTTCCTTCTCCCTCGATTGATTTTGGTTTAGCGAACATGTTTCTTCCCCGTCCCTCGCTGTGTCTTTCTTCGTTCCTCCTTTCTGCTACTTTCATTTTCTCTTTTCAACGACATCTTAAAAGGTGGGATTTACGATCAAAAGGGATGTTATGAAATGGAATGAACTCTTGGGGTACATTCTTATCCGATAAATAACAGAAGCAGCCTTACATCTTCTACATAAATTGAAAATCCATCCTGTGTTATTACCCCTGAACTCTGTCCGTTCCGCATTTTACGAGCTCATGTTCTATGGAGTTTACTGTCAATCGAGAGAAACTACATTATCGCCTTATCGCCCCATAAGGATTAAATAATTATAAGTCAACCATTAGATGATTCCGGGCTCTGAATCCCAGGAAATCGATTCTTTGGGATAGAAAAAGGTGTTCGAATCCCACCCGTTCTACAAAGTAAAATTCAACAAGTTATAGGAGCTATTTCACCCACACGGTTGATTCTACACGGTATCAGCTATAAATATTGTAAAACAAAAATGGAGAAAATAATATTAAAAAAAGAAAAATTATCTCTCGATCCATTGATCGACAAAAAATTCTCTACATGTAACATGAATACAAGACAAAAACCCCAAATTACTTTTCCCGTCCTATATGTACTCTGCAAAAAATGGAGCAAAAATCACAACCACTTAAAATAAGGCACAAACGCTCCGCGCATCCCCACTCGCTCCGCTCCAAAGCGGTCCACATACCACTTCCGGCCCCAACTCGCGCGCACGGCCGTTGTCGATACTACATTCACAAGAAATGTAATTGCCGGGAGTGGAAATGGTAGTCCCCATTTATGCAGCAGGAGGTTCGCGAGAGGGACGTAGTAAGGGGCGAGGACGAGGGGGGAGACATCAGTAGTTTCCAAGGAAGAAGAGGCGGAGGCGGATAGAGCTGGTGTGATGGAGAATCCTATCATGAGAAAACCGAGCCATTCAAGCCATTCAAAGACGTAGTGAGGGAAGAGGATTGCGCGGAACCAGCCGGTGGGAGGTGGGAGGACGTAGACCTTGTCGTACTTGTTTTTTGAGTTCTGGGCGGCTGTGAGTTTGTTGTTATTCTTATTATTATCAACTTCCTCCCTACGTAGGCGGAATAAAGTCCCCTCTGCCTTGATGTTGCCATAAATTCCTATTAGGAACAGACAGAGTCCGATATAAGGAATGTATTCCGCTGGGAAATATTTAGCAGAGAAGCTTGAGGACCGCGAGAGGTGTGTTTGCTGTGGTTGGGGCGCTGTTGATCCCAGGATTGGTGTCCCATAACCTAACAACCAGCCCGCTATACAGCTCGAGTTAAGGTAATTGAATCCCATAGCCGAAAAGATAATGATCAGGTGAATTGGTGACATGCTGGGCGCGAGGAAGAGCGGTGTTATAACGGCCCGGTTTAGATAATGGAGGACATAGAGACACGCGACGGTCTTATGCCAGATCGGCAACTGGCCTTCGGGAAACTTGGAGGTGCCTGTATATAGGGTATACATAATATTGAGAGCACCGACGCTCTCCATACAGACCCATGCGTAGCGGCCAGGGAAGTTTAGGCGAGAGGAAGGGAGTGAGGTTTTTCCTTGCGGGTAGAAAGGGGTTGCTAGTTGGATGAAGGTGACCTTTAGAAGGCGGATTCAGCATTTCTTTTTGATTTGATGTGCTAGGAGCGTTTTGAGTCCATAGCAGTTACCAATACTACTTACCAGGGGGAAATATTGGAAAATTGTGAGGAGAGCGATGTAGGCTTCTGGAGATGCCGGAGGGACGAACTCTTGGAGCGGTGGGAGGGAGTTACCCCAATTTATAAGAGTGTCCATGGCTTGGATCGAGGTGGTTATTATCTGCTGCTGCTGCTGCTGTTGTTGCCGCTGTGGGAGGAAAAGATTCTCGTAGGTTTCGATGATATCACACGGTTCAGGATAGGTCAACACTACCCCGGCGCGCCAAGAGGAGAGACTTTAGATGCTGAGTTACGAGCGATGTTCGCGTCGTTGATAAATACGGGAGACGAACCGAAAATCCACTCACTGTTTTCTTTGATTTACCAACAACTTATCCGGCGCAGTAATACATCTGGACGAGGAATTTAACATACATGCTATATAAATCGACCCACTCGTTTGTAGCCCAGCTGCTAACTTGAGTTCGAGACAAGCCGCCGCACATAAAAAAAAACACACCATAAAATTTGTAAATTTATTTCATTTCATTCATGGGCCAAATACGGATGTAATCCGCTCAGGCTAAGGATAAAAGATTGAATTGAACGCTTCTGAGCCAGACCTAATTGGCAAGCAAAAGCAAAACATCATCGCATTATATGCCTGTTCAACATTGCAATTGGAACAAAAATATCCAGTTGGACGACTGCCCCTCAGAGTGCTTTCAAAACAAACGGCAAGAAAAGAGACGAAAACGAAATACTGCGGAAATTACATGTGGCACGCATATCTAATCGTATGGTCATATCATTGAGGACTTGTGCATAAAAAGAGTGCTAGAAGCACCATATAAAAAAGTAGTGGATGTTTAGGAGTGAGTTTATAAAAAATAAATCAACAAACAAAACAGTCAAAAGAAGACTGGCTGAGGGCTACTCAACATTGCTGTTGGTCCTTGCGATTAGCCATCAGTCGTATCCATGGTTTCTAGAGCAGAGGCAGTCATTGCTGCCAACTTTGCAGCCTTTCTCTCGGCTTTAAAAGCTTCTATTTTGGCTTTCGTCTCCGTATCTAAGATTGGCAAGGAAAAAAAAGAGGGAAGATGTCAGTCCTGGTATTAAGAGTATGGGCGAGAATATTTGGGTGAGGATTCGATAAATAGTAAAGACTCACCAGGAATAACGTCCTCGATGCTCAATGGGGCCCGATTGAATGGATCATTTGGGTCACTGAGAAGATGGGATCGAATGGTAGAACGATCAATGGAAACCTTAGAGCTAGGAAGAATAACAGGATCTTCCATGAGAGTATACACCAAGGGATCTGTTTTTGAAAGGATATACGTCAGCTAACTGTGGCAGCAGAGAGAAATGGCTAACGTTGAACAAACCTAGGAATTCGTCAGGAATATCTCCAAGATCCTCTTCAGCTTGCTCATCGGCTTCCTTGGCAACCCTGAATTTGGTCTGCAGCTGTTCCCACTTGGAGAGGTCCTCCTGCGGTTTCAGTGCCCATTTACGGAGAATTTCAGCTGCTTTTTCAAAGTTCGACGGCTTATAGGATCGGCCATCACGGGCAACAGCCACAACAAAGTTTTCTTTGTCCATAAGATTCAGGTACACATCGACAATCTCACTTAGAAGCGACCTCGGTTTGAAGCCATACTCTGCCAAGTTGTCAACCCGGAGGTTTGCGCTCTTGGGGCCAACCATAGCGTCTAAATTGTAATCCAACATGTCAGCAAGGCGCTGTACGATCTCGGGCATTGTAAATGAATCAGCCAATGCCTCCGTGAAGAGTTTAAGCATTGCCACCGTTTCATTTGTAAGCTGCATATAAGATTTCGCTCGGCCTTGTGCCGCAGCGAGTTGTTCTTCCTTTTGTTGGCGAACATTTTGCTCCATATTAGATCCTTCGCGCCTAAGCTCAACTTGCAGATCATGAATCGTCAAGAAAGCCGTAAAGGATTCATCGAGCACAAACGTAACATCGTTCAAAAGGAGGTTAACAAAGCGAACGAAGAAGTCAAGGTTCCAGTTGGCTTCATTATGAAGCTTGTCTCGGTAGACAGGATTCGGCCAGATACATTGGATAATCTGGAAGATCTCGTATCGAATATTAAACTTGTCAAAAAATTGCGTATGTGTACCTGTAAACTCCGCTTCTATGTAAAATTTCATCAACGCGTGAAGTAGATGCTCTGTGGCGAAAGGTAAGGAATTGAGGAGGTCAACAAGAACGCCCCTGGAACCATTACGCCGTCGCCAGGTCCCTCTGTAGAGTATCGTAACCAATCCAGCTTTGAGATACGGGTTTTTGATATACTCCGAACTCTGCAGAAATGTGATGCACAGCATGATCAACTCATCACCTTGCGTGGAGGTTACCACATGAGGCATACTCCACATGATGAATTTGAAGCTGCTGACAACATCATCCACGAAGTACTCGGGGAGACATTTGAAATTCTCTGGTTGCTTTTCAGGAAGCGGTAGTTTCAGAGCCTCCGTCGGGAAATTACGACCTGATGCAATTCTCAAGAGCCAAACAATGACGTATCGCATAACTTGCATAGACCGGGCCTGCCATATATCGTCTAGTAAGATGCCTTGTAAGGTGTACTTGAACGAAAGTCCAAGATCAAATTTGTCTTTGTACTTTTTCAACGCGTCTTCAAACATTCTGAGCTGAATTGGATTAGACTTCCACTTATGTCTCTCAAGTTCCAACTTATCAATTTGGGTTTCCATATGGCGAAGGTCTTTCTCCAGTTGCTCTAACTTTGCCGTTAACGATTCGCTACCATAGTGGTGAGCAGCGACAGTCAAGAAAAATATTTCAGTAATGAAATTTGATGTTCCTTCCTCGACTTGGTCATAAAATGCATCCGAAGCGTGCTGGTCAGCATTAATCTTGGTTTCATCTCTCATATTGACTCGAGGATTCCGTTTTAGATAGCCGATATCAATGCGATCAATCTAACAAAGTCAGCAAAACATGTATTCTAACCACTAACAGCGGCAGGGGGGAAATTAGGCACCTTTGTGAACGCAGCATCCATAAAGGGCTCACAGAGTTGGTCGAGGCATGTCGTGATGTTAAACATAAAGCCATCCGAAGAGACTGTCTTGTGATCAACTTGAAGTGCTCTTCTCTTGTGGTTGAGGTTAACGGATGCCGCAAACCAGTCAAGGACTCGTTCCCTTGCGGATTTCGAAGCTCGGATAAGCTGGTTGATGATATCCAACAGATCTGAACTAAGTAATTGTTGCATCATGCGCACGGCTCTTTGTGAGTTGACTATAAATCCATGGTCCCGAGTTTTGGGGCTTGAAAAGTAATTGAGTGGCACATCACGTTGCAAAGGAGAGAGGCGAAACCAGGGTCCAAGAAGTGTCGCAGTTTCGAATTGCTCAGCATTGACAGAAGTGTTCAACAGCTCTGACTCAGTGATGGCGACAGCCAATGGAGGAAACCGGACAAGGTTTCGCAGTGCCTATCATAATACTGAGCAAAAAAATTAGATGGCAGAGTATATTATTCAACATACCATCACATAGGGTTTGTAATCCATGTTCAAAGTTAAGCTAGAAAGGTCATGGCTCATTTCTTCAACAGCTCCAACGAAAGCAGGAAGAATCGTTTCATCTTCATTCGATCTCTTAACGGCTTCTGTAATAAAGTCGTGACATAGCCCCAAGTCATCCTCTGGATCTCGAAGGAGATGAGGTTTGAGCGTAGAAGATGGAGGGGTCCCAAGGCTAGCAAATTTCACTAGTCAGTTGCGAGCTTATCGGAATATTTCTGGATGGCACATACCCAAACATCTCCGGAATTGTCGCCGCAAATATACAGTAACTCATGCACAGTCGTCTTGCCTCCGAAACTATGACATACTTGCGGTCATCCGCGTTCTGCTTTCGGAATCCTTTATACAGCCTTGTTACCCTCTTCCAACATGGAAGCAAGTATTCCATGGGTTTGCCATTGTCGGTGTTAGATGCAGCTTCGAGAAGCGCCTGATCTAAAACGTCAATATTCATACGGAGTGCCTGGCCCTGCTCCTGAAGTTCTTGCACGAGCCCAACGAGATAACTAAGTTTCTGCCCTTGAACATCAACACGTCGACTTTCATCCAGCGTAACTCGAAAGACAGCTCTCAACGTCTTGTCCTCAAAATCTTCAACCGTTTCACTAGATCGTGGGGGCACTCGAGGCGTGGTGGTACCGGACACATCGGGAGACTTCGCCTTGCTTTGTGACGGCTGAGCTCCGATTCGTATTCGAGGTGCCTCTTCGTTAGGTTGCCGCATATCTGACTGTGATGATGTTGGCGGGTATGACGGAGCTTGGTTGCTTGAAATATTGATCTGCGGTCTCTGGGATGTAGGTTCTCGGACAGGAGAGGAGGTTATGGCTTCCGAATCGTTGTCACCAGACGGCGACTGGGAGCTGGATTGAGTTGTACTTGAAGCTTGGGATCCAAGCTTGGCCAGCCGTTTGTTGCGGATCTTGGAGCGGTAGCAGTCAGCGATGAATTCAAAGAAAATGGCCATGTTGCGAATGTCGAGCCTTGCGGTTAATAATATATGGGTATGCGCATAGGAAGTACCTTGTCCGCATCAATAGAATCCGCCATAATTGAATTCCGGCTTCGCTGCGTCAGGTATATATATCGAACAAATTCAGTTTATGTAGAACGTCCTCGCACAGACGCAGTTGAAACAAACAAATGGCAGAGGGTATCTGTGTAATTATGTATGCCTTCACAAAGCATACTCTACCGTCGCTACAGCGGGCAAAGTGTCTGATGCCTGCTGATGATGCTTGACTAAGCCAATACCTCATTCCCCGCGAGGACTTTATCCGGCACTAGCCTAGAATAGAAAGATCTGCCGACCTCAGTTCGCCATATGTTTACAACCAGCAAAAAGAAAAATTACCAGAAATTATATTATATGTTAAGAAGTCAAGCGATAAAAATGTTCGAATTATTTACAATATTCAAGGGAAGAAAAACGAAAGCAAAAATAGAAATGGAAGAAGAAAATGTGAAGAGGAAATGAGCACAAAGACATGTATCCCTGGGTCATGATGCTAATCGCGGAACGCCAAACCCCAATCATACACAAAATGAAACAGAATATTATTGTCTATTTATATCATTAGCAATAAGGAGCACATATGAGGAAATGCCTAACAAGTCCGCCCCATTAAAGATTTAGCGAATTCAACTTCTTGCAACTCCGAAGCTCCAACGAACGTGCCTCCTTCAGCTTCTCAACGTCAGGGAAGAACCAGCCCTGAGCATCTTGTATCATCTGGTCGCGCGCTTGAACTTCTCTTTCGCAGTCATACCGTAGGTTTGATACATAATCAACCTCGACTTTGTGGTCGAGCTGGTAGAATTTGCGCGCACTGAAATCTTCCACCTCAGCGGGATTTATGAAATAGTCTAGTCTGAGTTTCGGTGTCGTACGGTGCATTGTATGGGGAGGCACAGCTTTGTCGAATCGGAGAGAAGGTCCGGAGGAGGTTGAGCCGGAGAACAGAGAGGTGAGGAGCGGGAGGAAGAATATGAGGAGGATTGGAATGAACTGTGCAAATGATGCCAAGCCAGCAGGGGGAGCCTGGGCACCTGACTGATTCTCTGCCTCACGAGGTCTTCGTCTGGGTCGTGAGCCGCCAAATTGATGAACTCGGATATTGGGGCCGCCTCCCATATTAAAGACAAATTGAGGGCCAGTGTCAAACATTCCCCCTCCTATTTGCTTTAATTAGTAACTGCATACTCCCACAATGGGACTGATATAAGATAGGACTTATTACCAAAAGGACCAAAGCCGCCGCCTCCAAAAAACCTGTTGAACAACTCCTCGGGAGATATTTCCTCATCAAACATTGGCCCTCTACCCCTCCCTTGAGGGAATCCGCTGAATCCGCTGAACGGTGAAGATGACGATGAAGCCCCCGGTGAAAATCTATTATCGGGATCTCCGCCGAACTTATCGTATTTCGATTTTTTCTCGGAATCTGATAGTATTTGAAACGCTCGGGATACCACTAAAATTAACCGAAAGAATGCATTAGTCGGGCTCCCCAAATTGTTGAAGAATGCCTCCATATATATTTTCAGACATAGGCTATATCCGGCGAAATTCAAACTATCGGATGGAATATTTGCCGAGATTGAAACATGAACATAAATTGAACATACTTTTGAAAGCCTCGTCCGCTCCGTCAAACCCATTTTTATCAGGATGTGTGAGTAAACTCAGTTTCCGATAAGCCTTCTTTATCTCTCCATCAGACGCAGTCTTCTCTAGAGCTAGAATCTCATAGAACGCAGTCGGCGAACATTTCCGAACACGTAGCACTGCCGCTTTCTGTTCTGGAGTGAATTTCCGGTCTTGGTTCCCTTGGTTATGTTCTCTGGATTTCGCTGAGCCGTTTGGCTTTGCATCCGCGCCGGACGCCGTCGCAGATGACATCTTATTTCTATTATTCTAGTCGAGTTCTTCTTAAAATAAAATATAGAGAAGGCAATTGGAAGCGGAAGGAAACGGGGGAAGATATAAATAATAGGCGGTAGGATGCATAAGACCACAACGGTCATGCACGATCTCGGCCACAACGAGCGAAGGGGTGGTTGTTACCGTTCCGCATATAACGATGGAAGAGTTCGCGGTGTATATTTTCGAGTGCTAGTGGAGTTGCGCTCCAGATAACCCGTAAAACAAGAATGGGGCAAGTTAAAACGTTGATGTCGCGCATTGGCGACTCTAAGGTTGGGACCATCGTGGCTTTGAGATCACGTGAGAATAAGCCATGAGTCCAAGCCGCTTTGGGACAACGTAGATCAAAATTGAAGAGTGTTACGTTGTCGCTCATTCATTCCCGTGGGATGAATTTTATCGATTTTGTCCGGAGTCGAACTATAGAAACGGCTCCTGAAGCCATAATCGCCATGGAATTCCTTGCGCATTATTGCTGGATGCGTAGTTGCAAATCGCATAGTCGAGGTTGTTTGGAGTAAGTAGGGATGCTAACTGTGTCGCGGTTGTTAAGCGCGAACTTGCTACAATCAGCTTAAACTTTTTGTTCACCACCTCCGCCCAACGAACTTTTTGGAGATGTAATACGTGATTTTGATGCAACATAATCTTATCCACCATATTTCTGGAAGGACGGGCGAGCTACGATGACGCGTGAAGAAAGTGACCCTCCATCCAAAAAATCGCTAATGCAACATGCGCGCGCATGGGGAGGTGAGTAAATCCGCCGCCTCTCCCCGCAAATCCCTACCCTGTTATAATGCCTACCCTCATTGATGGGTTTCCATTCGGATACCCGGGTAGTAAATTTCCAGCGCTAACTGGGGCATCGTATTCTAGAGAACCCTTTCCCACCTACTCTCCTCGCAACGCTTATCGCAGCCCAGCATATGCGCCCCTTCCAGCCCCTACCGATGCTATTCCCACCAGCTCTTTTATTCACAACATACCTCAACCTACTAGACTACAAGGTTGATGCCGCCGGCATAAATGCTGCATGGTCAGGCTTGTATTTGCTCCTGGCTGCGAAAAGGAAACAACCGTTCATGCAAAAGTGGGGAGCTAGAGGGATTGTGAGGGGTGCTGCTATCGGTTTTGGGTTTACTAACATGGTTAGTGGTGGGCTAGTTTATATGCTTGGAAGGAGGAGGGGGGATGACGGTGAAGGACTAAGTATTTGAAGAAATTATAACTATTCGGGATGGCATTTTGAAATTTTATTGTATTATATCTGACTATATTAACCTCATAGTTATGGCATTGGTGGTGTTATGTGTATGTACAGTAAAGCATGGGATTTTTTTGGTGCAGGTTCAGCTTCTCCATAGTTGGACACATTTGTTTGACGGGTTCGGGCGTTGGCCTTGGGCTGTTCGTATCGTTCATATAATATCCGCCTGCTGTTTAATTATATCGTCGCTAGTATGTCATAGTCCAGGTCATGCGAGTATTCGATTCTCGGATTACATGGTCTATCTAGAGGTCGTTGAAGCATTGTCATAGCCTCGATGTTTAAATACAACCGCTATAACCCCATCGGCCGAGAAGGGATGTGACAATTCGTCGCCGCTGATGCCCGCCAGAAATTCACAAAGACTGCACGTGTACCAGTGGATGCTTAGGTGTTGTAAATCATTCCATTTGAAACCCTCGTACTTCATGAGCTACCATACAATCTCTGGGATACTACCCAGTCGCAGATATCGGGTGTGACAAACTTCTCCAGTGCGTTGACGTCATTATTAACAGCAGCATTTCTTGCTTTCGTAGAGCTCACAGCTTCTTCTCCAGTTTTCGCTCCTTCGACTAGCTCGATACGCTGAGCCCATTCTCGCTTGCCTCCATCAGATTCCCTTGCCCCTTGAGCCAGATTCTGCAAGAATAATTCCTGATCCTTTCGACCGCCCCACTCAGAATCAGGCCTGAACGTCACCCTCAGTCGATGCTGAGCAAAGAACTGACTTAGAGGTTGGAGAGTATGTTCGGGGGGATAATATTTGCAATCAAATATTCGTACTAGTGTATCGTATCCCGTAAGTAGGATCTGTTCAGGTGAACCGGGATAGAAGTTCGACGTGGATATGGCTGCTGCTTTGTCTATGAAATATGGCAACTTTGTTATTCCGATGTCCACAGTTAGGGCTCTCTGTTGATCTCCCTGTACATTATCATTGTGGACGCTGACTTGTTCGAGAGCGGACTGAATGTCTTCAGCAAATATCCGCATCATGACGAGGCGATCCTCAAATGAAGCCGGCTTGGAAGCCTTGTCGGCATTCTGCGTAGCGAGAAGAAGCAGGAGTCTGACAGATGATGTATTGTCATGCTGGAGGAGGGCAGATTTGGCAATGTTGAGATGAGCACGCGTTGGGGGGTTGAAAGATGAGTCTAACACATATAGCTTGGCTGGCCGTCCCGCTTGGGGTTTGCTTACAGGCACTGTATCCAGAATGTGGAAAACATCTGAAGATGAGATGAAATTCTGGAGAGAGGCATGATATGTTTGCCGCAGGTGATGCAGAGATCGAACTTGAAACTTTGTCGTCATTGAGGATAAGGGCCGTCAATGCTATCACAGAAAATCAAGAATCGCACTGGTAGCCGTGAGGATTGTCATAGACAGGAGTTTTATTCTAAAACAATTGTTGGCCCAAGTAATTTTCGTTTTACCTGGCGGTATTGGCATAAATAATTCAACAACTAACCTTGTGTAAATGTTATATTTCGCCCAAGTCCCAAGTCAAAAATAAATAATTAAAGACAAACCGAATAACTTCATCGTTATTGCATCTGAAAATAAAATATTTTATGATGCAAATCCATACTTTTGCCGCCAGAACCCCACAGTCCAGACGCGGCGCCAATTGCCGCGCGGCTCCAGCATAGGCATCGCTTGGCCATTGGGTTACTGACGTTGAAGAATCTGATTTTAACCAGTCTATGACACCAAAGACTCGTGAATATCCTAGTCACAATCACGCGATCCATTTTTCTGACGGCCACCTCGGTTCCAGGAATACGCTGGTCGATGAGAGCGGTCATATTATTGCGGTTATAAAACATGCACTCTTGTGGGAGGCTTTACCACTACGCAAAAAAGGATTAACCCTTAAGGTAGCCACTTATTCCTCAAGATATATATGTATATGGATATGCATGATTCATACCTGAGTCCCCGGATGTTATGCAGATTTTCACAGACTTGCCGTTGAAGAAGCAGACGCCTGAGTATCTGGACCTTCTCCGTTCCATCCTTTTGTGTCTCTATAAACAGGAGCCATCTTGCCATGGTCCACGTTCTGAGCCTCGAACCGCCTGACCCGCGCTGGGAGACCATTCATTCGCTGACCTCGCCTACTTGAGTGTGTCGCTTCTACTTTTGTTGGACTTCAAGGTATGAAATGAAAATTATAAACTTAACTCTGTGTTAATTTGTGTGAATTCTCCTGTAACCTCCAGGCTGGTGGTGAAAGTCCAATTTTACCCATTTCATTTGGCGCGCGTATTTAATCGTTATACAGTCGTTGGTTTTGCTTGCACCGTATATCTGCTTGAACCCCTCCCTTTTGCCGCACACCTGGACAGCTGATATCAAGTTCATCAATCGCACCTGTTATCAATGTATGGTCTCACCATCATTCCCGAGGCAAAGATCTTTGCGTTTCAAGTGTTGGCGAGGTAAAATGACTCTGAAGCAGCATGCCGCAAGTGTAACAGTCAAGACACATAGCTGCACTGTTTTCTGACACTAGGGAATCTGTGCAGTTGCCTAGAAACGTGACTCGAGAACAACGACCAGAATAGTGACTCACTCACTCATGCACAATGTATCCCCAATGGAAAAGTCTGGCGTTGCGGCTTGGACTTGAGAACGACTTGCAGTAACATCCCCAGTTGGGTGCTATAGGTTGGCTAATCGCGCGGTTCTAGCTCGTGCGCTGCCGGCCTATCATGGACTTGTCAGCCTCGTCAGCCTCATCAATAGCATTGCTCAACTTGGTTCGTTGCACTTGCGCCATGCTAGGACAATTGCTGAAGCGCGGATGAATTCGAATATCAGTTCCGAAGCTTATTTGGCTTACTGGTTTGCAATAACTACTTACCCTTTCCGAGGAATTAAGTGGAGTTCCTTCATCTGACAGTATTCCGCTTCTCAATTGCTTGTCTATATCAAGTATATCAAATTACTTCATACAATCTGAATTAGTCCTCACAATTCATTATCTAAATATTTATGGAATCGCTATTGCTTAGCTAGGGGCCCTGGCCTGATGCTGGGTTACAACGGCCACTTCTCCGGCACAGATTTCCATTCCTACAAGTCTTTCCAACGATGGTTGCCGCATCTTGTGCGGCGTGGGTGAGCATTGGAGGACACCAAGCTCATGCGCGACGTCGCGATCTACTTCAACATTCCATGTGACGTAATTGGCAATATTTTTCATGCGTCAGGCCACCCAAAATTTCGCCATTCAGCAGGTATGACCTATTGAGTAGTGACTATTGTCGCCGGCTCTATGCACGCTGCAATAGCCAACCGAGCTGTTGGTGAGACTGGCGATATCGCTGCCCAAGCTACAACCAACGAGTCGAACGGATGGGATCGCTAAAACTGGATTGGGGACGCGACGTGCTGCTGGAATTTATGGATAATATCCAATAACCCGGGAGAGACTCGACTCTAGTAAAGGAATGGCGGACATACTCATTCAGTATGCATGTTAGAAACGAGGGAATAAAATACCGTAACGCGCATTATTTCAAGAGCCATCTGTTCTTGTTTTGTTTAGGGAAAAACGGAGAGATAGTATTTTGTCCGAATCATTTAATTTCGATCTACCCGTGGATGTTGTTATTTCTCCTTTGTCTGTCGTATGATGGCACGGTTCGCATGTTTGTATGTTAGTAAACAAACCACCAGCAAACCCCGTACGTGACATGTAGGGATCAAATGTCCCTTCGGAGCTTTATATGAGAAATATTAACTGGGCTTGTTGAACCATGGCAATATTATATCCTCATGCTGTTCGAGCAATTATGTAGAGTACATGTAGGACCGCGTCTGGTAGTATCGCATTTCTAGTTCCAATTCAAGTGGGAAATGCCGTGGGTCGGGAAATTTTCGCCTGGATATATATTAAACTTCCCAAGGCCTAGCTATGCATGGAGGCGAGGGCCCCATGCGATGATGGAGGTCAGGCCCATGGTTCGAGAATCAGCTTTTGAAAAATGGCAGCGAATTGGGACCTTCGCTGCATGCTTCTGGCGCAACCTGGATACTATAAGTAATAACGTCAAGCAAGGACTTTGAATTGGAGAGCACGACTGTATAAGGGGGACGAAATATTGGTATGCCGGATTGAGCACCGCAAGCTTGATCCAGATCTCCCGTTCTTCATGGATCCAGAACGTGCTCCAGTAGGTCCAATACAAGCGGCTGGCTGGTTCGCCGTCCATCACCATCACAGACAAACGACCACCAACACGCCTTACAAAATTCAGTGGTCCACGCCACGCGCATCGCGATGTGTAACTGGTGTTGCTGGTTGTGGGCGGGCACAACGCAGAAGCAAACGCAGGACAGATTTGGAGGGGAATTGCTCCACAGCAAGCCGCGTTCATTTTTTGAAACAAAGCTGGTTGTTGCTCAGGCCGAGCCTGTGGCATTCCTACAATTTTTCGCGTCCAAACATCAGCCGGAACATTGAAACGAGCGAGGATCAGTTACTATATAAATAATAAATAAATAAATAAATAAATAGTTACCCCAGTGCTACGGGTGGCTCGTCACTGCTTCATTAGTGGGCTCCATTGCGTTTAGACATTCCGGCTACAAAAGATAACTCTGCGCATTGAGACTCCTTCCAACAACTTGCATGATGGCGATGATGTCACCGCTACGGCAAATCTCGACGCTGTGATTGGCGAGGCTGACTAGTCAGGGGCACCGAGTATAAAATCCCCAACAAGCTGGGCCGTGTCCCATCCAGAAACAAACATTCCCAGGGAACCTTTTGTTTCATCAATTCGCACCAATTGTGATACGGCGTCCCAGCTGAGATCTATGGAGCTCATAGTGGAACTGGTGCTGTTTATGGAAACTGTATTCGAGTTTCAGATATTCCGACGCCCAATGCTTCATACTGTGCTGCTTTGGTTGGAACATCATCGATCCACTCGGTCAACTTACAACGGTTCGATTAACTGCAAGACCGTGCCGGAACATGAACACAACCTTTATTTTGCTTTCACTCACACACACATACTCACTCACTCACATACACACACTCTCTCTCCTCTCCTTTTCCCGCCTTCGGTTTTGGAGCTCCACGAAGCGAGAGAGAGCGGCCATCCAGAGGTAATTTATCGTATAGTAGTTTCGCTGTCAAACACCAACACCAAAGTCCGTTGAGCTCGAGAACCAATGGGCCCCTCTCTCTCCGTGCGGTCCCTGCAATTAAATATTAACTTTACTTTAGATGCCCGACCGCACTTTCCAGATCTTCCTGTGTGAGGTTCGCCGTTCCGGACCCCACAGTACATAGAGTCGGAGACTGGAACGTGCAAATCTCTATCACTCATGAATAATATTTCATGAAGAGTGGGATAATTCAACGAATCAGAGGCATTTGCCACCTGCGGGCCGTGCTGTCGAATGGATCCCCGTTATATCTCTCCCAAAACTGGGTCTGGAAATGAGTTTACGTCTCATCCAGCATGGGTTGAGTTGGAGTTTGGCCCCAACGTGGAAGAAGAGTACGGATTACTGATAGGAATGCTCCGCTTGTCGAGCGGCCGAAACATTGTCCCACTTCCTGGAATCAAAACAATATCTGAGACTTTTTTTTTGACTTTCCTGCTCTCTCGAGCTTTTTTTATCCTCCACCTCCTCTCCTTTTTTTTTCAACTTTTCAATGTTTTGTTTTCACGTTGTTTTCGAATTTCCCTGTTCTACATTCGTTTAGAAACCTTCGCGCGACTAGGTCGTTTTCCCTTCTTCCAATTCAAGTCATTCGTTATAAGCTGGTCCTCGCGAATAGATTTCGCGGTCATTTCATTGACTTGATTGCGATACCTATATTGTTCTTTCGTGGATAGGAAGAACATTCAAGAGGGGTCTCTCGCTTTCCAATCGAATTTTGGAGTTTATTTTCAGTGGCATTGATTGCCAAGTCATCTTCAAAATGGATTTCATCCGCAAGTTATCCATCGCTGTTGCTGTAACTGCGGCAGCTCTAACTGAAGCTCATCCTTTGAACCAATTTGGCTACCGTGATTATCCGGCTCAGTCCAATGGCAATAACGAATCTTCTAGCTTGGTGTATTCATCAAGCCAACCACCCATTCTACCCATTTCCTTCAGCAGCAACTCCACATCTGGGTCCTCAACCAGTGTTCCAACTAGTTACACTCTACCGGCTAGTGTATACATCGGCCCGTTGACCACTACAACTGCCGCAAGGAAGAACATCTCCATGCCACAAGTCCTCAAGCCTGCTTTGACCACAGGTGGACCCCTCACCATTCCGGCTGTACCGTTAAACACCACCACGTCGACAGTTACAGTGACTTACAATCTCGGAAATAGAACTCGGACCTCCAGTATCACGCGAACTTCAACCATTGGTCCAACTCCGGTATGTCTCTACACTTCAAGAAACAGAAATCACCCGTACTGACTTAGATATTCTAGACTCCTGACCCTGACTACATTAATTTGTCAACAACTTGGACAAGTACTACGACTATGACTGTGCCAGGAAGCCCAGGAAGCCCGGGAAGCCCAGGAAGCCCAGGAAGTCCGGGAAGTCCAGGAAGTCCAGGAAGTCCAGGAAGTCCGGGAAGCCCAGGAAGTCCAGGAAGTCCAGGAAGCCCGGGAAGCCCGGGAAGCCCAGGAAGTCCAGGAAGTCCGGGAAGCCCAGGAAGTCCAGGAAGTCCAGGAAGTCCAGGAAGTCCAGGAAGCCCAGGAAGCCCAGGAAGCCCAGGAAGCCCAGGAAGCCCAGGAAGCCCAGGAAGTCCAGGAAGTCCAGGAAGCCCGGGAAGCCCAGGAAGTCCAGGAAGTCCAGGAAGTCCAGGAAGTCCGGGAAGTCCGGGAAGTCCGGGAAGTCCGGGAAGCCCAGGAAGTCCAGGAAGTCCAGGAAGTCCGGGAAGTCCAGGAGGTCCAGGAGGTCCAGGAGGTCCAGGTGGACTTCCAGTCTCTGGATGCCCCCACACTAGTACTGTAACGGTTACCCTGAAGGAAACCGTCTTTCTGGTATGATTCTTTGTCGACTCTTTAGCACTATTTCTTTTTTCTGACAAAAACTTCAGTCCGCTAGTGCACCTCTTGCGTCGGTGGTAGTCACGCGAATTCCACATAACAATGATACATCGACCACTCGCCCAGGTGCTCCCTACTCTACCGGAATACTTCCACAGGCCCAACTTAGTGGTGCTTCTGGGTACTTGAGAAGCATGCGTCCGATGCCCTCCAGAGGCTTTGGCCATTGAAATCCCGTTCTGTAGCACAGCGCTGCTTGAAACTCGCTCCAAAAAAAAACCCCCTTGATGACTTGAGTGAGACTTCACAAGCCCTTAAAGCCTCAAGCGCAGGACACTCAGTGTGGACTGGTTTGCGCAGAGACGAACTCTTCATAACGAGATAATACTTGCTGTTGACATTTGCTTTTTCTTTTCTCCCCCTTCTTTCGTTTTTCTCACAAGACATCTGGGTTACGGTTACGGGGGCGTGGGATTTCGAGGAGGCAGGCAGGAGTTCCGGATATAGGGGCTGGTGTCAAGGAAAAAAAAAAAACACTACGCGCTGGGCTTCAGTCAGGAATTTCATGAACTTGTTTCTCGCGCAATCAAACCCCTTGGATCCCTTTCCCAGTCTTAGCCAGCAACGGTTATATATATTTGATGTGCTGCGACTACTCTTTATTCTCCCGATTTAATAGGAACGGCAGTAGGGGATTTGATCATGTGTCAAGAATCCATCTTCTACCAATTGCAAAATTAGAAAACCTGCTACCTTTGAGCCATGTACCTTTAGCTTTTCTTGTTATCTCTCACGGACCATCATAATCTGCCCCATTTAAGTTTATGGTAACAAAAACAGCAGCAGGCATTGTTGGTTTTCGAGGTTGGGTAATACACACACGCACACAGAGAGGAAGAGAGGGGGGGAGAGATGGCTACGCTCCTTAATGCAATCAAAATATACTAAATATATAATTAAATCAAAGGGTGGTATTATTTAAAAATGATATGACCAAAAAACATACATCGAAGTAATTTTTTTTCTTTTCCTTATTTTTGTTGTTGTGATTCCGACCAAGATTAAGATACGGACATAGTCACACTGCGTCAACAGTTGGATGATAGGCTAAATTGTAAAACAGCTGTATTCGACTGTCGCAGGTATCAAGCCAACCCGAATCAACCTCCTACCTTTGATGAGACTGCTTCAAGCCCGTAACGAGCGATTGTTTGCCGTGTATTCTGCCACTCTAACCATGTCATAGCTTGTAACAAGCAATCAGCGAGGTCGTCAAGTTTCCCAATTTCAAGTGTTTGCGAGCCATCCGCGACAGAGTGGGGGAGCATATTAGAACGAGAAGAAGAAATTGGCATGATAAAGTCCCCCCCAGTTTTCATAATATTTGCCTTTCTCGTCTTCTTTCCCCATTTTTTTAAGTAGGCATTGACTACCTCATTCACCTGACGGTCGGTGCTGAACTGTATACCAATATGGTCATCCAAGTTGGCTGGCTGTGTGCCGCTGACGTGTGATCCAGTACACGAGGAGAGAAGTCTGCCAATGAGATCTATTTTGATTTGCTTGCGCCTATTCGGAGACATCGATTGGGATATATGTTTCGTTGATGGGGCCGCTGTCCTTTTGGCTTTCGGTTCCGGGGAGAGATCTTCTTCGTCATCCATCCAGTATTTCATTATCCGTTGAGGTTCCACGCCTTGGATGACAATGTTGGCTACGTCGCCTTTCCGCTCCTGTTGTATTGCACGAAGAACTGCATACAGCATTCCTTCGAAAACGCCGACTCGAATGGTCCATTCCTGGACCGCACTACTCCCGCCAGATCTAAACCGTTGCCTTTCAATAAGGATGTGTGTTGGCTGATACGTTGCGAGGAGAGATGACATGAGGGTGTATGCATGTGCGGCGTAGAGGTTGGGAGCAAATGATTCTTTCTCCTGCTCGTTTTGCAACACAATTCCATCACACTGTCCAGCGTCAAGTATGTCGAGTGCTTTCGTTTTGCGCCCTTTGGCTATCTTGCCTTTAGGTTTCATTTCCTCACCCATGTGAAAATCCAAAACTGAATTCGATGCAAGCGAAGAAACAGATAAGCGACACCACGCGTTTAAAATAGGAGAGCTCAACACCCCAGCCTGGCGCGGAGGAACAAGCAAGTGGGCAAATGCTAAGTTTCGAATGCCCATGTCAATACTGAGGATTCTCGCCGGTTCTTTGTCGCTCATGAATGTTTCTTCTAGGCTAGCGTTTTGGGCGACGGGCCGTGATTCACCGTGGAGAACCCGATCCAAACGCTCTATGAGGACCGGCTTGGTACCTGAAGACAATATTCCCATCAGAGAAGCAAGCCGCTGAAGCTGGCGTACTTTAAGGGAAGGTAGCCATGTCGTAGGAGATGCGGGAGGGGCCATATATCCTCAGGCCTTCCCTGCACCCCAGGAGTGAAGTAATATGCAGTAATATTTCGCAGAATATTTGCGGGTATATCCTCATTAGTTGGATCAATAAAAGGAATATCGCCTTATATATGTTTTTGCATCGAGAATATAGAGGATGGCGAATGTGAAGTCCAGTCCAGCCCAAGTGGAGGTTGGCTGGTGCAATTCTCTCCTTCACCTCTGCTGGGGATCAGACGGTTGAACTTGTCAGCTACCAACAGCCCTTTTTATCGCCGCGCAATCCAGTTAAGGCCATTGTTTTTACCAACCATCTAATTCCTGTGGCCTTCAATTATCATGAATGTTCTGCTTGTTTTTAATTCTCTGTGTCTTGTTGTGGTTAGACGAGGCGTGATAAACTAAACTGCTACACGCGTCTCCCGCGCGGCTAGCTATCTCACACCCAACCAACCTCTACAGCGTAGATTTAAATCTTCTACAGCCACGGGATGTCTGCCATGTCCCGGAGCATATATCGAGGCATCGGGCCAGATACATTATGGGAAGCTCTCTCTCTACACGATCAAATTGATCTGCTACGGGCTCGTTGACTCGCGGTTCAAAGTTGACTTGCGGCCATATTTGATTGGAGCTCTTCAGCGCCTCATCTGAGCTCTATATCTATTGCATCTGATCCTGGCATGGGATGGCTTGTCTTCCTGCTGCTAGGCCGGGTTCCTTTGGGTCACAATGCCACCACTCAAAACTCAAGGTCTCTCCAGCATAGTATAGCATATAACCCCCAGGTAGTTGCATTTTTCTGTGATTCTGGCTCCAACCTGCGACTTTATATTGTCATAAAAGTCTAGGATCTCAACACTTGAAGTCTCCCCAAGCCAGTCGTTGAAGATTCGGTCCATCCACGATAAAGAAGGAAACCAGAGGACCACAATGTGCCTTAATTCCTGCGCCATCTTTCATACCTAGGATTGGCTGCCCAACGTACCCAGGGCAAACATATTTGGCCAAGCAAAATCGGTAACTAACAGCATTTTTAGAACCCCAAGATCCTAATCCGTTCATTTGAGCTGGCTTTGGTCAATATCATACCGCCAACGTTAAACCGGGTGGTGACTTGGCGCGCTAAGGCAACGCTGAACACGAAATAACCCCGCGGCTCAGCCCCAGCTCTCGGACATTTTGCCCCTCGAAAACATAAAATAACAAGGTTTATTTTATATGCTTCTCTCCCTTGTCTGCGGAGCGAGAATCTACTGTTTCTTGTTTAGTGTTTATTTATTTATTTTCCGACCAATCTAGGTTAAACCGCCGCCGTTATTTAGGCTCGACCAGGGCTGAAAGCTGCCTCAGTAAACCGAACGGGAGTTCTCGAAGATCAAGCAGAATGAAAGAGAACACGCCACTGACTGTTCCTCTCGACGACCATGGCTTCAGCCATGCAATTCGCGAATTGAGGAAGTCCTCATCCATTGTAAGTACCAGGCGTCCTGCGACACTTGCCTCCGAGAGGGAGAATGGTGGGTGAAGGTTGTTCAATTCAAGTTCCCTTGGAGGCAGATCCAGTATCAACCGATGTGACTACATATTATTGGCATTTATATATCTTCAACAACAGAGCTCTTGCCTAATTTAGTCTTTGATCATTACTTTTGAGACTTGCAGGAGCTAATACCTCAAGCAGCCAGCGATACCGAAGCAAATTCTTGTGCCGCGCACACGTCGAGGGAGCCACGGTATTCGGTTTCCTATTGTTTCCATACTCGTACTCTCTTACCTCTGCAGCATATAACTAATTCTGCAGATGAGAGCTCGCTTCCCCCTGTTTTTAAGGTGTGGGTGGACAATGCGATGGAAAGTTTGCTTGAACAAGAAGATACGGACAAGAATTTGCAGATTACCATTCTTGACAATGGGCCAAAGGTAGAGAGATGGCCATATCCCTTGTACTTATTTTTGAAGGCGAGGATCTTTCTAAGCTCAATCTTAGGTAGTCTCTCTGGGTACCTTTCTCTCCGACGGCGGCCGGACGCGGGAAATCCGCGGCACATATCTGCTTGCGAATCTACTCGAGGAGCTACATTTGACCAAGGGCAGACATGCATCGAAGCTAATCCACTTCAATGATGTCTCCGAAGATCCGGTTAGCCGTATCAATCGCAAAATTAAGGACCAATATTGGAACAACCTAACCAGGAGGCTAGATGAGTCTATGATTGAAGTTGCTGCTAAGGACCCCAAGGACTGGAATGAGGACCCGCGCCCACGGATCTTTGTTCCATATGGTGAAGACAAACTCTACGAGTATTACTGCCAAGCTTCAAAGAACAAGCCTGAATTAAAATTGGAGGTGCAGTACCTTCCCCAGGGAGAAATTACGGCCGACTTCGTCCACGGGCTTCGAGATCGACCAGGTCTGCTCGCACTCGAGATGGACTATTCAAATCCAGATAAGCTGCAAGGACTGCAGTTTATAGTTCCCGGTGGTCGATTCAATGAATGCTACTACTGGGACAGTTACTTTGCATGCCTTGGCCTCCTCGAGGTTGGAAGGCTTGATCTTGTGCGAGATATTCTGTATAACTTTATATTTCAAGTGAAACATTATGGTAAGATTCCGAATGCGAATCGGTCATATTATCTTTGCAGATCGCAACCGCCGTTTCTCTCGGATCTTGCAGTGCGAACTTTCAAAATCATTGACAACAAGGAAGAGGCTGCTGCAGTGTTACGGGCTGGGATTCTAGCAGCCATCAGAGAATACTTCACCGTTTGGATGTCAGAGCCGCGATACGATCCAACTACTGGACTCTCCCGGTTTAAGCCGCCTGGTAAGGGTATCCCCTTGGAAGTCGAAGAAGGCCATTTCGACGCGGTTCTATACAGCTACGCGGAAAAATATGCTTGTACAATTCCTGAGTTTATTAACCAGTATAACTCTGGGAATGTGAATGAACCTGAACTGGATGAATATTTCATGCATGATAGAGGGGTGCGAGAATCGGGACACGATACGTCGTAAGTCAGCTACTTTGATATAGAGATCAGCCTAGTGTGTTTCTTCCCCCGACGATACTAAGCTACTTCATGCAGCTATCGATTCGACCAAGGTTGTGCGGACCTTGCTACCGTGGACCTAAATTGCCTCTTATACAAGTATGAGAGTGACATAGCTTGGGCCATCAAAAATGTCTTCAACGACAAGCTCCCCATCCCAGCCGAATGGCGCACGCCAGGTATGACAGATGACCACGTCGAAGCATCCGCATCCTGGCTCCAACGTGCCAGCCAGCGCCAGGAAAGTGTAAACAAATACCTCTGGGACCCTGAGCGGGGAATGTACTTCGATTACAACACAAAAACCCAGAAACGCACCACCTACGAATACGTAACAACCCTCTACCCACTCTGGTGCGGCATCGCCAGCCGCGAACAAGCCGACTCCCTCGTTACTAGAGCACTACCCAAATTCGAATGCGTCGGCGGTCTCAGCACCAGTACCGAGAAGTCGCGCGGCCCAGTCAGCATGCCTCACCGGCCACCGAAGCAATGGGATTTTCCCTTCGGATGGGCGCCGCATCAGATGCTTGCCTGGGACGGGCTGAAGAGATATGGCTATTTGCGTGAGATGGAAAGGCTCGTCTATCGCTGGCTGCAGCTCATGGTTCGGGTTGCGGTGAATTACCACGGGGCGATTGTGGAGAAGTATGATGTGACACAGCTAGACAATCCTAGCCAGGTCGATGCGGAGTATGGTAATCAAGGGCTGGATTTTAAATATGCGAATGTTGAGGGGTAGGTGTCTCTTTCCCTCCTTATTTTCTCTCCCCTCTCTCCGTTGTATCATTGCTGACACCTTCGTGACGGTACAGCTTCGGGTGGAGTAATGCTAGCTTCTCGTATGGGCTATCCTTGATTAGGCATCGGAAACTGATGGTGAAAGCCCTGGGCCTTTGTGTCCCTTACGACGATTTACGGATGGAGAACGCCCATATTTGACATACACAAAGATGTGTCGGCTGCCCTTGTTTCTTTTCTGCGGAAAATTATATACATATGATCGTTTTTGGGGAGAATTTCATATATATTTACACGCATGGGAACGATTGTTAATGACGACAAATGACGGCCACTAGGTACGTTTAGATTGGGGCTTTTGAAATACAACTACGTCATGGCTCGTGACACCTACATTTCCTGAAGGCCTATATGGCATTTTTTTTTTTCTGGTTTTAGATTAAATTTTTGTTTTCAAATTTCAATACCGACCTCTTATAAAGTTGTCTTCTTACACACAAATGATATGGTTGTGAGGGGAGAAGTAACATGGACTGCGGGAAAATATAGTCTCGTTGGTAATATCAATTTGGGCGATGGTTTGCTCTCCATCGGAACGTACAGAACAATATGAGGCGGGTGGGCATTTTATGCGTGAAATAATAATCGGGGCGGGATGGCCCATATTAACAGGAATGCAGAGAGATATACGATGATTCTGTGTGATGGAAGCGAAGCTATCAAATGGATATAGAAATTTTGCTCGAGCGAAATCGTTGCCATACAGACAAATCTGTGGGTTTATTCGTAACAGTCGTGAGTGCGAAAGTATCTCCGGAAATTAACTTCAGTTCTTACAGAGCGTGTCGGCCTGATGAAGTTCATCAGACTCGATCGATGCTGCAAGATCTTCGCAAACTACCATCCGGCATTTGTCATTCCATGGCTGAAGGAGATTTACCAGAGAATCATTCTGCGATGCACCCGAGACTACCGTGTATTCCAAGTGGCCATCACCGTCCTCCTCGTTGCCACCAAGGATTCGTTTCAGTTGTTTTGGAGCGTCGGTGACGTAAATCATATTCCAAGGGCTGATTATAAACGAGCCATCGACATTGCTGTAGAAACGTAGCATGCTTCCGGCCGGTTGAGTTTTCGAGAATCGATCGCCTGCAATACGCCAGTCAACGATCGATTGGAAAAATTGGGTCACTTCTAGAGCTGCAGGATTCGAAGGAAGTGGCGGGGCTGGGTCGCTCTCATCATCTGGGTTCGGATACTCTGATGGGCTGGCGCTGCCGTAGAACTCAGCGAGCAATAGCCCAATGGTTAACTGGAGCTTCTGGTTTAAACCTTCCAATACCGGATTTGCACTCTTCTCGTTCCGCTCCGCTTCCCTTCCAATAACCAGGACCCGTTGCCCTGCTAACTTGGTGGCCAGGGCATGTGCATCTGGCAATGGCGGTGCTGTCACGCTTGATAAAATTTGCGATTTCTGCCGCATGTTAAAACTCATCCCGCCAGGTACCCGCTCCACCTCCCAGGTTCCACCCACGCGGGCCGAGAGACTGCCGTTCACCAGTGCCCTGAACTGACGGTACAGCCGCTCTCCAGGCTCCCCCTCCGTTACGTATAGATGGGACCATTTCTTGTCACAGAGCGCGAGGATAGATAAGTCGACAATGCATGATGGGATGGCGCGGGCTGGGCGGACGAGGGAGTCGTAATTAAACCCTTGGTCGTAGCCTAGGAGAATGATGCGGATATCCACACGATTGATGTTGGATTTGTCTAGCAAGGATGTATCTCCAGAAAGCAACTCTTGCTGTCTTTGCTCGTTACATCCTAACAGTGAGTAGATGAGCGCGTAAGTGTTCAACAGTAAGTCCTGGATGGAGTGAAGGACATTTTCTTCGCATCCAGAGAATGTGCGTTGGCCTTGTCCTAGGGTATAGCCGGGGAATGGAAGCGCAATGTCGCAAGACGCCCGTGTGGAAGAGCGGGCTGCGAGGCGCTGGAGTCTTCGCAAGGCGGCGTCGAGCGGAAGGCGATAGGCGGCGGCGAGCGTAGCGGGGGAGGGAGGTTGCGGAGGTGGGGGCAGCAGGAGCAGGGCAGACAGCGTGCTCGTCCTGTTATTGTTGGCCATTGCTAGCCTTGAACATGCGATCGAAGATATGTCACCCTGTGTCGCCCTCGTGGAATGGCATTCAATATGACGCGAGAACAGTTCAATCGAAGGGAGGGAACGCCATTCGACACCTGACAGGGTTTGCTGCAGCCCCTGTTCAGGTGCTCGTGTCTGGAAGAGTTAGTTAGCCGCATGTCTCTTTGTCCCTTCGTCGCTGTTTGCGTGTGGGGGCGCTGGGACACCATGACACGCTCTCTTTGCCGAACTCCACAGCGGACTTGGGCCAGTTACAACTCAAGGCCGTGTTGTGGCTTTTAGTTACGACTGCGGAAGGTCTCTCTGCCTTCCCGCACTATCAGCAGTTGACTCGTGAATGGCGAACGGATTGTTTGGCCCGCTCTCCGCCGCTCGCTATATCCATCTCACATTGCCCCTACGTGGTTGGTCGCATTGAGGACGAAACAGAGTGAGCTGTGAACTTCTCATTGTTTCGATTTTTCAATCGCAGGACACTCGAGAGGCATTTGTCACGATGGAATTCTATCAGCCCCTTAGAACCTCAGGCTTCCGCTAACACTAGCACATGCATTAGCTTGAGGTTACTGGTCTCAATTTCAACAGTCTCTGTCGTTTTACCCAGTGCTAAGTGGTCATGTCACTACTAGTCAGTTTCGAGCTTTGATCCATGCTGGCCTTTGGGGCTGTGAGGGCATAAGGCTTGAAGTCCGTCAAACATGGGATCGTTGAGCCTCCTGAGGCCGGTTGCTCGAGAGGATATATGGTTTGCATTCAAGATGGATCGAACCAAAATTCCATTCCAATCGTCCGACAATCGCATCCAGAGGTCAATCCTATCCTTCATATATCTTCCCTCCTAGGCCACACTACAACTTACCACTTCAGATATGGCTACCGTGGATGTGGTCGAAATCACGGACACGATGACTGACACAGTCGTCGTCCATGGAAGAACAACGTCTGTTGCCTGTTATGTCTCCATGAATGACAAGCTGATGAAACCGATTTCGCTAACGTTCCTTACACAGTGGCGATGGAGAAAAAGTCACAGTAGCAACAGATGCTATGCTTCATCGTTTTGACAGAGACAGAGCAGCCCAGGTTGCCGCAGCCGAGATCGTACCAAAAGCACGAGCTAAACGGCATGCTGCAACGCTTGGTGCTATCCGAAGGCTGTATGAGGAGCGTAACAGCAACGGCATGAAGAACCTGGTTTTCTCTACGCTCTTTAATGGTTATACGCATTTGCCTTCCGATCAGGATCTCCACGACCTAGCTGTGGATCAATTTCCTCCCAGGGCGACGCTCAAGGCTCAGGTCTGCGATTTCTATCCGGACCACGCGGAAGTAAAAGAGGTCGCTCTTGGAGATATTGAATCCCGTATGCCCTTCCGTTTTTCCTTAAAATTGCTGCTCCTCGATGATCATTCGATATAGGCAATCTATTCTAGATCGACAAAAACAAGACATGCTGACTTTTCTCAAGAGTGGCAAGAAAAGCCTCACGGTGTTCAAGTTCGGTGGATGTAAGAGAACCTTGATCATTCCAGTTTGTGTAATGATCATACACTAATTAATATCAAATAGACATGTCCCAGTTGGCAGAGGAATTTATCATTCCGTAGGTTAAATGTTTCAACGACACTGGTCAGTTGGTTGGAATCGACTGCTGATTCCAAATATTATCCAGTCTATTGAGGACTTGTTTCGACACGCAAACAGTGAGGAGCCTCGCCCGTTTAAAAACGCTGGCCATGTTGGTTTTGCGTACGTCGAGCTGGACAATTTGAATTTTCGACATCGTGAAGAGGTCGAGGATCTCCGAGACACATACTGCTTGCTCTCAAGATTGGACCATCTATCTAGGTCTGCTCCTGATTCAACAGATGATGATTTGTCTCCCCAGACTTCCAAAACACCGACTGGGCCTGAGCCACTAGACTGGGAGTGTCATCGAGGTGATAGAAATCCAAAATTGCGAGGCGACCTAGAATGGCGAGCAGAGCACCTTAACACCGAGCTCACCTTCTGGGAGCTAGTTGCCTCTGACATGCCTTGGCAAATCTCCGATGGCCTCCCAATATGCGCGAGTGGGCCGCTTGGACGAATCAAGCCAGTGATAAACAGCTATGATTTTCGAATTCTCTCCAGTCACCCGGCGTTTCTTGATGCCCAACTCGTTCGGAATGAATTTCGATTTTTCCACAGAAGCGATGGTTCGCTCTCACCTCCCACCCCATCCTAACCCACATGGGACAACGTACTCAGCCTAACAAGTTTCGTTTATGTAGGCTTTCTTTTGACCATGTCTGCGGCGAAAGGTGTTAACTACCTGGATGCCCGACTACGAGAATATCTCCGGCAGTCTCCTGATGACATCTTGCTGAATCCAGGGGCTTCGGCTGTGGGTCAAACACTGAGGGAATTCGCCTCAACAGGAACGAGCACTTGGGAAAAGCCAACAGCTGAATGGCTTGTTGTCCACCTCGCGACCGAAATAGGCACTTGCCCACACAATGACACTCTGGGCCATAACCAGATTTCGATAGTGGAAGCCTACCAGGATATTCTTCGTGATATTGTTTGTAGAAGTGTATCTCGCTCCTCAATTCAAGATTCGGCCATACTGACAAGAATTTATCAGAAACTGCGTACCTATGAACCGTGGAGACGTGACGAGACTGTTCGGCTGACGAGGACTTTTCTGCAGTGCATGGAGGAGATCAGGTTCATTAGCAAGATGCTTGAGTCGAGGCAAAATCTCTTTACTCGGTTGAAAGAAGATATTAAGAAACATGACGAAGAGGATCGAAACCACGGCATACCACACAACCCCGACGGCGAGTCTTGTATGCATAGGGTTGATTGGACTTTGGGCAAAATTCGACAACAGCGTGATGACATTGAAAATATTGCCCACGAAATTAAAAATTCCATGAACGATGTAAGCTGTCCCCCTATCCTACCTGATTTCAATACTTTGGGGCCCAATGATCGGCTTGTATACTGACCTATATCCTCATGCAGCTTCTCCACCTTCGTACGATCGAACAAAATGAACTCACTATTGTCCGCGACAGCCAGCAGCGTGCAATTATGCTCTTTACCGCAGTGACCGTAATCTTCCTCCCGCTCTCCTTTTGCACTTCCTACTTCGGCATGAACCTACAAGGAATCTCCGACACTGCTCGTTCGGAACGGTACTTCTGGTACGTCTGCGGCACGGCCGGATTTGCCATAGTAAGCGTCATTTCCATTTATGCCTTTTGGCACCCGGCGAAGGATTATTTGATGGTCCTGCGGGAGCAGCGGAAGTCGAAGCGCTTTACAAGGGAAGAGAGGAAGAGAAGACTGAAAAGGCGGATCTCGAGTGAAAATGTGTAGTATTTGGAATTTAGTTGCATATATACAGTGTTTGCATCTTTTTTGATCCGTGTTTTCGTGATTATGTTTTGGTGATTATGTTTTGGGATCGCTTGTATACCATTATTTCAATTTATTTGCACGATTCGATGTGCCGCCATAAGTTTTTTTGTTCTGCTTTCTCATGGCATGATACGTCTCAATCTGATTTTAATGCATAGTTTGGTATTTTTTGTCTTTCCTCCTCCTTTTTGAGCTAATTCCGCGAAGCGCACATTTCTCACACACTTTACTCTGTACATATTCCCGACTCTCAGGCCATTTTTCTTGGTCCGTATAAGCAATAATTGTCCCTTATTAGTGGTCCATTTCAAGATTTATTTTTATTTAGTTTAATTTTAATTTTATTTCAAAAAAAACTTGAAGATACCAAAAAGAAGCCCGGATAGAAGATTCAAGTGGCAAAAGAAGGAGTAATCTGGCCATTGATGTCATCTCGGCAACGGTAAATGTTTAGGGTTTACCGGCCCGAACCTTAAACATTCTTCTTCTTTGGGTCGGGCCGACTAGCTAGCGACGACGCTGGCATTGTAGTTCCCGGTCGAATGCGTCTATGTTTTTCAAAAACCTGAGAATATTTCGTGAATGAGGATGGAGTTAATCCATGGTTCGAAAATATATATTATCGTTGGGTTCACAAATGGGGTTGCTCCCCAGGATCTCCAGGGTTTGGCATGTTCGTATCAGGAAGATGCAAAGAGAGCCTGTATAGTCGGTAGTTAACCCAAAGCAGCTTCATCCATTCTCATAATTTCGGCAAAATGCGGACAGGGGAGGAGAGGGTCGTCGAAAACTAGCGGATGGGGCCGCATCGCCATCACTGAAAACACTAAAATCGCAATCGAACGAATGAAAGCCTTTTTGACATAAAACATTCTTGATCTCTGCCGGTGCATAATTAAGGAGTTAGTTGACCAGCTTCACCCAGTTCTCATGGGGACGTTTCAAGAAGTCGCCTGCATTAAGTGGAGTTGAAGGTTTAGTAACTAACTAACGGCAATTTCCTGATGTATTGTTGTGTCCTTGCTTGAAAGTTCCGCAATAAAGTGGATTCAGACGGCGGCTTTATTTTTTTTTTATCATGCTTTTCGCCAACTAACCCTGTCATATCATATCCTTCCTAATCCGCCTTTTCGCCTTACAGCATGTATTCTCACGGATGCGCAAATATCTGCTTGCATAGAGTGGATTGTCACCTTTTACTTCTTACATTAAAACGTTGCATAATTCGTGGTGTTTGGCTGGATCGTTGAGATGGCCTGTTCCAGCTCTCTCAACGAGGGTCAGTGGGACTGAATTGAGAATGGGTGAAGATATTGTAACGTTTATTTCATATCTGCATATGATTAGACATTAAGTTATTTATTATTTGGTTCTTCCAATTTGCAGCTCCGAAACAAAATATGGCCACGATCTGGTTTTCCCGCACCAATATCTGCTTTCCGTAGTATGTAAGTTGTGGTCGAGGACGAGATGGGCGATAAGAAGATGAATCAAAGAAAAACTAAACAAGGTAATTGTGAACGTTTCTAACATTAAAAAAAAAAAGGTAAACAAATTTAAGCTTAGAAGTGGTAGGCTCCGCTCGGTTTGCTTCTTCATACCAGTCTGCGACCTGTTTCAACTCCTTTTAAGTCAAAAAGGCTTATTTGAAAACAAAGTAAAATATTCTATAACTCTAGCCTCCCCCACTTCCCATGTTTATTTGTTCTGGTGTAGACGTGGCATTTGCGGAAGTGCCAAAACTCCTAATGTGCATATAGCGGTTGATGAGATATGGGGAATAAGAAGAGCGCAACGAAATGAGAGGGTGGAATCAAGGGGCTCTAATGGGGGTAATGGACAAAGTAGTAAATAAAAGGCTGGCTAATGGCAAGGTAATAAGGACAGGGGCATAACGGAAGAGAAAATGTCAAAGGGGAGGGAGGTAGATGGGGGGGGAAATTAGGGACAGGGTATTATGTACATGTAGTCAAGGCAATATTTATTGCTATTCACGAAACATCTGGTCTACCTGCACTATGTCGCTCAAGCCCTGGAGGGTCAGATGCATCTTCAGCGTCAAAGCCTCTCATGTCACCAACCGTGCCGGGAGCGATGAATGGTGACGAACTTAATTCCCCATCTTCTGGGGAATATAGAAGCGGTGCCCAAATTCTCCAATGCAACACTCCGATATGGGCCAGGCGTTTTCCAATCCACTGGATATCGGGAATCTGCGGCCACGACACAAGGTCGGGTTGTTGGTGGAGGTGTTGGGAGTCGGCTATTTCAAGTGCGCTCATACGCCAGTACTGCTTCGCGGTGTTAAGGGCAATACTTTTCAGCTCCTGTTGAACGCGATCGCGGACGGCTTCAAAATGCCGGTGCCTGGGATGAACCTGATTTGATACAAAGTGAATGATGCGTTCGTCCGGATAGGTAACCAAACTTCTTTCACCTCGCATCATCTGAGCCACTCGTGCAATTTCCAATGCTATATTCTGCATATTGGCTTCGAATCGGGCAATCAATGGGTGTCCAGATGGGTCATTCTCGCAAGCCGCGTGTTCGCCATATTGGATGATTGAGAGTATGCGGGACTGCAGCGAGCAGTATATCGTGGACGAAACGTCGCCACCAACAACACTGTTGAACGCGTGACAACACACTTGAAGTAAAGCGAGAGTCTCGATGTTATTTCGAATATTATAAAGTCGGTCGAAATCAAGCGCAAAGGAATCTGGAAGCCGAATAGTCCGGTCAAAGGAACAGAGAATGGACGATAAGCCTTCGAATAAAATTTTTGCGGATTCGAAATTATTGGGGACTTGTTGTGAACTGAGATTGCACCGTCGTCGGTGCATAATATACCAGTTTTTCGAATTTTGAGCTTCCTTAAAAGACTGTTGCGACTTTTTTATGACGAAATCGTAGTGTTTTCTGAGATACTCAACAGAGTCTTCTATCAAATATAGTCGGAACGCACGAATCTGGTGATTTGCCACATCCTACATTCCAATAGGTCAGTGGCTGCTGCACCCTTGTATCTAGATTTAGGGAGCGCTAATACTCACCAATTTCATTGATTCAAGTATGACAAAAAGTTGATGAAGACCTTTCGATACTTGAATCATATCTTGCAATTGATAGCCATTTCGAACTTGTTCAACCATGTCATCCGCCATTTGATCCCTCATTGGCGCACAATGTGTTTTCAATAGAACGGCAAGCCATTCAGCAAGTCCGACCAAATTTAGCACCCCCTTTTCGACCTGTGCCACGAGGAACTTGGTCTCTAAGTGTTCTTTTATACATGAACGTTCGCGATCGGGAACAAGAGTCAGTAATATTTCTCTCAGTGTATCGAGCATGTTGGGTAGTCTTGCTCGGAAGACTTTGTGAGAAGAAGAAGCGCTGCGGACCCAGAAAGACAAGTTGATGTTGTTGTAAGCGCCAAAGGTAAATATCGAAATTTCGATGGCTACCGCATGCCAATACTCATTTGCCATTTTCGCCTTTACCGGGCCCCCAACAGGTCGAAAATGAAGATCCTTATCAAAATTAACATCTATACGAAGCTGGGTGTTTTTCGTGATGGCATCCAGACCAAGTTCAGAGAGCGAATCCGCCGTCACTGGCGGGGATTGGCTGGCGTGCTGTAATAGTGCCACTTCTTCCGGCGTAAGTCCCATCTGAGGTGGAACCAGCATTATTTTGCTGTTTACGTCGGTGGCTGAGGAGCGAGGTGATGGATGGTCACCTTCGGTTGTCGGCGATGGCGCCCTAGGAGAGCTTTCATTCATAAGAGCAGGTGAATGATCCCCACGCGGAGACTGTGAATTTTCGTGCAAGTTCCCCAGATCATTTTGCGATACATTGTTTGAATCATTGGCGACGTAGTATGATTTATTAGAAACATCTTCACTCTCCCCGTGCGCTCTTCTGTCTTCGTTTTGCAGGCCCGTCTCCATGTGGAGGAAAATACTGAGTTCGAGATTCTTCTAGAAGGAAATGGGTATAATATGTTTCTACCACCTAAAATGTATTTTCTCCCCGGCAGTATCGCGCTTTGATAAATAAAAAGACTGCAACAGATGGCTCAGTATCTGCTGGAACGTCGGTGAAGCTGTTTAAGCGACAGTTCTCGAAATATCTTATAAAAATAATCCAAAAAACCAAGACCTCCTTTTGCAAGAGAGAAATTGCTATCGTAAAAGTTTGCAGGTGTTCGGCAAGTTGGTTTGGAAAGACGTTGCTTTGAGCGTTGGAGGTGTGTGCAAGGCACTGTAAAAAGAAGGGAAAAAAGTAATTATAATTTAACAAACGAAAGGACTTCAATAATCAATTGAATAAATAATCGAGTAAATAAACCGAGGATTAAAATTATGTGAGAGTTGCAGCGTTTAGTACTCAACGTTGATGTAATTTTGAACATCGGGTTGAAGCGCACACATTCAGGGCTTGGAAACAGGGCAGCGAGCTAGCCGAATCTAAGGATCAAAGAGAGCAATGATCGAGAATTGCCACTTTGCTCCAGTTTGCTTGGATATATTGTAAAAGTGAGGCTGCCAGCCGACGCTGAAACCTTACCTAACTAGTCATGCTGACTACCGGGGATCACCCAATCTGCGAACAGTTCAATGGAGAATTCGCCATGTCCCAGTTTCATTCTCCATTATTAAGGCCAGACATTATGCACGAGGTGTATCTTGATGCTGTGGCTCGTCCATATTGGTGGTGAATCTGGTAAACACATGCTGGAACCGGCATATTTCAATCACTACAATATTTTGGATGTCTTGCCTGGACCAGGAATTGTTGAGTGCTTAGAATTTCCTCTCCATTTCATGACTGCCAATTTCAAGATGTAGTGGCCATTGCAGAATTCTTCGGATGGCCGGCAATCAGGGAATGCAGCATTGAACATCCTACTGATAGGGATGCTCCTGAAAAATGAATGATTTAGATGTGCTGGTACCCGCCATTAGGGTGCGAAAGTAAACGCCTATACTATTGAGTGGAGTCGGCGGTCGCGACTTGGGGCCTGTTGCAGGTGGTGGTGGTCAAGAGCGTTGCTCTGCATAAAATCTTTCAGTCAGCTAGGAAGATTGATCGTCGAGAGGCGACTGCGCTTAAGCCACAAGCCATCCTATCCCGAGTCTCTCTTCATTTTTTCCTTCACTCCAACGATGGAATATTACTGAAGTTGTAATTTATAACCATTTTCCCCGTCAGCCAGCAGCTCTCGAAATCTGTTCGCCCTTCATTTTGTACCAGCGACGAATGGGTAAAAAGTTTATGTTTTTAACCAATGCGGCCTGTCACAGAATGTATCATCAGCCCTTTGCCGGTTGAAAATACGGTTGGGACGTACATGTACTTCGAAGGTACTGTACATTGAGCATGTAGAAGCATGTTTGTCTTTGCTTCCCATATCCAATCACCCACACCCATACAATTCCGGCGCGCAAAGGGATCATAACCCAAGATTAAAACACTGCAACATTTTCTTCAGCTTGATATGTGTCAAGGCAAGTCTTTGAGATTACCATCTTACCCCACGGATGGTTTGTGCAAAAATTCCCTGGGATGGTACTACACTTGGCTATCTTATCAAGGATGGCAAGATGCAAGCAAGTTGTGCAATTAGACAGAAAGTAGTTGCCGATTTCAAGTGTGACCGGGTGGTCACTCATTGGATTCGGTGAACTAGGAGTCGAGACTGCGTTGCTGCTGACGCATCTGCCACTTTTTTCTCTTTGCTTTTTCTGTTCCCTACAAATTTTTCTTTTTCTGCTTCCCCCCCTTAACCATCGGGGTAACTCAACAAACGACCTCCGTTTGTCCATCACAATGAACAAAGAAAACAAAGGCTGGTCAATGTTCCTTGGAAGATAAGGGTTTTTCACCATTATATCTCTTGTCTATTTGGATAATAGTCAGATTATTTTTATTTATAACCATCTCTTGACGGAGATGCATGGAATAAAAATAAAAGGGGAGAGTCGGACAACTAGACAAGGAATTAAATGCGGCCAAATAAAGACCAGTGGTGAGTGGCGCAGAAAGAGCAAGTAGAAGTAGGGAGGATTCTGCTGTTCAAAAGTATTCAAGTTGTGTTGGATGGTTCCGACACACGGAGTAATCCTCAAATAAGAACAGGAAAACGACTCGCCTCACTTTTCTTTCCTGTCCTGCCTGCATTTTTCGAAAATAGCCCCCACAATCTCTTACTTCGCAGCATCTGGATCTTGAGCCTTGACGACAACCGCAACTCGAGCGGCATCCATAGCGTCCCAACAACAAAGTAGCGGTGGAGTTGGGGAGAGATCCCGTCGTTGAGGAACGGCGAGGCGGGGAGGATGCGAGCTAAGCGTAGGGCTTAGGGCTAGGGCCGGTATAGTCACGTGAAAACATTCCTGGCCCTAGACTCGAGAGACGACATACTCGTAGGCTCCAACGGCATTTGATATTCCCTAGCATGCCCTTTTGCAAGACTGCCCTCTTTAATTAAATTGATCTCCATTCTCAGGAAACCGGAGCCCCTCTATGGTGCCGCTTGACATGATCTGTCGTTGAGGAAGTTTACTAGTATGATACGACTAGGCCAAATCATTCTTCGCTATCAACAAGTTCGATACTAATAGGATATGGCGGTTGTTATCTGCCTTGGGGTCTCTGGATTATATCCCAATCTGATCCCGGATCGCAAGTCGGTCACGTCTAGCAAGTTCAGTGCATCTTAGAAGGCATTCTAGGGCGGTCCGCGAAGTTCCTGGGTTTTAGATGCGGGTTGCCGTGCTGAAGGACAATGTTAAAAGCGACCTGATCTGATACACCCTGCTGTACCATATGTTATGGAATCTCGTACCACAAACGGGTCAATATTATTCAATTTCTTGTGGATGAGGTCATGCCGAATTGCCAGGTGACATCTCGCTTTCGGAAAAGGCGTTCTACTGACGTTGGCGATTCTAAGAGGCATCGCATGCTACATCGACGTTCCTCCATGTGGGACAAAATTATGCCGTTTGGCGATGCCGTCCACCAGGCTCCATTGAATTCATTTACGTATTTGTTTTAATTTCAAAGCCCACGCTGACACCTGAGGCTTTAGGGTATGAATTGCTCCAGGGCTTAACTTTTTCGATTTCACCGGTTTCGCCTACACATTTGATTCCTAGTTTCAATAACGCCATCACGGGAAGTTGCATTTACCATTCGACATCTCGATCTTGTTGCAAACATTTACGAGAATCCTATTACTAGGATACTTTTCTCAGCTGCTACCGTCGTTCTGAGAAGATTCCTGTGACGTTATTCCTAGAGGCATTGAAACACAAATGCTGTTATCCGCTTGCTGTACAGTGATGTGTCAGTCTGAATTGTGATGGGCAAGGTTTTGCTTACTGCTCGCATGACAACTCTTGAACGATTTCCTTTAACCTGCAAACTTGAATTTGTAGCCGTTGCTCCGTTTATGTACACTTCTCCTTCGTTATTTGATATGGCAACTACTGGTGACAGAGGTACTTGAGCTGGTGCACTCTTCTTACCTGCATACGAAGATATAAGAAGTCAACTTTATAGCACCCCCCCTTTTCATTTCTTTATTCGTTTTCATATTTTGTTGACCTTTGTTTTTGCAAACATGCAAAACCAACCAAGGACAAGTCCTTCCGCATCTGTGGGTGGCTTTCACGTGATTTACTGGACGCCTCTATCGATGTCCACGATAGGTGATATCTACAACCGAGTAGCATGTTTGGGTGCAAACGACGGCGAAAGGACAATTCTGCAACATTGGATTTATCACCGCTTCCAACTACCATATCTTCCTTAATTTATGTATTCAAGCTTGCTTTGAATGACACTAAAACATCCTTTTGACCCCATTTTACCAGTGACTGGCTTATTGAGACCCATAAACGGCGACAAAGTGTTCTGATGCATGACATCTCTGTTACCTTGCTTTTGTATTTATATCCCCAGTCACTTAACCGCGTTATTGATGGGGTGAACATCATTGAAGCCGGAGTGGTTTTTTGAAGTGGTTATTTCAACATGTGAGAGATTTTATTGACCAAAACTCCACCCGTTTCGCTTTCAACGCCTCCATTTCATCCGTCAAGCGCAAACTGGTCTTAAGAATTCGAATCCATGATTCTTTGCCGTTCAATTTTCTAGTATTTATCCATATTAGCTTCAGGTTTTTCCCGCTTTTTTGAAGACCAAGCGCGATGAATTGGTCGGATCTACGTCTATTCCTATCATTTACCTGGACGGTTCCAAATTTGTCCCCCATTAGATCCTACCGCCATACCAAGACCGACGCATCTCGATTCAGGGTTGGGCCACCTCCAGGGAATCCCACTCTCCCTCCTAGCCATGCTGGCTTAATTCCGATACCAGGAGCGGAGGAAGGGAATGCTCTGTTCTTTTGGCTTTTTGAAGCTGAAAACCGTGAAAATGATGGTAACTTCATCGGTAAGCCTCTCGCCCTACGAAAGCTACTGCGGTGGATTTTAAGTTGGCTTGAAAGGCATTGACAATGTGATAAATCAGTTTTTTTAAGGGCGGGCCTGGTTGCAGCTCGGTCATCGGCGCTCTCTCAGAGAGCGGGCCTCTCACGTTTGTTGGAAACGCTTCGATGCCGACTGCAAACCCTTATTCGTGGACAAAGTTTGGGAGTGTTTTGTATATCGATCAGCCGGTCGGCACTGGATTTTCCACATTGAACAGCTCGAAACCCATCTCTAAAAATGAACAAGACACGTCGGACCTTTATGCCTGGTTAGGAGAGTTTTACCGCGAATTTCCTCATCTGCTGGAGAAGAAAACCCACCTAGTGGGAGAGTCATATGCGGGTATTTTCGTCCCCTATTTTGCCTCTGAGATCGTAAAACATCGTGATTCACTTCCGATTAATCTGAAGTCGATCTCTGTGGGGAATGGGATACTCGGGAACAACGCTGTTATGGCTGATGTCGCGGTGGGAGCGTACCTGGAAACGAATGCACCCATCCTTGATATCCTTCGGGACGTCATACATGCCTTTTCTTCGGCTGACCATATTTGCGAATTTGATACCGTTTTGAACGAACCAAACGAGTACCCACCACCTGGCCCGATAAGTGTTCCGGGAAACCCAGAAAACCTGAACTTTAGACGTGACGAACTTTGCAGGACGCCATCGGATAGCGATGCCGGCCCAATGGCTGAATGTAACACCCACCCGAGTATACTTCCGTGATGGAATCAATTCTGAATTCCACTTGCCACGGGCCTTGTGCGACCTTCTCTACTGCGGCTGACTACTTTGAGACGCGCTCCAATTTAACTCACGATTGCTTTAACCTATACAACATCAAATACGATTGCGGCACTGTCAGCCCTCTGGGCGCGCTGACTGCCTATTTAAATCGGGTAGACGTCCAAACCTCGCTGCATACTCCGCAGTCTGATACCGGCAAATCGAGCAAGAAGCGTAACAAACCGTACCCGTTTCAAGGATGCAATAGCGAGATTATGCAAGCTCTTTTGGGTCCAGCTAACCACCCAACACCACCAGCATATTTCATCATACCGGACTTGATATCGACGCACAATATCTCTACGCATATCTACCATGGCAAGTTAGACATGCTCATCAACCACATAGCCGTCGAACTTGTACTACAGAACATGACCTGGAACAGGCGTCAGGGTTTCCAGCAACGGCCGACGGCGTCTTTTGGTGTTCGCAAGGGTGGCAGTAGAGCTGGATCCACAGCTCAGCCTGGAAATGATGGGACGAACATCTCCACTGGGGGCATATGGACTGCAGAGCGCGGGCTGACTTATCATCTCTTTAATGATGCGGGGCATGTTGTACCATTTGATCAGCCAGAGGAGATGTTTTGGTACGTGAAGGAAGTCATCCTAGGGGGAAGTGAGTGAGATACTTGAATTATTTGTTGATCAAATTCTCGCTTTCTTCCCTGTGTCAACTTCTCAATTGTACCAAGGACTTGGTGGAAACCCACTTGTGAGTTAGAAGTAACTAGTTTTGCTTTATTGTCCAGTATTGATAATAGGGGATTAGGCAAATGTTTTCCTTCCTATTGAAGATATCTCGTAAAAAAAAGGATTCTAAGTAGACAAAAAGAAATCAATAAGAAAACTAGGGGATATTAGCCAAAATTTTGTCTCCTCAGTTCACCGATGTTCCCCGTAGGTCTTTTTGAAAGATGTATATATCGCTCAGCAAAAAGTTTTTTAAAAAAAACAACTGAAATATGAAAACCTTCTCCGACGCAATGCAATTTCCCGCAAAAAGTGGTAGCAAATAGCAAATATATATAAGGTATGGGTGGAAACAGCATAAAAATATAGATGAAAAAACGGACCTGAGGTGCCTAATAGCTGGCTATATTTCTCCACCAAATTGAACACCAATAGATTGTTTTTGAGATTTTACTAACTTTGGCAAAGTATAAAAATAACAGTAGTAAAACAACGGGAACATAGATGCTCGGGATATTCGTAGAATGAGAGATGGCTTGCATGTCAACATTATAATATGACAAAGGGAATACGGTTGCACAGTTGTACAGCGATAAGTTTGTGGATGGGGATACTGAGAAGGAAGTTGCATGATGGCATCATCGACGCGCAAACATGGGTGCCGGGTTGGCAGTGTTGAGGACAGAGTCTGCTCTTTGGAACACATCGCCCGCGAAGAATCGGTCACTATACGCGCTCGCAGGTGTTGATGGTACTGTTGCTTGAGCTGCTGGACCAAGTGCAGCGCTTAATGGTGTTGCAGGAAGAGGTACGAACTGTGATGATGATCCATTGGTCAGCGTCGAGGCCGTACTCAACATCGTCGATGTTGAAGAATTGGTGTAGTGTGGGAAATGCTGGGCTTGGGTCTGAGGTGGATAAAATGTCGTCGGGTTGGAAGTGTTCAATTCAGCGAGGTAAGACCAAGGAGACGCATCAATCAGCCGACCGGCTTCTCTGCTTGCCTTCTGCACAGGGCGAAGTACAATGACGACTTCAGGATTGATGAGGTTGAAATTCCTTGCCTCCCGCATGTCTGTCACTAGTTCGACGAATACCTGAATGAAAGTTTTGCAAAGTTGCCAAAACTCGCGCTGGTTCCTAGTCCCATAGCCAGGCTCTTTTAATGTCATGTTTGAGAGGCGGTGACGTAGTGATTCTGATACATCTTGACAGACACGACACCGAAGAATCAGCCTATGGCAAAGGATTCGTAGTTCTTCTGGTGCTCTTGTCTCTTCAGCTAATTCAAGGTACTGGGTAAATTGCCGAGCAGCATAGGGTAGGGCATGTAGCGCCGCTGTATAGGCAGATGTGAGCTGGAAGAATATCTTCTCAAATATTCGCTCCACCTCAACTTCATCTAAAGCCGCATATATGTTGGTACGACTAGAAGCTAAGGTATTGGTTGTGCCGAACGTTTCGCCGGACCGCGGGGTGTTGGCTAATGACGGCGAACCCGAAGTTAATCGGGTATTGGATCTGCTGCTCGATCGGCTTCGGCAGCCATAGTTCTGGGGTGACATCGGCACTGACGGCAGTGTGTAGGGAGCGTTGAATTGAACAGGCGTGCTGTTTGAATTTGGCTGCTGGTAAATCACATTGTTTGAATTGGGAACGGCTATAGGATGCACAATCGTAGTATCACTGCGTAATCGCCTTGTTGGTGGAGTTTTCTCCGCGGTAGGCGTTACGGCCGACTCGCCTGTAATAACGGGTTGCCCTTTCTTTGCCATCGAAGTGGAGGCTTGACTCTTTTTCCCGGAAGAGCTTTGCTGTTCAGAATGCAAGTTAATACCTAAGTGAGAACAAGCATTTCGAAGTTCAGTCAGGCTCCCAAATATCATGAGCAATAACGACCGGAGGAACTTGGGATCTCCAAAGGAAACTGCCCTGCCAACAGCGAGTCGAAGTTGCGTGGCAACATGTATGTATGCCATGATACAAGTTTCGCACTCGCGTTTTACGACTTCGCACACTCTCATTACCCCATCAGCATCTTGGAGGTCGACCCGGCCTGCACTTTCTAACGCATCATTCAACCGCTCCAGATGAGTTTCTGCGTTGTAAAATACAATCTCAAGGCTATTTCTCCTTGCGTCCTCGCCCTTGAGCACATTTATTAACAAGGAAACATGGGGGTGGAGTTGGTAAAGGGCATATAGCACTCCTTTTGCAGCATCGATGATAGGTTCCTGTCCTGCCACTTTGATTCGGTGTTCTGGAAGGCTTGACATTCGGCGAATGAAGGCGTCCTTCAACTTTCTCCGTTCTCTCGGGCTACCGGGGCTAGACGAGCTGCTACCCCCTCCTGACATTCCACCATGTTTAGATCGCAAGATAGATCCGTGGCTCAAACCACGCACGTGGCTGTTACGATATGGTCGCCCCTCGTCCAGCGTTCCGAGATCTGTGTTTTTCCAAGTGATTAATCCCATACGTCTACTTCGAGATGCACCTGGCCCTGTGATCACACCTTCACTATTACTTCGATTTCGCTCGCTGGTTCCCGAATATGTTGCAAGTCCTGTGCGTGAGTTTACGCCGAGTTGTAAAACACCATTCTGCCCGGACGCCATTCGATGGTGAGAGCGAGTCGGGATTGGGGGTGGCCGTGACAACGAAGGAGATCTGGATGAGTGGGCCGATTCGGACCCATTCGTTCTTGGGATTACGGGGAATCGGTTCCCACGCTTTAAAGGTTTCGGAGTGTCGACCAACGTTTCGCTTTTTACGATATCAGAAATTAAATTAAACTCGTACATTCCGCAAAAAAAAAAGGGTGACATACCTGCTCTCGCTTCCAGCATCAAATTCAACATATGTTACAGGCTGTCTAGTTTTCAAGAATAATTTTAGTTCCGCCGTGATTGCAGTTTCTTTCTCATTGTCTGTCATCTCAGATGCTGAAACGTCCGTTTCTTTCAGTTCAAGAACTCGTTTGAGAGGGTACTTTAGCGAGTTGCCTGAAACCTTCAAAACCTGCAGTTTGGTCATATCCGCCAATTCTGTCGGTAAATCATCCAGGAGGTTCTGCATGATAGACAGGACTCGTAATGACGTAAGCTTCCGGATTTCTTCCGGAATTTTGGTAATTTTATTCCGGCTAAGATCCAAGATTTCGAGAAATGTTAAACCGAATACCTACTGGGCATGAGCTTCTGAACAGCCAAAATGTCTTAGATTTATGGACATACCTCTTTGGGGAATTGGGTGAAATTGTTCGCCCGGATATTGAGATACCGCAGGTGGGTGCATTCTGAAAATCGGCCAGGGATATGGTCAATATGGTTATTGGACAGGGATAGCCTAGTAAAGGTCAGTCTATAGTTAGACATATACAATGCGTAATGACCAAGGAAAACGGAAGTAATAGTCTACCTCGCGACTTCGTCTTTGATAACATCCACCATAGATTCCGGAATAGACCCGATATTAGAATGGCCCAAGTCAATAGTCAGCTTTGGTCTGACTACATCATCGACCGCCTCGCTTCCTGCCAATGATCGCTTCGTTTCCTGCAAACCATTTTCCACAGCCCGCTTTGCGAGCTCAAGCGTCTCTTCCTGGCTGAGTATCTTTCTGTGGGAGTGAGGGTTAACGTCTCCACGGATGGATTGGTCAAGCGGAGCGGGGAATGTTGGCGGATAGGTCAACTCTTTGGTGTCTTCGTGTGCGTCACTACGATATGGCCGAAACGGCCGAGTATTGTCCTCAGTGCGGGACATAATGCCGAGCATTGTGACCCAGAGCACGAAAGCAGTGGCGAAGGACAGGAAGGGTGGGCGAAATTGTGTTAAGGGTTCTGGCTGCCGCCAACTCCTTCATGAGTTAGGAGCAACTTCTTAGAAGCGACATAATAGGGACCTTATATTCGCAGCTCCGGCCACGATTGATTAAGGCGACGTTGACATCAGTTTCGCGGATGGAAGAAGTGGAAGATAGGACTTGGGCAGAGTCAAGAATTTCTGCTAGGCTAATTCCTCTTGCTGAGAAAGCAAAGCGGCCAGCGAAGAAGCAGAAATGCCGGGCGTTGGTGCCAGACAAGCAGCCTTGAGAGGAGGTGTGTCGCCAATGGATAGGACAGTCGAAGAAGTGCGCCAATCTGAAACAGTCAAGGGTTTGGAGTGACAAATGGGCTTCGTGCAACCAGTAATTATGTGCTTGTCCAAACAACCTCCACAAAACCGTTGCTGAAATAGCTGATATTGAATTGCAATTGCTAGATTCGCTGTCCCTTGAGAATTATTGCTGCCGTCTTGGTGTACTCGTCTGATGCCAGTTCAAGTTCTCATCGCGGTTAGATAGCCCAGGTCACGGGATCTGGCTGGCCCTGAGTGGACGGTCTTGGCGCAAAGACGTTACAGTCTTGGCAGGGCGGGCGGACAGACAAGGGGATGGCATTTTTGTATGCACGGCGGTAATATCAAAGAATCAATTGTCGGAAATTATTTACCATAGTGTGGGAATAGAGGTCAATGCTACTAGTAGTGTTTACCAAGAGGCTCTCTATCTCCGCAGTACGGCGTGGTAAATCGTGGTCCAACTCAAGCTAAAAATACAATTGGAAAATATAATATATGATAGGTTTGTTGTATCCTATACAATGCATACCTCCCACGATAGCCTCGAACTAAGAATATCTCGCAATGGCACTAGATTGGAGGCCCTGATGGCGCTTCAGCTTCAGATTCCTCAGAGGCCCCTATCACGTCCTCCTCCTCTATCAAAGGGATTTCGTCTTCGGATTCACCGCTCTCTTCCGTAGGGCCAGTAGAACCAGTGAAAGCCGCCAGACGCTGTTCCATGGCTTGGTTTTCGCTCTCAGCCCATACCTTCCATTTCTCATATTCTTGATTCTCCAGCTCCATCCCAACAGTATGCATATCTGGCCCGAAATACGCACCTGTTGCCAGGGCCTCCTCCTGTGCAACTCTTCGCTCAACATCTTCCTGTAGACGTAGCTGGTAGAATTCACGTCGGGCAATTTCATATGCAGCGCCTTTAGACATATCCGGGACATTGTTGAGGAGATATAGTTGCCGTTGTACAACACTGTATGAAAGCAGAAGAGAAACATTACCAAGTTAGCCATCTTGTCTGTCCAGTTTGTAAATATCTCGGAATCTCAGGTTGGGCCAAGATGTAACAATTATCTCAAAAGGAATATCCAACCTTTCTCCATCAAGTTTTTTTCCCGGTTGTTGGATATTCTGCCAATTGTATCTTCGGTGATCATTTCCGTCATTCTCAAGAACCACTCGTGGTCGGGCAAGCTCCCATGGATGGTCACGGAAAAATTCCTTTCGTAGCTGGTCCTCCTCGTATCGTATTTCCTTCGGTTGGAAAATGCGGCTCGGTTTTTTTGACGTCTGCTTCCGGCTAGCAGACGATTTGATTTCAAGCTGTGGTTTTGACTTCCCCGGAACAGTTCTCATTCGTTGCTTGACGACAGGGTGTGACGGAGCTTGATTGCGAACAAGAATCGACGCTGGAGGAATGTCTGCCAGAACGTCCAGCCAAGGTTGTCGCGTCCCTGGCTTCCCACATTGTGTAGTCGCTAGGGCTGTCCGCCTCACGCGAAGTGCAGTTAAGTTATATCGTCCCATTGTGTAAGCTGAACGGTTTGGTTCCTGAGAGGAACCCTCGCAGAGATCCCTTTTTCCTCACTACTTGTGCCGCGAGAGCTAGGATCACTGCTCAGGAAGACAATTACACGGTGCGTTGTTAGACAATGAGGACCCAAGAGATAGAGATATTCAACCGAAAAAACACTTAGAAATATCAGAAATAACTAACAAGAACTGTAGACTGCGACTTGTGGGATTCTCCGGACGACATTCAAAATGCTCCAGCGCGAGAAGAAATTCAAAATGTTCGGGGCTTGGCGTTTTTCACCGATTCCGCCAATCATGAGCTACTAATCATCCCCAGAAAATTTCCAAACCATCAACGGCGACAACGTCAAACAAATCGGGGACATCTCATCAGTTCTGGCGGTTTCTGCTGCGGGCTTAATTGCATTCCTATACAAGCACCCTTATTACTTATTGCTGCTCTGCAACGGTTTGGGACTCCGTGACGACTGCTGCTAGCACCTTGTCCCTGGCATCAAGAAGTTAAAGATATGCCCACTTGACCAGGGATGGCACGATGTCAGGTCTCTCATGTCATTCTCTAATAGCTTGGAAAGGACGGCAGGTTTTTGTGCCGTCTCTTAAGCAGGTTCTTCTTCACCCCCTCCGTTTGCATCCAGCCGAATACGCGCAGCCCGATTTCCACCACCATTCATCCCACTAACGATGCGACTCCAATCATACTTTACAACCCGTACTCCGATTAGCGACTTATTTACCAATTCGCTTGTGTTAGCCGGACTATGCAGAAGACACTCGCCGCGGAAAAGACGGCTTGCAGGAATGTCGAGGCACTCGTCTCACGCAGCGATGCCAATGTCCCAGGATATACAGTCGCAAGAGCAGGGTACTAACAGAAGCAGCATCAGCCTGCAAACATCCGATCCGCATGAAAGGGATTCGATTATTTCGCAAGAAGCAACAAAAGGATCTTCCATAGCCAGTGATCAGAAATCGCATCATTCCACGCTACCCACAGACTTTACAATTGACCACGCCGCATTCAGAAGAGCAGCTGCTTCGAAACTTGACGATACCAAACACCTTTTCAGGTTGTACCTTGAGACATTGGGCAAGAAGGAAGGCCTAAAATCCCTTCAGGTTGTGTTATCAAATCCGGCAAGGGAAATATGTTTGCCTCAGAAAAAACAGCCAGAACGTTATCTTCCCGATGCAACCGAAATCCATGGGGTTCAGCGGCTAGTGGATCTATTGAATGACGAACGCAGCTCCAATCAACAAATCTTTAGAGCATATAAAGACCTCCCGTCACCTGGTGTATTATATCTCTCTGCTCGGAGCAGAAGGCTTCTGTTGCATCGCTTCGCAAGCCCACCCCGCCGTCTACGTATCCATGCCGAACGATATCTGAAATTGATAGATGATATGGCCGAAGCATCATTTTATATATCACCTTCATTATGGACTGCAGCGATTCATCTGGCGGGGAAGTCCTATACTTCGGTCAAGAAGCCCGATCTGAGATCATCGCTTGGAATGTGGAGGCGGATGGAGCATGAAGGCTCAGTCCCGAGTTCCAGCATAGCATTCAATATATTGTATGACGTCGCTATTAAGGCGAGACAGTGGAAAGTTGCTGATAAAATTATTGAAGAAATGAAAGCTCGTGGATTAGAGCTCTCTCGATTTGGAAGGGTGGCTCATATATTTTCCCATGGGCTACGAGGAGATGCTGAAGGGGTTCGGAAAGCTTATCATGAATTCATTCAACTTGGCGAAGTAGTTGATACCGTGGTTCTAAACTGCGTCATGGTCTCGCTCCTACGGTGTGGCGAGCAACATGTTGCAGAGAAAATGTATGAGCGTATGAAGGACATGTACCTTTCCCTAAAGTCACAGCACCCCGAACTCCTACATTCGACTGTGTATCCCTCTCCCTCCGACAATTACGCTGCCTATAGAAAGGCAACTAAGAGACTCGGCCGCGTTCTCGGGATGACGACCTTTCTCAGAGATAAGCTTCCAGAACACCACCGTGCATTACAGAGAGCGATGCCATTGACTCCAGATGGTAAGACCTTCCATATATTTCTATGGCACCACGCAAACGTCACAGGTGATTTACCACGTGTCATGGCCCTTCTTGAGGACATGAAAGTCACATTCGCTATCCCCCCGCAAGGGATGATCTACATATTTTTATTTCACGGCTTCGCTGCCCATGGCGGAAAAAAAGACACCCAGTGGACATACAAACGCCTTAAAGGCGTATGGAAACACTTCCTTCGAGCTCTGTACCATTCGAAGGCTGAGCTTAGTTCCAAACGAAGTACCAAATGTCGAAGGGAAAAGTTTGTTTGGGAGAGCCCATTAGCCAATAAAGCAGAAGCATCTTCTCGCGGACCAGAGAGTGCTGAAGAAGCCGACGATGAAACGTCGAAACCAACGCTGTACGCGAGCGAAAGAGGAGTAGACCAAGCTTCTTCATGGACTGCTTTGACCGGGGATGGACCTCCTAATCCCTTTGAGGAAGACGAAGCCGATGATGACTGGCGGTATGAAAATTCTGTCTACTTGGGCCGAAAATTGATTGTTTCCTGTCTAAGAGCGCACGCTGCTTGCGGTGGGCCCGAAGCTGTGATGGATGTCTGGGAACGAATAGAGCGCCTCTGGAAGCCCGAGTCACAGAAGAAAGCAGATATCCTTGCTGTTAAAGCAGTTCTTGGACAGCTCGTTCCTGGAAGCTTTAAAGCGCCTAAATAGTGTGTGCCCGCCACTTACTTTAATGTACTGTACATATTATAGATACTACTTCTTTTTCTACATGGGATTCTGGTCTACGCTCAGCGATTGGTATACCAACTGGTAAGCTTGTATCTTGCTTGTCTACCATACCGTGCAATAATTTTCATTACCCTAAGTTGAGCTTTGGATTGGCCTACATTGTTACTGCCCATTTACACGTGAAAGTACCGTATTTATAGACATCGATCCGTCCACCTCATATTTCAAGGGGGAAATATAACAATCACGTGACATCGCGTTGTCACGCGTGAACTTGTTGATAGGAATTGGAATTGGTGGAGCATATAAAATAGTAGTATCAGAGCTATAACCTCTATATGAAAATCCATGAAGGGCAAAAAACATGATATTACCTTGAATTGCAGCGGAGATGCCTCTGCAGCGAAATAAAGGACAACCCGTAGACATTGACTTCACGTTACGGCGCGTGTTTGGGAAAAAGGCATTTCGGTGGGTGCTTTTATTAACTACGAATTGCGAGAACTTTGGGCTTTGAATGCTTTAAGGGACTGACTGCCGTTTACCATGCAGGCCTCTGCAGCGGGAAGTCATTGAGGCTGCCATCGAGGGCCATGATGTGTTCCTTCAAGCTGCTACATCCTTCGGGAAGAGCTTATGTTTTCAGTTACCTGCCATTGTTGGCCATGGGGGTGAGCACCATCAGCACTTCTATTATGTTTAAGTTAACATAAACATATTGCTAATCAAGTTGTTGATGGTAGTCACGGTTGTTGTTTCGCCACTTCTCGCGTTGATGGTAGGTTTGATGTGAATCATACTCACAACACTCCTTGTAACTAACATTATTTCCGTATTAGGTGGATCAGGTTTCTGCCCTGGAAGCTAACGGCATACCTGTTGCAACGATAAATTCTACAACTTCTCTTACCAAACGGCGGGAAATTGTGAAAGATCTTCTTTCAGGGCATCCCATTACACGACTTCTATACGTAACCCCGGAATTCTGCCAGACCGATTCCTTCCGTCGGCACCTTCAAACAGTTCACCTACAAGGCGAGCTTGCTCGGATCGCAATTGATGAGGCGCATTGTGTCAGTGAATGGGGACATGACTTCCGCCCAGCTTATAAGGAGCTATCGTGGTTCAGGAGAGAACTACGCAGGCCATTTGTTCCGATCACTGCCCTTACAGCGACTGCTACGGCACGTGTTCGATCAGATATCATATCCTTGCTAGGATTAGACCCCATGACTCTAAAGAAATTTAGTACAGGATCAGCACGGCCTAATATCCATTATGAAGTCCGCTACCTTCCAGATTGCTCGATGGACCCTACAGTCCCTGACACGGATCAACTGAATGATCTTCTCTGCTGGCTGAGCTCAATTCATAGCCGTCGTATTGCGCGGCTATCACCTCCCGAAAATGAGAATTGCGCTGGCGAGAGTATATCCGCCGTTACACCTCTCCTGCCGCCCATCACAGGAATTATATATGTTCCCCTAAGGGCCATCTGCAGCGAACTTGCTAACAGCCTATCAGCGTCACCACTCAATATTAAAGCAGTCGCCTATCATGCGGGGCTCTCAGCTTCTGAGCGATCCAAAATTCAATCACTATGGAGCTCGCCAAGTAAGATATCCACATCAGTCACGGAGAAGTCAGAAGAGAAGACCAAACCACCCGCATTTTACATTGTTGTCGCCACCAACGCCTTTGGAATGGGAATCGATAACCCTCACGTACGTTTCGTTATACATTGGACGCCACCCCGCAGTTTTGAAGGATTTGTCCAAGAATCTGGCCGGGCAGGGCGTGACGGTCGGGCAGCCGTGTCTCTCATATATTACAGTCCCCAGGAACGCGACCGCGTATTGGATCGTATGACACGCGATCAAGATTGGCATTTCGATGCGGCTCTGCAGGGGGACAATCCGGCAAGTAAAAAACGTAGGCACACGGAGTCAAGCATCGCTGCCAAAATGCGCAATCAGGAAGCCCTCCTCGAAAGCTTTAAAAGGGTCGTTAAATACTGCGAAACAACCTCGCGGTGCAGACATGAAGTGATTCGCGAATTTTTCGGCGAGCGCGATCTGCAAGTCGACTCACGAATTGGGCAACAGACGCAGGTCCATATTGACACTTCTATATCGTCAACATGTGATTTTGCCTGTGACTTCTGCAAGGAGGGTCATGAGGCATTGACGCGCCGGAAAAAAATGAGTGATGTTCCTGAAAACCCCTTTGAGAATCATGCTGAGGATTTCTTGCCAGTGACCATGCAAGTTGGGGATTTCATGGGATTTCGTGCCGCTAGCCTGATAGATATTTATAAGCGATAATAAGCGATTATAGTTCCTTTAAATTTTTATTTTTTGCTTTTTATTCCTGACCTTTTGTCTTATTTGTTTCTATTTTTGATCAAAAAAGAAACGAAAGAAAGAGTTGCATAGGGAGGCGGTTGGAGATGGTAGGACTGGTTAAGATTGTTTGGCGTTGACATATCTTTTACTCTAGAGCGGACATTTCTCTTCTTAGTAATGACTTCCTATAGCTCGGTTTTTGAATGATGTGATGTAGTTTGTATTTCATATTGATCATTGGCATTGCAACACATGCAGTATGGCGTTCGGTAAGGAAAAATGTAAGTAGAGCGCGCTTTGACTGGAAGTCTGGTATATGACTCTGAAGCATCGACCAGCTTATAATGTTTTGCATAGAAACCGAGTAATTGAAAGTATAAGCCGTGCTCATTCGATTCCCCTTTCGAGGAAAGGTCTGAGATGAAGAGAGTCAGAGACGACTACCGGGGGGAGTTTCACGATACAAATGTGAATCCATATAATAGAACAACAACATCTGAATGTATCAGGAGCAGCCTCAGGGGAATAATTAGCGTTGGTTGCCATATCCGGGAACTGCTCTGATAATGAATAACGACTTATCCTCTCCCCCTCTTTTCCCCCCTTCTTTTTTTCTGGCTGTAGCGGCGGCCCGGCAGGAGTACTCTACTTGCAATTAAACGGGGTCGAGCACACGGCGATGAGCGCATTTGCTTACTTTCGTAGGTGACTGTAATTCGATGGATAGTTAAGTTATTCGAAGTATACACTATAGAACGGAAGGGGAAATTTTCAATTTCAAAGCAAAATAACTTTTAACTAAGACATTGTTGAAAAAAACACTAGGCTAAAAAGTAGACGATTAATTAGATTGAAAACTCGGACATTGAGACGAATATGATGGAAATTTTAGTGTTATGACGGAGTTTGAAGTCCAAAGTCTGATGAGAGGTTTTGGCAATAAAACGAGTATTTGAATACACCAGGGAGGTAAATGCATCATGTCCAAATGTCACCACTGAACGAATGTTGTCTGTAAATTTCTGGTAAAGGCGGATATTCACAAGCCAGGAGGAGGGGGTACCTATCAAAGGAATTAGTTATAGTGACGAATATAGTATGGTGGGGAAATCAGCTTAGGATTCATACGGCATTATATCCCCCAGACGATGACTGTGGAGGCGGTGGAGGCGGTGTACCTGATCCTGGAGGCGGAGGAGGTGGTGGGGCCTCAGAAGCCGGAGGCGGTGGTGGAGGGGGAGCAGAACCTTGTGGTGGCGGTGGCGGCGGCGGTTGCTGCTGCTGCTGCTGCTGATAATACTGCTGGTAATACGCGACATAATTTTGATACCCACCCCACGCTGCGTATGGATCTTGGCCTGTCATATATTGAGAATACATGCGGCTGTAGTCTGCGGCAGAGTGGCCTGTCGCCGGTGCAACTTGGGAAGTTGCGCCAGCATCAGTGGCAGGTGTGGCATTGGCAGAGGGACTCATGGGTGTCTGCGGAGAAGAGTAGTTCCCGTAATTGCCGCCGGCCCCCCCGTAACTCCCACCCCCATAATGGGAACGATCGCGCCCATACCCGCCAGCATGGTGACCACCTCCACCATACGACCGTTGTGGTGGTGGCGGCTGCTCCTTAAACCTCTCATATTGCTCCCTCACGTTAGCGAGGAGGTCTTCGCAAAGAGCTTTGGCATTTTGGACTTCCTTCGGATCAGGACCACTATGATGGATTAGCAGATATTATGATTGTATATTCTCAACACAGAATATTTGATGGTACTTACGCGACATGTAAATACATAGGCTCATCACTTTCTCTACCAGTGCTATGTTCTGTGAAACCAGAGCCACGTCCTTTGATCTGAACTCGGCAACGCGTCTCCTGCTGGATATGCTTAACATACGCGCCACCTTGGCCAACTACCTGAGCACGAAGATTAAAACCCGGAATAGGCTCCAGGTCAACAGGAATCCGTTCCTCAGGCCATTTCCGCTACAAATTCTTATTAGCCACAGCATCAATCCTATATTATATTACTGCATAAAACACATACTCGACCGTATTCATCCCGTTCCACTTGCGGCTCTGGTTCTCTGCGACGAAACCTCCGCTCGTCAACAAGGTTGGGCAGTTCTTGTTTCATCAATTCCTCTATTTTGGCGACTGCCTTGTCAAGACCCTCCTTGGTGGTGCTCGTTACGTGAAGATAAAGCGGGGGGTTCTGGTTGTAAAATGTCAGACACTGTTCATCTGTTCCTCTCACGTCATCAGGTCTTGCTGAAGCTTACCGCAGCCGTAGCCATGCTTTTATCAGGGAAATAACTCCCTCGGGTCGTAACATCTTTAAACCTTTACATGAGCTTCTGTTATCTAAATAGAGTAGTATATAATAATATAGTGATGGAGAAGTCGTACCGGCGCCAGTTTCATCTTTAATCTAAATATCACGCAGCGGAGGTCAGCAGATGCCAAAGAGGGGTTTCGAGACGCTATGGAAAGTTGGGTAAGCTTCAGCCACCATCACAACAAAAGGGGGAAGGGTGATATGGATGTTGAGTTGAATATCTTTCCAAAACCGTGGCCCTGAGCCATAACGAGCAACAATGCCTGGGAATATCAGTGGACATGACAGAAATATTTACCATCCTCTGGGTTGCACCCTTAGTCAGTGTGTACCGGTTTCGGAGGTCGTTGACTTCGATATCTTTTATATAGTCTCCGTCTGCCATGTAAACTTCGCCATTTACGTTGCGTGCACTCTCTGCACCTGGAGAAGCAGACTTCGCCGCTGGGCTAGCAGTCTATTCAATTAAATGTTAGAAACAAGGATGCGTGCCGATTGGCAATGGAAATTCGATGGGAGATCAGGGGAGCCTGCATATCGTACAGAACGAACTGGTACCACGTTCATGTGCTGATATCCTTTTTTCGCCTGAAGTTCAGCATTTATCTTCGCAGCAGCGGCAGCTATTTAAATGCCAAACAGAGTATTTAATTAGTATTCTGCGCGCGAAAAGAAGCTTCGTAAAAAAAAACATGAGTTGCACACTCGCCTGCAGCAGCAGTTGGATCGGCGGATGCGGACTTCCGGTTGTCGTCGTTCCCAGGGCTTCGCGGTTCCCTGCTCAGTGGGCTTCGCTCCCGTGCGGAATCTGAATTCCGAGCAGATGGGGATCGCGAACGTCGATCAAATCTTGATTGTCTTCGAGGTTCTGCTTCTGTTTGATCAAAACGAGAACGCTTTGCGCGACGCTCACTGTCCGCCATTGTTGGTGGCGGGGCTCTAGCCTAAAGTAAAATCTCGCTGTGCTTTATAGGTCTCGAAAAGGAAATACAGCTCATATATAAAAACAAACAAAACGGAAGCCAGAGGTAAGGTTGACGTTGCTTCAAAAGGGTATATTTTGAACAATCTTTTCTGGATGTCTCCTGTTGAATCTGGCTTAGTCATTGCAACATGACACGATAACTAATCCATAAATGGACTAGTAGCTTGAGAAAGCTGCCGTTTAGTCATTTCTCCGACCTCGGAGTTGGATGTCTATCATGTGACTCAATCTTCCAACCTGCCAAAGAAATTGAGACACAGAACTGAAGGTTTTAGAATTCATGCAAAGATGAGATGGTGGTGAGCAATTCTCTCCCATCTCTTCAATTGTAGTATGATAGGGGTTGGTGTACTCATTTTCTGTGAATATCCGTTTGGCAGCTAGACGAATCCAGCTATATTCAGGGGAGGAGTCACAAATAGCTAGCTCCTTGTGCCTACACGGACAGAGGGCAATTGCTCTCGCCGTCGTGTGTGGTAAGAAAATGGCTTTTCGACGGGTTTTCTCCCAGCCTTCGAGCCGTACTCTATTGTCGTCACTGTCGACATGTGGTGCTAGAGGCAGCCTAGCCCCTTCATTGAAACCATGCTTCAATGCCCGCGCCTCCTCAAGCTCGACATCCGCACTCGCCTACAAAGCTCTGCATCGTCGGTCTCCGCTCCCTCTCCCAGTAGCCGATAGCCCGACCTGGTCTGCTCCTGCTGCAGTCTCATCGATCCTCTATGAGACCCCAGTACCCTCGACCAAACCTCCAAAACGCCATGTGCTGAATTGCCTGGTACAAAATGAGCCAGGCGTTCTCTCCCGCATCTCCGGAATTCTTGCGGCTCGGGGTTTCAACATCGACAGCCTCGTTGTCTGCAATACGGAAGTAGAAGACTTATCACGGATGACGATTGTCCTTCGCGGATTGGATGGTGTGGTCGAGCAGGCCCGCCGCCAGCTGGATGACCTTGTCCCAGTCTGGGCAGTTCTTGATTATACCGATTCTGCCCTGGTACAACGCGAGCTCCTTCTTGCGAAAGTTAGTATTCTGGGGCCTGAGGTGTTCGAAGAGCTTCTCCAGCACCATCGTGAAATTACAACGCCCGAAAACGAGGAAGTATCTAGCTCAGCGGAACAACAGACAAATTCGACCCAGAGCGGGGCGGGAACGTTCAAAGGCAGCCAGCATGCCAGTAACTACCACCCCAGCGGACTAGCTCATAGCCAGGCGCTTCGTCACAAACACGAACATTTGAAGGCTATTACCCACCTGACTCAACAATTCGGTGGGAAGGTTTTGGATATCAGCACTAACAACTGCATTGTTGAACTGCAAGTTTATGCTCCCCTTGCCTCTTGGTTGAAAAGCTACCATTGACTGACAATGACTGCACAACAGGTCCGCAAAGCCAAATCGAATTGACTCCTTCCTTAAACTAATTTCTCCATTTGGCATCCTCGAATCTACCCGAACAGGCCTGATGGCCCTGCCACGGTCTCCGCTCTCTGGACCAGATGCAGATATTGAAAAGGATGCAAGCGAAGTTGTTGACGCTAGTGCTCTTCCGCCCGGTTAACTTTCGCAATGTTGTGACTCCTGATTTAATTTTAGATGCCTGTGTTGTCTTACTTTTGCATGTGTGTTGTCTGTTATCTTTTTATAGTTTTGTGTATTTTTTCTAAAGGAAATCAATCATGTTTCAGGGAGAAAAAATAACACTAAAGGATAGTGACGGGGCAATCAAGTCATATTTATTGCTATTTTCCCTCGTCGTGCATAATTCTATGCTGTCTTTTTGAATTTCCGTTTTTCTTCTGTATATTTTCTTTATTGGAAGGTACCGAATAAATAGCTATTTTAATTATATCTACTCTTTTTTTGTGGGGGAGGGGCGCCGTTTACATATCGTGTCCTCACTATAGGCATACCAAGTTTATTTTAATGTTCTCATTGCCAAACTCACTGGCTGCTGCGAGGCAATATCGTCCCAAAAGTTGGGTACTATCGTTTAGGAATTGGAATTATCTTAGATATTTAGTGTCTAATACGGCGTAAACGCTGTGTAAACAGAACAGTAGTGTGAAAAAAAATTGAACTTCTTTATAACCACCTATTCTCGCAGTACACAAAGATGGTTGTAAGGAAGCTATAAAATCACAACACAAATGAAAGAAACCCATACATATAGAATGGAAGTAAGAATAGTCATATCAATCTTCAGCGTTTACCAGCCAACATAGCAGGCTTGGGACCACATAAAAATCCTTCTGTTCATGTATTGAGGAACGGCTGAATAGAGGAAAAAACAATACGAACGTACTTCTCATATTCATAACATCTTAACATCGTAATATCGTTAGGGTATCAAGAATGCCAAGTCAGGTTATCAAAATCAAGGGAAACGGAAAATAACATAAACAGCATAGTAAGGGCAGGTCGTAGGCAGCACAAAACAAAGGTCTTGGAAAAAAAAAAAAAAGGTTAGAGAAAAAAACACCCCAAAGTCCAATTTAAGGTCAGGCGTCTGTGTCCATCGAGAGCAGCCCATAGGGAATTAACACTACAGCCATCCAGGGGCATATCCCGTCTTCCCAGCAGACCGCATATCGACATGTTCGACATCCTTCACTTTTTACCATCGCCACTTTGGCAATCCCCGCAGATTCCGCAGTACAAGGGGCTGTAGTTTTCTCCTGTCTTCCTGGTGCAGGTACACTCCTGGGAGAAAACCGTTTCTATGGCTCCGCATTTATAGATAACGAGGTGCTTGCACATGGCTGTGAGGAACGATACCACGCTCAATAGTACCGTTTCGTGGCTGGATAATGCCAAAATGGAAGAAAACACGGGCCGACAGGAGGTTGGTATTGGGATATATCACAGATTTGGGGGATATGATGGAATCTATTGTTCTCTTCTTCTTTGCGTTTGATTTTGTTACTCGCAATCCTCTTCAGGTCGCTGGAGTGGACAAGACAGATATCGATAGTCCTCCGAGGGTAAGTCGAAGCTTACACGAAGAATGAAAGCGAGACTGATATCGAGTAGATGGATTTGCTTGGGAATTCAGGAGATTTATGTGAAAATTTCAGAATGAAGGAGAAGGGAGAAAATGAGGTGTTCTGGCTTGAAAGATTCGGAGAAAGTTGATCGTGCCCTATCGAGAGTGTGTAGAATGATTTGGAAAATCCCGATTGCAAGTTGAAATAATGTTGGCGGTAACTCAATATAAATATAATCGACCTGGATTTGCTGTCCGAGATAAAATACTAACTTATCACACTCCAGTCATGGCAAACAAAGAAAAAAAAGTTTGTGCTACCCACCCAAAACAGAAGAATTAGACGTATAGCTGAATTTGAAGTGATTTGGTATTTGCCGACGGCTAGATGTGTTAAAGAGTGAGATCACAAACTCCAGAATTGAGTTAGGGGTTGAGGTGGAGACTATATACACCCCGGTCATACCCAAGGCAGAGAGACATGCTTTGTCAAAACGACTCAGTCACCTGCCAAGAATGGAGATAACCGTGAACGAACCCCCGTGTCTGCTCGGGCATAGAGGACTGTCCGTTCTGACGTCATCTAGCAGAATAAAGAGGAGCATGAAGTTTAAAAGAAAATGCAGTGAAGATGATAATATGTCGATGAAACATTGCCAGCTGAAGCGGAGGGTAGTACCGCAGATGTCAGAAGCAAACGAGACAAGGATTGACCATTGAATCTCGGGCAGAGAGTCAGCGGCCGCATGAAAGGAGGAGAGAAGTGGAAAGGTTACCGCCCATGCCTATCGCTGCCCAACGACGGAGGATGCGATAGGCATCGCAGTCGGAAATAATGGAAGAGAAGGGGACTGGCCAATGACAAAGTAGAAGCGTTGTTGTCCAGTGAGACCAGCAGCCGTTGGCAAAACAGATGCAACGACAGAGGGCATGGCCTTGGACGAGCAAGTCTGAGATGTGGAGACAAACTCCCATCTGCAAACATACGTCATATGCTCGTGGCTGACATGGGAAAGAAATTTAAACTGCCGAGTTAAATCGCGAGTCAAATGGCCATGCGCAGATTGTGGCCCAAGCATGCGAGCGCCGCTGCAAAAAGACTGATCGCTCAAGATGGCGTTCGACCGAAGTACACCTTTACAAAACGACTTTTGGCGGAATGAATCACTCAAAGCTATAAATTGAGATCACAACAGGAGGAATCGGAATCGCCTGCCAGTGCGGTAGCACTTGCAGCAGCAAACTTGACACTGCTACTTCATTAGTTGGTTATGAAAAATACAGAAGCAGCTTGACTGATTGCGTATCCACCATAATAATAGATTACTTAGTCTTTATCTCCCTGCCATCGAGAAAAAATAGCCTGGTGTCTAAGGTCCTCCAAAATCTATATAATCCACAGATTGTTATCCATGTCAATGAGGACATTGTCTGGTTCAGCATCCCCCAAGATAATCCCAGCTTTGTGAAACTCATTGATCATCTCTTTCAACTGATGAATCCATGTTTCCCAAAGATATGATGCTGGCTTTCGAATTTTCTCGAGAAGCCAATGTACAGTGAAACTTGATATAGGTGACTAGAATACCACAAATTTTCATATTGCTCTTATTTCCAGATGAAACAAAACTACGAAGTTTAGATACCTGAATTTTATCATTCAGCTCTAACTGATATATGTGGAGTGGTGTCTTGATTTCATGCTTGATATGTTTTAATAGCTCTCATCAATAAGCTGGTTTGAAAAATTGCTCCTTTCCCTCACTATCCACAAGCACTCTTGAAGATTGTAGTGGTCCTCCATTTTCTGAATCCCAGGTAATTTCATCTTAAGACTAGCAGCCATAGCAGTACTATATGACAATGAAAGATGGACAAATGGATTGCTGGTATTCTGTAATATTCCTCTTAAGGTTATTATCCGTGGCTTAGTTGGACGAGGCGCGAGGGTACAGGAGTGCAAACCAAGTCCTTGCCATCCAGTAAACAGGCCAGTTGGCCAGGTTTAAACTAGACAAGAGATCCTTTATCAAACCACGTGTGATTCCTAAACACTTCTCCATGTTTTTGACTAGTTAGAGCTAAAATATCGAAGCGCCTATCATAGGTTCTAACTTTATCACCACACTAAAATTTGGTGATATCATACAGCGGATCAGGATGTGCAGTGGCTTCAGGACTTTCATGAGGAGCCATCTTAGCAGGACAGGATGATTTCGGCGGTGCACAGGTGAAAATAAAACATTCTTATGGGAAGAAGGGGGGATCAATAATCGCCAACTCTAATAATATCAGTTGGTCGGTCTGTCGGCCGGTCGGTAACATGCAGCTATGACATCAAATAGTTGCTATTTGCGCTGTGAGTCTCTGACAGGGAACTTATACAGTCAGCACCGAGGAGACGGTCCATGGTTTTCCCAGAAGTATGTACATCGTAGGAGATTACTTGGTATTTCGCTTGCAGATGAGACCGCTGTCTCTAGATCAAAATCGATTGGACATTGACAGCCGATGTGAAGGAACCTGGCCAGGAAATCCAGAAAAAGGTCGACACTAGGTGAGATGGACCCCAGAATGGTTTGTCCAGGAGTTGTCGAGAGTTGCGGGGAGACTTACCGCCATTCGTCCACGTGTCTAGTTCGCAGAGATAACTATGGATTGGAAAGATCGTGACAAATCTCATCGCCAGACGACAAGCATGACCGACTGGTACTTCACATTCTCTCATTGTCATCATCTCGAGGGCGCTCACGATCAGAAGCTCATCCTTGCAAGACTTATGAGTTGGAATGTTTCTTATTCGTGTACGAGCAGGGCTGGCAGCTGGGAATGCCATAAAGAATGCTGAGAGGGACACGGGATAATACCAGAGCCAAAACTGAGAGAGTCTATTTATCCATCCAAAACCCTTTTCTTTCTGATTCTTAGCGTCTTACAAGCAGGATAATTCCGCCCCCCCCCCCCCCCCCCCCTTGAATCCGTAGTTCAAGCATCACCTCCCAGAATGGAAACATCCTGGGAAAAACACCGATAAAGCATAAGATAAATAATGGCTAGGTGGCGAATGGCGAGAAAGAGTTCTTTAAGTGCCTATTGACAAAAAGTATTAAAACACACCCAACGTACGGATATGCAACGCCCAAAAAAAAGTCAAAGAGTAATGAAAGCTTTACGGAGTTATCCTCCAGAAAACACATCTAAACGCCAATGAAATCCCCTGGAAGTGCCCTTCCCGACACACTCGAGACATTTTAACCTCAAAACTCCAACATATTACTCCATAAAAGATAAGGAGAAACCAGCGAGATTATCCCAGAAAATCCTTTTCGTATGCTGAGGAAACCTTGATCTATATCCGTATCTTCGCGCCGATCCCTTTTCCTTTGTAGAACACTGTATTCGAATAGTTTCCAAGCTGCACGTCGACGTCAGCGACGGCATCCATTTTTAATGTCCCTCCTAATGCCTCGCGGATTGCTTCGTATCCTGCGCCGCTAAGATCCAGCTCCACCGGCAGCCGGGGTGTTTGGGAAGTCCCAGGCGGAACCCTAAATGGATGGTCATACTTGATCTTTCCTACCGGCTCACTATGATTGTAGAACGCTGTTGCATCAATGGAGGTAATGAGAAGTGTCGTAGACGAGAGTGGTGAAGCCAAGGTGAATACCGCAGTCGAAGACCACAAGTACAACTACCAAGACCAAGGATATACAAGTCAGTCCTTGTCACTGTCTTGCGTGGTAGAACACACGTGAAACTTAGGTAGGGAGAGCAATCAGATAATGGGGTACCATTCGTCTGATTTACACGGTAGGAAATTGCTGAGAAAGAATATCGGCAAGAGCAGACAATACCGTTGCATCTTTAATGAAGTGTGGTTGACCATCATCCTCTGGTGGCCCAAGCTTGGGAACCGGAATGTCCAGCTCCAGAGACGATAATGCCAACCCTAAGTTAGGGAGAACGGGAATCATGTCTCGATGTGGCTTAAGGGCGATGGAAGTATTGAATCCTAAAAATGGGTTAGAGTAGTTGCTAAGCTGAATAGTTAAGTATGGTTAACCAACCTGAAACAAAACGAGAAATCAGGTCTTGGCCAGCAGCAATTCCATCCTTCCCACCAAGCTGCAATGGATCCCAGAGAGCAAATATTTCAATACCGGAATTCAATCCTGGTGATATCGAAAGGTTTCGAGCAGTCACGTGGCCAACGTTGGTTCCGTTGTGCGCAACTCGCAAATTTATGAAAGGGATGTCCGCTGAATACTCAGTTGGATTTGTGAATTTCAATTTTGATCCAAGAAGAATAGATGACTCTGTAGTTTCTACTACTTCTATGGTCTCCACAGTAGCCTTGAAGTCCGAAAATCCTCCGCTCATGGGCGCTAGACGAGATGACATGTCAGCAATAAATTTACGACAACCATGGTATCTGAAACGTACGCTTCACAGTAATATTACTACTGGCTGGAATCTCTCGGATTATGAATTTCCCAATAGCAGTATCTGTTTCTGCATCCACCTTTGCTTTTACATGTAAACGAACAGGTTTGCGCTCGAGTAGTAAAGCCTGGACGACGCTCAAAAAAGTGCTCTCATCGGTGACTTGCAATGGCGCCTTCTTGACATCAAATTGGAGTAGTAACGCTGCAGACGGAGGCTGCCCGTCCTCGATTCGAGTTGCGGTAGAATTTTGCCACTTCTTTATATTTATGAAACCAAGCTCTTTTCCTTCATAGTAAATATATGCCGTGGACCGAACGTGAGAGACATCTAACGAAAAGTTCATCCCTCTGGGAAGACCGATTACCGCTTTGACCAACGCGGAAACCATAGGCTGTGCTTCAGGTGTATTAGGTTTAGCGAGCGAGTCTGGTAGGGAGAAATGAACGTTGGTCATTGAAAAGTTTCGAACTAAATGACCAAGCGCACGGCCTGCAAAAGGTACAGGAACAGTAACGTTTCTCAGAAAGCCTTCTATCCAACTTGGCAAATTAGATGAAGGAGATTTTCCTCCGCCAATGTAAATTTTCGATTCTTGCCCACTGATATAGTTTTCAACTAGAAGATCTAAAGGTGAAAAGTTGGTACCAGGACAAACAGTCGTCAAGGCATCGGAAAGTTGACCAATGAGACCTTTCGCAGAGATATTCACGGGCTTATTAGGGACGATTTGAACTGGGTCCGTTGTAGCATTAGCTACTAGAATATAGGCGTCGCTAGGAGAACAGTTTGGTAGAGAAATTTTGAAGCCCATCGGTGGCATAGTGAGCCTGACCGGATACCGATTGATGACAAGCACTGAAACGTCCACCTCCATGGCTTTTTGATGTTCTGGTGTCGCGACTTCATGAAAGTCCAACTTCGTGATGTTGAACTTAGGGAAACCGTGGCGGGCTTGGTCTATAAGAAGTATTAGCTAAACATGTTTAATTTAACCTCGGGACCCTGAAAAAACTATACAAGGATTGACCTTGGAAAACAAACGACTCCACAACAGTCTGAGATCCGAGATATAATACTCCGGAACTCAGACGCACTGTAGCCACTCCTTTAACGCGCAGCTGGCCAAGGCGGCCTTGGAGCCAGTCGTTCGCCACAGCTCGAACTCCAGCCATATCTCCAGGTCTCAAGTCCGTTATAAAATCGATCTTATTTGTGTACCCATCACGGATACTGACTCTCAGTGGTGGTATGGTCGCAGTTGCCAGCAAGATGTTGCCGTACTCCGGAAGATAAACTTGGACTTCAGTCTGGTCGCTTTTGATCTCTCTTACTAACCACGTTCCAAAGCGCCCAAGATCACGTACAAATTTCGTTGGCACCCGTGACGCATCGAGAACAAAGGAGCCCTGAACTCTGGCCTGCACTCCATCCGGTGTAAACGAATTGACGGACACATCAGTCGCCTTAAAAACCGAGGCGCTCTCAGTATATTGTTTGATAATAGTTGGGCTCGCAAAGCCTAGCCCAAGAACTGCTATTATCGTCAACACAAGGCCTAGCAGTGCGACAGATGAAGGTCGGGCGATCCATCTCTTTCCCTGTTTTGTGGACGACCGGACTGAAGATGATTCATGGGAGGACGATGGTGGACAGCCAACATCCCCCAAATATCGGATTTCTTGACTTGCTCCATCAGCGAGAAGGGGTGTGGATTCCGACGGATTTTCATATGACGAGACTTTGGGCTTCCCCTTCGAACAAATAGAGCACGCCCCAGAGGGATGTGCATCAGGATCCCCCGTATTCCCACGGAGCAGAGGAGCACATTCGTCTGCCGAGTCCCCAGCCATGATGGTTGCGAACTACAGTCAGAGCAACAACGGTAGTTTAAAAACTATCTCCAAAGAAACATGGGCCGGCTCTTCCAGCTTTTGGTGAAAGACGATTTGGCGTCTCACGTCCGGAAGATAACAATTTGAACTTGAAGTCTTCCAAGACCGTCCAAGGCATGGCTGGCGATGTTGGATGACGTGATGACTCAGCTTGTTTCCAAAATTGGTAATTACCTTGTAGGATCATTGGAATCTCCAGGGCTGGTTACCTTGGAATCTTGAAAGTGTCTTGGTGTATTGACCAATAAATTTGACGGCAAATTGTTCGACATTTTAGTTTTCGGTAAACCGTAGCCAATAATATCTTAGAATAAAATACGAGCCACTAGTAATATTGCCCGCGTTTCGCACCATAACTGCCTCTAGTCATCTCCGTCTGTGACTGTAGCTCGTGGATCATAGACAAGGAAGATGACGCCCTGCCAGTCATCGAACGGATAACAGCTCACCCTGGCAAGTTTCAATTGGATTGACTTCAATCCCTTCAGAAAGATTCCCAGTTCATATCTGATATTCTTTCAGGCCTCCCTTTCCACGCTCGGTATTTCTCCAACTTAGTGCATTTTTTTGGTTCTCTTTTCTTTGCTTTTCTTTATTTCTTTACTTTTTTTAGAGCATAACCCAGTACTTCACCAATCCCCTACAACTTATTACAAGTCACCACAGTCCTCAAATCGATTTATCTGCTGTTGTCTTCTAACTTGTTTTCATAATGCTGTTATCCCGAAATGCAGCCAGGGCTCTCCGCAACATGGGTTTACAATTGCGACAATCTTCTTCCGCAAGTGCTGCAGGCCCGCGCCACCTGCTCTCTGTAGCAGACCTGACACCCTCTGAGTTTACAACACTTGTCCGCAATGCCTCGACACATAAACATGCCATGAAGTCTGGTTCGATACCAGAATCGCTTAACGGGTCACTGTCACGCAAAACTATCGCCATGATGTTTTCCAAACGAAGTACTCGAACCCGCGTTTCAACAGAGGCAGCGGTGGTCTCTATGGGCGGACACCCGATGTTTCTAGGGAAGGACGATATCCAGCTTGGCGTGAATGAGTCACTTTACGACACATCAGTAGTAATATCTTCGATGGTGTCCTGCATCGTGGCCCGGGTTGGCCCACATTCCGATATCGCGGAACTCTCCAAACACTCGACGGTGCCTGTCATCAACGCTCTCTGCGATACGTTCCACCCATTGCAAGCTATCGCCGATTTCCTGACTATCCATGAAGCTTTCCCGCCTCCGCAAAACGTTACTCCGTCGAATTCTAGTCTCGGCCTTGAGGGACGAAAAATTGCCTGGGTTGGAGATGCAAACAATGTTTTATTTGATATGGCAATCGGGGCTACCAAACTTGGCGTTGACATGGCTGTCGCGACGCCCAAGGGCTATGAAATGCCTTCGCATATTAAGGACCTTATCCAAAAAGCTCGAGGGGGAGTCAAGTCCCCAGGAAACATTACTCACACTTACATTCCGGAGGAAGCCGTCAAGGATGCAGACATTCTTGTGACAGACACTTGGGTGTCTATGGGACAGGAAATTGAGAAAGCAAAGCGAATCAAAGCTTTCGAAGGTTTCCAGATCACCTCTGATCTAGCAAAGCGTGGGGGTGCTAAAGAGGGCTGGCGATTCATGCATTGTCTTCCTCGACACCCCGAGGAGGTGAGCGACGAAGTGTTCTACGATAAGAGTCGGTCCCTGGTATTTCCCGAAGCAGAAAATCGATTGTGGGCAGCGATTTCAGCATTGGAAGCGTTTGTAGTCAACAGGGGCCAAATCCTATAACACATACCAGTCTTCCGAAATGAAAAGTAGCCGTTATACATTACTTAAATCCATCCACATTCTTCTGGAACCTTTTTGCGTGGCACAGGTTTCACCTATCCACTCCACTTTTCAACCTTTGTGTCCCTTCTCCGTAGGATTTTCTTCTCACTACAAACTTGATAGACGCAGTGAGTCATTGTCTTGCCGTTCCTGGCAATCCGAGCATCGAATGGCTGGGTTTTGGTTATATCACGTGACTATATCGAACATCCCGGCCGTCATCCATGGCTCTGGATCTGGATCAAGCGATGAATCTCGGTCAAACAATTTTCATTTCTGCATCGACTGGAGACCGAGCCTCCACTTGTACACTCGCTTCCTGTGGCCCGAGTAATTCATCCACCGGCCATAATCTGTCCGCTAGTTTCAGCATACTACAGACCACCCCTCAGGCGCCCATCAGGGTGTTATTCTTCTTTCCAAAATCATCGATCTTTTATAGCCAGGTTGTATTGTTTGTTTTATACTTTTCTGGTTCAATTATGGAGGTATGAGCACCAGCCAATGCATTCAAGTTCATAGCACTTTACATTGTTTGCTAAATCCAGAAAAGCCTTTATCGCAGTCTTACATACAGGGCTCTTTTCGTTCTCGTCGTTCCCATACCTCGCTTCATCATATCTCACTTGCACCATTGACGTCCAGATTTCCTCTTGATGGGGATGATGGACCTGATCCCGATTACATTTATTCAAACGATGACGAGCGGGAGCCCTCCCGACGATTCCCATATAGTCCTCACCATGCCACATCGTCTTACCTTGCCAGTGCTTCCGTGCCTGCAACACCGCCGATACTGTCTCGCAACACCTCATATACTAACCTCTCAAAACGAAAAACCACTCCAACATTGCCCCGAATGAGTCGTACAAAGTTGGACAAAATGGACTCGGAGCAAACTCGCCATCACCGCAGGTCTAAAAGTTCTACTACCTTGAGACCAAAATTATACAGCCCTGCTACCCACCAGGATTCTGAGTGGCTCCTGCGAGCGGGACTGGCGTTGTCGTCTTCCACCCGTGAAGAAAAGGGACAGAGTTGGCTTGTAAAGCGAGATAGCTCAACTAGTCTTGTATCCGAGGAAGTTCCAGATAAGGAGCGGCGACGCTACTCTCATCTTTCACATCGTAACTATAGTCGGAGACAGCGATCTGGACTATCAACGCCCGTTGCTCTCTCACGGCGGGCCTCCAATTCCCATATGGCCAGCAAATTTGGCAGCCGAGTAGACCTTTCTATGACAGCAGCCAGCCTCACTGAGCAAACCTCTGAAGATCGCGCTTCAATATCCGATGATTCTGTGGGACTTGTACCGGACTTTGTCGATGAGAGCCTACACAGCGAAATGGCCGCAATGTCCCCCGGCCACATTAGCCAGGTAAACACGCCAAGCCACGGAGGAGACCACAATTTCGATGACGGGGTATATCAGACCATATCGAGACGAAATTCCGCATTTGATTCCTCATATTCGGTGTCAACCTCAGAATTCTCGGATTCGGAAACAGACGATGAAGAGGAGGTGGATGAGGCTGAAATGAAACGTTTGACCCGTGAGCGCGGGTTGGGCCTTGGTAGATGGATAGATCGTCTAGTCGAATGGACTCTTTTTAGTGTAGAAGATGAGATCCCTGGTGTTACCGCCGAACCTTCTCGTCAACCTCGCCAGTTTGGTGATATTCAACACCAAAATTCTGTTGAAGAACCAAGCAACAATTCTAACCAGGATGAGGAGAGTTCAGAAACAGAAGGTGAAAATCAGCAGCAGGAGGCAGATGAAACTTCAGTGGTGCAGCTCATAGAAAATCCAGGTGATGAGGGTGGATGGTCTGATGTTGGCTGGCTGCTTCGTGTGGCGAAGAGCATCGCTTTTTAATATATGCACGGGAGGGCATCGTTGTTTTCTACTTTCCTTTGATTGTCCATTTCGAACTAATCATCCCTCCACTTCTTGGTATTTTATAATATCTCTTGCTCCGAACAGGGTGGTTTATAAATATCGGACCCCCTGGCGATATTACACAGTCTTTTCAGCCGATCAATGGGATCGGAGATTAAAATGATATGCGATTAAGATCGCCTTCTGGATATATGTACAGGCTTCTCTCCGCTGTTGAGACATTTCAAGCCTTAATGCAATTCACACCAGTTTACGAAACCTCCACGAAATTCCTCCACACAAATTTGATCATGCGGAAGAACAGGCAATAAATTGCCAAAAAAAAATTTCTCATCCTTCAATCCCCATTTTCCCTACAAGCCCTTGTTTTAAAATCGCCAACAGAACGCAGTTGGGATAGACACAGGCAGGTATGAATTGACTGCTCTTGCGCACGCAAGTCTTTAAAACTCAAATAACGTTACAGACAACTACATGCGAAACATTTTTTTACTCAACTTTTGGCTTGTGGATGATACATGTAACCATAAACCCCTGCGAAGGAGAGGAGATCCTGTACTACGGAGTACTTTCACAGCGAATTGGTCACACAGGACGTGAATTGGATATACGAACAAAGCCGATAAACACACAGTTTACAGATAATGCTTATGCAGGCCGCTCATCACTATTGCTTGGGAAAAAGCAAACACTGTTAGCCCAGAATGTGATTGGTTCAACCTTCAAGCTCGAAGTTGCGACCATGGGAGTTAAAAATCCTTTTCAACAATGAATACGGAGTATATCGCCGCCCTTCGCTCGCTGCTCCTGTCATCTAGAATGACAGCTGCTTAGGCAGCGCCGCCAGCACATCTGACGATGGCCTGGAAGACTAGATATTTCTATAGACAGCACATCACTTCTTTTTCAGACTTTCCTCACTTTTCCTGAGTGATCCTGCTCGAGTAGTGGCTCCAGCCATCCCTTCCAGGCAAACAGGCTAGTCATAAAAGGACGCCTGTTCCTCGACGCTATTCAGATCGACAAAATAATGGAGCCAAAAAAAACCGGCTTGTCCGTCAGACCCTTTTTATTTCTCCTGCGTGAGGCTCCCAAGAAAACTTTTCAACTGCTACCAGTCAGAATCGGGGGGCTTCAAAAGCAATCCCTCACTTGAAATTCTTAACTATTAACTAACCCCTGGTTTCCTCATGAGAAAAAGAAAATAAGGGGGAGGGGATAGCTCGCCAATGCTGTGCCACGGTACGCAGCCTAGGAGACAATCTCCTTTGTTATTATATACCATGGTGGTCAACCGCAGTCGCTTTCTCTTTTCTTTCCTGCTAATCGCTGCGCGATTTCAACGTCTTTGCTACTGCTCATTGACTTCTACCCTCTCTTCATGAATTGAAGCAGATGGTCCAATGGACCGCTTCCGACTATCCCTATCAGCTTCTATCGCTCTTCTTTCTCTAAGCCATTTCACCGCGGGTGCTGCTACCATCACTTCCACTACCACTGCCGGCATCGACCTTCCGCCAGAAGCGATAGGATATTATATTCATGACAGTCTGGGCACAGTCACAGGTATGTGCACACGAATTTCGTTAAATACTTGAGGTGAACCTGCCCAAAAGTCATGGACCTGTTTAACGCGAAGCCGCTCTGCAGCTGGGCTTATATCTTGCCCTGGATCTCTACACTGGGGAACATCAGGTGCCTATGGTTATTGTTGCCATCCCAGTAGAACTGAGAGTTGCGCACTCGCAACTGAATGTCGAGATGGTACAATAAAAGGCCCTGATCATACAAGTAGCTGGTAGGCCCTACATTACCCTTCAGGATCTCAAAAATATGCCTTCGCCGATATTAACCTGAGCGCTGCATTATCGTCCTCCTAGCGAAAATTGTGTTACAGTTTCTGTCTACGAATCAATACGTTTGGTGCCGCCATCCGTGAAATTTGTTCAATGTCTGAGTAATTGGCCGGCATTGACGCTGTATCGTCATCTCCCATCTCGAAAAACGACATCCATCGGTATAACTTCAATGCCACACAGTATGTATGGACAACGGCTCACCTTTTCCAATTTATAGATGCAACGATAACCACTTCGCCCGATGTGACAACAACTTCCACTTCATCCATAAAATCACCAGGCAGTATAACAGCTGCCCCGATTGCACCAAGCGGGCCCAACACCCCTACCTCGTCACCTGGGGACTTATCTGACAAATCTCCCGACGAAAAGAAATCAGAAGCAGCAAAAATATCCAGTATAATTATTGGAATAATTCTTTTTATCGCGATAGTCATTCTCGGACTCTTGCTCGGCCGTAGCAAGTGGAATAAGCCTGCGTCGCAGGATTCACTTAGCAAATTGCATGAAGCCGAGGGATCCAATGGACTTGTGCCGGCTCCGACTCGAAGAATAACATCAAGGCGCGGCTCGCAACGAAGCCATACATCGAGAGACGGGTTTATTTCTTTTGAGGACCTCAGCCCGTCTTGTAGGTATTCACCTGCACAGGAACTGCCCACCGTGGTTGAGGAGCGATATCAACAATTAAGCACCACTTCGAGCCCCATCAGTCCCTGCGTGAGTTTGCCCCGCTAGTCGATAAAAGGCGCTTTTATTCTACTTAACCCATTCTCATACGGCATAAATTTTCGCACTCACTTGGGCTCTTGTAAAGATGCACATGTATAGATAACGTCATAAGACCTGGGGTATGCAGTTGCTTTCGATATACACCGTTTGCTTACCGTTTCCTCAACAATTCGACAATATTGGAAACATTTGGCTCCTGATTAGTTAGCCTCTGGCTTTGCAGCGTCCGACGTACACATGAAGTGCGCACATGCTGTTTTTCCTAATATTTGATATTTGTTTCGGCTTTTTCTCGCTTGTCTAATCATTGGGGATTTCAACGAATGAGAAATATTTTATGTCCAATTACCAACGACTTGAATATATGTATATCTATATATTCACCGTACTACGCTTTTATACCCCTCTCTTCCATATACTTACTCTCATTGTTGGATGCCTTTGTCTGTTGTACATTAGACTGTACCATTTTTATGCTAGCAATGTGGCGAGAATATACTACTTGTATAAAAGGAAGCGGCCAAGCACAGTGGGACATACCGTCGCTCTTCTACTCGAATATAAGAGACAACCCACACAACCCTTTTCCTGACTTTACGACGAGATTGTGCTGCATTCGCAGGCTATATAGGGCCACGGTGGATACGGTTGATTCATCTCAGTGGACAAGGACCGATGGACTTGCTAAAAGCCTTCTTGGGGTCCAGCCGCGTTTACGAAACGGCATTGAAAGGACTTCTTCCCAGGCAGCAGGATGTTAGGATATGCATTTCCTTTGCGTCGAAGGCTAAATCGCAATATTGACCTCTCTTTCCGAGCGAGATATTAATACATATATTGGGTTATTAAATAAAATGAGTTATTTATTTACAGGGAAAAAAAAAAAAAAACCAAGTGCTCAGGGAAAGGAAATGGGTGAATAATAACTAGCAATGTATGTATCATAACAGGCAGGGAAATTTTTGTAGTTACATATTGCCGGAGCTCTATTTTCAATTAAGGACGATTCAAAACCTTTGCAAAAAAAATATCCTTTAAAGTGGGTAACTTCAGGACATCGTTGGTTCTGTTTGGTAAGAGAGAATACAAAGCGTTATGGAACCAGAAACTCGATATTTTGCAGCAGTTTCTCTCTTCTCATTTTCGCATCGAAGTTTTATCGATGCAATTTGCTGCTGCGGCAATCCTGGCCCTTTCACTAAGAGGGAGGGCGGTATGGGGCCAGCCAGAAGATGCGGTGTATTTTGTCAGCTGGGCGACTACGGTGGTGAGCTGCAAAAGATCCGTAGATGTATTGGGTCTACTAGGAAACTGGTTTCGACCCCGGAGGACACGCGCGTTCCCTAGCGAGTATACGGTATCGGTCCAAAAGATCAGTTTCTGCCACTCCAGGTTGATGCTGGAAGTTAAAATGGACAGCTAGGGCTTCTCCCACGATAGTGACAGCTAGAAAATGTTTCAGTTTCTTAGTTTTCACGATGGTATGGGAGGTAGAAAACAACAGGTAGATAGATAACAACAAGGGGAGAAGCTTATTTATTGAATGGAAGAGTTTAAAAAATATGGATGGCATGTTGCAGAGACTTACGTCGACTATAAAGCTTGGGAAGCTCCATAACAACCATTTCTTCATCACTTCTCTCCTTTGGCCAGGTATCAATATCGCTATCGAGTATATCGTCTGCCCAAATGGCAAGGACATTGATTCTTATTCGTTCGTTATCCATGTTCCAGGGGAGATTAAATTTGTAAAGGTCAAGCTGATTTTTCTCCAAGTTTTCTAAAAATGAATAGTGCTGCTGGGCGGCGATGGCCCAACTAGTATAGGTATCGCCCCATACTTCATATTTGAGGTGCGTCACCGGGGTTCGAACAATAGCTTTGTCGTCTTTCACACGCAACCACCGATGGCCTTTAGCGGGCGGGGCGGCATCCAGGGCCCATTCAAACTTATCAGGTCCTTCCCAGTGCGGGTGATCAGAAGGTTTCCATGATTTATTATCGCTGACCTTTGTGGATGGTTTGCCATTGGCCAATTCAGGGAAATACGGATGGAGAGCGCCAACATGGTAGTGGATGAAGCTCAATGGGGGATTGTTGATGATGTTTGCTGAGACTGCGAAATCGTTGGGGTGCTTTAATTTCCGGTCAACGATTCGAGGAATGGTATCGTCGGCTAACCAAACCTAGAGAGCCATGGCGAGGAAACCATCAGCAACTGCTACCAGCCCGTCGGCATTGACCTTCAAGAAGAAGAGGGAATAAATAAGACTTTCTCCCTACTCACCACATCATCATCTATTTTAACGTATATCTTTCCCCTCTCGAGATGCTTCCAGATTTGTCTGAACTCTGGGCCTCGAACCTTTCTCCCAAGATCCAGCTTTCTGTGTCGTGGAGAGCTGGCCAGGATTTCATCGAGATACCTCAGATCATCTTCATTTTCGGTATTGACAACCCATAATACTTCATCCAACCATCCATTATTGTCGGCCAAATTGCGCTGTTGTGAGCGACCGTGCTGTCAGTCTAAGCCCCAAACGAATCGTGGTACACACAGCCTATTTATATCTCTGCAATAGAAGAAGAGATTTCATACCTCCACATAGCAGCGCATTGCCTCGACACGATCCCGACGGCCATAGAATACAAAGCCGCTAATGATAATATTCTCAGGTTTGATGAATTCGGTTTCACTCGCATTCACATTTCCCGGCAGATGGAAAGGATTTATCTGTGCAGTTCTGGTTGAATCCTTTGGTCCTGAACTTCGGGCCCTGTAAAGGGTGTTCGTGAGGAGGAATACATTGAGGAGCGACAGGGCAACGAGGGCGTACAACGTGGATCTCTTCTTGAAGTTCGACACTATCGATTCGCGGTAGTTGGATTTATTCAAGTTATTGGACAAGGGAATGCTAGTCGTCATTGCTCTAGGGGCACCCTTCGTGCTCCGGCTCTTTCACGGAATGACAGTGAGATGAATCAAAATAACGGACGTTCATTCGCATCGCCTTACTATACGATTCCCTAATAACGGGACGACGCGAAATGGTCGACAGTTAAGGAGGTCCAAAACTATCATTGAGCCCTTAAACTAGCGCACCAACTATCACACGAAGCTCACTTGGCATAATCAGGCTTGCATGGAAACCCTGATTCGCCGTAGGGCTCAAAGAAGGCGCAAAGCCCGCGGCTGAGGCTAACTAGTTTACTACGCATAGGTTAGGCGACAATTCCTCCAATAAATTCGTTTAGCGAATTGACATCAAGATTCCATGGAGCGTGGCGACTTGGAGGCATTACTCGGTATATTGATAAAAACTGTGGACTTTGGTTAAGCTACTCAAGCAAATGAGAAGAGGAAAATGGAGTGTTTATCTGATTAAATGTACCTATAACTAATTATTTTAGTCAAAATGCGTAAATACCAAGGTGTTTCCGGTGTCAGGAATTATCACGGAAGCTATGCGCGGTATGAGACGTTGAAATGAATCCGTATGAGACCTAGGTCTAAGACCTCAATCTTGGCTCTAGAATACCAGTAACAGGGGCATACACAGTAAATGAAACTTTAACTGTCTCGCGAGTGTGAAGTTATGCCCTTGGGCAATATTTACGTATAGATCCGAGTGGGATTATAAAATTCAACCGAGATGTTGCTGCCTCCCCGAGCAATCATGCAAGCACAACATTTAGGGGAGCTTCTGACCAAAGAAAGGGTGACACACAATATTATTGGGAAAATTATGTTTATGCGTAGTTACTCTTGTTTGTGCCGCCTGCGCTCTCGAAGGACCACTGACAGAAGAGGTGATTTTGAATGAAGATGGCTGATACGGCGAGAAATCTAAGCTTTAGATTTTATTTGTCCGGAGTCGCTGGACGAGACATGAGATTTCCTGGCTTCAAGTGCTTTTCCGCTCAGAGGCAGCCAAGGAAGAAGACAGCCCAAATCTTTCATTCATTAGACATTCCAGGTCAATTTTTTTTTTATGGAGACTTGGCCAAGTTCCTCCAACGCTTCGATAGATGCATACACGTCAATTGAGGTATCAGTCGAGACTAATGAAGCTATATATATGAATCGGCTATATATATAACAAGTTGACCGAGGTATGAACATTGTAGACGGGAGACCGTGTTCATGTTCTTACAGCTCTTCCAGGGTATCGGGTGTTCTATCACATTTCCATGGGGGATTGTAAAGCCAGGAACCAGAAATCGGGGTAAAATGCCCTTGGTTGTCAAATACTTTTTACCATCGGAACGATAGATGGAAATGAAATTTCTCAGTTCATTTATACATGAAATATAGACAAATATGTTTTTTCCTTCTTTGAGAAAGCAGTCAGGGATTATGTAGTGCAAAAGGCATTGTCTTGACGGAATAAAATGGAACTAGAAACAAAAACAGAAACAACAAGATTGTTCCTTCAACCCATATGCTGCTTGTGACCTGGATTTTGTTTCCTTGAAAAGGGTTTCCAAGACAAAAAGAGGTTTGCAATGGGGAAGGGTGGGTTGTAAGACACAAGTTGAGCGGCACTTAGGAGAATGGGACGAAACGGACTACTGGCCTAACAACAAAAGCGGAATCAGCTGAACACGCATGTCGGGGTGGTAGTATCCATAGAGGATATATGTTTATGTAGGTACACGTTTAATGATTGTAAATGGGAAGTGTCATCAATGTAAACGACAAGCAAATATAAAGATGAGGGAATTGAAAGTGGATGCTGCGAAAGGGATTGGCACGCTGGATATTCACGAGAGAAAAGAATAAAATCAAAAGTAGAAAATAGAAATAGAGAAGGGAAGAGGGCTGGCTGTAGAGAGTAAAGGAAAATAAAGGGGAGGGAATAAAAGCTCCCGAAGATTTGTTATTCCAGGCATGTAGAACATGGAATGGTATTGCAAGAAGCGACCTTGATCAATAATGATGGGAACACAGAAGATCACATGAAAATGAAAATAAACGCCAGGAGTGGGCTATGTGTAACTCTAATTCCATGTGCGGTGGGTATCGTAGCCGTGTCGTTAAGATGAAAGAAAAAGAGAAACGGAAAATGTTATGTTCCGCTGGGGGAAGGGGCTTATTTACCACAAGAAATTGCTTCAAAAAAGACGGGAGGATCTAAAATGTAGAACAAGATAGCCAAAAATAAGGTATTCTGTCCTGTACAGTGAGAGACGCGGCGAATTCTGATCACCAGCGGCCGACCTTCAGTGGCATACCACTGCCGTAAGTGCCAGAAAGGAGCTGCTGGCGTATCGATGAAGCATCCACTCCCTGATTATTAGACAAATCCTGATTGGTCCCCATCCAACCAAGGTTAGAACTCAGAACGTCGACGGCGTCCTGAAGTTTCCCTCCGGCTGTCTGGTTGTGCTTTGAAAGTTTTTCATCCCATCCGCCATATTGCAACTGGATGCCGCCGCCACGTTTCCCAGCTTCCCGAATAACCAGTATCCACGCTTTAGCCATTTCCTCATAGGCGGCATCTTTCTCTAAGTTGTTTTGTGGCGTGTCCCACCTGGGGAGTCGATGTAGAATCTCAGTGGCACCGTCAAGGTAACTTAAGGCCGTCGAAGTCTGGGATTCGTTGGGTGGTAGAAAGTGAGGTGTGAAATCACTCAAGGCGTCGAGGAGGTTGACAATATGCTGGCGGACGCGGTTATATGCATAATCTGAAGAGGAATTCCCTCCAAGAGGGATAGAAGAATGGAGGGCTGATTGGTAGTTGTTTAGAACCTGTAGGGCAGAGCTAACGCTTGGTCGAGGAGCGGTATGTACCACTTCCGTTGCAAGCTCTGGGTGTCTGTCACACATTGACCGTAAGACGGAACGAAGGGCATCGGTATCCAGCGTCTCCAACAGGCGGGATAAAGATAAGGGGCGACCCGAAATATTTGGTCTCGATCGTTTGATCTGACGAGAGGCAGGTAGTGGCCTCGGGGGAAATGCTGGGGAGTTCGAAGGAGAAGCGGACATTCGAGTGTCATGGTCGCTTGGGAGGTAATCATCCTCAGCTTTTCGTTTTCTGTTGCCACTAGGATTGGTAGAGGACACTGGCAAGCACACATAGGTCAGCATATACGCAACTACGCTTATTGTCGTTTAAGAGGAGCTCACTGGACCGGGAGGGAGAGAGTCGGCAGTGCTCGTAGAAGTGTGGTGGAACAGGGGGTGTTGCCAGCAGGCTATTCATATTGGGAAGAAGCAGGGAGGAGACGCAAGAGGGAATGCCAGCAACGAACGGCAAGACGAGTACTATATTTGGACACTGATATCAGAGAGGGAGGCGCGGATGCATATGTTAGAGACAGAGTAGTCAGGAGAGGATATGAACGAGAAGAGAGCTGCAAATGGAGGAGGAAGAAGCAGATGAGGTTGAAGGTTGAAGGTTGGAATGAAGAAGTTGAGGAAAGGAAAGTCGAAGAAGTTGAGTGGGGAGACATTTGGGGCTTGGTATTGTATTGGTATTGGTATTTTAACAGGTCCACAGCAAAAATGTCGGACTTGGCGTATTATTGCATCACTGACAGGACGAAACAAACGTTTCCTAGGTTGCAACGGGCAACGACACAGTCACATTACCCTGTCATTACGCCGTTTCAATATACCACCGCTTTTCAAATATTGTCCCACGCGATCTCGAGATTTATAGCTCGGCACCCGAGTATTCAGGAACAAATCACCATGCTATCTGCAGAAGGCATCTTACGGCCTATTTTCAACGGAAATTGAAGTTAAAATTGGAGACCCACACGGGAAATCAGAAAAGCACACCAAGGTCACGATTATACCCATACAAAATTTCCCGTGGCAGTAACACTTCCCGAACTCCTGATAATGCGATACGGTGCCATGCGAGAATTTGTGCGTATAGTGCCTACGAACCCTACATGAACTCATGGATATATATATGTGCACAAGCAATAAGTGAAGAACAAACAAAAAGAGCACATATAGACCAGCAGATGCCGTAGTAGTGGTAGGCAGGTATCAAAGCTGGAGTCAGTCACCTTCTAGAGATAGAGAGATTGTGCCGCAACAATATCCCGCTTCACCATCTCGAGAGACTTCTCGAACTTCTTCTCCAAATCTTCGCTGCCCATAACTTTCGCTGCTTGGGCCATTTGCCGCATACATTCCTCCAATCGACGAAATGTCCGGATCAAGCTTCCCTCGTAAACATCCGTCATTTTGCTGGGAGCAAATCACATGTTAGCGAAGAACAATGAGGGAGAAAACGCCCTAGCCTAGTAGTGGAAAAAAAATTCTGAGGTCGAGGAGAAAAACTTTACCAAATTTCCGCAAATGACTTCCCCTTCGCCCATTCATAAATGACCTCCATCAACTCCCATCGGAATCCTTTCACATATTCGTCCTCATTGACCGCCAGTTTGGACTCCTGCGACACCTTGGCAATAATCCTGGCCTGCGCCTGGATATCTCTCAGTGGCTTCGCGAGCTCTTCCTTGGAAATCGGCGGCGTCTCCTTGGAACTCTCCTCAAAGACAAACACGCTAAGAACTGCAGCACACTGTTCGGGTGTGAGGTTATTGAAAAACCCATTGAAAAGCAGCTCGCTCAGCATTAGCTCGTCGCCGCTACTGATCTCGCATGCGACGCGAGCTTTCAATTGCACAACTTCTGCCTCGTTGATGAACTGGAAGCGACGAAGCACCCGTTTCCGACATTTTAGCTCGTCTAATTGAATAATCGACATAGCTTCCGCAATCTTCTTTTTTGTTGTTTTGATTTTAGATCCAAGTTCGGTTTTTGCCGCGTATTGGTCATATAATTCTGGAAGTCGCGGGGAGTTATGAAGTGGATTGGACATTAGACGTGATTCCAATACCTCAATTTTCTGCTCCAGAAATTAGCACAAGTTTATTCAAAGAAAAAAAACCGGAGGGGGGGCCCGTGTTGGGGGACTGAAATTAAGAACTGCCGCGGCACGTACCCGAAGGAGTTTTCGGAAGGAATCATCCTTTATTCCCATGTCTTCAATTGGGTCCAAAAGGGGAATTCCATCCGGGAATCGCCGTTGGATCTCCACAATGTGTTTTTTAACCTCACTCCTCGCGCCGGTTGGCTTAAGGTCTTGAGGCAATCGAATCCGAAGATGGGAGATGGTTTTTAAACAACTGAGAAGCACTGGTACAACTTCTAACTTGGATTTCCCCTCCGGTTGGGAAGGCCGGATCCCAGGGGGAAGAGGTTGTTGACCAGCTCTCGTTGGGGAAGACGAGCCCTCTGCGACTTGTAGCAAGACATCGACAATAAAACTTTCATGTGGAGGATATTCTTCATTTGGCGCGTTTCGAGGGGGTTTTCTCTTTTGACAGCTGACAACAGCTCCCCAGCCGAAATCATAATCCATGTATTGTATTTGAACAAGCCGCCCTGGCTGAATGTACCGTACACAATAGTTTGGAAGGCTGATAACGCTACGCATATCAGAGGTGTACGTGGCGATGTTTTGGCGTAGCTCATAATATTCCCGGATCGTCCCCTCATCGGGAATTGTCATCACAGCATATTCATTCTCCAACTCAGCCAATTCTATTACCATTAGAAAAATGCCTTTATTTATAATATTAGGGCTGTTGAACACATACCTCTTTCCAATCCCACTACACTAGCCGCATTTTGGAATTGATAAAAGCATCGCTCTAACATAAACTCTGGCGATATACCCTCCACGCGTAGCAGGTTCAATATCATGTTATACCCCAAATAAAATGCCGAGTTAAGTTTGTCTTGCTCCCCACGGACGATTTCCTTCGCAACGGTTGGATCCATTTCCTCATTGATCATCATAATGACAATACCGCGATCATCAAGGCCTCTACGTCCAGCACGGCCGGACATTTGCACAAACTCAGACGGAGTAATCCAGCGCTGGCTTACTCCATCGAATTTCCGGACACTTGTGAAAACCACGGTCTTTGCAGGCATGTTTAGACCGATGGAGAACGTCTCTGTGGCGAAAAGCACCTTAATCAACCCTTCCTGGAAGAGAATTTCGATAGTTTCTTTGAGAATGGGGAGAAGACCAGAGTGATGAACCCCGATCCCGAGACGAAGCAATGGTAGGATGTGTTTAATCTGCGGCAGTTCCTTGTCCTCATCGGAGAGCATCTCAATAGCACTATTGAACACCTTGCTGACCATCTCCTTCTCCGATTCATCGTTAAATGCCATCTTGCTCATCTGTAGTGCAAAGGCTTCGCACTCCCTCTTGCTGAAACTGAAAACGATGACCGGGTTATAGTTTTTAAGCATAATCATCTTCACGATTTTGTAAATATCAGATGGGCCCTTATTGCTCTCTCCACCCTTATTCGTCTTCTTGTCTTTTCCTTTGCCTTTCCTCTTAGCCATCACGTTTGCTGGATCATCTCCTTGTTTCTCAGCGATGGTCTCCATGGCTTTGTGGAAATTCTCCTCACGAAACACTCCTTTCTCGTCAACAACAAGATGGATTCCATCGGCGCCAGCAGGGAAAAAATAATGTTGTAAGGGTGTTGGCCGGAAATCAGTGTAGACGACGTGGCAAGGTTGGTTGTGCATTTTGGTAATCCATTCCGCAAATTGCATCGCATTCGGAATTGTTGCGGAGAGGAAAACATATCTAACTTTGTCTGGAAGAAGAATAATGGTTTCTTCCCATACAACACCACGAGCTGCAAAAACGTTAACACTTTGAAATTTCAAGCCAGAGTTATTAACATGAAAAAACTTACTCTTGTCTCGCATGTAGTGTATCTCATCGAAAATCACCCAAGCCACTTCACGCATGATTTCTGAGCCCCTGTATAACATGGATCGCAAAATCTGTGACCTGATTAGTGCTTCATCAATAAACAAGATATCTAGCAAATTGTAATACCTCAGTCGTCATGACAAGGCATGTCGCCGTAGGGTTTATGGTAACATCACCGGTCATTAATCCAACATCACCGAATTCAGCTGCGAATTCTCGGTATTTCTGGTTGCTCAGCGCCTTTATAGGGCTTGTATAGATAACTCTCTGGTTATTTCTCAGACTTTGCGCAATAGCATATTCTGCAACCACCGTCTTTCCAGCACTAGTATGAGCGGATACCAGAACACTTTCCCCCCTTTCGATTGACGCAATTGACACCTGTTGGAAGGGATCAAGAGTGAAGCTCCATGTTCTTGCGGGTGTTTCTGGTGGTTTGTGTTCCGATATTGGAATATATGGATAATCTGGAGGCAGCGCAACTTGATGTCGAACTTGATGTGATAGAACAACAGCTTTCGTATCTTGTGTTCCTTGAAGACCAGCAGAGCCTGCAATCTCTCGCGACTGCTCCGTCTCGAATGTATCGGCCACGACCGGTTCTGGCTCTGGCTGGAGGCGCTGTCGCTTTGGATCGGGTTCGCTATTTTGCGACTCGGTTGGTTCCACCATGTCCATATCCTCCATTAGGGTATCAACAACCTGTCCATTCTCCTGGCCGCCCACCGCATTCGGACGATCCTTCACAACACCATTTGCCTGTCTCTTTCTGTTCTTTTCCTTCTTTGTTCGAGGCTTGGAAGGATCTTGAAGAGGAAGTCCGGTGGGAGGTTTGTCCTCGAACACATCGAACAAGTCGTCCATGGTTGGCAGACGCTATGTGGAAGCTGTTTGGAACTTCAGACTCGATTGTTAGGAGAAAGTCCTCGGCCCCGTCATTGGTACTGCTACAACACCAAAAACATTTTTCTTCTAGAGATACGTCACGTGATTGGAAATTTTGCTGAGTCATCACGGATCCCTATTCCGGAACAGACCATCCTGACGAGTGTCGGATTCTTGAATTATCAAGTCACAATTTAGGCCAATTCTACCACAGCAGGACTCTCCAAGGTACGGTCGACTCCCCAATTTTATATCCCTCCCAACCATATACTAAATATCTGTCCAAGATGCTCGCCCAATCTGCAACCCGAGCCAGAATGGCCACCTCCGTTGCCCGCCGCGGCTTCCACACCACCCAGCCTCAGATGTCCAGTCCTTTCCACTACCCTGAGGGCCCTCGCACCAACCTCCCATTCAATCCTTTGACCAAGCGCTTCGCGTGGAGATACTGGGCATTCATGGGTAAATTAAGCTTCCTGAATGCTGTATATTTTGGGCGAGGTTCGTTTGCTAACAACATTTTCTAGCCACGGGTTTCGGCCTGCCCTTCGGGATTGCCGGTAAGCCTACTACTATAAATTCGTCTCTAGAACAAAATACAACTGACTTAATGGTGAAACAGCCTGGCAAATGAACAAATCCCAATAAATCGCCTCGGAGTGTATTGGTATTCGGTCCTGTGGTGGCCAATCCTCTTCAAAGCGGAAATTGGGGGGAATAATTATGTTATTGCATTGTACAAAACTAGAATTACTCTGAAAAAAAATTTTTCTCCCGTATATATCTGTCAATACCTGTCCTATATTATCATAATTTAGAACGCATAAACTGTATGCTGTTGCTGCCTATTGTTGTGCCGTAACTCATGGTAGTTTCTAAATCGGAGTGGATGAAGTCATCGACCAGAAATATTTATCCATCCACCAAACAGAAAATTTGAATACTAGTTAGTATTTTCAAACTCCTTACAAATCATATACAGGCCCCACAAACAAACTCGATATCCAACCTGTAATGCTGTATACTTAAGAATCTGTATGGCATAATCTTCGAATTTCAAATACCAGGTTTTCGAAGGCGTGTTGCGGGGAACACCGACCCATATAAAATGCGCAATCTGAGGAATATACACCTTAACGAGGTCCTGCTGGGGAGTGGGCTGCCTCTGACTGCGACAGCTTGGGATTCTGCGACAGATTCTATTATTTGCGCATTTGGTCCGTCGGAGACGACCGCGATCATTGAACTGAAAAGGAAATCACAGGGTTCAGTGCTGAACGACCTCGACTTGATCGCGTCCTGGGATGCCCCATCACCAATACCGGACTTGCAACAGGACCGGATAGTATCACTACAACACTTTGCGGACACACTGATCACCTGCCTTGTACTGGAAGGGGGAGATATTATAGTTGTGCGCGAAGATCCTCAGCCAGGTGAAGATAAGATTGAAATCGTGGGTTCGGTTGACGTAAGGATTACAGCGGCTACATGGTCTTTGGATGAAGAGTTACTTACTATCACCACCAAGTCCGACACACTGCTCTATATGACAAGGGATTTCGAGAATGTGGCCAATATTGCATTTACCAGTGATGATCTCAAGATCTCCAGACACGTCTCTGTTGGCTGGGGAAAGAAGGAGACTCAGTTCCAAGGGAAGAGAGCAAAAGCTCTGCGGGACCCGACAATGCCGGAGAAGGTTGACGAGGGAAGATTGAGCGATATGGATGATAAAAGGGTTTCTATCAGCTGGAGGGGCGATGGGGCGTTTGTTGCTGTTAGTAGCATTCAGTCAGATGCCCGCCGTGTGATCAGGGTGTACTCGCGAGATGGCGTTTTGGATAGCGTGAGTGAGCCAGTAGATGGACTAGAAGGTGCGCTAAGTTGGCGACCAGCTGGGAATTTGATCGCAGGCATACAGCGTATGGAAGACAGAGTGGATGTTGTGTTTTTCGAAAGAAATGGACTTCGACATGGGGAATTCAAGCTTCGTCTAACCCAGGAGGATATGCGCACCTGGGCATCAACAATCAGTTTGGCATGGAATGTTGACTCAACCGTCCTTGCTGTCCAGTTCAAGGATAGAGTGCAGCTGTGGACGATGGGAAATTATCATTATTATTTGAAGCAGGAAATCCCTATCTCTGTGGAAATGGGTTCTGGAAGCGGGCTCCTTTGTTTCCGCTGGCATCAAGAAAAAGCACTGCGTTTTGTTATTGGATCTTCTGGTATGCGTGCATCCAAGTTTTCCAAAGTAAGTCCCTGAGCTAATCAAATCATAGATAAGTTATTCGACATTGAATATGTCTTTGATGTGGCTAGAGGCTCCACCATAGTCCCGAATGATTTGGGAGCGGCGGCTGTGATTGATGGCAGTAAGTTGAATGTATCCACGAAACCCCTTTATAACTATTCCTAACTCAACAATAGGATCGTTAAAATTAACGCCCCTAAAACTGTCCAACGTCCCTCCCCCAATGGCTGCATGTGATATTCCTCTAGAGTCTAATGCTGTAGATATCGCGTTCAGTAAATCCAGCGCCCAGTTTGCTGTTCTGACGATGGGCGGGATATACTTATACAATTGGGATATCAAAGCCGTCCCTTTAGCAGATCCTGAATTTCAAGCATTTTGCCCGATCTTGACTTCATCGTCGAGACCTAGACGGATTGCCTTCTTGGAAGAAAATGAGGTCTACGTTCTGACCCAACATGGGTGTTCACAGGGAAACATAGAAAGGACCGATATCGACTCAAAGAAGACAACGACCATATATCAATCAAACAATTCTAGCATCCTTTCCTCGATATTCCCAAATATCCAGCAAAATTCGCTGTGGATTTGCCAGAGAGGGCAGAATAGCAAAGCAGGCTCATATATCAAGCTTTCCTCTGGCGGGGCCAATGGACCTTTGACTGAAATTCCGCACGAAAGTCCAGGCCAGGACACATGTTGGGCTAATGCAACTGAACTTCCAGATGGAGAAGTAAGTCTTCGATAAGAGCAAACGGACATTTTGTCCTCAGCTAACTGTAGCTTAGGGAATCCTGTTTTCTCTTTCTAAGTCTGGAGCACTGTATGCGAATAAACGACTCATCGCAAAGAGCTGCACTTCCTTCATAATTACAGGCGCTCATCTTATTTTCACGACAACCCAACACCTACTGAAATTTGTTCATATCACCAAAGTAGATGGTTCGTTCCTACCCTTGATCATATCTCTAGGTATTTGCTTATATGCGGTGACTAGATCTTGATATTCCTGGCGACACTCCCGAGACTGATGAGAGATGTCGAAGTATCGAGCGAGGGGCTCGCATAATTTCTGTCATGCCGTCGATATTCGCCATTACACTGCAAATGCCACGAGGTAATACGGAGACTATTTACCCTCGCGCTCTTGTTCTTGCCGGAATTCGCAAGTATGTCGACAACAAAAAGTATCGCGCGGCATACCTTGCATGCAGGAGCCATATGGTGGATATGAATATTCTACATGATCATTTTCCGTCGCAGTTTATGGCCAATGTTTCGTTGTTCATCGACCAGGTGAAAAAGGTCGAATATATTGACGAATTCCTGTCTCGATTAAGGTCAGCTTACGTGTCACCAGCATCTCTCGGGGATCCATGTTGACGAGCATTTACAGGAACGAAGATGTTTCTGAAACGTTATACAAAAATACCCTTAAAATAGCTGTACCTGATGTAGCTGTCTCTGATGCACCCAAAAGTGTGGCGCCCGGGGATGCGAACAAAACAGCGCCCAAGGATAACAAGGTAAATCGAATTTGTGACGCATTCTTATCCGTGCTTGCCAGCCGAATCGACACCAACCTCCGAAATCTCGTTACAGCCCACGTGTGCAAATCGCCCCCTGACCTAGATTCTGGGCTTCAACTGGTCGCGAAACTACGGGGTAAGTTGTCCCTGGTTGTCTCAAAAGAAACATGATAACAACTAATAGTATTGCAGAAAAAAGCACTGAACAAGCAGAGGAAGCTGTTGAGCATATGTGTTTTCTTACCGATGCATATAGACTCTATGACCATGCTCTAGGGTTATATGACCTAGAACTTACGTTGATGGTTGCCCAGCAAGCCCAGAAAGTAAGCTCATGCATAGATGTATCCCCTTGAGGAAAGAATGGATGTGCTAATTCTTCGCAGGATCCTCGAGAGTATCTCCCATTTCTTCAAAAGCTTCAGGCTATGCCGACGCTTCGCCGTCAATATGAAATCGACAACCATCTAGGACGAGTGCGAAAAGCACTCAGAAGCTTACATACTCTTCAAGCCTATGAAGAGCTCAAGCTCTACGCCATCAAACATACATTATACAGTGATGCCTTGGAACTATACAAATACCAGCCTGAGCTTCTTCGCGATATGTCGCACTTATACGCCGACTATCTATACGATCAATCCAATTACAAAGAAGCTGCCATCAGTATGCCACCCCCTTTATCCTAAAGAAGTGCCATGTCTGGAATTAAATTTATGAACTAACAGACCCAAAGTCTATGAATCCCTCTCCCTTTACGAGCCTGCCTACCAATCCTACAAGCTCGCCCACCAATGGCGTGAATGTATTTACTGTGCTAGCCTGGTTCCCCTCTCGAAAGACCAAATGAATTCCCTGACCCGCTCCCTCGCCACAACTCTAACAGACGAAACAAAGGACTACATATCCGCTGCTCACATCCACGCTCAACATCTCCAAGACATCCCAACCGCCGCACGCCTACTCTGTTACGGCAACCAATTTGGAGACGCATGCCGTCTCCTCGTCCTTCACGGCAAACAGTCACTCGTCAGCGACATCGTGGATTCAGCCCTGGGGGACGCAATGGGCAGTACGATCGATCTGCTCGCCGACTGCAAGGCCCAGCTCAATACACAGGTGCCAAGAATCCGGGAACTGCGAGTCCGCCGCGCCAACGACCCTTTGGGATTCTATGGTGGTGACCCGACTACTGGAATGGCTGAAGGTGATGCGGATATTCCCGATAATGTATCGCTAGCGCCGACCGACGCAAGCACAATGGCAGGTCAGAGTATGTTCACACGGTATACAGGAAACACATCCTCGTCGCGGAAAACGAGCAAGACGAGGCGGCGCGAGGAACGCAAACGCGCACGTGGGAAGAAAGGGACTGTATATGAAGAGGAGTATTTGGTAAATAGTGTACGACGGCTTATCGAGAGGGTCAATGGTGCAATTGATGAGGGGGAGACGCTCATTCAAGCACTGCTAAGGAGGGGAATGCGGGAGCGGGCGGCGTTAGTGCAACATCATCTAGATGAAGTTTTGGGAATGTGTAGGGATTGCTTGGACGATGTGTTTGAAGTGACCAAGGAGAAGGGCGTTGGCGTTAGTGGCACCGACGTTGAAGGAAGTATCGGTGACGATGGTGGTCTAGGAGGGGAGCGGCCACCTGGTGGTGAAGGGGTGTTTTGGGATAGCTTGCAACAGAGCCTAAGGGGGAAGGGAAGGGAGCCTCCTGTCATCAAGGAGTTTAGAAAATTAGTTATTCTTGGTGGATGACTTGAGATGGGTCTTTTTTTGATTGGTCTACTTTGATTCCCACGTCGCAGTGATTCGTGCCCGTTCAACGACAAAAGAAAAAATTTCGAACATCAATAGTTATACGTTTGTTTTCAAAGCTTTAAAAGATTTAGAAGCTGTTCAACGGAATTTGATATATTGATGCTTGATTTGAATTTCTTGAAACTTTCAATGCTCGCTATTTATTCTCCCGGATGCAAGGGGTATCGTGGTCGAGATATATTTTCTTATTCCGATGACTCCTAGTTTGTTTTTTGCATTTCCTCAATTGGGGCTTCCTTTCAAAATTTCACCAGTTTCGCTGACAAGGTGTTGGCCCACTTTTTGTGGCCCTTCGCCGACGCCAGTTAGAATAACGGTATTGACACCACCCTTCAGCTCAGCGACAGCCCTCGAGTCCAAATTCTCCAGCGGAATTCCGCATTTTATGTGCTTAACTGCGCCACCATACACACCATCCCAGCCCTCGGTCTCAGCCTTCAGAATTGACTTGAATGTCCCAATGACATGCTCCGAGTCTTTGTCTAAGTAATATATCACGGCATTTGGGCCGGCATCGAACGTGTAAGCGCAAATAGTCTCGCCAGCTGCGCGATTGATATCATGGACCAGCCTGATGGCAGCACGAGACACATCATTGAGGTAGAACGTAGGTGGCCAGGTGTCAAGATTGGTTGCATGGAAGTTGTTGCTATCTTTCATGGTGATCTCGGCGAAGGAAGCAAAATCCCTGTTTTTAATCGCGGACTCGATCGCAGCCATCCGTGCAGGCACCACTGTTTCAGCACGGGTTCGGAAAAGAGTGGAGGTCGCGACTGTTGCCTGCATTCCTTGCGTGCTGGGAACATCTTTCTTCGCATCAGAAACGACAAGGATAAGGGCACGCATCTCAGGCCAATGGCTTGCCGGAGCCACCTCTTCTGCGAAGCTGTCACTACCATCTTCCAAGACCCCCATACGCCATGCAACATAACCGCCCATCATAGAGCGACATGCGGAACCAGAGCCCTGGCGTGCAATGCGGCTGAGATCGCTAGGCGATTGGGGCAACTCATAAAGGTTGGCAACCGCGCGAACCAACGCAGCAAAACCAGCCGCGGAGCTGGCAAGACCAGCCGCAGTCGGGAAGTTATTCTCCGATACAATCCGTAGAGGGAAACCTGAGAGTTTGGGTAGAGATGGGTTTGCATTCTCCAGTTCTCGACGGAGACTTCGTAAATCTGACAGGCAAGCAAGCGTTCTCTTTGAGTCTTTTATATTCTGCGGTTGCGAGTTGAGGGTCAAAGAATCGCCAGCATCGGTGGGGTAGGTAGGGGAACACGATGCAGTGGTGTATGCACGTAAAGAACCCTGCGATAGGGTCACAGAGAGCGAGGAATTTGTGGGAAGGTTAAGGACAGCATCCCGCTTCCCCCAGTATCTGCAAATATCATCATAAGCAAATTGCATGCAATGAGGGGTAAATTCGGGAGATTTCTCTTAGCCTACTTGATAACAGCGATGTTGACAGGAGCCGTAGCACTTGCACGGTAAACTTCGGTGGACCCAGCCATCTTCGTTGTTCACAAATGACTAATTACAGGAGATAAACAGGTAATGCTTGGTGGTAGGGGGCTGAGGAGAGAGTTGTGTGAGAATGTCGGTGTTCTTGATGCCCTACACATGTGGGTTTGAGGCTCTGCGGAGAACTCCAAACCTTAAATTTTAGTCAGATCAAACCTCATCAAAGCTCAACCCTGGACGCTGAACACTGCGCACTGCGAAGAGATTTTCTCACAGTCTACGGAGGACATACTGGCTTATGGGACGCCATCGCTCGCAGTGATTTTTGTGAAGTTAACTGGCTTTCTTTTATTTGGGCATTCTTCCGTCGAACACTGCTGAGGTTAATTCAACTTTTGATCATGGGGGCCAATGCAAGTACAGCAAATACCCCATCCCAACCTACAGCAGTCCCTACTTCCACTGGTTTTGCCCAAGACAGTGGATCCCAGGCGACATGTCCTGTAGACCACAAAACTCGCGCTGCATGGCTTTCACAACATCAAACCTCCAATCTTAGTCCAACGAGCCCAACCGACCCAGCTCCGAAACTTACAGGCACCACAAAACTGTCGAAACAACTGAGACCATTATCTCAGGAGCGGGAAGTAAGCAGCATCCCCCGAGCAGTGCCAGATACGCCCACAGCTGCTACATCTTCCACCTCCGCCCGCCCGCCTCCCTCACCATATGCATCCCCATCCTCAACGACAGCTTCGCACATCAGCCCTTCAAACGACGAAGCCGAAACCGGTCATGACACCCGCACGGGCAACTGGATTTATCCATCAGAGCGCCAATTCTTCGAGGCCCTCCTTCGCAAAAATACACCCACATCTGCCACCTCTGCGACCGATCTAGCCACCTCCGTAGCCTCCATCATCCCCATCCACAACGCCGTGAACGAGCGTGCATGGTCTGAAATCCTAGAATGGGAGTCTTCTGCACCGACGTCTGATCCTGGTAGCCGAAAATGTGGAGGTCCTAAGCTGTATTCGTTCCGAGGATTGGGAGTCGAGAGCCAGTTTCTAAGCCCAAGGGCCAGGATTAATGGCTGGTTAGGATATCAACGGCCGTTCGATAGACACGACTGGGTTGTGGAAAGGTGCGGGGGGACTAGAATTGAATATGTGATTGATTTTTACCAGGGGAGATCTGGCGGGGCAGGTTTGGGGCCTGCTGCGAATAATGCGAAATTAAATTTTTATCTTGACGTACGGCCAAAGCTAAATTCCTGGGAAGGGTGTAGGATGAGGGCCACTCGTCTGATCGGATTGGGCTGGTGATATCTGTATTGCTTTTGAGTTTTTTATTAACAGGGGCATGCAGGTGGGTGGTAGATATGTCGTTCTTCCAACTCTCTAAAGATATATGTGTATATAACAATTGTAAAATATTAGATAGCGTATGTACGATAGTAGCTTTGACAATGAAAGCTAGTCAGCTCGCCTGAAGAAACGCCAAAAGAAATATCCGAACCCTCAAAACAATGGAATAAAAAGAACATTAACAAATCAATCAGTTAAGAGGCATAGGCGCATGAGATGGTTAAGAAAGGAATAGCAAGGGGAAAAAACAAAAAAAAAAAAAAGACAATAGAACAATAATAGACAATAATAGAACAATTACAGGAAAGAAAAAAAAGGAACAGCTCGAAGCTAACAACGCAATTCGTTTGGTTGCTCAAGCCAACGTAGCAGCAAGGACGATAATGACCAGGACCACAGCCAAAATCAACAGCAGGCAACAAGCCTTGTTGCGCGCGTTCTTCTGATATCTACTGGCACTTCTGAGCTCGGAATCCGCAACCCTAGCATCATTTCTCGTCCGTTCCACATTTTCACTTATCAGATCCAGCTGTCCCCCTTGCTCATGGACTATATGCGCAACATCTCGGAAAAGCTCATTTAGTTCGCTAACACTCTGTTCAATATTCCGAATCTCCGCTTCGCGTTCTATAATAAGGGTCTCTTGGAAGTCAACTTCAGCTTGTGGTGCGATGCGGGGTTGCTGCTCCTGCAGTTGTTGGAGGGTCTGGCCTTCCTGCGGCGAGGTTGCTATGACACCCTCTTCCTCTTGAAGGGCAGTACGTGCAGCAGTTGCGGACGCTCTTTGCTTCTCGAGGGCACGGCGCTGGGCGATTTGGAATTCTTCTAGGGTGGATCGAAATTCGGAAGAAAGCTTTTGCTGCGTCCATTTTTGGGAGGGCTTTGGGTGATGTGCGTTTATTTGTTAGTATAGGTTTATTGAGTGACAGATTCAGCGAAACCCGCCACTCCCACGCATAAAGGTATTGCGATAAAGGTACAGTTGCTACTAACATTGACATCATCCCATAGTTGAATCTTCTTGATACCTTCGCCGACTTCCCGGAAACCTTCCCGGGTCTCTTCTAGCAGATCATGGACCCGTTCACGGACCCGCTCCGTATCACGTTTAGTGCCTAACAAGGAGATCTGGTTCGATAGGCGCGAGATATTAGATGTCAACGTAAACAAGCGATTAGACAGCGACTCTGTCAATCGTTGGAAATCGGGGTCATCTTGGTATTGTGAGTCGCCTGGTCTGGTTGGCTGCGCTTCTAATGATGAGAGGCGGTCGAATGACATGACGTGATTGTTCAAGCACCCAGTAGGCAGAATTTGAAGACACAAAAAGGGACGCAGAACACAGCTTTCACAGCAAGATATCGGCCAGAAGAGAACGAATGATGGAAACGGATATCGAAGGAATGTATTGCCGGTATTGCCGCTGTGATTTTGCTGCTGATTGTTGCTTGGATTCTCCCCAAGCGGCAATGATGTCGCTCAAGCGGAACGGTGCCAGCACAATTACGTAATACAACTCGGGCCCTTGTCGCTTCCGGTCGCCTGACGCTAGGCTGTAAATGGACATTAGTGTGGCTGATTCCCATTGTTGCAGTGTGCCTGTGGCTTGATATTGTTTTGGTGCAGGAAAACAATTCGTGATAGCGTCAAAAAAAGCTGTTTTGCTTCACTTCGAACCCCATTCATACGTATCATTTGCCGCGAAGAGTTCAGTAAGATATTTTCCAGCTTACGACCAGCAAGTTGTCGAATCTACAGAGCTCCCCAGCAATGCTCTAAGCTCCTAATCCTACTTCTGGCTGAACACTTCATTCTTGATCGGCCATGGCAGCCGCATCCTCCTCAGCGGTTGCTGCCCGGCCCAGGCAGTACAGGCGGCTATTAACTTCGACTCTACATCGCAAATTCGTTCATGCGTCGGCAGTTTCTTTGGTTGCTTGCTATGTTGTCGCTTTTCTTATTGGCGTTAAGTCTTCCTGTGAGTTTTGCGTTACTCCCTTTCTGCTCTGCCTACATGGGGGGTTAACAGTAAACTTGTACTAGTCTTCTGGTCATGGTTTCCTCTGGGCGCTTGCGGCTTTCGGACGATACTCCTTTTTTTCTCATGCCTTGCTATTTTCATCCTCCGTGTTGGCCAGATGCGTGTGGGAACCCGGACCACAAGTTCCCCTTTCAGCTCAGCGAGGCAGGCCTTGTTCTCCTTGTCCACTTTCCAGACCTTTGGATGGTATCTATTATCTGCGTGGTGGTTTACTGAGGTGTCCATGTGGTCGTCATCAGAAAGCGCAGACCTTAATTGGGTAAAACTGGGAAAGTCAGTTAATCCCGTGTTGCTAAAGAAGTATTTGGGCTGAATGCTGAAAAATTGTCTCGTCCGTAGGCCGTTTGAACGAGCAAAGCTCAATGAGAGACCAATATATCTCCATTGCTTCTACGCCCTTCTTGCTGTTTCACAAGCAACGCTTCACCTCTATTTTGACTGGGATAAGATCCCCGTTCCCATATCGAATCGAACCTCGACATCCACACACCAGAGTTTGCATGCGCTGGAGCCGCTTCCTGTCAGGATCAGGAAGGCCATGCCTCAGATATTATACGATGCCGTAATTAGAAGCTCAATTACGGCTATTGTGGGCCCCTTTATCTATATGTTATTTCTCAGACGCATCGCCTGGAATTGGGTCCTTTCTTTTGCAAAGCTTTTCTGGAATTTTCCTCGATCCGCCGCTGATCCTCCAGGGCTGATTCCACCCCTGCACATTCTGCTAATGCTCCGGGCCGCTACTACCGGCGTGCTTCTTGTGATGTTGTGGCAGGTGTCTAATCTTTTGTTTTCAACGTTTTTGGGTCAGGCGCCCTTGAAAAGAGGTCAGCCATTGACAAACGAATCCAAAGACCCGAATGGCAGCTTGATAAACGGATTGAACGCGAAAAAGGACGTCGTCCGAACATTCGCATTCTGGGAATTGTGCTTGATCAGCCAACAATATCCGGAGCGCCGCAAAGCAATTTTTGCTGACATCGATCGCAACGGTGGTCCAGCATGGACCCAAATTTTCTACGCTTCGACAAATGTTATCAAGGGAATAACCGCGCGAATAAATGAGCATCGACACCCCACACCCCTGGTGGGTCCGAACTCTACATTACCCAGATCAGATAGTAATAGGAACATCGATGGACAACCGGCCATTATTCACACCCTACCTCGCCTAACCTCCCCTCCACGAGAAGACAACATCTTCCTTGCCTCATCCAAGCCAGCGACCGGGTCCGAAAAATTGGAGTCAGCCTTCAGCTCTGTAGCTAAATCCTACGGCCAATCTCCTGACTGGACACCAGCAGCCCGCGACCAAGCCCGCAACATTATCAACCGTGCCACCACTGCTGTCCTCAGCCCGGAACGGAAAAAGCGCATATCCTCCTCAGCCCAGGAGCTCAAGCTCCTCACGGGGCCTCACTCCCCATCTAGTTCAGATAGACGCAGCACCCACCCCCTAATCCACAAATTCCTCAGCTCTCTCGTAGGTTTACCATTCCGCCAATCCTACGCACGACGACTCCGCATCATCATCCTCGGCACTCCATATGCCAGTCTCTCCCCAATTATTGATGCGGTAGAATCTCTCACTCGCCTCCTCATCGCGAGTCTAGCAGAGGACCAGTTTGGAAAAGTGCAGGCGGATATTGCCGCTGTCGTGCACCTGTTTACAGAGACTTTAATATCTCTCGAGTCCTTTACTAGCGTTGATGATGGCGGGCTGGATATCCATTGGACAGATGTTGATTTCCCTCCTACAGACGCCGGTGTGGAGATACAGAAAAAGGCGCGGCGGGTAGAGGAGGTAGAGATGATCAAAGAGGCGTTAAGGAGTGGGTTGTCGGAGCTTTTGGAGACATTTAAGTTATATTTAGATGATGTCGGGGTTCGAGGAAACGATTTAAAGATGGCGAGGGAGGCGGTGGGATTGGTTTGATAGTGGTTTTCCTTTCTTTCCCATTTTTTCTAGATGTCATCTTCTTCACTTGTTTCTGGTTTTCATTCGATTTTTTCCCTCCCTTTTAACATGAAATATGAATGGTATAGGATTTATTTTTAGAATACGATATCCCAAATTCTTTCTGCCTGTGTGCTGGTTGGGGTGTGGCAGGATGGAAGAACACAGTTCATTTGCCCCTTTTTCTCTGTTTTCGTTGTATATACTCTACAATAGCTCCTGCTGTTCTCATATATTTGCCCAGCTGCATTGACATGGAAATCAACTCATATGAAGGAGGAATTCTCTAAAATGGTGTTTTCGTCTACTGCTGAGGACCATCTGGCAACAGCCCACTTCTTGATCCATCCACTCGCCATTCTCAACTTGCAGACAAATATAAACTCACAGAAGATATATGTCTTTGCCCATCTATCTATACCCCCTTTCCAAGGCCAGGAGATTCCCAGTAAAATCATCTACTTATCAATGTGATGCAATACGTTATCCCCACTCCCTCCGTCCGCTCCGTTCTTTCACTCCCCGACGCTCCAACATCGTTCCGTCATGTAAATTCTCCACACCACCCAACCACCCTCCCGCTACACTGCATACTCTAAGTATATTTCCATTAGTCCATCTGAAATATTCGGTCGAACTAGGGTATGGAAAATCTATAGTTGTTCCCCTTTTTCTCTTCGTTTTTTTTTTTTTTTTTTTTTTTTTTGTTTTTTTAGTGTCGCCCTTGATTCTTTCTTTTCATGCAAAAACACTATGACCAAATAAGGTGAAGGCCTCATGTCATACCACGTATTTTCGCGCCGAGGAACCAAGATGTAAAAAGGAGATCCTGAAGGGAGAAAAAGGGGGATATTCGATAATTGGCATTGGGGGAAGGGAATGGGTGAGGAAAGCGAAGCTGTGAGAGGGGGAGGGAGAGGGAGAGGGAGACCCAAGACAAGCACTATGAAAAATATTTGGTATATAAGCTAGTGATATTAGAACAAAAAAAAAGAAAAGAAAGAAAAAGAAAAGAAAATTCGCGGCGAATAAACACCAGTAGAAAACCAGAAGAGGAACGGTCGATTATGGGGATGTCGTCAACTAGATTTGCGGGGGAAATAATTTATTGATTGTAAAGAAAAAGAGGAATGTCAACCAGTCGAGGAGAAAGGTCGTAGGAATTTAGGATCAACCTTGGCTAAATGAGTTGAGTTGAGAAACCAGGGCTGGTTGCAAGAGCGTGCTGTATATTCAATGATATAAGTGGAATCCAAACCATGAAATATACTAAGTGCGGATTTGTTTATTCTCCTCGCGCCAAGAGGGAGGAAAGAATGATATTATATTTGTAAAAGAAAGAAGGCATAAGAGAGAAAAAAATAGAAAGAAAAGAGAAAGAAAGAAAAGAGAAAGAAAGAAAAGGCAAAGAGTACGATCAAAAAATCGCCGCTGCCGCCGCTGCGCGGTAAATTAAGCTGTGCAACCTCCCATCCTTTAACGCCAGGTTTTTCAATGACAAGTTGTATTTTAGTTTATTTTTCTTATTATTACCGCAGTACTGGGGACTTGCGGTTCCATTTTCCGCGCCCGTATGTACATATACCCTACCCCAGAACCCAAACCTAACGGTCTATAAATAATCCTCGTAGTGATGAAATAAATGAATGGAGAAACGAAACGCCGTGGGGTTTTATTTTTCGGTTGTGATCTCGATCCTTATCCGGAAACGCCCCGATATAAGCAAGGAAAGTGGACCCAGGGAATAACGAACATTGTCTGCTCGATGGGATTTTGGCATTCCTGATCACTGGCGAAAGGTGATTGAAGGAATTGATATAAATCCAGGAATATATTTTAGATGGAGTTGATTCTGTGGAGTTCCTCTAAACTTGCATTGAAGTGGCTAGGAGGTGCACTTTCGGCTTTCGGGAATTGATCATTAAGGCTGATATGCGATGTTTCGAGTTTGTCTTTCCCGATGTTATCGACTGGAATAATTGTCGGAAGCCATTTGCGAGCCCCCACTTTTTCAACGAGGTCACAGAGGGAATCTGAGTCGAATTCCTCGATGTAAATGCGGTCTAGCACCCGCGATTTAGGTGTAGAATATTTCTGATATTCCTGGAGCGCAGCCATGAGAGACCACCCTTGAACTCTGCGAAAGCAGGCGATAATACATCCGGTTCGATGCTAGGATAACAAGATTAGATGGCGGAAAAAGCTTTATTTATTTACTTATTCATTTGTACTGTTCGGGGAACGATAATAACTTACTTTGCCTTTGTTGCAGTGAATTAATACGGGATGATTCATCGGGTTCAAAATAATCTTTAGTACTTCAATGACAGTTTCATAGGGCGTGGAGACCTGCGGGGCTTTGTTTGCCAAAATGGGAATGACATGGGACTTAATTCCATTTTTGCGGATAAATTCGCCATAATCAGGAGACCATTTTTCGTCAACTAAGGTTCTATTTCCTAGTCAGCACACATACGGTTTCGCGAAAAAAACAATGAATTCCAATTGAAAACTTACATAATGGTCTTAAGATTAAGACGGGCAATAGAGTCGAGATGCACTGGTAGAGGAAAGCTACTTCTGTATACGCCTTGGACGACTTCAGCGAAGTTTTCTGGTAATCCAGCTCCGTGTGGCGTGGGTGGACGGCTTGGCCCGCTTTCAAAGCCGCTGACCAAGTATCCATTTTCTCCTGCTCCAAAACGTTTCCCGTCAGAAAAAGAAAAAGAAAAAAAAAGAAAAAAAAAAGAAATTAAGATACGGATAGCATGGCAAATAACACAAATATGGCCTCGTAGCATCTTTATCGAACAGGCAATACCAGCGCAAAAAAAGAGAATGAAAAACGACCAACAGGCAAACAGAGGAGAAACGTACCTTGTTTGTCGTCTTTGATAATTTCTATGGCAGTAGAAGGGGAGAGGAAATCGGTCATTTTGCGGCAGGAAGACTGAGCTGGCATAGCACTCCAAGTGCACTTCGTCATGGGAAATCTTGTGGGGGTTAGGGAATGTTCCGGGGTGGCCGGAATCTCAGGGTTTCGTCCTGCCGGCGGACTCTCGAGGCCAGAGGCAGGGTCGGGGTCGGTGTAAAATAGGAAAGAAATATGTGAGAGTTACAACGGCATATCAAGTATTGTGATCAGGAATTGAGAGCTCAGTCTAACAAACTATATCGTTCATAGATCTGAGGGAAAATCGGATAGATACAGAGACGTCTTGTCAGGATCGAGGAGAGATATGATGAATCGCAAGGAAGAAAAATGAGGGAGGAAAAAGAGAAACGTAAAAAGGAGGTATTTTTAAGAAGATGGTGAAGGGGGCCGGAAGATAAAGAATGATGAGGGAATCGGGTGCAGAGAAACGGGAGAGGAAAAGACAAGGGTACTAGGATAACATGTCCCAGAATTTGAACAGAGGAATTCGAGATAGAGAGTTTTTGGAGGGATGTCCCGAGGGACAGGACGGACGGCTGGTTTGAGGGATTGCAGGGGCGAGTTCGAGGGCTCCCTAGGTAGGTAGCGCCGAAGCCGTGAGTCGTAGGCTATCCATCGACATTACACGGACTCTGATAGAGGGTACGTTGCAGATCCATGGCGAGACACGTAGATAGAAAGACGAGGACGAGCTTCGTGGAAGTTGAGAGGGATTTCTCTTGGGACACAGCAGAAGGAAGACCCGCAGCGGGAGGATTGATGGCGGTTGAGGTTGAGGTTGAGGTTGAAGTTGAAGTTGAGGTTGACGGTTGACGGTTGAAGTATACTCAGCCAGTTGAGCAGTGGACAGCGAACAATTGGCGAGACAGCTCAAGCACCGCGTCAAGCTACGGCGGAGCGGGTTTTTCCGGCCCGGCAACCCACAGCTTCCGTCGGGAAAACGCGGGTCACGTGGCGAATTGGCCGGCGTAAATTAGCATTATAGAAACTTTGTTCAACCGCAAACTTGAAAAGTTGATCGAGAAACCCTTGCTCCCGGAGGCTTGAGTTAATTGGACTTTTCCTTCTTCCTTTTAACGTATCTGCGTAGTTCTTCAGGTGCTCAACGTCAGCGTCCGAGCATCCATGTCAAGCCGTTGTTCCCTTCAGCCTTATCGGGGCACATGCATATGTCGGGTGAATGCCCGGCGAGGAGTGCATAAAAGCGACTAGGTCAGCTCAAACGCGGGGTGTTGAGATTCGGTTCTAAACCTTAACGGACTGATTGCCTTGGAGAGACTAAGGAGGTCGTTGAGAAAGCCAATCAGAATTATCTCTCTAGTTCTGTTAGATTCCGCCCTTCTAATCTAAAAAATCCAAAAGACATATAAATCCAGCTGTAGTTTCATGAACTCCAGTGAATTTTCCATTTCTATATACATAATAACTCGGAAATGGAGGAAAGCCGGCAGCGTGTTTTTCGCATGAGCTTTCCTCCTAAGAGACACTACGTTTCCCCCAGGGCAAACATTCTTATCGAGTTTTGCCACGTACTATTTCAGTGGAAGAGATGGGCCCATTAGCATAAATCTGAATACACGCCTGCAGCAAATTGGAAACGGGATAGAATGTGGGAACATAAAACTTACGTTTCGCAAACCTCCTCAACAGAAATGCCTTTCACACTCGCAATTACGTGCGCAACTTGGTATATGGTCACAGGCTCATTTCGACCCTTCACCATGCAGCCCTTTTGCCATTTCTCCTTTTTAAAGGATTTCGGTAACAACGGCGCGCCTTCAAGGTGTTTATATGAAGCATGTGAAGGCCGGATTTCACACTTTTAAAAAAAGATACGTATGGGTCAATACACCTGGGCGTACAGGTGAACAGGGAGGAGGGGGAGGAGATAGCCAGGAACCATACATACCCAAGGCCCGTCCGTTTCGATTTGTATTCGCTCAAGTGGCATGGCTTTGACAACCTCCAAATTCTCTTCTGTCTTGAGGCTACACCCATTCACCCCAATATCCAATCCTAAGTCGACCAGCCGCTGCATCTCTTCCATAGTACCAGTAAAGCTATGAACCAGACCACCCTTGGGCAACTTCGCCAGACGCGGAGTGAGCAGCCGTTCGAAATCCTCGCTAGCAGCTCTGGAATGCAGGAAGAGCGGCAGTTGGACCTCAACTGCAAGATCCAACTGTGCTTCGAAGTACTTCAATTGCTGGTCCTTGGGCGAGAAGAAGAGGCGGTCGTAGTCAAGACCTATCTCGCCAAATGCGGTGGCATGGCCGGTTTCTTTTGCTTCGAGTGCGAGGATCCTCAGCTCTTGTAACATCTTTTCAGGGCCTTCTGGGTACGAGTCGAAGAGTTTTGCTTGGCAGGGGTGGACGCCAACAGTGGCGTAGCAGATACCGGCTGTTTGTATTGGGGAAATGTTAGGCAGGGTCGGACCGGCCATAAATCATAATGGTCTTCGTAGGGGGAAGATAGGTGATAGGGTGGTCACAGGTAATATTGTAAGAATACCTACGATGAGCCTTGGCAAGTTCTACGGCGTGTCTCGACTCGTCTAAGTCAGAGCCTGTGACCATAAGTTTCTGGCAGCCGATATCCAGAGCCCGCTGGACGATATCGTCTAAGTCATTGTCGTGGACCTTTTTCCCGTGGTAGACACCTGTGAATACTGGGTCCCCAAGATTGATTGCTACCTGTTCGCAAAAAGAATTTAGCGAATTTCCTTCCTTCGCGAGCACAGCCTGTGAGATTCAGCTACGCAAACAAGATCATAGTATGCGAACCTACGTCGGCATATCGCAGCTGTTTCATGGAATCTCCCATGCTGGCTGGAGTCCTTTGATTCTCCCCAAAGTTATGATAGCAATGTTGACTGTGTGTATTTACGCGGATCCCAATTGGGTCATACCGCAGCAATGAATTTTGATATACTATAAGAAGACAATGAGCAAGTAAATGTTATGTACAAGTACAAATGCGCCGCTATTGGAATCGCTACAATCAGAAATTAAAGGCAAGTTGCTCACTCACCTTGTCGAGAGGGGTATTCACAACACGACACCGACAATGTTCTAGTCTGTAGAAATTGGGTATAGCGGAGAAGCGAGCCAGCCCGGGTTAGCCTGACACAGGAAGCCCGTAAAGAACAGGACTGTATCATCTGGCCACTGAATCTCCAAGCTTGATATTCATTCAAATTAGTCCGCGTTTGCAAGCAGGTAGATTTTTGAAGTTCAGGATAATAGTATTTCCGTAATGCCGTGCAAATAAACAGACAGATGTGGAAGTTAGAGCATGGGGCCAAAAAATGAGCAATCCTGCGTTACCTCCACGACCCGCGCATCCGTTGAATATTTATTACATCTAGCAATAGGTCTTTGATCCATCGCATTTTGAGAGCTCGAAGCTCTTCAACCCGAAAGGCCGGATGGAATTGCAACAAAGATAAATCGCCCAGAACCTCGTTTAGCTCAAACGCTAGCTCTCGACATCAAAGTCCCTGAGCCAGCGATTCGTCCCCACCTGATACCATGGCGTTCCCTATGATTTTGGCTCGTTATCATATCACCTAACCCATCGGCCGAGAGCTATAATTGCTGAATAGGCTTCATCGCTATTGATAAAACAAAGCGCACTATTGAATATTCATCTCTATTCCTTTTGTGCTGTGCGGAAGGGCCTCTAAAAAAATCCTCTTAATTAGTGAGTTCATAGTGTCGATAGGAACCCAAGGGAGATATCCGTCTTTTCGCGCATGTCCTTTTTCCAACCCGGCATTTTGCGACGCGGCAATTTCAGTGATTCATTGATTGCTGTTTCTATATAGATGCCCTCCCCTTAAGGTGTCGCTTGTTTCCTTTTTGCAGTCAATGGCAACGGATTCTCCAATACTTTGACGGACAAACGCAAACAACAAAATTTCGTGCAAGGATGTCAAAATCTAATAATAACCAACATATCTCTGCGCTGGAGGTTAGTGCGCATAAGGCAGCTGATGACTGTTGGATCGTTGTTGATAACCAAGTTTGGGACATCTCGGACTTCCTCTCAGAGCACCCCGGAGGGCCCAGCAGTACGCACAGCTATTCCCAGCGGTATATATTTGCTATGCAGCAGGTCATTGACTGCCTTTGATAGTTATCCTCAAATATGCCGGACGAGATGCAACAAAGGCATACTCCGAGATTCACCCACCAAATCTTATTAAGAACAGTCTTCCAGGTGATAAACTGAAGGGTGTTCTAGATCGAAACTCCGTTGACGAGGAATGGCTCAAAGCGCCCTCCGAACAGAGCGGGAAACGCCTCCCAAGCAACGAGAAACCACCTCTAACGACATTGATAAACGCCCATGATTTCGAAGTCGTAGCTTCCCAAACTGCTCCAGCAAAGACATGGGCTTTTTACTCGAGTGCCTCAAACGACCTCATCACTCGTGACGCCAACAAATCCTTCTTCGACCGCACCTGGCTCCGGCCCCGTGTCCTCCGCAATGTGAAAGAAGCCAATACCAAAACTAAAATACTCGGCTGTGATGTGAACATGCCTCTCTTTGTCAGCCCCGCCGCCATGGTGAAACTCATCCACCCAGATGGCGAACTCGCCGTTGCCCGCGCTTGCGAAACCAGAGGCATCATGCAGGGCATCTCCAACAGCGCCAGCTATCCCATGAAAGACATAACCGCTGCGGGCCCGCGGGCGAACTATTTCTTCCAGCTGTACGTCAATAAGGACCGCGCCAAGTCTGCTGCACAGCTCCGAGAATGCTCAGAAAACCCCCGTATACGGGCTATATTCATCACAGTCGACGCAGCGTGGCCCGGCAAGCGCGAGGCGGACGAAAGAGTCCGCGCAGATGAAAGCTTGAGTGTCCCCATGTCGGCACAGCGGGCGCAGAACGACTCGAAGGGTGGGGGGTTGGGCCGTGTCATGGGCGGGTTCATTGACCCGGCCTTAACGTGGGAAGACCTAGTCTGGGCGCGCAAACACACGCATCTCCCCCTTGTGCTTAAGGGTGTTATGTCCGCAGATGATGCGATACTGGCAATGAAAGCTGGCCTGGACGGGATTCTCTTGAGTAACCACGGCGGCCGCAATCTGGACACCAGCCCGCCGGCTCTAGTCACCCTCTTGGAGTTACATAAGCGCTGTCCTGAAATATTCGATAAGATGGAAATCTACGTGGATGGTGGGATCCGTCGCGGAACGGATATCTTGAAAGCGGTGTGTCTCGGCGCCACGGCGGTAGGGATGGGGAGAAGCGTGCTGTTTGCCGCAGCCTACGGCCAAGAAGGGGTGGAGCATTTGTTTGATAGTAAGTTTTTTTTCTTCATCTTCTTCCTTACGTGCCTTTCCACCCTCGAGGCTTTTCCTCCTCTCATTACATACCCTATGCATGTGCTCTGACCATTCCAAAACAGTCATGGCAGACGAACTAGAGGGCGCGATGAGACTCGTAGGGATCACCTCCCTCGACCAAGCCCATCCAGGCCTCGTCAACACCGCTGATATTGACCACCTTGTTCCCGATTCGGCTTCACATCCGTATGCTCGATCTGTCGCCCGCGGCCGCGGCCACAGCCGGACCAGACCGCAATCGAAACTGTGGAATGGAGATGCATTTAAAGCGAGGTTGTAGTTTTTTATCATTCCCTTTACCCCCCCCCCCCCATATCTAGAGGATTTCAATTGTCTGAGCTTGGGAAGTTTCAACGATAAAATAATATCGGCAGGAGAATATAAAAAGTCATTTCGGTTTTTGCTGCGAACTGTTTCTTTGAATAGTATCAAGCAGTTTCTCGGAGATTTACTACCCACAGTCAGACATTTCTTTATATAACGATGTTTCCGTTTATTTTGAGAAACTATTTTTCATAGACCAAACTACAGAATCGATTTAACTAGATCATCAGAGATATTTTCCCCTTTTTCTTTCTTTCTTCCTTTCTTTCTTTCTTTTCTTTTCGGGGATCGGGTCCAAAAATCGAGGCGTGGTTGAATGCCTGAAAAGGCGAGTGCGCAGGGTGGTGTACTGCGTCGCAGTTGAAATATCTTCTCAAGGGTGGCATTAGTTATCAATAAACTAATATTGGAAATAATAATTCCAAGTACTATCTGTCTGTCTGTCAGATCTGCTTCCTCAGAGATGATGAGATATATCAGCTTGCTTGCCTGTGTTCTCACACGGTTGGGGAATCCGCCATTGTTTGCTCTTCAATCCACCGTATCATCTAGTTATTAGTTTTATATCAAATCGAAGGGGCATTGAGGATGAATATCTGTCTTCCAGACAGGAGAATTTCATACAAGGAGATTGTCGCTGGGCAAAGAAGTTGAAAGATATGGAAAAAATGGAACAGTACAAAGTAAGATCATTCAAACATTATCCAATCCACGAGGTATCTCATTATAGGCCACAATTGTGGCAGATACATTCTCCAGACAGGATGCTTGGTACAAGTTTTTTTTCTTTTTCCGGCGGTTACTGTGCTTGCATCGTAGTTACTGAGAAGTGTCGAGTGTCAACATCGTCGTCAGGAGCGTTAGCTGCCAAAGCTCTCCCCAGCGTGGATGCTGATAGGCCACGGAGTCCGGGGAAAGCAATAGTCGCCCCACCGCCGCTGTGGAGCCTCCCTCAGTGCCTCCAGTAGTAGTCAGCCCTTCACCGACTCCAAAGCCAGGTCTGGATCCCTCGTCGCTCCCCAACGCCTCAACCATCCAATTGTCCCCTTGTCTGGTGCCGTATTTAAAGCAAAGCCCCCCCAAACTTACCCGTTCCCTGATATCCCAACCATCGACGGAGCACATACCGCCCAAAATCCTTAGCCAAGGAGGGTAAAAAAAAAAAAAAAAAAAAAAAAGGGAAAATCCATTGACCAAACAAAAAGGAAAGGAAGAAAAACCCACAATGGCCGCCCCCCGCTCAACTTCCTTACGCGCTCTTCGTCTCCTAGCTGCCCAGCAACATACACCACTCCCCTCTTCGGCCTTCGCCTCCGTGGCGCCCTTCCGCCGCTCGCTACACATCACTGGTGCATTCTCCGCCCAGCCCGCTCGCGGACCCGACGTAGCCGCCATCTACCGCTCCCGCGGCCTGGGGGATCTACGCGCGGAATGCGAGAGAAGGAACCTTAGGAGTGCGGGGAGTAAGGCGGAGGTATTCTCTCCCGTTTTTAATTCTTCTTCTTCTTCTTCTTCTTTACAGTCGTTATATCTTATTTATCTGTTCCATGGCTCGGTGGCAAGAAATGTGGCTGACAAAATATTATCCTCTTCAATATCGGATTTATATAGCTCGTGGATCGCCTGGCAAACCATGACATTCTCCAATCTCGCGCATTTAGCATTGCGATGAGGAAGATCGATAACCACCTTCTGGGGACAGGGAGGTATGTTCCCCTCCCCTCCCCTTCCCCCACCCACACCATTTATTTATCCCTCGTTATTTCCATCTACCACAGAATATCAAACAAGAATGAAAAGCAATGAACGCCAACAAAAATAAAATAAAATAAAATAAAATAAAATAAAATAAAATAAAATAAAATAAAATAAAATAAAATAAAAATAAAACCACTAACAACCATCATCAGCTCATCCCGCACCTTCAACACCTCCCGCGCCCAAAAATCCGTCAACGACTCCTCAACCGTCGACTTCGTCTACATGCCCCAGGACATGGACGCCTTCCCCTCCCCCTCCGCCATCGCCGGCACCCCAATGCCCACCCCGCCAGACGCCTACGCCCACTACCAGCTCACAAACAGCACCGGCACCACCCCGGGCCCCATGAAACCCCAAATCTACACCGTCTCCGGCGACTACGACGCCCCATCGTCGAGTAGCGGTAGCCGTATTATGGGCATTGCTGCTGGCGGCGCTAGCGGCGGCGCTGCCGGTGGTGGTGGTGGAGCAAGCGCCATGAGCGAGGTCGTCGATAACCAAACTGTGGAGTTCGATCCGTTTGAGCTGACGGAGACGGTGAGGCGGGCGCGGGAGGGGGCTGCTGTGGCGGAGCAGGCGGCGATGGCGGATGGGACGGTTAAGGGGGTTGCGAGGCAGTTTTGGGAGGGGATTGTGGAGGATGTGGTGGGGAAGAGGGAAAGGCGGGGTGGGGTTGAGGGGCGGAAGTAGGGTTGATGCATGTGTGTAAAGGGGGGAGGGAAAAAAAGAAAGAGAGAGAAGGCAAGTTGGATGATAGCTATATTTTATTTAATGATGTGAGTGAGAGAAGTGGGGGAGACACCACTTTTGTCTGTGTCTTTCTCTTGGTTCATTTCATCTGCACCTGCATAATTTTATTTTCTTTCTTTCTTTCTTTCTTTCTTTCTTTCTGTCTTTCTTTTCATCCATCTATCTCGTTGCCATGCAGAGAGAGAGATACCAAGCACGTCGCTTCGGATTTTGAATCTGCAATAACTAGTGGTTATACGAAGGTGGACCCTCTGTTGCTCGGTTGCAGAGCGGCATGAGTTATACAAATCATGTGCTCCGAGCAATCCTCATCAGAGGATCTGAGAAGGAACAGTTCATCCTTCTGTGGAGATTTTTGAGATTTTCATAGATTCTTCAAATTGATCAACTTTGACTCTCACTTACATAATTATCACACATCTTTGAGATTTATGAATTGTCTTAGAAATAGATTGTAGCTAAAGAGAAAAAGAATATAAATATATAATTTTTATATTCAAAAAATCAACAATTAATATAGATGTATCTTGTTGAAAGTGATCACTTTATTTCTTTTTAAAATCAAGTAAAATAGCAAATCATTCCTATGTTCAAAAATAGATGAATCAACTTTGAGATGATACTTTATATCTAAGAAATGAGAATATGAAAATAAAAATTGATATTATTATTATTATTAGAATACTGATTTCTCTAGAGTCTAGCTAGACTCTAAGATTATACAGAGATACTAAATAGATGAAGTTGATTTATCATTCCCACTCATGTATAAGATATGAAGCAAATTGTTCCTGTGTTGCTAACAAACAGAAACAGTTTTTTTTCCCAGACACTTACTTCACTGAATAACAGCACATTACAGGATCTGACTATTTGGGTTAACTTATTACTTTAAAAGAGTGACTAATTATTAAATCAGTGTTCAAACAGCGCAATCCTCCGAAGTCGAGGCTTTCAGCATGTATTTATTAGCTCTAGAATTACCACGGGTATCCAAGTAGTAAGATACTATCAAATAAACGATAACTAATTTAATGAAGCCATTCGCATGTTCCATACAGCCTAACTGGACGAAATCCCACCATTCTACACACCTCCTCCAATAAATATGAATTCGCGTACAGTAAACGGTGGGGGGGCAAGCCATCTGCATTTCAGATTGAGAACAACGGTGGGTTGTTTCTTCCCCTACCAGCGTACTCTCGCTAACAACCACCAGTGAGGCGATCCCGACGTTCTTGCCGAAGAAATGCACACCTCCAGCCTGGATCGACAAACCCGTCATCGCCTCCAGCGAGAGGCCAATCCATCATCCATCAGGTAAATGACCGTAAACGAAAGCGAGAGTGTGGACTTAACGAGACCTGGTGGGTTCACAGTGGGCGAAGTCAAGAGGACAACGAGCATTGATGTTGGTGCTCCTCGAGTCGTCCAAACTGTTGGCCCAGAGGTATGTTTATCGTCGTCTTGATCATATATATAACACGGAGCTAATTGTATTCAAGATTCTTCGTAGTCCAACAGTTTCGCTTCAACACCGTTCCTCTGAACCGATACGGGGGCACGCCGTACCCGAGCATCCATCCATCTTTTCATCGTTCGAAGTGGCCGCATCTCATTCCAGCACTCGGTTGAAAGTGTGAATGAGAGTTGGGATAGCTCCATTTCACTTGGTGGAACAATTATCCCGAACTTTACCGTCATTGCAAGCTCTGAAGCTTCAACAGTCTCAAACAATTTCGATTACATATCTCGGCCACCACCCGATTACGCGGTCGGGCTCCCCCGACAATCCTTCACTGAGGATCAACTGAAAAAGCTTGCACCATTTGTCGGTGAAATTGGTGATATGTCTTTCTTTATGGGTGCTGCATACATGTACTTTCCATTTCTGAAGTGAAGTTAGATATCATCGCTAGATATCATTGATATATCATCATCAATAGCAAGTTTTGAGATGAGCTAGGTTAAGATAGCTGCATGGAAGATTTGTAGAAACACGTCACACACATGTTATAACGCCGCTAACGCGACTTGTTATTTTTGCTCTGAACCGTAAAAATCAAAGATTTCTCTAAAAGGAATATATGGGCACCTGAATCAACCACTACATTAACGGATGCACTCTTCCTTCATTGGCGCAAAGCAAAAATTACTGTTATTCTGGGGCAACTAAGCTGTTAATTGCGATCGTTTTCCTTATTGATTTAACTACGGAGTGGATTATTAGACCTTGCCAAAGAGGAAACAAAACCGCGTGTGGACATGGATGGATGCTTTGAATACGCCGCACGCGGCCTGGAAAAGCCATACTCCGGGAGAAAGAGGGGAAAAAAAGCCCAACCTTTTGGGGCGATTGGGGTTTTTTTTTTTTTTTTTTTTTTTTTCCCTTCATGGGTTTTGGTTTGACGGGAATTTCAGCAGGTTTTTTGTAATGTACCCGCACATCCGCCTGGAGTCGATGGAGCGCTTTCAGTTCACGGTTAGCAGCAGGCGGCATCCATATACATGGAACATTGAAAAAGAAATCGGCCAGAGGCATGACAAAATGTAAGACTGGTGCTGGTGGCGCATAAGCTGGGAAATATCCTACCTTGTGTGGAAGGTGTATCCTCATGGAGATTGATTGAGGTAGGGGATGTAGAGAGGTACTTAGCTATCTAGCTAGGATTCTGTCACGCAGGTAGGTGGTGGCTTTACTCTATGTTTCGTTTTTCTTGTTTTTCCTTTTTTTTTCTCGGTATGGATCCGCTGTTTGGAACACTTCGTTTCAGATCATTTGTGCGGGGGTTTTTTTTTTTTCTTGATTTATTTAATTTTTTTTCCCCCTTGGTGGCGACGGTCCGAGGGTTTGGAAGCTTTCGGACATTCCGGAGGGTTCTGTCGGTACCGGGCATTGGATTACCGTAAAGGAAAGATATCTGATGGTTAGGGAGTGAGTGAGATTTTGACCCTGCGCGCAGTAATCTGTAACTACTCAGTGCACGGAGTAGTTTGGCAGTGTTTCCCGGGGGTTGAAAGAGTCCATCCAAGGTATCTCAGGGGTGGGCCCCGGACGGAACACAGGTCTCTGCGTAGAAAAGGGGAAGCTGGCTGGTTATCTCTACACAGCGTAGGTAGAGAATATCAACAACGATTTGGGGTGAACAGGTCGTCCACCCCTCCGCCCATTGTGCCGTGCCAACCACCACCACTCTGCGAGCCATGTCTGCCATGGAAGCCATGGAAGCACCGGCTGTACAGCGGAAATTCTGCAGAACAGCCCAGGAGGTGCTTGGCAGCGCGTGTGGGGCGTGTGGCCAACCAGCAGCCAGGCCCGGGACCCTGGTCCGGGATATGTGCTCTCTGATTGGCCAGCGATCTGGAGAGTCTCGAAATGCCTGGCCAATCAGAACCCGGCCGTGAGTGCCCCTATCAGGGAGGCCCATCGCCGGCCTTGGCCCTGGCTTGGCCCTGGCTTGGCCCTAGCCCTGTCTGGAAGCGGCTCCACTGCTGCTGTTCTACGCTGGAAGTTGGTCCTCGAGCGTGCTCTGCTCTGTTCTCCTCCGTCATCAATTCTCTGGGCCAGCTCCATCCAGATTCCTGTCTTTCGTTTTGCCATTTCGGTTCTTCTTTGTCTGTCTGTCTTCTTTGTTCTTGCTGTGTTCTTTTCCCCTTCGCTTCCTTACTTCCTTTTAATAGTGTTTCTCCCTTTTCTTGTAGCTTTCGGGCCTTTGGGCTGTGAATCTCCCCCGCGGCAGCCTCACCTCCCCTCGATCAATTGGCCGTCCAATCATTGCATCTCCTAATTCCTAATAGTTACTGCCCTTGCCTTCAATGTTTATGTCCTCTGCCAATTCAATTTCAATTTCAATACCAGTTTAACTACGGAATAAATACTTCACACATCGAAGCCGCAGTCCCCCCTTCCGTGATACAAGGCTCTACCTGCCCTTTAACTTCGCCTTGCCCCGACCGATCTCTACTCGACTCGACTCGACTCGATACCGGATTTGCCAACTAGCATTGAGCAAATGAACACCCTGGCCAGCCCTCCGCTCCGGATCCTTCTTTAAGGATCATGCGTCATTCGCCCTCGTCATGGCATCTGCCGCCGCTGTTGCTCCTACTGCTGGTGCTGTCGATAGATGTCGTCTCGGCCTTCTTCCCTTACAACCCAGTTGCCAATACCGATGCTGATGGTGGTGGTGACAACTTGCTGCGGCTGCCTTCGTCCAGAGGGTTAGTGAAAGAACGGTTCTACCCGTACAGTCCAAGCAAGAGCCGGGGCGGCCAGGTATCTCCTCAGAGGGATGCCAAGGAACCCGTCAAGTTAGATATTATCAAGGTTCGCGGAAATGTCAGTACTTAATTTTCTGTTTTTTTTGTTTTTTAATTTTTACTCTTTGTTGATTGATTGATTGCTTTTTTGAGTCTGGGACTATTATTTCCTTTTATCAACGCTTTCATGAATTAATTTAATTGATGTTGGTGTTGGTGCGAAATAGGCTCGTCGACGGAATGTCTTCCAGGTCTTCTCTGCGGATCCCACGACTCTGCCACAGAGTCTACCCATCGATACCGACGGATTCGATTACTCTTACTTCTCAGTGATGTATTTTGGTTCCGAGCGACAGGCCATGTTCATGCTGATGGACACTGGCGCATCCAACACCTGGCTGATCAGCTCCAATTGCACCCTCCAACCCTGCAAGATGCATAACACGTTTGGCATCGAGGATTCCAATTCCCTTTCGGTCTCGGATATCCCCTTCACGGTTTCATATGGCTCCGGGACGGTATCCGGGGTCCTGGTCAATGATTCCGTTTCTTTTGGTGGTTTCGATCTGGCACATCTTGGTTTTGGCTCCGTGTTGAGTATGTCTGACGAGTTCAAGAATTATCCCATGGACGGGATTCTGGGTCTGGGCCGAGCACCAGCGTATAAAGTCAAAGTGCCGACGGTTATGCAAGAGCTAAAGAAGGCCGGATTGCTGGAGAAAAATATCGTCGGTGTCAATCTACAACGGCACCGGGATGGGGCCAAGGATGGCCAGATTGTCTTCGGAAACGTCGACCCGACTAAATTTACTGGCGATATTTCGTACACCAAAACTGTCCCCGCTGTCGACCATTGGGAGATTCCCGTGGATGATATGTTCGTCGGCGGCAAGCCGTTGAATTTTCAAGGCAAAAATGGCATCTTTGACACAGGCACCTCCTTCGTCCTCATGCCCCTCGCCGACGCGCAACGCATCCACGATGCAATCCCCAAAGCCGTGAAGAGCACCACATGGGAAGCAAATTGGGATCTCCCCTGTTCGACAACGACGAAAATCGAACTTGTTGTCTCCGGGGTGAAGTATAATATATCTCCAAAGGATTACGTCGGCGATACCACCACCACAGACGGCATGTGCCGCTCGAAGATCGTCGGCCACCAGCCATTCGAAGACAATGAGTGGCTGCTGGGCGCCACGTTTCTTAAGAACGTGTACGCTGTCTTTGATTTCGATGAAGATCGGATTGGATTGGCGATGCGGGCGGCTGAAGATGGTTCCGATTCTTCCTCACCTACTCAACGTACGTCCATGATCAGTTGAAACCCTTTTTTCCCCTATATCTACATCTACATCTACATCTATATATTATAGTATACATATACTCATCTAAATTTTATTCCCTACAGAACCCCCCACACCCTCAGACTCTCCACCAGTTTCCCCTGTCGGGCCCCCAAGCGATTCAAAAACAAAAGCCGCCGGATCCTCTCCAAACTCCCCCGGCTCATCAGATGGAGCACAAGCCATGAGCCTTTCATCCGTCGTCCCATTGTTGTGGTTTTTGCTTGGTTTTCTCTTTTTGCTATCATCGACTTTATCTCCTTGGTAAATTTCCCCTCTTCTTTCCTTCCTTTTTCTTCCTCTCGAAAGTATGCATCACCGTCTCTCTTCGTTATGTCCTATCCTGCCTTGTTTTATCTTGTTTTCCTTGATATAGGAAAAAGGAAGGAAGAAAGAAGACGATAGAGGAGGAATGAAACCAGGCACTCTCCCTCTACTAGAAAGTCGTCTTCATCAACTATTAGCGTCGGCCATGTATCCATCCATCCCCCCACATCGTCAATACTTCGTGTATCCTCCTCTCCTTCTCCTTTTGTTTCCCCCCCCCCCCCTGGCAAAGCACTACTATGCTCGTATCAACGTGTTTCTTCTCCCAATTCCTTTACTAGAAGATCAACAATCTATCCGCCTCCCAGTTACATTCCTTACACTAATATCCGCGATTTGATTGATTTTAAATTTGCATACCCTGTGTGCCTCTTGTCGCTTCTGTTTGACTGGTTGTCTCGCTATCCTCTCTTCCGATACCACCGGCTCATATTATCGTCTCTCGTGTTTTTTTATTTTTAATTTTCCCCAAGACAATGAAAAACACTTGTCCTGTACATAGGTTAAAACATACACACATATATATATATACTAGTATGTATATACTCTGTTCTTCTGCAGTATGTTATAATGTCTACTCAATAACTACTACTACTACTCAAACAGTGATTCTTATTACAACAACCTACTTGGTTTTTTAAAACGCTGATTCACTGGGGGGTGAAAACACGATCAATTCATCCCTCTTGCTATTTTGATTTTATTCAGTTCCAGGGTCAGTATTTATACATATATATATATATAGTAGTATTCATACTACTATGCTATGCGCTGGAAATCCTCAAAGTGAATCCCCGCTCAACAAAAATTCGCATTGCAAGGAAGTAGCTTCTTTGTATAGTTATTAAAAAAATTAAAAAAAAATGACAATAAAGGTAGAGTTAAGGTACTCTTTCAAGCATCCTGTTCCTTGCGGGGAAAGCTTCCTGCTTAAGCGCGGATACGCGGCTATTATTTCCTTGGCGGGCGGGTTAACTTAAAACATGCGCCCAGCCCAAGCGCCAAAAAGAACGACGGAGGATAAGGATCTGGAATGTCTGAATAGTAGCAGTAGTAGTATTATCTATCCATATATGGTCCGGATGTTAGTACATTACTTACTCGTTACTACTAGCTTTGCTGTCAAGACTAGCAAGCAGCACTAGCCTGAGTATCGATTGAAACGGGGAAGAAATCCCAACTCATTACATTTGCGCTCGTTGATTTCAATCTTCAACCTATTTCGTCGATTCACTCATTCACACGTCACACGTTCATAAATCACATCCGCGCAAAGCAGCGGACGGTGCGTCATTGCGGAAAGAAGGGAGGAAATATATATATATATATATTAAGGACCATGTTAACAACTTCTTTCCACTGCCGTCGCGGCCTTCTGCTGCGCCTTTACACAGCTCCCACTCCCACTCCTTATGCTTCTGCTTCCTCTTCCCTTCCCTCTCTCTCTTCCTCTCCCTCTCCCCCCTCTCCTTCTCCTTCACGTTTGCGGCACAAATGCACCCAGGCGCAATCGCAACTGCAATTCGCGCAAGCAGGAGCAAGAGCAAGGGGTGTTGCTGCCGCCGCAAACGCCATCAAAGCGCCATCGACAACATCGTCGTGGCACGGAATGGCGCAGAGACGGCAGTTGCATTTGACGCCGGCTTGTCATACGTTTCGGCCCGTGTGGACTGAGCGCCGCGTTAAGATGCCGTGGGTTGAGGCGTTGGAGTTGGAGAGGGAGAAGGAGAGAGAGAGGGAGAGGGAGAAGGCAGAGGCGGAGGCGGGGGTGGATGCGGGAGTGGAGAGGAGAGGGGGCGCGTCTCTTCCGAAAGTGGATTTGCAACCGAGGAAGATGGGGGATAGTTATTCTCGGGGTGTAAGTATCTTGTTTTGGTTTGGTTTGTTTTGTGCTCTCTCTCTGTTAACATATTTTGATGATGTGTTTCTGATCGACGGGTGCGATTTGGAGAGGGTTGGATTTTTTTTTTCTTTTTCTTTTCTTTCTTTCTTTTTTGAGATAGGATTATTGGGGCAGATCTAACTCCTTCCTTTCCCTTTTCTTGGTCTCTGGTTTAGATACTTCCACTTGCCCAAGACCCATGGTTATTAGATACATATCTGAATGCCTCAGGGCATATCCGGTAAGTCGTTTTCTCTCCCCCTTCTCTCCTCTCGCGGCCCGAAAAAGAACATTCTACTACACAGCACAGCCTTTAATCACATATACCTAATAACCACCAGCCTAGGCTCCCTGCTCATGGACCTAGATGCGCTAGCCGGCGTTGTCGCATACGCCCACACAGGCGACTCAGTCATGACTGTCACCGCCGCAGTGGACCGCATCACCATCGAGCACACGCTCAAGGAGATCTGCGACCTGGAACTCAGCGGACAGGTCACATATGCAACTGGCCGCTCGAGCATGGAGATTTCGCTGCAGGTTGCAAAGGCGCCGGTGAAAGGGCAGCCGGTTAAGGAGGAGGATGTGTTGATTACATGTGCGTTTACGATGGTTTCGTTGGATCCTGTGACCAAGATGTAGGTGGACTTTATCTTTCTTTTCTTTTCTTTTCTTTTCTCTCTTTTTTTTCCCTGAGGGGCCTTTCCCTCCTATTTCTCCTTTTTAATTATCTCACTTTTTTTGAACTTTTGGATTTGTGGAGCGGGGTTGGACGAAATGGTTTATATTTTGCTCTCTACTCTCTCCTCCATATGCCTGCGTGCAAGCGTGTTAGTCATTGCGTTCGCCGTGTGTATTATTTAAGGTAGTATGGGTGCAATGCTTGTAGCAATTTTCAGATTTTATGGACTAACTCATTTCTATGTTTATTACCTTCTTTATATAATCTAGGCCGGTAGCCGTTGCACCACTCCTTGTGGAGACGGATGAGGAACGGAGGCTTTTCGAGCTTGGGGAGAAGAATTACAAGGCCAAAAAGCAGTTGAGGACCAGGAGTTTGCTTCAGCAGACACCGAACGATGAGGAGAGTGATCTTATCCATGCTATGTGGACGAAGGAGATGGCTTATCTAAGTATGTGTCGACATTATGTACAGCACCTCATGGGTTGTTGGTGGGAGGTCCTCGATACGAAGGACAGAAAGAATGAAATCAAGTCACGTTCTCCAAAGTTCGCTAATTTAACAAATATCTAACTTACTGCTCACACCAACAGATCCGCAAAATCCTCTCGCCCGCCCTAAAAACCTCATGCACATGAAAGAAACAATCCTCAAATCTGCCCAGATCATGCAACCGCAGTACCGCAACAGGCACAACTTCATGATCTTCGGCGGCTACCTGCTGAAGCAAACATTCGAACTAGCCTTCTGCTGTGCGGCATCCTTTTCAAATTCAAGACCGACTTTCCTCTCCCTCGACCCTAGCACCTTTGACAACCCCGTCCCAGTAGGCTCGGTCTTGTACCTCAAAGCGACGGTGTCATATACTGATCCTCCAATCACCTCCATGGACTCCGGCGCTGCTGGCAATGGCAATGACAACAGTGTTGGCGGTGGCGGCGGCACGCGCAAATTCACAAAAGTCCAGGTCCGCGTTGACTCGAAGGTGCGCGATGCAGAGCACACGACTAAGAAACCTACTGGGGTGTTCCATTATACGTTCCTGGTCGAGAAGGATGTGCAGGTTATGCCACAGTCGTATAGCGATTTTATGATCTGGGTTGATGCGAAGAGGAGGGCGCAGAATACGAATAAGAGCCTGCTGTCAGGGATTATGGAGAAGGATTCATTAGATGGGATTCAAGAGGGCGTGACGGAGTGAGCAAGACGTCTCTACTTTTCAGGAACTAGGTTTGGGTTAGAAAACCAATTATACATAAATTTTTTTACTTTCTCTCAATGCATCTTAGTGAGAGTCTCCTTTATCCGGTTGATGTTGTCATCGCGAAATATACATCCGAATCATCCATCGGTCTCCGGAGGCTCCTGCGTGTTGGGTAGTCCTACTATGGGCAGTTACGGCAACTCCCGTCCAGTCATGGAATCGTCCGTAGCACGAGTAGGATGTACATATGTGGTTGCCAGGATATTGGCTCAATACTAGTGCCCAAGGGAGAAGAAGATGGTTGGTTCGTTTTTGAATAGCCCAGCTATGTTTTGGTCGTGTGAGGGTTATGAGCTTTCTGCAGACAGGAGGTGGCTATATACATATCCGTTGAAATAGTGTTATTTTTTTTTTTTTTATTAAAGAAAAAAAAAATTGTATGTATGTAGTAGGTGATCGTAATTATAGATTAGCTGGGAGACTTCAAGCTCAACTTATGGCCAGGTCAGGTGACCTTCACTAGCGTCGGGGCAGTTGACGTGTAACCTGATTAGCCGGGATCCACCCTCGGCCCCCCGACCTTTACTTTCGGGATGTCACATGGTTTGGCGGATCAAACCCTCTCCCAATTCCACGACTTCCATTGTCACAGCTAAAGAAGACAGTCACGGGCTTTGCATCAGGGAGTCTAGTCTCATGGTAGAGTGGTTATTATTATCGTGCTCGACATCGTCCGCGCAGCATATCATATTTTTATTTGTTCGCTTGTCGTGGAAAGTGTGTTTAGAACCTCACAACCACCACTGGCAGGCATGGCGCTCCCCAACATTTGGCACCATCGTAAAGTGGCCGAGACAGCAGCACGATCATGCGATATATGCTACAAACCATCTTCTAGTGTATTGGTTACTCCAGACAAACGGGTGAGCATTGCAAAACACCAATTATTATGCACTGACTGGGTGAGCTTTGCTAAATTCTTTACTTTGCTTTGCCATGGTTTGGCGGTGCGGGACTTACAGGATTTTTTCTATGTTTGCCCTATACATCTAAAAGACCGTGGGTTTTGTTCGCCGATTATAGACGAGGAGGAAATTGCGGCGAAGAAAAGAAAAGAGGAAATGGACAAGGAAATCGAAAAAGTGAAGCAAGAATATGAGGAGAAAATGAAAAGAAAGAAGCAAAAGAGCAAGGATGTGAAAGACGGCGATGATAAAAGGGATAAGAAGAAAGATGCAGGGGAAGGGGAGGATGAGAAGGCGGAAAAAGAGAAGGATGATAAAGTGAGCTCGTGCCACGCGTTTCTTGTCCTGTTGTTTCACAGGGGGGAACTCCGTGCTTGAACGCCGTGCTTCATGCCTCTGGGAATGTTGTGTGCGTACATTTACTGAGTGGCGCAGATCAAATCTATCCAGGATAGCGCGGCCGAGACACGCACAGACGGAGGGCCCCGCATATTCTCACTCCACAAGTATGCTTTTCCATAGTGGACCCTCAACATTTTTTTTCTCTTCTTTTCCTTCACACCGTGTTCGAAATAACTAATGGAGCCATAGGAATTTCTACCAGATGCGTATTGACCGTATGCGCAACATGGAGATAGCGAAACGCAATCGCGAACGTTTGAAAAATCCCAACTTTTTCCCTTCAACCCCGAAAACGGATTTGTGAATTAGCCCAACCGGACCTGCATTTTGGCTTCCTGTCCTTTGGATGACGAGACAAGTGGAGCCACGTTATAACTTTGCAGAATACGAGTAATGCGCAGCTGTTGGGGAGCTAGTCAAAACATATAAAGAAAACTATCTACGGTCGCCATTCAATGACTCCTTCCGCCGACTCCGCCAGCCCTTTTTATGGCATTTTCAAGCGACTGGCAGCAGGTTGTCAGCGCTAAAAGAGTGGTGGCGAAACGGAAGTTGCTGTTACAAGACTATAGTGGGTGTTTTGCTACGGGAGTGAGTAGGTGTACAGTACTTTCTACGAGCTTTTGAACAGAACATACTTTATTTAACTCTTCTAGAAGCCGAGGAGGCGTCATACCAAGAGATTAACATCGGTGTTTGGAAGATCGATAGTCATTAGATAAACATGGGGCGAGAATGAGCTTCCCTGGTTACTCCCATGCTGGGTAGCTACGTACCCACGCATCGCAGGGTGGCTTGACCTGGCTCCTAGAAGGGATCTGGCTCCTAGAAGGGTGCTCCTGCGCCTTTTCGTTGTATAAACCCTGGGTAAGCGCTAAACGGAAGATTGGGGCCGTCAAATCGACAGGAAGGATGCCGAAGGAGTGGGGTGGATGGGTTGCAACAAGGATGAGGTCGATCGTGGTTCGGAAAGTTGTGTATGTCACCGCTTACCCAATACCTGACCGAGATCTCATCAGCCTAACAGTTTTACGAAAAATACATTACGGACGGCGTCTTAGTAGCAAATATAACACTCTGGCAGTTAGAAGTGCAAGACCGTCGTTTGTCATCGAAAAGCAAGCGAGATGTTTTGGGTTTACAAGTTCAGGACTTCCCGGGTCCATTACGACAAGTCACATAAGTTTAAGAATGGAGAACACATGGAACATTCGTATACTTATGCACATGGCGTATCGTTCCCAAATAACAAAGCCCGCCGAAATACATACCAATGCGATGGCGGTAAGCAAGCTCTGAGAGAAAACTGTGCCGGGACCAACAGCCAATCAATGATACGAAATTTCCTCTTTGAACCACTGTACTTCAGTATACGACCAAAAGCTTTCCTCATTCCACTCCGCGCCATTACTTCATTATTATCGCTGGCCATTCGACATCCGAATGCAAGGTACCTGAACGATTTGCCATATCGGTCTAGGAGTTTACGATAACTTATTCTATAAAACAAACGCAGAGCCGAACTCCTGCTCGTTTATTGCTGTATTGCCTGGCAACGAGACAGCATGACATCCGGCCCACCCCATGCTAGCCTATCCAAGTTCGAGGAGGTGATTTTCACTCCTTATGTGCGCCGGGATTTGTGTTTCAGCTGTTGGTAAATCTCCTGAGCAGATTTTACAAACCCACGTTCGTCATGTATTACCGTCATGATGTCAACATGTTGCCGTATATCGATAGCGAACCTCCATATTCTCAATAAGCATTGTTTCACATATCTTGTTTTGGATATGAAAGGGGGAATGGATGGCCATCGGTCACTCTATACACTGCTCGAAGAATGCTCTAGCGATACACGCTTAGTACGGCGGATGTTGGAATAATACATGGTATGATACTCAGGACGTATTATTACTTGTACTCTGAACGATCTGTACATGGTTTTTCATCATTACTAGTCACTTCCGAACAGGAGAAAACCGCCTTTTGTCCTGGACCCTCTCCATATTCAGCTGGGTCGCGCTAATCAGTTCAGGGCGGTTGCGAACCTTGCCACGATTTCATTCATATGTTCCCTTCGCGTTGCGGTGCTTTTTGGTACTTTCAGCTTGTTACGTGAAGGCAGGTTACATGTGGGTAGCATTTACTCCGGACAATTCTGACCCAAGGGTTACGATACTCCCTCATCTTGATATCTCCGAACAACTGCAGACTCTTGCAGGGGGAAATCCCAATCTGACGGTAACTTCGCTCTATCTGGAGCTTACACGGGCAAACGTTCAGTGGATATCAATATTCCGAACCTAATCTTTAGGGTATGATTTGGTGGTTAACCCATGGAAATCCCCCAAAGAAAGGTTCATAAAGAACTTCTCAGAAGGATTTTATTCCCGACTGGCGCCTAGTTTATCGACGTAATAACCTGTTCCCTCTCTTTTCCCCTTTTTACGTATTTGACTTGCCTACAACAATAAATACACATGGTTTGCATCCAAGGTTCGAAACTTGAGAACCCTTCAGGTTGTTCTCTGTTAAAAGGGTCAGAGGCGAAAGGGGACACTTCACCACCTTAACAAACGGGAGAGCCGAAGGAGAAGCACAAATGAACGGTATAAGAATGCAAATATATATTGTATGTTAAAATCATAGGAAATGGATACCCCAATTGGACATCGGTGGATGTTTGATAAGGCTAGCACGCAGGCACTACTCCAACAATGTGGTGAAACTCTATTCAAAACGAATGCACCACTTGTACAGTACATGGATATGGATATATGACTACAAAAGCAATTGACATAATGTCGAAGTATTTGGATCGATACCCCATGGCAAGTCGGAATGCACCGACAGAAGAAGCCAGTGTTGACATGAATATATTAAGAATCAGAGGTCCTACTCAAAAGTTTTACCCAGGGGATTCACTCAGGAAACTGGAGCCTGAAACGTCTCAGCGCCATTCTCGAGCACACCTTTCTTGTCCTTCAGATTAAGAACAGCTTCAATCGCCCTTGCAACAACCTGCTGATCGTCGGCACGTGCCAACTTAGCTGCGGCCTCGTCGAGAGACAGCCAATGGGGCTCGAAATCCTCCCATTCCTCCTGTGTTCCTACCGCTGGCGTCTCCGTGGAATTGGCTTCAGCTAGATACCAGAAGATAATCCGGTGCGGGCCCCAGCTCCTGCGTTGCTGGACGGCTAGGGGCTCCTTGTGGGCTTGTGAGGCGTCGTAATCTGGAGCAAGTGTCACAAGGTTGTGGGGTAAGATGCGGCATTTGTAACCAGATTCCTCGAAGGTCTCACGGACCGCAGCATCTTCTAGACTCTCGCCAACATTTTTACGGCCCTTGGGGAGATGGTATTGACGCCTTATGCGACAATAGAGGAGGAGGACAAGATCCTTCGTGAGATCGATGCAGACTGTTCCACATCCGATGACGAATCCATCAGAGAAATGGAGAGATAAGAATTCGCCAGGCATATCGATGTTCTGATTTCCCGCTAGTAGGAATAAGCTGATAAGGATTGTGGGAAATGTACGGAGTAATTCTCTTCTTTTCAAATAAGAGTGAGTTATCTGGCGCTTGGCGCAGGGTGGATTGACATGTAGGAATGCTCCCCCGCATGCCCCTGGATAAAAAACAAAGGATTTATTTTGATATCTTCACAAGCAGAATAATGAGTTCTGATAGCAGTATCAAATTCTGTTGTTTACCAGATGACTTATGGCGGAGATGTTGTAGCCTGCAGCTGATCATCGAAACTTGAAGCCAAGAACGCCACACATGGAGCGAAGCGTCTAGCTTGAATAAGTCAAGCTCATTGTTGCCCGGATTGATCGTTTCTTGGTGCTGGCTCACAAGGCTGAAGGATATCTCGTGTCTGCAACTGAGGAGGCTGCAGAACTGATGCATCGTATTCTCCATCCTGCTGACATTTCTGCAGCTGCAGACGGAAATGAAAGATGATCCACTTCTCTAAATTCCCCCTCTTTCCCCTTTTTCCCTTTTCCCATCCATCTTCTTCTTTTACTTTCAAACATCCTTTGAAATATTAATTGCGACGATCAACGATTCACCTCTGGCGATTCTGACTTGTACCGTCTATTCCCGCCCCTAATGATATGATGTTTGGCAGAAATATGACGGCGAGGAGCCACGACAATGGCAATCTCCATCCGGACGGGCTTGGTTCAGGGTGGCGTTTGCTTCTTTCAGTACACTTTCCATACAAGGATTCGAAATTCTCGAGGAAAAATGCTCGAGGGAATATTACGATCAAGCTGTGCAGTGTGGGCGGACCAAAGGCTGATCCTGGCGCTGACATTATGGCACTAACAAGGGATCCTAACACTAGGGGGAAGCCACGCTGGGAGTCTGAGCAGGCATGAGAGATTATCATTTGAAACATCCAAGAAAGGAGAGCTGGCTAGGTATCATTGCAACTTTCAAAACACAGCTTCTGACGACATTCCTGTCACTGAGCCTATCCTGGAAAAGCCAATACGTTAGTCCACAACGTTTCTGCGGACTCTTTCTTTTCTCCGAATACAGGCTCTCGGGATATACTGCCAGCAATGATCGGCACAGCTCCGACCCGTCCTTCGAGACATCAGCTTTTATATGTAATGCTTCTATCTATCCAAGCTTGTCTTGCGGCTATTATTTCAATATGCCGTGACGCCAAGGATAATCGTGGCGTGTTTGTCTTACGTACGTACCACAGGTGTCATCAGTTTTTATCACAGGGAACAAGAGAGATACTTACCCACCAATGAACGAAATCACGGCTTATCGCACGAATATACTATGTATGTAAGACCTTTGTAAGGCTGAACCCTGAAGCTGATCCTTCCAGGCCTCAGTTATAGGGATGATCTGGGCGTGTCTATGGGTTCAGTGCACGGAGATTGAGAATCGTGCTCATAGCTCTTACGTTTTGGTATAGTAACCATCTCGCTCCTGTAAACAGAACTTAAACTTGTAACTCGCTTTGTCGGAGTTGGTATCTATCAGATGTACCGTACTCTGTACGGAGTATATGTACTGTAAGTACGTGTACAAGCTACAGGTCGACCAGTGACATCCACAGCCGAAAAAAAAGGACCAAAGCAGGCAAAACATCTGTCATGTTGGACCTGAGCTATCCGAAAGCGGATATATCCGCCGCACACACCACGGCATATTCAGACCGATCGCCAAAAGAAAAAAAAAAAAAATTTCCTCTCTTGGGATGGATCAATCAAGGATATTAGTTGCCATTCAGCCTTTTCTCAGTGGTTTTGTTAAGGCATGAGACAAGAAGGGAGTTGCTGGTATTTCCTTGTTGAATACGAAGACGAATAAATTTCATAGAAGACCCCTCCCTCCAACCGAATTAGCGGCAATTTGAATTCCTCCTCCTCCCGCTTCCCCTATCGTAGCTGGTAACCTGATCCCAGCAGCAGGGTCCGCCGTCCCCCGTTTCACACTGCCATCCACAACGTCAACTCGCGCCCGTGCCAGGCCAATTGCAGGCACAACCCAGTTTCCACAGCTGCATTTCATGCCTTGCCATGCGAATTTTCCGACATTCGCGCCGCATGCGGAATTAGGGCATGTGAGACGCCCGGAAAGTGGTGCTTCTGGAGTATATTTGTGCTCGTCGGCCGAGTTACGTGTTGGCGACGAATTGGTTTGCTCTGGAAAGAGGGAGGGCCGCATCCACGTTAGCGGATGTAAGAATATATGAGCACATGGCCCCTCGGGGATAGAATGACCTCGCGGTAACTGCTTGTCAGTTTTCTGAGCGTGAGGGATTATAAAAGGTAAAGTCGCCAACTTGCGCCTGTGGGAATTGTTAGTGATCATCTCGACTAAGCAACTTAAGCCGACAGGGATAGATAAAGAAATAAGTAAACAATCTCTTAGGGAGAGGAGGGGAAGGGGAAGGAAGAACAGGGATAGTCTAACCGACACTTGCGGCACTTTATTTCTGTAGGTTCTTCGTTATTATTTGCGCGGTCTGCGTGCTCATCCTCAAATCTCACGAGCTCGATCTCAGGAGCACGGCCACATGCAACACTCTCTTCAACCGCTCGCTCGTATACCCAGCGTTTATACAAGGGATGGTCAGTGACACATTCTGGACATCCCATTTTATGATAGAGTTCTAGTTGCTTCTGAAACCCATCGTTCGGTTCGCACAGAGGTCTTGATTGCCGAATTAGCTCAAGGGCCCCCCAAGGTGTTAATGCACCTCGTTCTCGGTGAATCAAGTATGCAATACAGACAGTTGCAGATCGGGATTTACCCATTGCACTATTACATTGTTAATGTTTCATCATCTGCCCAGAAAAAGTAATGAACCACATTAAAAGAAATAAAGTAACATCATATATAGAACATAATCCAGAGGTTCGGAAGGCTGAATAATCCGTTACATGGGGAAGAAAGGCTATGCTGGCAAAAGGAACAATTGTTTTGGCTAAATCCTGCGGCAGGAATATATCACTCGATCGAGCTACTCCGTACCTCAGTCCTAGACAAATGGGTAATTAGCTTACCAATGAATTAACACCCCGCCACCACCATCTAGGCCTGACTTGATAAAAGCATTCGTAGTTGGAAAATACTCCAAGAGGTCTTCATCACTGACATCGTCCACAGGGATTTGCAGATGCTCAAACGACTCGAAGCGCCTCTCGTCCGGATTCAGACGAAGTACAGAAACAATGTGGGTGATATTTGCTTTCTTAAGAGCGCTTTCATTGCTCAGGGCCATAATCCTAACGTCGAATCAGTAAAACACCCATCGAATTAGAACGAAGGAAAAACAAAAAGATCGCGAAGAATTGAGCCCATGGAGCAGCCAACCAAACAACCCTTGGTGGCCTGAGGTGGGCTACATCCAGCTGAAGACGCCAAAATGAGGGGTAGTTAGTCAATTGACTTACCCGCTGAGATAGAGATTTTCATCTCCGATCTTGCTGAGCGCCATCTGAACTCCACGGCTTGAGTGTGATTGGAATCCTGCGGACAAGAAGGGCCAAATTAATGATGCAAGTGTGCAGTGTGCACATGTTCCATTGCGAGGTTATCGCTGTTGTTCGACTCCTCCAGTGGTGCGAGCATGTCAGTCCCAGTCAGATAGATGCCCGCATGCATGGATGAGGCTGACGCTTGGGCGCTGGCGCCAACAAACTTCTGGTGCCCGCAGCCGCGCGATGCCCAAAACGGTAACTTAGGGCAAGACCCAGGAACTCACCTCCGCCATCCAACGATGAAACTCTATTAAAGTGATCAGGGCCGAGGCTGTTACGAAACGCCCAAGTCGTTGCCCTTAGGTGAAATGCATGCTGCGCATTGGGTCAGGCATGCGTCCCAGAGAAGAATTCAGAATGAAGGGTCAAAGTCAACTAGGATCAACAGAGGGCGCATTGCCACAAAACTAGCTATTGTTGGGCGATGATTATTGAATCCTCACATGATGTTCTGTGCTGCTGTGGAGCATCCAGCTCTCGCACTCGCTTGTTTGAATACTCTTTCTTGCTTCTCAACTAACTATGGCCATACGGTAAATTTGTTGCGTAAATCTTACAGATTTCTGTTTTGCGAGTTTGATAACTGTATGAAGCTCACATGCGGGCTTGTGATGATTCCAACAGAGCGAGCCTCAGTTGAGAGAAACGATGCTAGCTAAAAGAAAACTAAATACGTAAGTCTCACAATTCAATACTATTGTTTCATGGTAGTTAGCGTTATCAAAAGCGTGCCCTGCGTCTAACCGCCAGGGGTTGAAGACATTGTGGAGGCGTCGCAATCGACAGTTATTCACTTACGGTGCCAGCTTAGGCGAGATGCTAGCCTACTGGGGTCATCGAGCGGCGGAGCAAATTTCTAGGGCATCCGAAGTAACAGCAAATGGTCCTATGAGTGTGCCATGTAATATATGGGCCATTTGTGGAAGGAAGGAAGGTATATAAGTATTTTTCACCTCTCACGACTCCCTTCTGTGGGGTTTTCCAAGTTGTGATAAGTTCCATATCCGTTGACCCCATGCTAAACAACCGCCCAACATCCTGCCTTGTGTCTGTGTTACTTGTTTTGTAATTCTCCTCGGGTAATAAGTTTCAAAATTTTCCGTCCGCACCATCCACTATAGCCTCCATTCCAAAGCCATAGCTGCATTTCAAGATTCTGTGATACTTAGGCATTTGAAACTTGAGCAGTCATTTTTCAACCGAAAGGGAAGCCTCTTTGAAAAGGCTGTGACATTGAGCCGTTTGATATTGCGGTTTTTAGGTCGGGAGTTCTTTGCGACTGCGTACTAGAAGGGAATAAAGTGCGGGAAGCGGCTATTTCCGGGTATGGTGAATCAAATCCTCCTTCAGCTCTTGAGTTTCTTTGAAATAACAACAATGAATGTATAGATACGATATATCTATTATTAGATTTCCTGCCCTGATTCGACCCCTGCCCGGCCCCCCTCCCTACTTCCCTTTGGCATATCGGCTGAGTAAGTGCATAAGTGTGCCGTCGGATTGCGACAACGAGTGAGGAAGCCTTCACAGGACTCATATACGCAGTAATATCCAGAGAGCGGGGTAAGAAAGGCTCGGCCAGCTTTACCAAAAATTTCCAGCCCTGGCCGCTTTCATCCTCTTTCTTCCCATTCGCCAATCACATAATTCATGCGGATATTGACATTCTGCGTCGATTCCGCAATCTCCATCCGAACGCGCTGAGAGCCTCTAACATCCTCTTGTTATAACTCATTGCCCTTGGTAGATCCCGACCATATATTAGTCGCAGCTGCGCCCCTGTGGGAGCCTTTTCCTCGTATCCTAGTATCTCCCCGGAGGCGATACCTGACGCAAACGACAGGGAGATCCATGCCACGAGTGGGTAGGCAAGGGAAAGCCGCGAGGATACCTGGAAGTATTGAAGAATAACATTGCGGTAGTAGGACAATAACTCCTCGCCATCTTTCAGCATGGGTCCCACTGGGCTAACCTCTGGCCATTGTTCAGATATCTTTGGCACAGCTACTATGAAATAGCCATTGAGGCCCCTGTAGATATGTATTCACCGATTGTCAATATCACCGTGTGTATTTTCTCAACGCGGGCCTATAGCGTTCCTTGTGCATCACGACACTGTCTCTCTCAGTAGAATATGGCAAGCACCAATGTAAAGTGAAAGGCTAAGAAATGTCGCACCGGATATCCCCTGCCTGGCCGCATCTGAGCTGACAACCAGGAATCTGGGATGTGGCCACGGGAAAACGCCAGTCCCGGAGGCTTGGTACAATAGGGTACTCATGATCTACAAGGCTTAGCGAAAATCTCCAGGAAATTTTGCCAGTAGGGTCATCGTTAACGCACAAAAATTAGCTGTCCTAGGTGACAACACCGGCTAGGGTGTGTATCGACAGCGAGCTGGCCATCCTTATTGAGCTTGCGATAGCCTGTATCGAAGGCATTACTTGCGATGATCTCGCATGCTCAGAGAGCTGTTCGGTGGTGCACGCTTGCAACATCAATGCCTGGGAAGTTGATCAATGTGTGGGAGGCGGAGTAACAAGTTGGAAGGCAAGGCGTAGACAGGGTGAAAGAAATGGGCGCGACCTCGTTCTGATCCAGGATCTGGGAGTGGTGATGTTTGAGCCTCAGAATATGCATCCATGTCGTGAAGCCAGGGGAAATCGGTTCAAGTTGTCAGACGGCTAACCACGCTATATCTTGATAAATATCTTGAGATGAGTTGCTCCAAAGGGCTTGATCCTTTTGGCAGTGAGAAAAGGCCTGAATTATGAGTATGTGTTCCATGAAGTTTGGGCTCACTCAATCTCGTCCACAACGAGTGAGGTGTTAGAAATTTGTCTGGTAAGCTGTTCCACATCAATTGGCCAAGCCCCAAAAGATTTAGGATCAGGTTAAGGGGTTAATGTCGAAAGTTTGGCTACCAAAGTAGGTGTCAAGCCCCTGTAGCTTTGACCGTTTAGGATGCGGTAATGAAATTTCCGTTTATATTTCTAGCATATGCAAGGGCGTTTCTCGGTATACCTCGGTACTTTGATTCTTACCGTATCATCATATCTTTGCATGGGTGCCTTGCATGCCTTTAGGAAAAATCATTGACACACGGTGTGAGATACATAATAGATTGAGAGTACTAGTTATAGATGTATCATGAATACAGAGAACATGCTGATAAAAAGAATATAGCCATGATAAGAACGTTTTCCTCCCAGTTTGAAAATTCACCGATAAAACCTGGTGCATGCTTGAAGCAACTGTGATAGGGATCTATTTTGCACTAATTATTATTTATATACTTAAGTACCTGATGTTCTTATTACTTTCTCTATGCCTTGATGTTGTGTTGAAGCTACCAGTATTCATACTTTTATAAAATTTTGAGTATCTTTGGAATGAGAAGAGGATTTGAAGGATATTGAAGTCGCCATAGCACCTGGCGGCTGCTCTGATGTAAGGGTCTGTCGGTGCCTGGAATGTTGAGTGTTGTCACTGAAGCAATCTTACATGGTAGGAGCGCGCGGGGGGGGGGTGGGTATGGGGGCGGGTTGTGTAAAACATGCAATCTTGCAGGAGGGCTTTACCACGTATTCCTCAAGATATATAACTAGATATATGCATGATTCACAGGTTGGCCCGGGGGAGCTTGGCTTAGAATTTTAGCAGAGTTGGTCAATGACCTTCAGATATGTCCCTTGCGAATAGGGAAAACCCCGAGGAGGCTTGTGCGTGGTCTGTCGGAAATAATAATGCCTGATGGCAAGCTGAGGGAGCAACCGAGGAATGTTTTCCATTTCCCTCCTGCTTCCTGTTTCTTCTTGCCTGAACTCCAAAGCGCCCTTGTACTGTGCAATTAACTATTACGACCTACCTCGGTCTTCTGTGATTTATTTAGTACCTAACGAATTCAAGGAGTGATTTACGAAGTTAAAAACCACGCTATTTTTTTTGGTCTGAAGGATTGAAAAGGGCTGAAGCTTTTCTCAAACTCCGTGGGATATATTCCAGTGTAACCGCGAACTTTTTCCATTGTGAAGATGTGGGTTCTTGGGTAAGCTGATATCATTCCCAATATAAAAAAGAGGAGAAGCCAATGGCAATGCTCTTTGTGAACAGCATAATAAGCACTGATTGTACTACACCATGCTTCTTTGACTCTGAGGATGTCAAACAGCAGCGTCGTTCCTCATAAAGACGGTCAGATAGAGCCGACAGGTAGGCCAATGAAATGAAAGATGGAACCCGGAAACAAGAAAGCTCCGTTCACAGTTTTGAATTGCCGGTGCTCCATCCGTAGTTCTACGGAGCTTATTCAATTTCCTTCAGGATCCCGTGTTTTGAGAGCGATTTGGATTTCCAGACAATGGTTGTTTGTAAAGTACTCTGTATGTATCGAGTAATTTTGTGTATGTGGCGTCATGCTAAACACCTGAGTTGTTTTCGAGGTTATTATCAAGATAAAAAAAACACTAGGAGGAAGCTTGAAGGCGTCTTAAGGTTGACACAGTAGCTGAACATGGATGGCAAAAAGATGTCGAGACTCACAGACGCGGATTGGAGGAAACTTGGCCAAGTGAAATGGAAGAGGAGAAAGAAAAAAAAAATCTCCGCGATGATCAGTCGATCATTCAAAGAATTGGACAAACAATAGCGAGGAGGTGTATTGGATTGATAAGGGTTTGGTCAATGGATGGTTACATGGTCTGGTTGATTGTTTCCCGTACTATTTTACAAGGCGAAAATAAAAACGGCAGTAGTAAACTAATGCGAAACTGGTTGGGATGTCCTCCTTGTGCATTTGGCGGTCATTTCCTCCCTTGAGGAAGCATGCAACTAAAAATAACTTGCATATGCATGATGGCTATATGCTCAAATATTTTCCATCTGCGTTTGCTGGTCATTCGTCGGTGGTTATTGAAGGCTACCCATATTCAAAGGAGTGACGGGTCACAGACTCACAGGGCAGTATTGATTGCCTTATCGCAACTGGTCACCCTGATAAGGCTGTAACCAAAACAAAATATAATGATCATGACGGTATCAGCCCTGTCGTAAAACTCAAAACATGCGAGAATGTGCAGTAACATACATTGCCAAGATAGGAACAAGATATCAGATTCGATTGGAGGTGGACTTAAGTTCTCATATCTCCGTTAAATATTGGAGCATTGTTATTGTGAATATTCTTGTTTCTCTATTAATAGTACAGATAAGCATATGAATACTTTCAGGGGAAGTGAACAAGTTGAAGCCAGGATAAATATGAGTTGGTTGTGTGCATCCTACCAATTCCCCTCTTCTGTCATCCTCATCTGCTCCCATGTCGCCGTTCCCGTCACTGATGCTTCAACAGTTCACGCTATGACCCTGAACGGAATGGTAAAAACGCTGTCATCTTAGTGGTGTCATCACCCGCTCCCCACTAAACCGGCCCAAGTAAACTAGTTAGTCCATAGCGGAATATTGTTACTTGATCCTTGGGCTCTGACTTCCAGGGCACTGGATGGGAGAACGAAGGCTCCACAATAAGAGGTTCATTATCCGCATAGAAAAGGTTATATGGATGATTTAAAGATTGTGCCGAGGTTGAAATCTTTGTTGCAACCAGGACATGGATGAGAGGTGGCTCCATTGAATTCGATCGTTAACCTACCTTTCTGGTCAAGTTTCATGATCTATGGTTCTTTCTTTCTCACCCGAAGACAATCATGTGTCGAGTCCGTCACCATTGTCATTTTCAATGCAGTTGACAGGGGCAGAAACTTGTGTTAGATTTCTTTTGTCGATAAAACATCTATGTAGGTATTGTGTCGCTATCTGTAAGCCATATTGTGCCAGCTGTCAGATCATCCCATTATTCATATGGCACCTGTGAACCTATGTTATTTTTCAAAACAGCGGAGTCCATTGTCGGACAAGCAACGATGTCCACCCACCTCCCTCCCCTTTTTGCCAGTAATTTAAACGGAGCTTTTGGCATGGTTTTCCGTAAGATACCGCATTGGAGGTGGACCCGTTCTTTCGGTTCGCTTTTCATCCCTACAAGGCTTGCCAGAATTTGTTTTGTCGCCGTTGTCATTCCGAGATGTCTGGTGGGTAGCAGTACCATCGTTTTTGAAATCTGCCAGATTGAATAATACTAGTACGCAACAGAAAACCCCGTTTTCAGGTAATAAAAATCTCACCTCGACGTCAGCAATGCATACGGAGTAAATAGTCGACAGCCCTGGCATAGCGCTTGCTTCTTGCTTTCATTATCGCCGCCTCTGTAATCCGATATACCCAATAAGGATCCTTGAGGAGCGAGAGTATCCTGTAGAGCGACTTGGCAAACGAACCAATACTATCCTGGAGTATCGTGAAAAGGAGCAGCAGCAGCAGCGATAGGGCCAATGAAGTGGAAAGGATTCCTCAGCAAACCAGTTGCCCTCATTGAGAAAATCGGAGAATGGTTATCGAGGGAAGATGAATGGTTGAGTTTGCGTGTGGGAGTGCAAAGGGAAACGTGAAGAAATGCCAACTTCGGGACAAGCCCAGGCGTACGAATATTACCGCGATTCGTCAGAAAGCGAAAATACGACATGTATCCATCGGGGGTATCACTGTATCGGGGCGTAAAAAATACCGGGCTGTACTGGATTCAGCCCTACCATGATACAAACCTTGCTGGTTGGATGTTTGACGAGACGCCATGGGCGAATTTACCAGCCGTATCTTGGTATCGTACCTGGACGTAACTGTCAATAAAGGGTAAGCCTGGTATTCCTTACTGTACCAGTAGTTACGCTCCCGGTACCAGCGCAGCCCAGGCCAGGCCGGTTCCTCCACAACCACATTACCGCTTATACCACCGCCGACACCACTGGTATCCTACTCCCACCACCAACCACGACATCGAAGTATCCGCCCACATCACACTTCCACTCCCCTCCAACGCCCCAAATCTCCTGCCTCCAGCAGTTGTTTTTCAAGCCTCTGCTGCCTCATGTCCGCTTCGTTTCCATCCCCTTTCTTGCCCTTCGCCTCTTCCACTTCCATGGTCATCCGTTTTCTAAGCCCTATGCATCTCGCTTCGTCCTTGGCTGCCACCACAATTTAGCCAGCGCCTGCTGCTCCAGCTGAGCCCAATCAAGGTTGGACCCGCCTGCCATTGCCACCGTCGCCACGGTTTCTCCCACCTGGACTGGCTGAACCGAGCATCTGCTCGTTCGTTCCCATTGTCTGAGACCCTCATGTCGATGCTGAGCTCGTCGTGGCAGTTCATGTGATGATTATGGATAGTAATCCACCCATGAGCTCGACGCCTTCAATTCTCGTTTATGACTTCAACCATTCAACCTACGATCGTCGTCGACTGTCTGCTTCCTCCAGGTCTGCAGCGCGCAATCTTCCTTTCCGGTCCCTTTCTACATCGCCTGGCCCAATGGCCATCCCCAATGCGATGGAGCCTGTGGTACCGCCACCACTACCGCCACCTCGGTACATAGAAGATCTTGCAATTGGGCACGATTCTGGTTGGAAATGGGGTAATAGTGTCGAGGAAGGAGAGTTCGGGAAACCTACTCTGCCTCCCATAAAACCGTCGTCAAGCCTTGTAGGTGGTGGTCACACTCGCCCAGAGCTGGTCCGTCGAACTGAGAGAGTTACCTTGGATAAAGAGATCAAGAGGAGCAACATGATGTCAACTGCCAAAATCTCTCCAGTGTTAAAAAACAGAACGTCCTTTTGGACATTGGGGGATTCAACTTTCCCCAGTTCATCAAATCCTAGCCTACCCAGTCCGTGGTTAGTATATTCCACTGCCTGTTAGAATACATTTGCAAAACAACTTGGCTCATGCTGTTATTCATATTTTCCGCCCCCTTTTTCCATTTTGTGTTTGCTTTCTATCGTCTTATGATCCTGTGCGCCCAATGGTTATGCACAACTTTGATGAAGCGAGCGGAATTCAGTACTCCATGCTAATCTGGCCCTACAATTACGTTATCATAGTTTGCAAGGGGAAAAACCGCTGTCCGAAAAAAGCGTAGAACGGTCCTCCAATGCTTATGATCAACACCTGTTATCTAAAATAGGAAAACCGAGCTCCCCCCCTCGCCTGCCTTCCAGTCTCGGAGGCCTCGGTCAGAGAGAGTTCACGACACTCCCGTTCCACTCAAAAAACCGAAAGGGTCTTTCAAGCTTGTCAATTGGTGATGGATCTTTGAGTCCTCGTGATCCAGCATCGCGCTGGACAAGCGGACCTCAATCTGCTGGAATATCGCCTGGGACACGACCAGGGTGGGCGGATTATGTGAGCTATCGTAGCCCAAGTGTTGATAGCCCACCTCATCAGCCGGATTTCGATCACTTTCGAGATAGGAATCTCTCGCCTGGAACGCACCATACGAATGATGATTCAACCAGCATGTATAGTCGATCAAACAGGGGTAGTTATGACCAGAACGTTTTTCCTGATTCAGATATCGATTTTCCAATGGATGAGACAACACAACATAGGCAGCTAAGCGTTGATGATCGAGGGTCATCCCAGCTGGGAAGCATGTCTCCGTTGTCTAGGCAGGGTATGAAACGAAGAGCCTCATCTCCACCACGAGGAGCCGTTTCAGACGAATTGCACGCTCTTCACACAACCACCAGCAATGGCGATCTGGAACAACGGAGGACATCTGGGTTTCCTTTCAGTGGTTGTGTATCACCTGGTGCCCGGTACCAGCCGAGTCATGGCTCTATTTCTTCAGTGTCCTCAACAAGTCTCCGAACTGGTTCCTATGCATCGTCCACAGGACTCTCTGTTGCGGCTAGCAGCTTGACTAGCTTGTCTTCCTTCGATCGCCATTCGCCGGGAGGAATCTCTCCCACGTCAGAACTTGAATCCTCTTATGAAAAAGCCTTTGTGAGCCTGGGTGTACGTAAATCGCTCTCAGGTCTTACATCTTCACGAACCCCTCATCACCGCGATCAAGTCGAAGTGAAAAGTGCTCCGCCCATTCGCAACATGTCACTCCCGAATAACCTGAGTGTATCCAAAACCGCTCCACCTCGGATAAATCGTCTTCACATCTGCGAATGCTGTCCAAAGAAACCGAAGAAGTTCGAGACCTCGGAGGAATTACTGTAGGTTATCCCCCCTTAAATGCCGGTTCTTCATTTTATGTTGAGCTGAGCTAATACTGATCTTGCTCTAGGGCTCATGAAATGGAGAAACAATATACCTGCCAGTTTTGCAACAAGCGCTTCAAAAACAAAAATGAGGCTGAGCGACATCAGAATTCCCTTCACCTGCGACGACATTCATGGTCCTGCGCCGCATTGTCCGGTGTAGAAGCCGCTTTCCACCCATCTGCTTCTCCAACTTGCCAATCCCCTACCGGGCCTTCCCATGACACATGTGGGTATTGTGGGGATGAATTCAACAACTTCCCACAACCAGACTGGGATAGGCGAATCGATCATTTGATTAGTGTGCACAAATTTGGAGAATGCAACCAGGCCAAGAAATTCTATCGAGCAGATCATTTTAGACAGCATCTGAAGCACAGTCATGCGGGTGCGAGCGGAAAATGGACAAACATCTTGGAAAATGCATGTATGAAGGAGGAATCATCAACGGAGGGTGGGCTTGCCAGCATTGGAGAGCACGGTGGTCGGAACCCTGAAAATCAGATGGGGGAGACTGGAAATATGGATATCGAAAGTGGACCAACCCCTGGGACACGCATGTCGCATACGATTGATAAAATAATGGAAGAGCCATAATTGTCCTAAGGATTATTTATCTGGCTATCTCTGTGACATTTCCGAATACAAGGGAGGTAGCTGTGTTGCTTGTTTGACGTTTAAGTTTCATCTCGGGTGTTTCCTTCCCTCACCCAATGACGAAAAACTCTGTTCTATCTCATCCAGCAAGTTGACTGTTTTCCATCAATTTTTCATTTCATCTTTCTAGAATTTTCCTCCTGAATGATGCAGCGAGTCGGTTTTCTTACTATTTGGCTGCTTTCCTCGCGCCTATTCTTTATTTCCCATTCCCTTCCTCTTTTCTCTCTTGCTTTACAGGTTAGTTTTCTGGTTTGAGTGGGCTTTGATTTCATTTCATTTACACACGGTTGGTTCTGGGTGTCGTGCATATCTATGTTATAATTCCTTTCTCACTGTTATTTATTTCTTTGGCAGACTGTGATTCGACATTACCTTACCACCTACCTATTTTTTCATTGATCATCCTAATTCATCCGCCTGTGCTAAGTTTTTCTCTTGTTGCGCTTTCCACTGGTGTTTTCTTTTTTGTCACAAAACTACTTTACGGCTACACCTGTGCATTCATTTTATGGTATGTATACACTTTGATATTCACTTTGCAATATACGTCCTGTCGCCATCTATCTGCACACGTGTATATGTGTATATATACACCTATGATAATTTGGCATTATTAGAACATATAGCCTACACTCTCGTACCAGCCCCTTTTTCGCCTCACTATGTACAGGTCCCCCCCCAGAGAAACTGAAAAGTTTCAATCATTTTTTCCCTCTATTTCATATATTTTGACCGTCAATATTCCCTATCATTTATTCTTTGCATTCTTCATCCATTATTATTCCCATGTCCAAAACCCTCGACTCCGTTTGCATATTTTGTATATATTATCCCGTTTGATGCGTATATATACCGTAATTAAAATGACAAAATGTCTTTTTTTCATGGATTATTCTTATCTCAAATACAATTCTTTCTTCTGTCTCTTTTTAGCTTTGATATGTATACTCTGTCTGAATTTTCGAAGTAAAAACGATGGGAAAGCAACAAGAAAGAAACTTCGTTAAAATCTCCCCATAGATGTAGGTTACGTTCGTTGCGAAATATCTATGTTAACTTTAAAGTGGGGATTTCTTCTATTATTACGCTTTCTAGATGCGGACTTGCTTCGTCCCCAACCGGCAATGCCCACCCCTTACCCCTATTTTTTTCATATGTTAGTTTTCAATTTCCCCTTTAGTTTCACCACATCTAAACCTATGCCAAATCGCTTCTCGCTCCGCTGTACTCCGTACCCGATTCATCAAGTCTCGATTATAGAATATTATCAGACGATTCCGCTCCATAACATAAACTCATTTTCATACTAGTATTTATATTAATATTAACTTATTCTAGTAAGAAGAACAAATATAATATAAACATCTTTAACAGTCTAATAAATAACAGGCTTGGCAAGAAAAGAAAACATGCATAGAGCCCATTTTCTCTATGGAACGGGAGAAGACAATAGGACTGGGGTGAGAATAATAATAATAGCTTTGAAAAAGATCGCAATGGTACAGAAGTATTTGGCCAAGATATATATAATACATACCTCATCCCTGCCAATGTGTGGTAGTTATATATAAAAGGGATTACATACAGGTACATACAACTAGAACAATATCCGACATAAAAAACGATTTGTGCCGTTTTAAATGCCTATAGCAATAACATTTCCGAATCCCCGGTTCCGCATCCATCGCCGCCGCCGCCGCCACCAAGACTACGACCGTAACTTTCATTAGGGCTGAAATATTTAGGCAATATTTCATCAACGAAATTGCTAGCCTGGGCAGTAGTAATGGTGGCATGGGGCCCATGATGTGTGGAGGAGAGCGAGAGCAAGAACTCCTCTGGTATCGTGACTGGCGAGGATGGGTCGAGAATTTCCATTTCGCTGCTGGGTGGGGAGGGAGGGATTGAGATTAACGCTTTGGATGTGGCTGTGGCTGTAGTTGTGGTAGTGTTTCTGATCACAGGGGTGAGGGACATTGAAGATGGTCGGGATTTTGTGATTTGTAGAAGGGGAAAATCAGGGATGTCGGTGATTAAAGTTGCTTCTTGTTCGCGGTCATCTAACATATCTAGATCATCGTGGATGCTGGAAGCTATGGGGGGTGGAGATGGGGATGGCTTGCCTGCTGTGTTGGGGTTGTCGGGTAGGTCACGTTCGCCATCGTAGTTGGGATTGGTGACGCCCATGCAATATGGGTGTTGGATTGGGTGTTGGATTTGGAAGAGGTTGGTGAAATAGGTATTGCGGTCGCCATTTTCGGAGTCTAATTCGTCTGCGAGGAGGATATCGCTATCCTTCGCGAAACACCATTCTGTATCTGATATACGGTCTGCATGCGGACTCTGATCATTAATTAGGCCCGTTATAATTGTAGTCGTATGGGCTAATGATATTGCGGGTATGGTATTTTGTGATGCTCCATTATTTTTAAGTTTCAGCGGCGTTATTACGCCGGGTAATTGCCGTGCTGCGTCGGGAGTAAAAAGGCGACGCTGCATCGATTTCCAAAGAAGAGTTTTTAGCGCTGATTTTGTATTTTTGGTATGCGCGAAGTCATTGGATGTTCCATAGGGTTCAGAATTTCTTTCAGAACAAATCGAGCCAATCGCAGCGCGTTCTAATTGAGTACCGGCATTCGGGCGGGGAACATTATCCAGCATCGCGGCGATCCCTTTAGATATCATAGGGATAAAACGTGAGCGCTGGAGTACATTCTGAAATCGGAAGTGTTAGATCGATAAAGTTACGGCGGTTACCAAAGGAACATGAAACTTACATCATCGTATCCAGGTACGAACAAGCTGGGGGCAAATTCTTGTAAACTCGGGCCGGGAATTTCAATAATTCTTGTGATATTAGATGTGCTTTGGCGACCAGTTCTGCATAGCAATGTGCGGAATCCACTATTGAGAAGTTTCATGAATGGCTGATATGTAGCCTCGGGAACTTCCAGAGGCTCAGTTTGGAGCGAGGATATGGCACCGCAACGACAATGGTAAGACGTTTGCTGGCTGCAAAAGGGGGAGACATAATCCAGAGACATCCAATCATCATCACCCCAGGCGGTCATTTGAGATCCACCAATAGAGATGTCATCTCGCCCGCACCCCATCTCATCTTGGGGACGACCGCCTTGTGGCTGAAGCATGGATGATAGATCTTCAGAGCTATTAGAACTGGAAATGTCGCCGAAGCTACCTTCCTGGATGTTATTTGAAGATGCTGACGAGAAGCTAAAGAAAATACTGATATTGTGAAGGAAAATTCGGAGAACAGTGGGGGGAGGGTCGACAGTTGAGGAGCCAGTGTTAATTAGGACATAGGGCATCCGTGGTGGTTTAGACTGCGGAAATTGCTCTGACTTCTGTTGGAATTCGAAGACAACATTTAAGGAATGAACCCCTTCTTGAGTCGTTAGAATCTCGTCATTGTCAAATACCTTGGAAATTTGGAGATCATGCCAAAGCTATACACAAGTTAGCATGGTAGGAAAAGGGATATTCAGTGATGTGGTTTTATTTGGCCTTGACCTGTGATTCAATTATAGTAGTTTTCAATTTTTTCAATATCCCGTCGATAGAGACCTTGAGCTTATGCAAAGGGCTTTCAATCATGATGTAGATCTTCAATTCCAGACCACCCTTTGGGAACATCCAAGCGTCACCCGATTTAATCGCGCCAAGCAAAGTTGAACGGTCTAAATTTGCAATTATTGAATCTGGATAAGAGGCTTCTGCTGACGCTGCCACTCTAAGCCGGATATCCTCATTTTTATAGAAATGTACCGTCGATCCGAGCTCAAATCGGCTGCGTAACATTTCAATCCATCAGTCGAACCAGGGGAACAGAAGAAGCGAACGAGAACAAGCATATAGCTAGTGGTTTTAGTCTGAAAGTCCATATACCTTTCGACGGATACCGAAAACAGAAAACAGCATACCGAAAGAAGGGAAGACGGGGATGAAGAAGGGGCGTGTGGTTGAGATAAGGTTGGTCAGTCATGCCACGACAAGAGCCTCAACGAGAGCCTCAACGAGAGCCTCATTACAACTATAGACACCCATCAGTGTATCTAGAAGTGATAACTTGGCACTCAAGTGTGTTATACATGCATGATAAGTTGTCACATCCATGCCCATTTTTAGGGTCCCCATGGTGCCAAAGAAAAGATGTTTGCTTGACGGTCGAGTCAACAGTCCTTTACAACAAGTATGAAAGGCGCAATCACATAGTGAAAATACATATCAGTACATAGTGAAAATACATATCAGTATTCAAGGATAGTTGAGCTCTTTATCTCGGAAACTGGTCGACATTTGAATGAACCTTGGAAGCAGGCGGTGCTCGGCAGAAGCTTCCACTGTTCTCGTTCCATGCATGACCAAGAACTGCATCATGTGGAGTTGTGGTGTCTCAAAGGCATGATGTCATTTCTTTGTTTGATTTCACTCACACTTCCCGAAAGCATACAAAGTAGTTAATTTTTAGAGACATGAAAAAAACTGCATAGAAGCTTACCGATTAATTGTATCTTCCCAGAGTGACAAGTGAACTCCTTATTTGTCGAGCTTCCAAGGATGAACCCAACGCACGTGATTGGCCAGTAAATACCTGGTAGCTCTGGAAAGAGCTGTGGACAACAAGCCCAGTTTATTATCAACAACAGCGGTTTTCCACTTCGCCATGCCTAGAGGCGATAGACTTGATGTTCACAAGACTGATGGAAATGAAGCAGATGAGGAAGAATCTCGAGGCCTCTTGTCCCTGGACGAGGAGGATGAACACCTAACCCAAACCACACCTTCGCAATTACCCTCGTCGTCTAGCTCCAAACAGCAAACCTCTATATATGTGCCACCTTCGAACGGCCAACCTCGAACGCCCAGAACTCCCAACCGGGTGCGATTCGATTTGGACGAAGACACTGAAGGAGAAGAAGAAGAAGAACAAAATCAACCTATGGGCCGTCCTTCCTCATGGCTTGAGGAGGACGATTATCTGAATGCTAATGGATCCGGCCGGGGCCGAAGCAGCACCGGCCAGCTTGCCCCTCTACTTACCAATATCGAAGCGCCAACTGTTACTTTGGCTACGTCGGAGGATTTCTTTCCCGAGGATCATCTGGAAGGTGCGCGGCCCAGGAGCGGGCTAAAGAATGCTTTCATGAATATGGCGAACAGCATCATAGGCGCGGGAATTATCGGACAACCTTACGCGTTTCGGCAAGCGGGATTACTGGTTGGGATAATACTACTTTGTGGACTTACTGTCGTCGTCGACTGGACTATTCGCTTGATTGTCATCAATTCGAAACTGAGCGGCGCAGACTCATTTCAAACAACCGTGGAATTCTGCTTTGGAAAACCTGGTTTAATAGCCATTTCCATTGCACAATGGGCATTTGCATTTGGAGGCATGGTTGCATTTTGTATCATTGTCGGGGATACAATCCCTCATGTCTTCGCGTCAATTTTCCCATCATTGAAGGATACACCTTTTCTATGGCTCCTGACAGATAGGCGAGCCGTCATCGCGCTTTTTATATTGGGGATCTCCTACCCTTTATCCCTTTACCGGGACATTGCAAAGGTAAATGAAAAGCTTTCTCTCTTTGCATCGTACACAACTAATTCTTCAGTAGCTGGCGAAAGCATCGACCCTTGCACTGGTTTCCATGGTTGTGATTGTGATCACCGTGATTATTGAAGGAATCCGAGCACCGAATGATTTGAGGGGCGATCAATTACCCTTGATTTTTTCGCAGAGTAACGGCTTCTTCCAGGCAGTCGGTGTCATATCTTTTGGTAAATATTGGTCTAATCGCAATTAGTGACTAGATGCTAATGTGTTCTTTTAGCCTTTGTTTGCCGTACGACAACATCACTCTTTCTCCTCTTGGTGCGTGCCATAACTGATGTCATCTCCTAGATCACAACAGCCTCCTTATATACGGCTCTCTAAAGAAGCCGACTATGGATCGGTTTGCTCTCGTCACACATTACTCGACGGGTATATCGATGGTCATGTGTCTGATAATGGCAATCGCAGGCTTTCTTGCCTTTGGTGAGGAGACAAAAGGCAATGTATTGAATAACTTCCCATCTGGTAATGTCATGGTAAACATTGCAAGACTGTCAGTATATAATTCTAGATTGAACAAATTAACAAACCCGATGCTGATTACGAGAATTCCAGTTGCTTCGGATTGAACATGCTTGCAACTCTTCCATTGGAAGCTTTTGTTTGCCGTTCGGTAATGACAACATTCTTCTTTCCTGATGAGCCTTACAATTTTGCTCGGCATGTAATATTTACCTCGGCGCTCGTCGTTACGTCTGTGACTATATCATTACTTACATGCGATTTGGGCACTGTGTTTGAGCTAATCGGAGCAACAAGTGCTTGTGCGTTGGCATATATTTTACCTCCTCTCTGCTATGTTAACTTGAGCCATGGCAATTGGAAAAAAAAATCCCCAGCGTACGCATGCATTCTTTTTGGTAGTGTGGTGCTCTGTACCAGTGTTGTCCAAGCAATGATAAAGATCGTGAAGAGTAAGTCTAGATCGGAGGCTCTTTCACTGTTGTGGGATCTATACTCTAACACTTACAATTTTCCACAATTTATAGATGAAGGCAGAGGAACAACTTGCTAATTATTTACGGTTGTGGTAATACGATATCCCGATTTGGCTTTCGGTATGTCGTCCTTGTTAGAAATATAGACTCCTGAGTTTCCATTGCGATTTTCCCCCCAGAACTACGGCGTTTGGGTGAACATAACTGGCTAGATCATCATTGCATTTCACGTAAATATATACATGTACTTTTTTATTCTATTGGCACCCCCACCCAAATTGCTGGAGCGATGTGAGGCCCCATAGAAGACCCCCCATAGAAGGTAAGAATGTTCATGGGCATTTTCACAACATTAGTTATGGCTAACAGAAATATTATAAAGCAACTATAAAAGTGGGTTCCTTCAAGTTTGCTGGTCTAACCTAGTTTGTAGCAACCAGCATCTAACGCTGTTACTCTTATGCCTTTATGTGCAAAGGTTTGACCCCAAATTTTGTTTGAGGGAAATCTCACAACAGTCATGCTTTTTCCTGAAATGGTATCAATCTATTTTCGGGGTCCCCATGCTCTCCTTGAGGATGCTTCAATTTGACTATTTTGTTTTCGCTCTCATATTTTGATATCATATTCCCCCATACTCGTACCTTATGGTAATTTCCGCCGCAACTCTTTGCCATACCAATTCCATTTGTAAGTTGGAAGGATTGAATTCCAACGACAAAATACCTGTTTGCAACAAATATTTCATACTTCTCCTGTTATATACCCCTCAACATTAGTGCTCCACTACTCGCGGGACTTAAAATTAAATTGCAAATATCACCAGTAGAGGAATATATTCGGATTGAAGAAAGATCTCTGATAACTCTTTGTGGATTCTTTCCCGATCATACTCCACATCAAGGCGTATTTTCTCTGGCGCGCTCTATATACTATGCATCAAGGATGTTCAAACTTTCTATGGCATGCATGTATCGCATCCGACCTTCGGCAGGTGACAGCAGTCAAAGGCTGGTTGCATGAAGCTTTCAAGACAAGTAAAAAGATTCATCGCATACTGCGTTTATAGATTTTCTCTGTTGTCTCTTTTTCATTTCTCTGAATGATTTCTGCCTTGAAGGGCATTGATGTCATTTTTATTCTAATTTCTCACGGTTGAGATATCACTACTTTCTCAACTTCAGTATCAGTATCACCACAGCTGGGAATATTTAAACTGGCTCCGTATATTTATGTGCAGTGCATTTTCTGTTGCTGGGTTGCTGGGTTGCTGGGTCTTTGTTGTGTGCCTCAGTATCCCAACACTGGGAAACCTCACCAACTTTGTTATCGTCCCATCGTTTGCTCCCCAGGGAACAACGAAAACACATCCTATCTTCTTTTCCTCCTTTCAGATCCATTGCCGTTTGCCATTGCTTCTTGCCTTCCACAACTGTTCCTCCCTTAAGTGATTTCTTCTATTTTTCTTCTTCTCAATATCAGCCTGAGGAAAAGCCTACTATATCCTAAATTGCGTCGGCCTTGAATATAAGTTGACGCTAATTATACAGTACGCCCCCTTCTGATCTCTAAGTTTAAGGATAGGGGACTACCGTCTAGAGGGTCGAAATATGTTTAATGACCAGAAGTGTTGCTAACTTCTCAGAAGTTATGGATGAAGAAGAGCGTCAGAGACGTATGCAGGAACTACAAATGGTATTTACGCACATTCCAATATATATGAATATTCTGCTCCTGAGTTCCATAACTTATTGCCTATGCTATATGCTGACATCAGTTGTACAAATAAAGGCGGATCTGGGAACTGCACGTCGTGAATATATATCTACTGTTGACCTCCCGAATAAGTACCGCCATGTTGGATTGGATCAAATCGAGGCCATTCGGGCAGCCAATATAAAAGGTTCTAAGGTCCAGAAGATTGCACAAGCTAACAGGGCTCAGTTAAATGCCTGGAACAGTACGTATCCTGTTCGTCATTATTCATTGAGTGGTGTATATTTTGTGTCTCGACTAACTGAGAGTCTTAAGATGCACACCAAACAATTGGAGGTGATGCCCAGTTGGAAGATCTGGACGACATGATGTCCGGACAAAGTCACCGTGCACAACTCTTTGATAGTATTAGAGCAAAAGGTGGTCAGGCGTATATTCACGACCCCATTGTTCCCCCCAAAGGGCCCTCCGGAAATGGACAATCGTCCAGAGCTTCTAAACTACCTGGGCGAGGCGCGGGAGCAATGGGAAGCCGTGGTGGTCGTGCGAACTTGTTAAAAGCACCACTGTGAATCACTCTTACTTCCCTGATTTTTTTCCTTTTTCCAAAGCAGTTACTGATATCGTAGTGGCCCTAAAAATATCCATTCACCGCTTGTGCTTGGGCATATTGGACGCTATCCTGTTGAAAGGCCCCCAGACCGGTGCCAATATCTGGATCCTGCATTTCACCCCGAAGTGGATGATAATATCCCTGGAAAACACGCCAAACTTAAGGGGGTGGTAGGTGCTACTCCAAAAGCCATTAAAAGTGACAAAGTTTCTCGTGGGCGAGGCCGCTTAGGTGCGGTCAAAACTAGACGCGTTGTTGATCCAGGGTAGGTTGCAAATCTGGCCCCCTCTATTAGCTACCGTAGCTGATGGCAGTATCAAAGCGCCAATTTTGAAGCAATGCTTGCCGGTCCGTCAGACTTCATGGCAGTGGCAAAAGTTCATAATGCTCCCGGCTCTTCGGGACCTCCTGGACCACGGCAAAGCACACCGGCCCAGACCATTGCCGTATCCAATCAAACCAAGAAAAAAAATATTGCCAATGAGAAAGCCAATATTAAGGAAGGGACTTCACATAAAAGAGTCGTAATGGAAGGAGGTAACAAAGGGGAAACTGAAAAGCAAATAAATGATGATACTAGCGCTATTATCATGGATGAACTGGACCTCAAAGGAGGCATGATTTTGGAGCAGAATACCAAGTTAACGGCGGAAAGTCCTTGGGCTATTCAAGTAGATAGCCTCCCCTCTGATAGCACTCGAACTGGCCCAACTGACTTGAGTGAACGAAAGACAGAGAAGGGTTTTAGATCAAGCCTTCCCCAGCCGATTCACGCGTCAGAGGAGTCGACATACCTGATAGACCTGATATGGAAAACTCGATCACCTTCCAACCCATCGTCCCCTCTGCGCTCTCGACAGGTTGATTCTGGGTCTTTACTAGCCCTTAGATCTCCTTCTCTGAGTACTGCTGCCGCATCAATGGAGACGCTGCTACCCGGGTTAACAGACGGTTCAGCTGGTGCTATGAAAGCCAGCAATTCATCGGATGGAGCTAGCAATGGTGCTGTGAAGGGAGCACTTGACCTGCTTATTGAGAGGCTACAGAAGGAACTGGACCAAGTCAACCAGATTATCGACGACAGCGATGAGCCTGTAGAGTCAACGGGAATAGGAGCCTATCTGTTGAGCCGAAAGAAGCAATTGGAAAGAGAAATTGCTGAAGCTATTGAAATGGAGAGTGATATTGTACTTCCGTTAAGTGCACTTACATTGGAAGATCAGCAATCAATCGGGGAGCATAATATTTCACAGGAAATACTAACCCCGCGGGCACCAAACACTTTCGCAGATAAATCGGACAAAGTCCCGTTAGTTCCTGACTTGGGGTTTCAACCGGTGCCCTTTAGCCCGCCAAATATTGCTCCTCAACCAGTGTCGCCCACGCGCAGCTGTGCGCCATCCATTCCTTCACTCACTTCATCTATTTTCACCAGCTCAGTATGCGATATTATCGGTAACCATTTGTTACCAGGAAGGAATGTTTCGAGCACCAAGTCAGGCCTGGATACGCCAAAGGTAGTAAGTGAAAAAAGTAGCCTTCATGGCTTCGTCACTACGACCCACACTCCCATTATTGGAGAAGCAGCGTCTCCGTCGCCTGGTGCAGCAGCGGTCACCCATAGTCCCTCCATCAATGAACTACATGCGCGAGATACGCCCAGTGTCCCTGACAACGCAACAACGCGGCAATACATGCAACCCACTCCCGAGCTACCTCAGAGCTCTACCAATCAAGGTAATGTACCTCCACACGCTCAACGCGATAAGTCTTTGTCTGCCGTGACACAGCAGTTTTCAAACTTCTTGAAGCATTCGCCAGAGCAAAGCCGCCTATCGTCCTATCCTCTCTATGGTGCGACTGCTACGGTACAATACCCTATTGTACCATCCCAACTGCAGCCTACTCCCCTCGGCCCGCAGTTGGCCACTTCAAGCGAACAGATGAAGTCCGTTGCGTCGAGCGTTAACCCAAAGTTAATCAAGCCAGCTGCAGCGGCGCAATATTCTTCAGCATCATTCCACCGGCAGGAACAAATACCAGCATCACAGTCTCCTGGCGCCTCAACTCCGTCTCACCAAATAACTCCTGGCGGCGCGAGTATTACACAAACCTTAGAGGCCAAGTTCCCAGTGTCAGCAGCAACTTTACAATACTCTTGTGCAGTGTCCGATGCTGATATCAGAGGAAAGGACCCCCCACCACCAGCGGGACAGGAAAACCGCAACCCATACACTGTGAGCTCTACACGTGGGAATTCTGAAACTTCTTCTATGCCTTCTTCAAATAACCCGCCCCGCCTTCTTGGACTCGAAAACTCCAAATGGGCGATGCCGACGGTTGGTTCCACCTCACCCAAAGGCGCAAGGAAGCAACCCGCATCAGTAAAACCAGAAAATGGCCCAAGAGGAAATAACATGTTTGCGGCAGAACTGGCAAAGCATGGCATTACCGTGTCTAAACGCTCAATGGGTGAGGCTACGACTAATAGTGGACCGTTGAAGTGCCAGAAAAAGCTATCCGAGCTTGCAAGCTCTAAATGGGCGAGCTAAGTAACGCACATTGTCGGTGGCAGCAAGATGCTTGCTAGATGCAAAACCTCGCAGCTTTTTGATGAACGCGAGGAAGTATTGATTTGGTTGAAGATGCAGCCCAAAGTACTTGTGTCCCGGTTTGCTTTTCCAGCACCTATTTTGTTTTTTTATTCATTAATGATATGTTCCCATCTCCCGGAGACAATTACCCCTTCATCCTGCGCGTTGTGATCTCTATCTGTGGAGAACCATTTTACGAGCCTCCATGAAGATTCCCGTTGTCTACTAGCTGCTGCCCATTATTAAACTCTTTGCATGAAATATCTCTCTAAGATGATCTATTTTCTGGCTCCCTTCAATTTCCTTATCAGAAATGTCTAACCAACCACCCAAAAAAAAAAAAGAAAAAGAAAAAAAGAAAAAGAAAAAGACCATTAATATGGCCCCATAACTCCCTATTAACTTTAATATTACTGCAAAATTTCCGCTTCTGCTAAGTTTCTGCAATGCTGTACTTAACTGTGTTCCAACAAAATCCCAATTAAGCCATCCTGCAGGTTTCATCGTCGTGCCTATTGATTTCGCTACTCGGTCAGGATTAACATCACGATCTTATTCATTGTCAATTACCTCAGATCCTCAACGAGAGCACTGTAGGGACATTGATCACTAGGATGAAGTTTCAAGGTTGGAACGTCGCCCAAAGGGAGTAAATGCCGCATTAAAGTATGTGTCAATATATGTAATGTGCGGTGAATGCACCGTAGCGCGAAAATTTTAAATATGCCAAGTATTAGCCGCGAGATATAAGAGAAATTATGGAGATGAATATCGCCATTTCTCGATCAGACTCCCAAAAAGGGTGGAAATGGGAGGATAAATAGGAGGGAGAGAAATCTGGATAGGTGGCTGGAGGAAAATAAAACCATGTTGCATTATGCTGATACCAATCAATAATAGATAAGAAACGATCCCCTACTCCGCAGCGCCTATGAGGTCCCCGTTGCCCAAATTGAAGAAAGAAGGGAAAAAAAAGAAATTCGCCAGTGCTCAGGACCAAAAAGACACAATATCCCTCAACATTTTACGAAGCATAAATACAGCTGAAGGATATGGATATTGGATTCTGAACGCCAAGGGAATAAATACAACAAAGAAACGCTGGATCGAATAATGGATATGAATGACAATCAGATAATAATGTTATTGCTGTGGTTGTTGCTGGTGACGCGTAGTAGCGACATTTGAAATGGTATCTCCATCACCGACCTTTCTCTTTCTCGCAGGGTCGTTATTAGAATCTTCGTTACCTTGACCGTTCGTCAAGTCTGCAAGAGGTGGTCTCTTCCCGTTTACGTTTTGAGCTGGAGCGGTAACCGTGTTTGTATTTGATACGGCAGAAACATGGGCAGCATTGCTTCTTGTCATTCGTGTAGGTGGTCGATACGAGCTAGTCGTCAGAGGAGACCTAGCTGCTGGCGGTACAAAGCCGCTACCGCTACCACCAACAGGGCGAGGAACTGATCCTCGTTTCGTCGAGTCAGGGATACTTGATTTTGTTAGATTAAAGTACTGAACCTGGCTACCTGAAGGTACGGAGTCGGTAGTGTTGTCTGCGAACCGGGGAGGGTTAGTGCTAATTAGGGTGCGAATAACTGGGGCTGAGGCCTTGTGATTAATGCCTGCTGTTTTCCGGATGGACGGGCTGTCGAAACTTGGGTCAAAAGCAGGTGCTGACTTAGGTGCTTCATATGGATTGCTCCTCAGAACGTCGGCTGCCCGAGCGGAGTAGAATCCACGGGCAGGATCCTGAGGTCGTTTGTCTTCAGGAATTGGAGAGCTGAGAGGAGAAGGAGCTTTGGTTGGAGAAATGTTATGGCTGTCCTTCGGGGTTAAATCTGATTTCGGCTTTAGTTGGTCACTCGGGAGAGGTGGGGGTAAGTTTGGGATGTGTGTAGGGGGTTGGGAAGGGATAGGTGTTGAGCTGCTTTGTGGAAATGGCTGTAGTCGTTGGGCTGACGGCGTTTTGAGATTTGCGAGAAGGTGATGATTGGAAGAAATTTGGGGGAGGCCAGGTCTATTTAATCTGTCACCAGGCGTGGGTGGAAGATCCGGTTGCGCCACAGAATGGATACCAGCAACACATGAACTTTCCGGCTTCGATGGGGTAACAGTTTGATTCAGATGTTTTGTAGTGTCTGCCGGACGGTTGCTCTGAACTTCATGTGAAATTGAGTGGATTTGTTGCGGATTCTGCTGGATTTGCTGTTCAGGCTGTTCTTGGTCCATAACCACATCATCGGGGTGCTCACAATGAGACTCCGCAAAATCCGCCTCATCGAATAAGTCACCTTCTTCGGATTAGATTTTTCATTCAGCGAGAAGGTAATGCGAAACTTACTTCCAAATTCACCTTCCAGATCCAACGGGAGAAACTCATCTGCCTGGGCTGTCGGCACATTAAGCAACCGAGGTGAAAGCCTAGTACTAGCTGTGTTTTGTGGCTTGGAACCACCATCGAGCGTGGGAGTATTACCCTTCTTCACAGTACGGGAAGTATCGCGATGTAAATCCCCAACATCCCATGTTGACTGGAGATCAATCAGCGTTTGACCTGGCAAATCAGGTAGGTATTGTAACTGACCGGAGCAGCCTTAACTTTCGTCACCCTGCTCAAGTATTCCTTATCATAGACACAATTCCCAAGAACGTTACCAAAAGTCCTGAGAGCTCGCTTTAAAGCATCTGTTGTTCCTTCTTTTTTTGCTTTCTCAAAGGCTAGTGCTTTCGATTTCGAGTTTTCACAATGCCCGTATCCAATATCCTGTCAACATGTCAGAATATTTTCGGCAACAAAACCCTAAAATGTCCAACCTCATGAAATGTCCCATCCTTCAACGTTACTCTCACTATAACAGATAACCCCAAGCTAATTTTTGCCGTATTCGGATTTTCATCGACCTGTGAATAGCGGACGACGAATCAGAACCCAACTGCCAGTGATGAAAGTGCAAGGTTGTCACCGGACTTCAACCGCGACCCGTCGAAACTCCAAACCCACTCACAAAATCTATCTGAATATTTTGGATGGAACTTGACCATCCATTAAAGCCAAAAACTTCATTCGCGAGATTGATGCATTTCTCCGCAGCTAAGTAGTGCACCTTCTGACCCCCCGGACCTTGTCTGGAGGAGATATATTCCGGACCTAATCGTTTATCAAGGCGACTTTGCAAAGTAGCGATTTGTTGAGCAGTGTACTGGTTCAGCCGATGTTCCGAAGTCTCAAAGGGATTCGACGTGACACTGCCGGTATTCAATGGTGTCATTCTCGCAGGGCCGGGCCGGTGCTGTTCACCTACACTTTCAATTCCGATGCGTCAGTTCGATCAAAACTAATATAGACGTAGACGCAGGTGCATATGATGTACTTACGCTGGCATAGTTGTGAAGTGGATTTAGGCACATAGAAAACCCGCTATCGCCTGTACAGTCTGGAATTGCGAGAGTTTGTTAGATTGAAGATTGAAGTTATCCAAGACGTCGTTTCGGGGAAACGCGTATTAGCGCGTCTGCGGCGCTAAAAATGATGCCTACTCACATGATAGAAATTTTTCCGAACGTTTTCAAACTTCATACAATCTTTGAATAAACAACTCTGTCGAATTCAACCGTTTTCGTATCGACTGTTGGTATATCATTCATCTTTAATTGAATCTACTTTTATATCTTCATATCTGTATTTGCTGGGGCTGAAGTGTCTTAATATGGTAATTCTGGGTGTCCTAACGCCCTGCAATAACATCACCGGGTCCGAAGACCAGATGGGATGCCACATTCATCCAGAGCCCGCATATCTTCCTACTGGGAATTCTCTTCCACATCAAGACATTCAAGTCTCTGGTTGTTGACTTCTCAAAAAATAGTACCTTCTGAATGCTCCACACTGAACCTCAGCGAACAAAGGCTACCACACTTGGAGATAGTTTAGTTGATAAATAACATGTTCATCTAGAGGGCAAGATATCAGCGGAAGCTTGTTTGACTTATCCATGAGATACGGTATTCCTAGAAGAAAACCGAAGTACTGGATGGAGAAAGCGGGGACACTACAGTAATTCACAAGTTGTCAAACCACATGTGCTCCGTAAGATGCAACAAGGCCGAGATCCTCTAGTGGCCTCGAGCTATCACAGAGGATGAGCCGATCCCCCAATTCCCGCCTATCATACATTGTCACAATACTAGAATCAGCTTTTTCAACAATTTCCCACGTATCAGGCTACCACAAGCAACCTTTCCTTTTAAACATGCATCGCGAGATCCGCGATGACTTATTACCAACATCTCAATGAGAAACAGCACTGAAACGGGGATAAACTCAATTGACACATTGATAGTAGCTAGTGATCAAAACTGTGTTTCCTAGTCACTTTTCTGGAAAGACAATCAACGAAGAGGCGAAAGGTATTGGACTAGATTCATGGAAGCTAAGCAAGTAGTGCATGCTGATGCCGAATTGAATCTTCCTGGATGGTCCTGGATATAGAACAGCAGAGACGGAGTTGCTATATATTGTGGGGTGGACGAGGCGTTATTGTGCTTCACGCGTCCCGCCCAGCAAGTTTAACTATCGAAGCTCCATCGGGATATATAGCCACCTAGCACAGAACCAAATCCAGCACACCATTCAACAAGTGACGATGGCAAGCTGACCAGCGATCTGATTCCTCGGTTTTCAAAGCCACATACTTTCCAGAGTCCCAACGGTCTATTCATTCAGAGGACTAGGAGTTAACTAGGCGTTTTGGGAAGAAAGCGTCTGACCAGATTTTGAGTCATTGATCTGTGAGCACTGACATTGGCCATTTAGCTGCATGTAGCACCCCCGCAACTCTAGGCACAGGAAACTGCAGTCCTTCAAGTATCTCTTGATGTTTTTGACTTCTCGTATCTCTGCGTGGTGTTTGTTCTGGTGAACTTAGAGTAGCGAGGTACCCCTGTGTTCTTATCAACTGGTGCTTGAGTCCATGCGAGTACAAGGGCCACTTGTATATAGGGGACAAGCGACATGGAATCCTCTAGGAGGAAACCATCTTAAGTTTCATGTTGAAATATGTCATATTCTGCTGTCCTTCCACATGTTATAACCGCGCCTTCCTTGGGTGTTCATTTAAAATTCTCGATTCCAAACCTCTTCCTGCCAAATTTACTGCATCCTAATTTTTCCAAGCCTGTCGCGCCTATTGAATTTCCCAACAAACAGAACTAGAAGTGGACAAAAGAAGACGAAAGGGAAAGAAGAATCCACGTCATATCACATTGGTCAGAGTAATAAAAAGGGAACACATATAAAGTGACAGGAAATGGAAAAGATAACGAAAGGGCAAGAAAAAAACGAGGATCTGAAAAACTCGGTAGGAAAGTAGGGTTGCTGTACACTTACAGAAGAGTAAATACATCATAGACGTAGCTCAAATGTAAACGGGGACGAAAAGATAGGGGAAAAGGGAAGGGGAAAAGGGAAAGTGAAGGGAAATAAGAATTCAGAGGACAAGAGACAAAAGGGAATGCAACACAAAACGAAAGGAGCTCATGGAATGCTCATTACAGGACGAGGCCTAAATATTAATAAGACCTAAAGGAAAGCCACAACACAAGTGGGGATGGCGCGAACGGAGACGGCAGGATGAAGGGTATGCTGAAAACATGAATGCTTGTTGCTGAGAGGGTTCTAAAAGAAGACGTATGCTAGGAGAAAACTGAGGAGGCAAAGACCGGCAACGACTCGCAATGGGACACCAACTTCTGCCGACTGATGGGCTCGCTGCTGCTGCTGCAATCCAGACGATGTTGATCCTGGTGCGGTGCTGCTGATTTTTCGTTGTCTGAGGCCTTGGTCTGCAAGTTGGTCTCTCAATTTTTCGATTTGAGCTCTAGCTTCCGCAAGTTGTGATTTCAGCTCGTCACTCGCGGCGTCTTGCTTGGATTGTACAGCAGGTGAAGGGGAGAGGTTGGATTCGTATTTTGGGGTCTCAGCAGACGTCATATCCAGCGGCGGAGCAACCCGGGTTGCTGACGGCGTATCAAATTTGGCTGCGCTGGGGGAGGTATATGCCGGAAGTTCTTCTTCGGGAGGAGCCTGGAAAGCAACTTATGTAAACGTGGGTTCCTTCCACCGCCAACGGAAATAGGATAGCAGCAGTTAGGACATACGATTCCATTGGGTTCGTCGGTTGAGGGCTGTTCTCCTGAATCCTTAGGAGGCAAAAATTCGACTTTTATTTTCTGTTCGTGAATAGAACTTTTTGATGTTTGCTCAACGTGTTGCCACTGTGGTTATTGTCAGTGCATGCCTGTAGGAAATAGGGGATTACTCAAGGCGACGTACGATCGAGCTGACATTGGAGAAATCTTTGTCCGTGGATACTGCCACAGACTGGACCAAAAACTTGTCTTTAGATGCTCCCACTGACCTGTCATCCTTCATTGCCTGCAGAAGAACTATTGGCACCGTAAGTATCCACATAAAATATTACCATTGCAACGAATAGAATGCTTACTGACCTTGAACATCTACCCTCTCGCCCGCTCCGATCCGACCTGAGTTGGGCCGCACGCAATAGCTGAATAGCAAAAGGTCAGGACGCCGAATTCATTAGAAATCGAGAAGGAATTGGTTGGCGAACCTTTTGGGAGCTGTTGTTTTGACCTATATGATTGACGCTGTGAGTTGTAGCTCAAATGAAAGAGTTGTCCTCTCAGCCAAGTGCAACCATACCTTGAATGCAACCGGCTCATCGTTGTTGTTTTCTATGGTAAGGGTTTGGCTGACTTCCCGATTAAATGGCCCTGTACATACATATGTCAACGGGGCTTGTTACACGTATAAGATGGGTTGGAAGACACCAACGATGAAAACGAAGGAATTTCTGAGGTGGCTTCGCTGTGGGATCCTGATTGCTGCTGGGAGCCCTGCGATCGTCTTCGGTTATCAGGTTCACTGACATTGCGCCAGGCGTAAGAGTTCAAGTATGAGAGTTAACACTACTTAAAAAGGCCGGGGTTACGGAGACTTGAAAAGAGGTGAGAGGATTTCGATATCGTCAACAGCCAGCGATGCGAAGCTTGAGGTGGAACACATCAACAATATGGGGCAAGGGCGGACTGGGAATAGGGCGGGATTGGTCAGCAGTCACGTGAAGAGCCCCGGTTTTTGGGCTTTCTTGGCGGCGCAGATTGGCATTTCGTGCCAATGTGCCTCTAAACTGCCAACCACGATTAGGTCTGTTGTACAGACTACTGTGAGGTAGACACTCACTCACTCTTTGGGAGTTACTGATTGCTGTCGCTACATTATTAGCTAAACGGGTTATTTTCTACAGTGGGTCGCAGGGGCGGCTGCTTACAATAGTAAGAACGCGTGTTGCATACTATCGTTCCGCCTCCATTTCCATTGCACTCCTCGACTCTCATGTACGAGGCAGCACTGCTGCTAACACCATGATACTCGCATTGGCCCAGGCAACAATCTAACAGGTGGGTAGGGATTCCGAACCACAATTTGGCGGAGGGGGCGTTTTCCATTCCCCTCTTTTTTTCTTACTTCGGGAGAGGGCATGTGCCCAAATGGGATGCGATTTGTGATGCTCATCTGACAGGAACTGCACGCCGTGACTAGGGAACAACAATCTGGAGTTACAGGCGAAAAGGAGGGATTTTTCATCGTTCTCACGATCATCAGGAAAAGGAAGACCACAGCAAAATCCAATAGCGCTGCTGACCTTCTACTGCCTGGTTCCAAACTAACTACAGGATGACAGCAATTCAATTGGTAGTTGATACATTGCGTATGCTGTTTATATACATACAATTTCGCATGGGTGTGGAGCTGTTTCCCAGAACTAAGACTGATAGCAAAATTTGGGCCTGGGATATCGGTCCTGGTAGCTGGCACACCTTTGGAGATGTATCTCCTCCCAAGAGCGAACGCCCGCCGTTATTTGCAGCTATTTCTCTGCCGTATCCGTGCGATTAACCCAGGAACCATGATGCATGAAGCTGGGTATCAAAATTGTGTATGAGCTTGACAGTTTTCAATTTGCTTGATAAATGTGAAAAAAAGCGACTCGCTAATCCTTATATCGTTGATTAACTATCATTATCTTTGGGCATTCTATCATCGTAGTCACCTTAATCCCATTTAGTTTTACGAACGATAAATGATTTAGAAAATTCGAAGTATATCAATTCCCTTTTTAATGCTGTTTGCACAATCTGACCCAAAGGAGAGCTTATCCCGCTGGATCCACGGCGCTAATAACTGCTTAGTGGGGACGAGGTCCATCCTGCTTTCTCGGTGGTTCCGAAGAGTGAAAGCTTGATGTCAATACAAGAACCAACTGAGCTGCCTGGAGTCTATAGTTGCTAGCCTATAATTCATTCTACTTTCTCATTTCATTATTGTACCACGCCATTATACTTACATTTCTCTTGAAGTCCTTGCAATCCAATCACATTTACCCCACCAAACATTCCTCCACAACCATGCCATCAGATCTAGAGCAACTCATCGAGATGGGCTTTGATGCGGAAAGGGCTCAGTTAGCAACCTCCAGAACAGGAGGCTGTAAGTGCTCAGGTTTCTTCCTACGCGAGCTCACTGTTTCTTCTCCAACTACCTCCCTCATTATCAAGTCTAATATATTTCTCTATATTCTAGTGCAAGGAGCACTCGAATGGCTTGAGGCCAACCAAGACAAATCCCTCGACGAGATCAAAGCTTCCTCCACAACACAGCCGGGCGCAGATCCAGATGAGCCACCAGCGTTAAAACCGGGGGAAGAAGCGAGAAGTCTTGTCTGTAACGAGTGTGGGAAGCGATTCCGCAGCCAGGCCCAAGCTGAATTTCACGCATCGAAAACTGAACATGTTGACTTCGCGGAATCGACGGAGGAAATTGCCCCGCTGACGGAGGAGGAGAAGAAGGCTAAACTTGAGGAGTTACGGCAGAAGTTAGCCGCAAAAAAGGCGCAGAGGTCGGAACTGGATAAAATTGATCAGAAGCGGAATGAGGTAAGTCAGAACAAGGTGGATGAAATCAGTGATATAGATTGGTCCCACTTCCTTAGCGACAGCTCGCGTTTCGGCCATTTTTCGTTTAATATTGAATTGACGGAGAACTTTTTAGGAAATACGCAAAAAATCTACGAAGGAGGTACAAGATATCAAAGAAGCGCTCCAAAAGAAAGAACAGCTGAAAGAAGCCGCAAAGAAACGGCGAGAAAAGCAGGAGGAAATAGAAGCCAAGGCACGGATACGAGCAAAGATCGAGGCTGATAAGGAAGAGAGACGGCTGCGCGCTGAGAGAGAGAAAGCGGAACGCCAGGGTCGTGCCCTTCCCCCTACCGCCACGCCTACTACACCCCTTACTGCAACAACACCCGCGACGTCGAAGCCGGCTTCAGCATATACGGAATCTAGATTACGCTTGCAGACACCGACCGGCAATGTTATGAAAACTTTCCCCGTCGATACGACGCTGTTCGAGGTGGCGGCGGCACTAACCCAGGAAAACGGGATGGAGGTTCAGAGCTTTACGCTGAATTTCCCTCGGAAGGTGTTTGATGCGGAGTCGTTCGGGGAGACGCTGAAGGAGCTTGGGTTAGTTCCTAGTGCGAGCTTGATTGTGAAGTAGTTGTGCTGTTCCACTTTTGTGTTTTACGTCTACTTTTTACAACATTTTTTTACTTTCGTGTTATCTTCCAATCCTATGTTCTTTTTTTATTGAGTGATCGCTACAAGGTCCCCGATCGATGGATAGACTTGGAAGATTATGAAGCGCATGAAGCGCTCGGTTACATAATATATTGGCATTGTTCAATTCAACCAGAGGCTTCAATGTCGCTTTCTCATTCCTGCATGCTTACAACCAACCAACCTTCCACTTTCATCATTCCTGATGTATTCTAGACGATTTGAATGCCGGCCAGATCCCTCAAAATCTGAAGCGATAAGGTGCTTCTCGCCGGTTTGCGCCAGTACCATCACTACCTCAGGAAATCGCATTGCCCACTTTTCTGTTTGGCGTGTGCTTAACGTTTCTCTGGGTCGCACTGGTTAATAGAATGACCTATCACAATCTCCGCCGTTGGTATGGTGATATATCATACTGACAGACCGCTTTCAATGTGGTCATGCGTAGATATTGTAGCATGGATAACCGGATAAAATTTTTGCCGGGGGCCGACATAGTTCTTGTGTCGACCGCCTCTCTTTGTGCTATTCCATTGCCCGGCATGCAACAAAATATCCATTGACTCGTCATTGTATGAGCGCTAAAAAATTTGATGCCCCAAGTGGGATAAGGACGGGATGGTTGACATTCTACGGCGCCACGACCTTCCCTGGCGCATGCGCATTTGGCTCATCTTCTACAGATACTGGTACCGCTTCCGCCGCCGTCTCGAAACGCCCCTGAAACTGCGATACAGCCTAGGGCGACTCAGACACAATCATCCTCGACCTTGGCTTGCGCTTCTGCGTCTCTTCATCCCCTATCCAACATGGAAGTTTCCTGTTCCAGAACCTCTCTCTCCACAGGAGCTGGTGGGGAATGAACAACTGATGCTCCGCCGTCGCCATGATCTCAGAAATTTGACGGCCATCCCTCTCTGGCGGTTTCGTGACACTCCACTGCGGTCTCTCTATCGCCTCTGCGAGTCCATGTTGTCGGGCGACTACAGCCCAATGGGGGAGGAGACAGAATATTTTTGGTATCAACCCCGGTGGGCACTAGATGGCATTCCCGATCCAGCAGACCCAGACCCCATCCGGTATGCCATTATTGCGTGTCTTGTTGAAGAGCTGGTTACGGCATTCAACTGGCGCCTAGGTCTGGGCATGCGACGTAATCGCAAACATATCTTTCGCGAACGAAACGAAGACCCATATCCTCCGTATGAGCCTGTGAAAGGGCCTGCATGGACAAGAGATGTCCCACCAATTCCACGGGAGAGCCTTGCATGTCTGCCACCAGAGTTTGTACGAAATGAGTGCCAACTTGTCCTAGAAGAGAAGGGCATCAGTGAGCTGTTCGCGCAAAGGAACATAGTCACAAATGTTGGGTGGTTATACACGATATAGAAGAGCCTTTCAACCCACATCTCTGGTCTTGCTCACAGTTTACTGTCACATGACCTGCTAAAATGTAGGCCTGTTACCCCCCGGTTTTATTCCCATCAATCTTCCTTCATTCTCACACCTTTTTATACCCTCCATGTTACACCCTTGGTTTCCAGATTCAATGCATTTATCCTCAATACATCTTCAATCGATACGAAATAATTAATCTGAATTCTTATTAATGTCTTTCCTTCGTCTGTACTAACAATCAAACCTCCACACAAAGGTAGGTGGAGATATGATGGTAAAAGCTGGATGATGTGTTGGAATCTCTCGTTTAAAGATTATATAGATTAGAAATATATCTCCATCTATCTGTTTGGCTGCTTGCCCAAAGGCCTGGGAAGATTGAAGTCTTAAGGGTTACTTACTGCCTGTGGCTGTTTAGCTGCCTACTATCCATGTGTATACACAGAAATTGAAGACCGGATATTATCCGCTACCTGTCCGCTCGCCATCAGTGCATACACCAGGCAAGCACACCTTGGTTGTACCCCCGTCCTCCCTGCAAGAAGCCTCCAAACCCCGCGGAGCTGCCCTGGATCTCGCCGACACATCTCTCGAGCCTTGGCATATCAGCATGGTGCATCTGAGATGTCAGAGCCAAAGCAATACCTCGAGAAGGGGGACTTTGACAATGGTAAATTCCCCCTTCCTTCCTCACCTCTCACTCTCATCTGAACTAGGACACCCGGGGATTGAAATCCAGTGATTCATGTCCATATCTCGGATAGGACTCCGTGCTCTCGATGCAGAACTGGCAAAGCATCATATGATCGTCGCCTTTTCTCCCATAACCGTGATCACAGCTGGCGGGTTTGTTGCTGTTACCTACCTTCAGAATAGAAACGCCACCGGTGACCTCGACTACCTTCTTGCTCCTGAATGGGCGGCAGATCCAGATATCAAGAATTCACTGCGCGACGCGATAATCAAGGTATCAAATGACCTTGGCTTCAATTACGAATGGGCAAACGATGATATGGCGATATTTGTCACACATGAAGCACAGAAATGGCTGTTTGAACAGGCAGAGAAGCAAGACATTGTCCTTTTCTTGGGGCAGCATATTCGTGTCCTGGCCGCACCAATCGAGTGGGCAGTGGAACGCAAGATAAGGAGGTTGTTTGAGGGAACCCGTGACCGTAAGGCAGTGTTTGACCTCAGCGATTGCTTGGCAATGCTGAAGTGGTTAAGGGACCGAAACGATGGTCCTCTGGATCGCGAGCGCATCCGTGGCTTGGATGTCAACGGTTTTGGTGTCGGTCCTGATAAAGCAACTATGGACACCATTGCCACCGCCTATTGCGAGAAGTATGGGGAGAGGATATTCTTCTGATACGATAATTTCAAGACGGAATATATGAAATCACATTCAATCATTTCTATATTATTCCGTTACCAGAACCGAAGTAGTTCCGTATCTACCTGCCTTAAACTGTGTTTTCATATGGTATATATAGGTGCGCAATTGAAGCATCAATTGTGTCGTCGACCAGTCCACTGTCCCTTTCCAACCTCAGAGGAAAATGGCTAATCATTGTTTGAACTTCAAGGATCACAAATATATATTAAATCGACGAAAATCCGCTTGTTCCTTTTTATATATATCTATGCTTGTCTTCACTTTTCCGGTAGCCTTTAATGTGGATAGGCCTAAATATCCTCCTAACGGGTTTCGAATAGATGTAAGAAGGCTGTTGGCGCTTCAAGATAGAGAATTGGCCATCGGGGTGTCGTCGAAACTTGGTGACTGGTTTGCGCCTAATACAAAATAGGAAGTGAGCCACAAAAAAAAAAGTCAGAAACGAAAATCTACAACGTGTGTGTGAATTTGTCGGAAGAAGGGAGGATCTCATGCACATTCACTTATTCAATTGAAAGCAAAACGGGAATGGGGTGAGGAGCCAGAGAGGTATTGCGAGTGGACAAAAGGAACAAAGAATACCAACAAATGTTTCAAGCAAACTTACTCTCCAATATCTGCTGTTGTAGAAAGGGGTCATCATCATAGACAGGCAGGACCATGGCGCGCGCGACAACATGACCCTTCGCAGTATCAAATCCACGATCATTGCCCCATTTATAGAGAGCGGGGAAGAAGCAATAGCCTACCACCAGTTTCCGACCGCAACTTTCGTTATCTAGTCTACGAAGTTCGTCGTCCTCGCACTCGCCCTCCGTGACATCGACAATGCTCATGGTTGAAACGTTGAACTGCGTGCCAGGATCATGGAACTTGAGCTCGTAGGACGCGAGGGACATGCAGGTCTTCAGGCGGAGGTTTGCTTGGAGCTTCAATAGCTTTTGCAAGCTGCGACGGCCTTTGTCTCCTGGAGGAATATGTGGCTCCAGTTTGGCCCATACCTCATCGACTAGTTCGGACAGTTCGGATTCTGCACTGGCTTTGGATCCGGAGGAATTTGCTAGCTCGCTGACTTCGGGGAGGTATTGGAGAAGCTTAACGAAGCTTGATCTCCAGGTGTTGATATCCCGTTGTGGTACCCCTGAGTACATCATCAACGTGGTTAGTATCAATCGCTTTCCTCAGTTTTGCTTATGATAACTGTCGTTAAAGGCGTCTCACCGATCGATGGTAAATGAAGGACTTCCTCTAATATCTGCAAGAACGTCAAGGAGCTCCGAGGGTCAAGCTCCATGTCAAATTCTCTTGTGAGTTTTAAAATTCCAGATGCCGCCCCCACAACGTATCTCTTGCCAACTGCGTCAGAGGTTTCTTTGAAGAGCGCACTAGCAAGCAAGCTATGATAGTATTTTCTGCCAAACTGTTGTAGCAACCGGATGCATTCCGGGCTGAGCAGTTTTCCCAAACGCCCAGCATCATCACCCGTAGGCTTGCCAAATACCTTGGAGTGAGATTCTACAGCGCATCCAATGGCACTTTGGAAGAGTCTTCGCAGGACTTCGTCCGTCACCCCTTCTGCCACCGTTCCCAGGTCCAGGATTTGCTGTCCAAGCGCTTTCTTCTCGTCCTGGGCCTCCCAGAGGTCCTTCTTGCAGTCTTCCAGTTCTTTATGGAGCGACCCAGCAATTCTTTTATAGTACTCAGCTTCTCGGAATGCATGTTGTGCTGCACGACGCTGGTACACAAGCTCCTGATACATATCATCTAAATCTGGCTCTTGGGGAGCGGCTCTCCTAACTCTTTCAGCATACGACCCTCCATGCCCCGCCTGCGCAATCCCTCGGTGCACCTGGTGGGAAAGCTCAATCTCGGGAGAATCGTCGAACCCACTTCTATGGGCATATCTAGGAGGTTCCCTTTCCGCCTGTGACCTTGGAGTAAAAGTGTTGTCTTTCGCCGCAGTAGACTTGTGGGGAGGCACTGGTGGTCGAGTGGCACTCGGTTCCTGAACCTGAACATTACGAACAGGGCTCTGGTTTCGCACATCTGGGCGTATACCCGTAGCACTTTTTGAGCGAGGCCGGGCCTTTTCCAGACGACGGGGAGCTACAGTGGTGGATTGGGAATCCGCGACTGCTTCCGCAGTTCCAATTTTGTGTTGAATGCTAACAAATCGGTTAGGTTGAACGAGACCAGCGTCCACAGCGGGAGAGGATTATTAACCTTTCTTCGTTTGGGATATTCTCAATTTCAGCCAGAGCTTCGTGTAATTCGTCGACTTCGATCATCTCATCCAATTGATCCAGCTTCCCCGCTTTTGACACCATTGTGGCATCTGCTTTTGAGCTCATCATCGCTGTCAAAACGTATTATTATTATCAATCCTTCTCGTAGAATATTTTCAATAAAATTACTCCCACGGGTGCAAATAAACTGACCCTCTCATCTTGAAACGGGAGCATATATTTCGCTGCCGCTCATTGAGGGGCTCAGGCCTGCTTCCGTGAGACACTGGCTCTAGCCGCTCGACGAGGCACGAGGCTGACAGACGTGGCAGGTCACCGGCTGCACTAAAAATGAGTAAATCCCCAAGGCGCCAAAAGCACGAACTGGCATGCACTGCCGTCCACAAACAGCACGATCTCGAGCATGGATCCTGGCTGCCGAAGGGTCCACCACCAATGGAGTGTGATGAATACGAACATGCGCTGGTCCCAACAAGGCTGTGAACTATTCCGGTCTGAGGCGGGCTATTGGACATCCGGAGATCAAGACCAGGAAGCCAGAGCCTCACAGTTGTTTCACCCACTTTGTTTATGAGGGGTTTAGGCGTCTTGCGAGCCTTGAGCCTTTCATATAAATTCGGCCTCGCTGCTAATGTGCCTGAGAAAACCTGTCCTTTCAAAGCCCGTGGGGCATCGATCATTTCAATCTTCGTGATAGACTATAGGCGATTGTTTTGAACATCTTTTTTTATGGGCAACGAACCAAAAATTTCCCGACAAAATGCTTACCAGTATCATGATAGCCGTCGACTTCGGGACGACGTATTCTGGCCTAGCATTCAGTGATCCGTCCCAGGTATGTCGTGAACACCCCGAGTTCAGTGTGGAAAATACGTAGTTCTCGAGGGTCTAACGACATAACCATGTCATGATTAACTAGCGAACCGACGCTGCTATCCCGATCACTGACTGGGGTCGAGGAGTAAGTAGCCAAAAAGTTCCATCGTAAGCAGAAATGAAAACCCTCAATCTCACCGTAAACTGAATTTCCAGCATAACTAACTAATTATTCCACATAACACAGTGAAATCCGTTTCGACGGCCCAGGAAATGAGCAGTTCAAATGGGGTTTCCAGATCAAGCATGGCCAGGAAAGACATATCTGGTTTAAACTGGACTTAGATCCGGACAATTCCCGAGTTGGCAAATTGACCCAGCTCTCAAGGACACTGAAGGATCTCTTCGTGTCACCACCTGAATATCAGCGGACTACAGAGGATATCGTAGCCGCATACCTGACAGGTCTACGCAGGCATGCTGTCGCTCATTTAGAGAAACTTTACGGTTCTGCAGTTATGAAAGACTGCCAGCTCGACTGGATAATCACTGTGCCTGCCGTCTGGTCTGATCTGGCCAAAAAGAAGACGCGAACTGCGGCGATGAGAGCCGGTATGGGCGACACCACATCTCTTCAGATGACATCGGAGCCTGAAGCGGCCGCTGTCTACGCACTTAAAGCGCTGGACCCGCACCATATCAAGGTTGGAGAGAGCGTGGTGATTTGTGATGCCGGTGGAGGCACTGTGGATTTGATCACGTACAAGATGAAATCTGTGGATTATCCGTATGAGGTGGAGGAGACTGCTATTGGCGGGGGCAGCCAGTGTGGGAGTACCTTTTTGAATCGAAAGTTCGAGGAAGTTTTAATGAGGAAGCTCAACGACAAGCCTATCTCCAAAAATGCAAAGGCGATGGTGAGATCTGGTTTTCTCTCTCTTCATGCCTCCTTAACTCGCACGTAGTTCACTGACCCTTATGCATCTCAGGCAATGAGCCATTTTGAAAAGGAGGTATGTGTTCTCGAGAATCCCAATTCACAACTGTAGCGATCATCATCTAACAAATGCACACAGACAAAACGTAATTTTGGAACTGAGGATGACGACGAAGATGAAGAAGATATTGAGTTCCAGATTCCCAGTAAGTTGGCCGCTTTGCCGAGCGTCCTATTTCTGCCCCGTGGTAATTTCCCTTCTGTCTAACGTCATAATTCAACGCATTCAGTTCCTGGAGTCGAAGACGATGCCAGCGTCGGCATCTGCGCTGGATTCTTGGAGATGACTTACGCTGAAATGAAAGATGTCTTCCGGCCCGTGATAGAAGAAGTGCTTGCATTGCTAAACGATCAGATCAAAGCGGCATCCAAGCATGGTCCCATCAGCGCAGTCATCCTCGTTGGCGGCTTCGGGGAAAGTACTTACCTCTACCGCCAAATTAAGCAGGCTGTCTCACCAATTCCAGTTCTACAGCCTCCTAATGGGTCCGTATATTCTTACTATTTTCTCTCGCACATGCAAATACCTCTCACATGTATTCTAACTTTTTTGATTCTCTAAGATGGACTGCAATTGTCCGTGGAGCGGTAATGAAAGGCAAATCGCAACTTTCTGCTACACCTAGTTGGAATGTTAAATCGCGATATTGCCGTGGAAATTATGGTTTGGTATTGTGGGTGCCATGGAAGGAGGGTATGCCAACGGACAAAAAGTACGGTTATCCCTTTTCTTTACGTGAAATTGTTGTTATACTGCGTATAGCCATGTCATATTTTGTTAACATGAATCCGCTACAGAGTTTGGGATAAGTACGAAGGCCTCTATAAGCATTCAGAATGCATGCAGTGGTGTATCAGACGGGTACGTCGCGTCCTATCCTTAGCTCCCTGGCTTCTCCACGACTCCTTCTTTATGGTCTATTTGTGGACCTATCTGCATCTTGGAGCATACTACACCGTCGAATGTTCCGCATTAGTAATAAAATTAAACACAACAGGGCGATAAAGTCCAAGAAAATACGCCAAAATCCTTTCCCCTCTACCGCGCCGTCCCGCTCGATGATTCCCTGGTATTCTCCAGCTCGATATACTATTCTCCGCTGGATGGATCGAATGCGCCCGTCTATTTGAATCAAGGTGAACTATGCCTACTCTTCCATTTTCTTCCCTTTGTCCAATTCACGTTCTTATCCCTAGCTCTGTTCGCTAAATACCTTTGGTGCTCCCTTACTAAATAAAATCTTATCTAGACTGCCGTGAACATTGCGTATTAAACTACAACCTTTCCTCAATCCCACGCTCGAAATTCAAGCGCAGGGTAGGAGACCACGGCGAGGACTACTATGAGGTCGAATATTCGATTGATATTACTTATTACTCGGCAGAGATGAAATTTGACCTTGTTTGTCAAGGTATGCAATATCGTAGTTTTCCATCCTCTAGTCTATTTCATGCGCTTAAAAAAACGAACAAAAGAACACTCTTGGAAGCGTGTATCATCACACTAACTCAATTCCTTCAATCGGCGTCAATAGGGGAGAAATACGGAAGCGTCACGGCGAAGTGGCTCGAGTAGTAATTATTCCTCAGATCGCAAGATTGATACTTCCACTCCCTATACCAAAACAACATCAACAATCGACAAGTAGGGCCGTTTGTCCCAATCGATAAATTCCAACGCTTCTTATCTATCTTCTTTTTAGTGATTCCCTGTGTCTATCTTATGACAATTTTGTCCATCATGTGTTTCTTGTTATCCCTGCACTTACTAGATATATGAATGTCAAGAAACATAAATTCCAATCTCTCCTTTCCGCTACCATTCTACTTCATCCCGCCATTCTTTTTCTTCATAGTAACGCAACGAATTAGTTTCTATAGATACGAACTTGCATATCATTTTCCCTGCATTCGCATATCAATTTCTAACTACATAGCTATCTTAGTCTTAATCATTTTTGAAAAGTTTCGATATATAGAATGGCTGTGGGCATTGGACTTCCCAAAAACCTCCCCAACCATAAAATTAATTAGCCTTCATTCTCTATCCAATAAATACCAAACTATGTACCTACCAGGATGAACCCAGAGAAAACGAAACATGAAAGATTTGTCCATGTGTGAACTGTAAAATGTAGCCAGTTCATAATTGTAGCTGAGGGTCACAGATGCAGTAAGAAATGATGAAATAAGCGAGACAAGACATTACATAGATGAGTTTAAGTATAACCAGAAAGATGTGGAGCTTATAGATATCGAAAAACGCAGATGATAGAGGAGAGTTGAAAAATAAAATAGAATAAAAATAGGGAAAACCTGGTAGAAAACGATTACAAGGCGATAGTAAGAGATATATATAGCAGCGGGGTTCGACAGTATCATCCATCCATGGCGTGAATCATCCCTCGAAACTCAATTTTGAATCTCAGATTCCTTCCACCCGCCGCCATCACCAGCAGTTGTAGCTCCTCCTCCGCCTCCTCCTACAATTCTGCCACCTTCAGCCCTCTTTACGCGACACCACAATCCGACATTTGAGTCCAAGATAAAGGTATAAATAACCCAGACCCAGCTGCGATGCGATGGGAGAGGTTCATAAAATTCCTTGGCAATATTGTGTAGAGCATACAGCCTAGTCCATGGCACGGCTGGAAAATCATGATGTTCGTTGTGCAGACCGACATTGTAAGTTAGGAGGTTCAAAGGACCGTAGTACGAGTATGTTTCCGGTGGGGTGAGGTTCGCCAGTGGGGATGAAGCATCTCCTGCCGGCTTCTCCGTCTCTTGGTTATCACTCTTCTGTCGCCGCAGTTCCTCGATCGATTCGGTGCCTGCGCCAGTTTTTGAGAAAAAATAGTGTTCCGCTATAAAGTGGCCGGCGCAAGGATGGAGGGAGCCGGCGAGGAAGGAGCTGAGGATGAGGTAGTAAATAGACTGGGGGGAAGAATTGCAGAATTTGTACAGGCAAAAGTCGAAGATGAATTGAACTATGATGTTTAGCAGGTGGATTGAGGTGAAGGGCGGGGAGTAGATGAACATGGGCCGCAGGGCGTAGAAGAGGATTTGGAAGGTACAGAAGAAGGCTTTCCCAAAGACCGAATCTAGGAAGAAGGCTTCAAGCGCGGTGGGGAGGTCGGTGTCTAGTGAGGCTACGCCGAGGGATTTGTGATGAGTTAAATGGTAGGGCTGGATTTGGTGGTTAGTAGATTGGTGGGAAAAGGATTTGGAGTTTGTGAAATACGAATAGATGTGGTTGAGCGTACCCTGAAAGCAGCACTATAGGGTATGCCGATTGGAAGATTAGCAAATATTGCTAGCAGCCTATTTGCAAATGGAGATTTGAAGGCGAGGTTGTGTGATATCTCATGGATTGCAAGGAAGAGGTTCTGGTTGGCCGTGGCTCCAATGACATAGCCGGTCAAAAGGAACCGCCATGACAACACTGGGGTATTCTGGAGTAGGTATGCACAGGAGACCTGAAGTGAGACAACACCGAGAACGACATATTTGGTAAAGGGCTCAATGCCACAAAGTTTCGTGACCTAAATTTCCGGTTCTATTAGCGTTGGTCGAATGTTTGGATTGAAGCAAACTCCTACCTCTGGATGGGCCTTGATAATGGCCTGGCGTCTGGAGCGATGAGGCTCCTCTGTATAAGTCCAAAAGAACTGGTCTTCTATGGAGGAATTGGAGGGTGGTGGCAGAGCACGGGTAGCACTGGAGTCGTTTCCAGCAACTGTGGTTGTCGAGCCCCGAGATCTGAGGGCGGACGTGGTAATGACTGAAGGCATAACTGAGACGCCACTGGAAGGCTAATAAACTCTACCTTTGCTGCCTCATGGGGCACATCATGTAAAAAGAGCGTAATTTTAAAGAACGTATGTAACTATCCATATAGGATCCGATATTGCTCTATTACGGACAGTCCCGTTGTTAAGACGGCTTTCTGAGAGGATGGGCGGTGAGTCACGTGGAGATAGAGTCAGGGGTTGATCAGATAAGATAACCTTAAAATAGGCTCTAGAAACTATAATTCCATTTTTCAAATATTCGAACAAGAGAGCGAGAAAAAGAAAAACAAAATAAAATTCATGGCTCTATTTCCAGATTGCTGCTACATTGTCATGAATAAACCAGGTATATTTCTGCAAAACATCAAGGCGAATATGTGATAAAATAAAATGACAAATGGCTAGTAATCATCCCCCCGACTTATGACCTCTTTGATGTTTGGCCGAAGGAGGATAGTCTGAAATATACTGGTTAGCAAATGGAATAGTCAAATGATTTCATACATATTCATTTTGAAATCGAGAGGAGGCCACTACTTACGTGCTCAAATTGGGCGGTGTACGATCCCTTTATGTCACAAAGTGGTGGATATGCGTCCACGAGTCCATTCGCAACCAGGTTATTTAGCTAATGGTTATAGTTGGTCAGCTGGAATTTTCATCATCTTTTTTTTTTAAAAAAAAAAGAAAGAGAGAGAGAGAGAGAGAGAGAGAGAAGAGAAGAAAAGAGAGGAACGAAAAACGACAGAGGACAGGCGAAGGGTGGGTGAAGGTTAGCATATGAAGCTTACCCCAAGAAGGTATTTATCTTGCCGAAGTCGGTCCAGATACCGTCGACAGAAAGGCAGAGTGCCGAAATTCTTCGTGATGACGTTCAAAAGATTCTTCGCAGACGACAGGCGGAGTGGGACATTGGGTGCGTCAGGAACCTTCGCATAATGGGAGGTTTCCATCTACGCAAATATTTAGATTAGTGACGCACAGAAAGCACTGGGGCATCCACATTTAGCCCTGTGCGAATACACATCAAACTTACATCGTCTCTCACGTATCCCCGCCCAGTGCTGCCAAAGGTTTCAATGGCATAAACTTCGCCCTCTTCCATCTTAGACTGATCACCTCCCTTGACAATCGGAACGCTTTTACCATTCTTGCCGCCATGGATCTCGAATTGGCCAATCGTATGACCGTTAAGGTTTCGAATGGCCTTGACGGGATATGTGGTTCCTTTGATCTCGACTTCGTAGCTTTCCATGGCTTCCTGAATCGCAGCTCCAATATCACTCATGCGGACGTCGATACCAGCTTCCTACAATAAAAACGCTCTTGTTAGTCAAGAAAGAAAATATAATATATGGATAAAATCATGGATGATGGCAAACCCTAATTCCAGTATTTGTTGCATCCTTGACAGCAGCCAATAGATTATCATAAACCGGGTCAAACGCGATAGTAAAAGCGCTATCCACAATTCTACCATTCATGTGAACGCCAAAATCAACTTTCATTACATCTTCGTATTGCAGTACCATCTTGTTGCCCGCATTGGGAGAGTAATGTGCCGCACAATTGTTTAGGTTAACACCGGTAGGAAATGCAATTCCGCCCAACAGATTATCACCCTCTGTTAAACCGTCATGACCCGTGAGTGCGCGCACACTATCCTCGATTCCCTCGGCGATTTCCGTCAAAGTCTGGCCTGGCTTGATGGTTTTTTGCGCATATTGGCGCACCTGCTTGTGCACTTCTGCTGCATAGCGGTATTCGGAGAGGAAATCATTGTTCATACGGTCCAAATATCTTTTCTCCTCATTGGTCGTCCGGTAGGCATTCTCATCTTTGTACTCAACAAGTTCGCCGACAGGATACTCATTGTTGGGGAATAAGGCTGACAGAATGACACGGGGAGGCTCCGTTTGCGCCTTTTGGGTGTCCTTCTTCTTCTTCTTTGGCTTCTTTTTCTTCTTCTTCTTTGCGGCTAAAACTTGACGAGAACAACGAGTTAGAAACGTTTCGATTCCAAGGCAGAGAGAAGAAGGAAAAATATATAGATAGAACCTTCTATAGTCCTCGATTCATCCGCTCCCTGGTCATCCCCATTATCATCCTCCGAATCTCCATCTTCATTCTCGGGTGCACCTGATGGTGCTAGTTCTTGCGGAAGAGCCCCACCTTCCGTTTTCACTGCGAAAATTTCAGTACAAATACGTAGTAAATTCAAAAAAGACATTGAGCGCGGAAGACATACGGTTGAGGCTTTGCAGCTCCGGTATGACTTGAGCTGCCATGTTGAACAATATCAGAAGAGATGGGATGTGCTGCTTGGTGGCTGGTAATGACAAAAAATGTATGTGCAAGCAACGGGCCCTCCTCGGCAGAATGGGCGTCCGCCTTTAAATACAGCCAATCAAACGACTCTGATACAACCTTATCTAACCGGAAGTCACGTGCATAGAGCAAAAACGAGTACTCTTCTCCTGTTGATGAATTGGAAAAGCTGTAAATACCAAGCATCCAGGAATGTGGGTCTGTTTGATGTGTAATATCTTGGAAGGAATGCTTAGCCAATTCGTTCCACTTTTATATATCCGACAAAAGCAAGCGGCTTCTCAAAGCAAAGTGCCTGATGACGATATATCACATGACCAATCAACCAAGACAAACTCGACAGAAATCCTATCTCCAGACGCCAGCAACATCAATAATACTAGTACTAGTAGACATTTCAATCGTTTCTTTGGATCTCTTGATGTTCTCCAAGGTATGACAGAAAATGTGAGGTATGCCACTGCGTCTCCACCGTCTACCCCTTGCCTCTCCAAACGCTTGCCTCCGTTCCCCTCCAAACGTCTCGAGAGTGCGGCCATTTTCACAAGCTGCATCATTGTCTGCCGAAGCCCACAGCCGTTCATATTACGAAATCCTTGATGTGCCAGTTACAGCCACAACAGCAGAGATCAAAAAGTCAGTGTGGAATGGCTAATCTAGCTTTTTCCTTGCATATCCTCATTTGCCGCATCTCAAACCACCCCTCTAACCTTACCCTTAACAAACCCATGTAGGAAGTTTTACGCTCTTTCTCTTGCCCACCACCCTGACAGAAATCCCAATGACCCATCTGCACACACGAAGTTTTCCTCTATATCTTCAGCATATCATGTCCTTTCCCACGCATCAAGACGAGCTCGATATGACCGGGATCATAACATTCACCCCTCGGTGCATACACCTAACCGAGAATCTCAACACCGCAAGACATCATATGTAGGCTCTCGGCCACCATCCGGGTTAAGGAAAGAACGTGGAGCCTTCCACGGACCACCTCCAAGCTTCTACGCGCATGGCGGCTATGGCACTAGCAACCATGCCCGCCATAAACACGCGTCAAATGCCGCTTCTGCCTTCCAATCAAGTCATACTACGTCATCTTCAGATCCAGAGTCATCATTCCTATACAACAATCGTGTCTCCCACTTCGATGCGAAGTCACACTTCCGCACGCAGTCGCATGAAGATGAGAGAAGACGTCTGCGCCGCTATAAAGCCATGGAGCGCCAGAAATCACGCATGCAGGAGCAGGGTGGTTTGACTGCTGAAGATACTGAAGGGAGCATGTCCGCGAGATTCTTTATTATTCTGACTGTTGTGGGCTTGGGTGCTCTTGCAGCAAGCTTAGGGCGAACATTTGGTCCCCAGCAACCGGCGCCTGCTGCTCGTGGGCATTCTGTGACGAAAAATTAGGGAAGCAAACCAGCTCTTAATTGGATTTGGTGCTTCAGCGCAAAGGGAGTTTTTAATATTTCTGGGTGTTTTATATTGAGGGTCTAGTACCTCAAATACTGATGAATTAACATTTCTTTTTCCTATGTATTTTCTCATGTTAATGTATAGAGGCAACTTCTTTCCTTCTTTCCCTCTGAGGAAACGAATCGAACTATCCGTATCTTCTTCACATAAATACTAATAATAGATTCCTATGACAGGATAGAGTCCAACAGACATGATTCTCCTGATTGAGGGACAACGCCTCAATTTTGCGTGTCAGCTTCCGCCTCAGCTTATCCCTTATGGATATGCCTTAATGTTTCCTCTCCATTCGAGACAGCAAGTGTTCTAGCCTGTCATCATCCTTACCGTGATGTAGGGCATATTCTCTCCAACTTTCCCATTCTAAGGATTCATGGTCGTCTCAGGCCTTTCGCAGTCCCTAAAACAGTCCAGCAAAGGCCTCCCAGTCAGCAAGATCTTATCCACAGCAGAATTCAAACAGATGGCACATCTTTCCCTTATAAGCAATTTCCGCAAGGTCATGAAAACCGTTGGTTTCCAAGCCCTGAACAAACTAGCTCATCCTCACCAAGGCCAAGAGTACCCTTGAAGAAATCGGTACCAGGGAGAAGGAACACGGGGCAATTGAATGCCACAGCCTTCGAAGCTGCGTATGCCCACTCCCAGTCAATGACACCAGTGATATTATAGTCATCATCCACGAGAATGTGGTCACATTTATCATCGTCATGCTTGAGATTGAAGCGTCCGTCGTTGACAGCATGATACGATGATATAAATTTTGGCACGGAATCGAGAAGAAATCGGTGGATGAGGTACGCGTCAACTGGACGTCGAGTATAACACTCTTCTCGCATAATGAGGTCCAAAGTTAGTTGTATTGATGCAATGAATTATTTTTCAGATGAAGTGCAGGGCCCGATCCGTCTCAGACTATCACCAGTTGCCGAAAAACCAGCCAAGCCTTCGTGGGCAAAAGGGCCGATGCTTTGACCCTCCGGGCCTTGCTGCAGCGAGCCCATATTGTCAAAAGAGTATCTCCGCAGCTCGATAAATATATTCGCAAGCTGACTTATGACTTTCTCTCTCTATTTGTTTGACTCAAGCGACGACCAACGTAACGCTTTCCCACGCATTTTTTCCAAAAGAATATACCCAATGCCCACTGAATTCCCCACATCTCCCTCAAGCGCAACCACGAAAACCTTGGGACTAAGCACTCCTGTCGTCTCCAGGAACTGGAGCATAGCTACTTCGCTACGGATAATAACATCCCGTAAAACCGGAGGTGCGGAATTTGCATTCGATCTTCGAATGCGAGCTAGCCAGCTTACACCATCCTCAAACTGTAGTTCAAGGTGATAATTCATACCACCACCCACCACCGAACTATGATCCGACGAATCCCCATGACACGAGCGCGGTATGGAGCAAGCAATCGAGCCGCGAAGTTTGCTGGCTCGGGCTGCAAGGGAGCAGGTGTCGATTTTCTCCAAGAACACTGCTAGTTCTTTACGTTCTCCCTCGCCAGCAGCGGGGATATAGGCTTCTCTATTTCTATTAAAATATCGAATCGGCTTGCTGGAGGGGGTGCGGGGAGTGGCGAGCGTGGATAGCAGAAAACGCAGCGTACAAGCAAGTTACATGCCAGGTTGGACGTTTGTGGAACTCCGCTGTGACGTGCTTCGCGCAGAGATGACATCTGCAGAGAATGCATTGCCCCTCAACACGAACTGCCGGCTTCTCTCAGGCTTCAAAGTTGCAAGCCCACATCATATCTTCTGTCGAGGGGCAGGTAAACTAGGACTTCTATCGCACCTAACGTTGTGCCTTGAAATCCTTGTCAAAACAAGGGGGAACAGCTTTTTATTTCTCTTTCTTGGTTTTTCTTTTTCTTTTTTGTGACTTTTGCGATTTTTACCCAGATGCAATTAGCCATGTTGCCATTTCGTTGCTGAGTTGCAGCCAGTCTCGTGGTCAGCTACCTCAAACGACAGGTTTTGTTTGCAGCGTGAAAAAAAAGTTCGGGATTATAACCAAACGCTCCTTCGAGCATATAATACTCCCCCTTTTTTTTCCCTGTCAATCGATATAGGAATTTCATTTTAGCAGCCTTTTGTTCGAAATAAAACGAAATACTTCCACTACATTGATTTTATATAATATTTTAATATATACACATATACGTATATTGATAAATCGAGTCGTGCCCGAGTGAATATATGAAATGCCCAGGCTAGCTATCAGATGTGTGAAGCAAGTTGGTACCAAGTGGGCCGTGAGCAGATCGAATTATTGCGCAACCGTATGCACTGTACATGATTATGATGCGGGAGAAAAACACCATCTTCTCAAGCTACCAGCGATGTTGTATATAATAAGTCTTGCATTTGGCTTCAAGAAAAGTTAGCCATTCTGGGCAATTCACGCCCTTATCCCACGTCCATCGCACGCCTCATTGCGAGAAAAATGTTTGCGCGAGGCTTGTAGAAAGCGGAAGAGGTTCAAATTACCCTTTCTTCCTATTTGCTTGGTATCCTGCAAGTTGGCTGGAGATTGAGAATTGACTTGGTTATTATGAATGAACATAAAGGGGGGAGGAGGAGGAGGAGGGATGTATTGACTGTTCTATCTTTGCAACAACGTACATGTAGCTGGGACCTTTTCTACTTCCCATACTGCATCTACGTCTGTTGTTTCTTGACACTTGCTTGTTGGCTATATCTCTTCGTGGTTCTCCATTTAGCTAATGAATGACAACTTATAAGTATTTCGTTATGATAAAAACTCTTGGCCGGTCTGCATATCAATCATTGATATGTGAATTTGGAAGTTGAATCGAAACTTAAATCAGCACATTTCCTTTCACTAAGCATTTTACCATGTACGGTACATATACACATGTTGACCACGGCTCCAAAGCTCAACTTAAAGGTTCAGCGCTGTCTCAACAATCTTCGTAAGAATCGAAGCCATGTTCAGAAATTTTGAACCAGGTTCCAACCGTACGCGCCATGCCTCTCACTCATTACCCATCGAATAAGAAAAGGGCGGAGAAGAGGGCATACTGAACGCAGGAAAGAAAACAGAGGAGACGGCCGAAAGAAGTCAATTGATATAGACATGGTAGTAATTCCCAGTTAGAAGATGAGAAAAGCACCAGGGAATCATCAATCTGACGCCACTTCGAAAAGGACACGACAGATACACAAGTAAATAGAAAAAGTCGAGGGGTGGAAGGAGCCTCAGCCAAAAGGAAAAGAAAACCTGGAACCGTTGCAAAAATTCTTTGGTTACATATGGGTATGTATAGAATACAAAACTTAAGGATTCTTTCAATTCTTTCTTTTCTTTGATTCGCATTTATCTCTTTAAGTCACTTTCGTCATTTCCTTCGTTCCCTTCTCTATGCTTCAAAGGTGAAACTAGCGCCAACCTTGTGCGCCGTTTGGCTCAGCTTCTGGGTGTCCATGCTGGCGCCGAGGCCCAGGGTCACGCCCGGGCGGAGGAGGACATTGTAAGCCAATGCCGCGATACCACGGTCATTCACCTTGACCTAACAGGGGGAAATTGAGGTTAATAATTAGGAAATTTGAGCACATAAAAAGGCTAGCAACAATTGCAGGACCTTTCAAAATGGGTGGAAAGGGTGGACGCAAAATTACTCACCTTGGCAAAGGAGGAGGGGTCAAGTCGATACTTGCTGGCAACTTCCAAGCCAACAGAGTTACCAGCCTTGGAGTCCCAGGTGGCCTTGGCACAGGCCTCGACTTGGGGGCTGACGCGATGGTAGTAGCTGGCGGAGAAGAGGGAGAGGTTGTTTTGGGCGGTGACAGCTGCCGAGTATTCGGGAACGCAGTAGGCGATGGCAGCTGAGTACTTGGTGATGGCAGCCTTCTGGACGTCGTAGCCTCCCTCGGCACCGACTAGAAAGCCTTCATGGCCAAGGACGGCATCGAAGCTGGCAGAGGGGCCCTTGAGGAGATCAAAGAAGGCACGGGCATGGAAGCTTGGCTGCTTGAAGTAGAGATTCAATTTCACGCCCTTGGACTGGGAATTCGGCAGGTACTGGGTCAGGACTTCAGCCTTGAGGCCAGTCATGATTTTGTTGTCAAGCTCGAGCTTGGTGTCGAGGGCGTTGGCGGTGTTCCAAGTCTGGGTCAAGGTGAGGCCTGAACAAGGGTGAAACATTAGCCTCAATGAATGATCCATAAATCCAGAGGAGATGATGAAATTGAGCAGATTGGAAGGGTGAGATCGCGCAAAAGCCCAATGAATCTGCATCTCCCGGAAATGGTTGGGCCTTTCTTGTGAACAGAAAGATGACGTTCTCGCGGCGTCGGGGAGGAGAGCATTACCAGTTGGCGCGTCGACATATTTGGCTTCAAGCTGCCATTGAAACGGTATATTAGTACCCCAATTGAGACCTCTAGTGATTCTCCAGTATAAGAAAAATCAGCTTGATAGAGATATAGCATCTGACTTACGGCGCCATTGATAGGACCTTCGGAGACCGATTTTCCCTTGACGTTGAATGTAACACCATTGGGGGCCTTGGACTTAACCTCGAGGTTGGCTATGTCAAGTCAGCATCGGGTTCAATCATCAATTGAAAAGAGCAACAGTACCGGGACAGGTATGGTAGAAATCCTTGTTCAGGAGCTATAAATATAATATCTGGTGGTTAGTGAGGACTGTATATGTTGCTGCTGGCGGTCAAACTTTGCATAAGGGGGGATGATGTCGTTATTGGTGATTGCATACATCATTTGCAGCCTTGGCAATGTCACTGAAAGCAGCTGGGGGTGCCATAGTGGTCTAAGGAGAAGAGGATGAAGAGGATACGTCAGGTAGAGATACAATGGGAAGCTGGCAATGCAGAAAAGCTAAACTCATGGGTATCCAGAACAGATGTTGGAGTTGAGGTTGCGCCTGGAGCGAGGAGCGGTTGGGGAAAAGCGGGCTTCCGTTTTGGGACGAATTTGGCCAGAGAACAAACGCTGGGTCACATGGCCGCGGCTGCTGATTGGCTGTCCGGCGGATCGGGAGTCGGATATTTACGGGTGTATTGAAGTGTTTCAGCTAATTACAGGTAATTATGAGGAAAATTGATTCTGTAACAGTGGAGAACATCTGATACAAAGGATTGTCAGAGAACACTTTACCACTCCATTGGAAATTCTGTGGGTTGCACACCCACAAAAACATAACGTAGCACGATGTTCTTTGTATTCAAGTATACTTATATTCTTCAATACATGATCGATATCTGGATGTCAATCTTTTGACATCTTCAAGTACCTTGTGTGTATGCGTCCACCTTATAAAAGCTCCCTAAATTTGAACAGCTATGGCATGTTGATAATGACATTGTGGTAAAGCGCACCTGCAAATAAGGAAATAGCATATATATCGATCATACGCCTAAACAAAAGTATGGCCCCTCAAAAAGCAATGGATCTATGTTATATGTAATAAGAACGTGGAGTACCAAAACAACATAAATGGCATTCAAAAACCGAACCAAGGGACTTCCATCACCACCACCACCGCCATCAGAAGGAGAAGAGGAAACTGCGGACAAATAACCATTTCAAGAGAACGGAAAGGGTTAATAATGGCTATTGCAGCGCCAACATATATCTATGTCATACGATATGCCCCTATCATGACGGATAAGGACCCTCTCTCTACCCTCGATCCAGAAAAAGAAAAAAAAATGGGGCCTGGTGGTTTCGTCGCGTAGCATTTATTCTAGGCTCTCGTACTTGGCAATGTGTGTTGAAACCGCACTGCAGCCGGACACATGCCGGTTTATTAGAACATATCTACAAGGTATTTAAGTGGGTGGGAGAAAAAGTTTGTACATACCGCCCACTGGGATCAGTCTGCTTAGACCATGTTGGCGTCCACCGCATTACCGTCGACGCACAGTATGGCGGGAAGAGCTCATCGAACATCATCCGATACCAGTATCTAGAGATCATTAATCACCCCGAGTTAGCCACACTCATGGATCATTCCCATCGTGTCATCAGTTGGCGTGATGTATAATTGTCCGGGCAGTACAACAACATTGTCGAACTTACCCTTCCTTCGTATCGGGAACATCATCACCCCACTCCGGCTTGGGGTTCTTCATCATCTCGTCCGTAACATGCAACTCCGCATTATCCTTCAGCGCATCAATCCACCCATATCCAACGCCATCACTAAACTGCTCCTTCTGACGCCACAGAATGCTATCGGGGAGGTACGGTTTCGCATCAGGGTCATCGGAAGTATCAAACGCCTTGCGCAGTATATACTTCTCAATCCGATCTTTGGTGATCATCTTCTCCTGCGGATCTACGCCCATGGACACCTCGAGGAAGTGCTTGTCCAAAAATGGCACGCGCGCCTCCACACCCCAGGCTGACGTAGATTTGTTGGCCCGCAAGCAGTCCGCGAGATGGAGGTTTTTTACCCGTGACACGGTTTCGTCGTGGAAGGCTTCCTTGGTCGGCGCTGCGTGGAAGTACAAGTAGCCGCCGAAAATCTCGTCACTGCCCTCGCCGCTAAGCACCATCTTGACGCCCAGGCCTTTGATCTTCCTGCTCAGCAGGTACATCGGTGTGGATGCACGGATGGTGGTGACATCGTAAGTTTCCAAATGATAGATGACGTCGGAGAGGGCGTTGAGGCCGTCTTCCAGCGTAAAAGTAAAAGCATGATGCTTTGTGCCGAGGAATTTGGCCACTTCTAGCGCAGCCTTAGTGTCTGGGGCATCGGGGAGGCCTATAGAGAACGAATGGAGCTGGGGCAGGGTAGTTACGGTGGACAGCTCGTTAGAATCGTCAATACCGATCAGACCCGAGTTTGAAGACACTCCGTCAACCCCGTTAGCCACTGGATGGCTAGAGAGCTCTTGTTGTCGTTGCGTCTCTCGCTGAGCGATGGCAGCCACTAAGCTCGAGTCTAACCCTCCAGAGAGAAGGACTCCATATGGGACCTCCGCCATCAACCGTTTGCGCACCGATTTTTCCAGAGACTCACGGATAAGTTTGTAGTCGACGGGGGTGGATGGGACGTTGGTGGGGTCCCACCATTTGGGCTCGAAGTATCTTGTCGTCGTGTTTGTTTTGGAATCATATACATGACCTGGAGGGAAGTTCATAATCTTGTCACATACGGGGTGCAAGCTCTTCAGCTCTGAGGCGAAATATACCGCCCCGGGCGTTTGCGATGACCACCCCTGGTAGAAACTAGTGATACCAATGGGGTCTCGTGCAGCGACGACTCTGTTCTCTTTCTTGTCAAACAGGACCCATGAGAACATGCCGTCTAAGAATTTAGGGGTATCCACGCCATGTTCCAGGTACTATCATGAGTCAAGAATAAAGGTCAGAGAAACGCATAACAGAAAGCAAATGGGACAGGAGTTGCGGGAATCAAAACTCACAAGTGGGATAATGACTTCGCAATCGGAATGTGTCTTGAAGTTGTACGGGGTTTTCAGACCCTTTCGCAGTATTCTGTGGTTATAAATCTCGCCGTTGACCGCCAGGGCAAGGGTGCCATCGTCATTGACAAGGGGCTGGGCGCCAGAATCAACACCGACAATGCTCAGCCGCTCGTGTGCAAGGACTAGAGAGGGAGATATGATATTAAGTCAGTCAAAAGTCGCTCCTGATCAAGAAATCCTTCCTTCCGCGTAGCGGAGGGATAGGTAACTATCCGCAAAATACTGACTTGTGTCGTTTGCAACGAAGTTTCCACCTATATTGAAGCAAAAAGGAGATATATGTCAGTCATCTTGAACAAACGGTAAAAGTTGACAATGGGGTCATTTCTGTCCCTTCAGCACCCTGAAAAAAGGGGATATGTTTGTCCAGGTGTGACTCACTCCAATCAGGACCACGATGGCGAATGCTGAATATACAGAAAGTATTATTTTAGCAACTTCATTCCATCTGACTCTTTTTATTGAGATCTCCGAGGCGCAAACAAAAAATAGATAAATGAATAAATAAATAAATAATAACCACTCAGCCAAGGTGTGGCGGGGGGAGATGTTGAAAGCACTCACGCTTTCGCCATGCGCAGCGCCGTGGGTTTGAACTTTTGCACATCTGGATGGCTGTATTGAAAAGATCTCGTTAGCACGAAGAGGGTCCTTTTTTTTTTTTTTATATATCCAGCACTATAGAGATCTCAAACAAGAGACTAGATGTTTATACATCTCTGCACATACCAATGACAAGCGAAAATCCCACACATGACCGCGACCCTTTAGTGTCGGCTCTGTTGCTTTCTCTTGACTGGACAGGATACTTAAGAAGAGAGAATATACGACCTGGCCTATTCTTTCTTTAAAAGAGGGGATGGCAATCAAGAAGGGAAAATAATGAAAGAGGGCGAAACCTTTTGTTGCACGATTGGAAAGCCCACGAAATCGGAGGGGTTTTATTTTATTTTTCCTTTTTTTTAGCTTTCCTTTTATTTTAGCTTTTCGGTCCCGTACAAAGTTTGAGTCATTGCTTGGAAAATGGCGAGTTTTCCATTTCTGATAAGATAAGATATGTGAAGGGCCAACCGTCTCTTCTCTCTCGGCCTTCGGTAGTTATCTTGGTGCTCTGGCCGCACGGTTCACTATCCATTATTGTCCGTATGGGCGTATGTTTGTCTGCATCCCATACTCCATACTCAGTCCTCCACCGATCCGCTAACAGTATCAATCCCTTCTTATCTTCACCCTTGTTTATCTAGGCTGGGCTAACCCATAACCATTATCCCTACCCCCAACCTTGAACCAACAGGTGTTATTCCATTTGTGAACAAAGCTCCACCTGGTTCATTGTAAGCGCTAATTATGGGCCGTTACTACTTAGATTATGGTACAGAAGGGTTAGAAGCCCAAAAACGGTTAGCTACAACGTGCGCGCAGGTTATGACGCCTTGTTTGGTGTAAAAATGAATTGAGTTGGAGCTCTCAGTTAAATCTATCTGTTTCTCCAAATCTAGCTCCGTAAGGGTAGGTCATTGTTATCCATCGAACACCATTTATCGTGCAGTCTCGAACAAGCCATGCAAAAGGGAAACGCAGTGTTGGGGATTTAAAAAACAACAACAACAAATAAATATCGAAGAAATCAAAATAAGTTGACAAAAGATTGCCAATGTAAAATAAAATAACAACCAAGACGCCCTGCTATAAATCAAGAGAAGTGCCCTCGGCGAGCACCCGGGGTACTGCTGTCGCGGCATCGCCACCACATTCACAAATGCTACAAAGCCGGGTTTTCCCTAACGACTTGCCTCACTTTCTTTTCGTACGCAGCACGGTCTTTCTTGAATAGGGTATATGCTTCAGCTTGGGCAGGCGAATCCGGATTAGGGTCGTCTAAAAGGGCTTGGATACCGAGAAGGATCTGTGGAATGGTAATCGCTGGTCTCCAGCCTTCCTCTTCATTGAGGATGGATAGGCAGACGGTGCCGGAGGGGTAGACGTTTGGGTGGAAGAGTGGGGGAACAAATTTGCCTGCGATAAGTTAGTTTTTGTTTTTGTTTTTGTTTTTGTTTTTTGTTTTTTTTTTTTTTTCAAAAAAAATCCCATCGGTAATACTCCATCAGAGGTGAGGTGTTTATCCCGTAGAAAGAGGACATGAGCCTCACAGGTCATGAGGGTTCGACATACACTTTGGTGGCTTGGTAGGGTACTCTATAATAGGTATAAATCAAAAGCAGTTAGCAATCAATTTCTCTAGATTTACCTGCTCACTGTTATGAAATGAAGTGAGTTGTGCTAGAGCACATGTTACCTTCAGGAAAGATGACATCCAACTTGAACAAACCCCCCGCCCATATGGTCTTCTCTTTACCAGGAATGCCACACTCCCAGTACTTCATGTCCTGCGCGCCCGCTGCATTTCTACGTGGTTTTGCATAGAAGCCGTAGGGGTGGTTTTTCCGCCATTGCTTTCTAGAAGAAGAAATTCGAAAGCACATTCGTCAGTACAGGGCATCTGGGAAAACCTCCAAGATAGAACCGGTACTCATAGCTGTGTCTGACTGACCGTTCCTCAGTTAGACGATTTACACAAAGAGACATGGCTGCGAATGAGCGCCCTGCAATATGGGGAAGGAATACGATTGCCGAAAGGAGTTTCACAGAAGACCGAGAACTGAGTTCGTAACCCAAGGAAACAAAGTAGATACCGATAGTTTGGAATCGCGGTTGGTCTATGGCGCAATGGTGGTGGGGAACCAGAAATGTGGGGATGGCAGCGGTAGTGGTCTGTGTAAGGGAATATGTAGAAATGGAACCAAAACGACGGGGGATAAAATGAAAAGTGGTGTGAGGGTTGTGTTCTTGTGGTTAAGGATGCAAGCCGAACGGAAACAAAGATGTGGTTTTCTTATCAAAATGGGACATGCCTGGAACGTCATGTGACCCTACAGTGGCCGCATGGCGGCTGGCAAACTTCCCTCCACATTACATCAATAAGACACAGCCCCATGTTCCGGTAAATGGCGCCCCACGAATGATGGGAGACAACTTCCTTGAACAAGAGGAGCAAAGCCACTAGCCTGAATCAGTACACTTTACTGCGGAAACTAGGGCGCTATTGTGTCCTAGATCTGATGCACTATTTCACCAAGCATGGATCATCTTGACAGTGAATTGCAATTCTTGTGGTCCAATAAAGTTAAAGGTTGTCACTAAGGGAAGGAAAAAGGGGAGGGGTTCAGGAAAAAAAATATCATTTTTTGGAGATCTACCCCCGGCGGGACTCGAACCCGCAGCCTTCAGATTTGCTTTTTCCAACCTCGGAAAATAGAAGTCTGACGCCCTACCATTGGGCTACGAGGGCTGGTAACTAGGCTCCAGTTTCCCAGAAAATAAATTTCAAGCAGCCAGGACGTGATTTGGCAACTTTACGGTGCTTAGGGGTGCGTAAAGACAGATAGTATTATTTCTCTGGGTCACCGGCATCCCCAAAAACAATAATTGTGTTCCTGGAATGATTGTCCTTGACCCGAGGCTCAGCCACTGGGCTCTGGGTACTAGTACCAGGCGGATATCATGAATTTCTTCGGAGTAAGATTGAAAGAGTGAGAGGATTGTAGACGATTCGGTGTTGACGGCTGTCCAATAAATGACCGGTTCAGCAAATTTACTAGACGCCCTACGGCATGCCGAGAGAGATTAGCGCATCCAACGTTCAGCCATTCCTCGCGAGCTACTATATCTACTAGCATCTATCCCACGTACACACGCAATTCGATAGATACTATTACTCAGTATTTAAGTAGGTGGATAGTTGTCCATTACCCGTGATGGCCTCCCGGAACACCTTCGTCCTCCTTAACAGTCGTTGCAGTTTTCAGCATTTATACCAATATCAACATAGGATAGCTGCTGCAACAAATCTCGTAGCCCGACAGTGTCCCTCGTGCTCATCTATCAACAGTCGACTACAGCGGAATATGGGGTCGATAGCCGGGGCGAAAAATGAGTATATGGTCATCGTGCCCGATAAGGAGGGTGCGTTGCAAAAGAGAATAGAAGTACGAGGGTGAGTTTGCAAAATACTACAGATACTCTTTTTCGTCTTTGCTTGCTATTATCGATGCCTTCTGCTTCTTTGGGCTGGCCCTCCACAGTGGATATATGCTTTTAGAAACGCGATGAAAAACTGCATTGCTATGTCAATGGCCGTATCGAACCATTTATGTCCACACCTGGCTAATCATTAGTTCTCATGCAGCGTTCATCTTGCAAACACCAAACCGATGATAGATTCCGGTTTCCTTAAATTTGGAGGTACAAGCTCATTCCCTCATAGTACTTACCAAAGCGAAACTTTTTTTTTTCGATTTTCATATGCTATCGCCCGAGAGCCCCAGGCATTGGTAATCAACGCCTAATCATTGGACGTTTAGGAGCTATGCTTGAATTCCACCCCAAAGAGAGTCAAACGCCCCCAATGAAAGGCAGTGTGTTGCTTGTGGTTGCTGAGTCTTCTGAGGCCGTACGTGAGCAATTATCAAAGGATATTTATGCCACGTCAGGAGTGTGGGACATTGAAAAGGTACGTTAAACTATTCGTTAGCAATGCCTGTAAAACCCCCCTCCCTACATTCTTTCTATTTCATGAAAGCCATATCCCAATACTAATTTAATCCTTAGATGCAAATAACACCAGTACGTCTAAGCCCCGTATAAGGTTTCTGATCTAATTTATCTATAACTAGTTTAAATCTGCGATACGACTTGCCCTATGATATGTGGTTTCGAACGATGTTAGAGCCTGAGTGGAATTCGAATCAACCAACAAGCTCAATATGAAGGTTACACAGGTATATTTATGTTTAGTCAAACCCTTCTGTTCATGAGGTTTTGGAGTATATTGCTACATGATGAGATTCTTGTCTTTGACGATCTTGAAGATTTCCAATCACATACATTGTGTTGGTTGGCAAATTGGCCACATAAGATAGTATTCTTTTGAACCTCGTTTTCATTTTTCAAAGAATTCCTATTTTGTGTCTAACAATTTTGTTGGCAAAAAAAATGTGTGAAATTGTGTGAAATTGTCCGAAATCAACCAAAATAGGAAGAAAATTAGCAATCAAATATCATTGAAATCATTTGACCGTATACCTAGATCAAATATGTTTTTCCGTGGTATCCCTGCCATATACAGAAATGCGTGCAGATAACTTCGATAGATATGTAGCGAAAAAAAGGGATTGGTCGGTTATTTCATATTTAAACATCAGCTCGATATGCAAGAAAATATGGCAAACAGCAAACTATTATAATCATGAATCGAAGGAATGTGTAACTAAAGGTGACGGTGTGGAACAGACTGAAAAACCCATATATAGGCCTTAATATTTGCAATCTCAGAACGTATAAGCCAAAGGGATTTAGGATGAATATATCCTTTAACCAAGATGCGCGGTAAAAAGGAGGAGATGCCGAAAAAATCTATTTACATATTTCTGGCTCTATCGTCGCAATACTGAACTGATCGTGATTGTATCTTTCGATTTGTTTACAACTTTGGACTTGGGGTTTCTTTCTTCAACATCGCTTCCGCGACCTTGCGACGCTGTATTTTGCCTTTGTGCATATTAGCTTACGTACATCAAGTCGTCTAAGAGAGTCTGCGAAGTCCGTACCTGTTGCGGTTTTAGGAATTTCGGAAAGGATCCATATCTGGAGTGAGGGAGAATATACGCGTTAGCTTGATGTATATAAATATGATAGAAGTCATTTTATTTCAAGTCACATTGCTAGATAAGGGGTGATGATTTGAGATATGCTGGCTTCACCTTTTTGGGAATTTTGAATTTCGCAACTTTAGGCGCAATCCATGACTTCAGCATGTCTTCTGACAGATTTCCACCTTTCTTCAACACAACTGCTACCCCTATATCTTCGCCGTAGTGAGGATCCGGAATGGCAAAAGAAACCGCCTCCGCTACATTGGGGTGATAAGCAATCGTGTTGTCCAGTTCGATAGGGCTGATTTTCTCGCCTCCCTTATTGATCAGCTCCTTGATGCGCCCCGTTATAAAAATGTAACCATCCTTGTCCTTCTTTCCTCGGTCGCCAGTGCGGAAAAATCCAGACTTTGTGAAAGAGGATTCATTAGCAGCAGGGTTGTTAAGGTATCCCTTGGTAACATTCTCCCCACGGATGCAGATCTCGCCCTCAGATCCCTGAGGAACTTCGTTTCCATCTTCGTCAAGAATTTTAACTTCCACTCCCTGGCCGATCCCAACAGTACCTGGCTGTCTCTTCCCTGGAGGAAGAGGATTGCTCGTCATCTGATGGGCTGCTTCTGTCATTGCATACGCTTCTAGTACCGGAGCGTGGAAAGTCTTTTCCAATTCATGGAAGGTCTTTGGGGACAATGGGGAGGAACAGGAGCGAATGAATCGAATTTTTGGCATAGGTTTCGGGAGTGGTGTCTTAAGGAGAATCTGGTGAATGGTAGGTACTGCAGTGTACCAGTTCGCGCTATACGTAATGAATTCAGACCAAAATGTCGAAGCTGAGAATTTTTCAGGGACAATGACTGAGCCGCCGGACAAAAGAGGTGCCAGGAACCCTGCGAGCAACCCGTGAACATGGAAAAGAGGCATTACGAGCAGTGTTCGGTCCTTTTCCGTCAAGTCGTAGGTCATTTGAATGTTTCCTGAAGTGTTTTTCGGTTAACCAGAGAATAAGAAGTCAGAGTCTACGACGATAAAACATACTCATGGTCCTTGTCAGATTCCTGTGTGTAAGGGGTACCTAACCATCATAAGTATAATATTTGCTAGCAGATATCTGTGGCCAACTCACAGCCTTTGGTCTACCAGTAGTGCCTAATTGAGTATTAGCTACTTATACTGAGGGCATAGATCAACAATGAAACCAAGTTAAGAACACTGGATTTAGACAGCTTAAGAACTCAATTTGAGACCGAGTTGACCGTTACTCTTTCCAGCTGTTAAGATAGATCTTACCTGAGGTATGGAGCACCAATGCGATGTCATCAGGCTGAGCCGTTTCCTTCTTTAAATCACACTTCCCGGCCAATTTTCCATACTCTCTCACGTCCAAAACCACGTCCACTCCGTTCCAGTAGCATTCGGCAATAGCAGCAGAGTATTTCCTCGCAGCACGTACGGCCGGCCCATCTTTCGCAAAGGAGCCTTTTGGGATGAGCGTTAATGCCGAACTCAAGTCATCAATGTAGAATTCGAATTCTTCCTGCTTATACGCAGGATTCAGAGGAGCCGCAATGGCTCTCTGCCATGACGCAGCCAGAAAAGATACAATGAATTCGTACGAATTGGGCAGCGCAATTGAAACAGCAACTCCTGGCGAAATTCCCAGCTTGGCCAGTTTCGCTTGGAATGAGTTCACATCAGAACGTAGGCGCTGGTACGAAATTGTTAACGGGTTCGGCTTGCCAGGAACGATAATGGCAGTGGCAGCGGAGCTAGTGAATGAATTCGCGAGCGTAGACATGACTGGATTGGGTATACTAATGGTGCTAACAACTATGCCAATTCTAATCACGATAAAAAGAAAACAAAGCGATATCACTCGAAAATACTTTCGACAGTTTATGAATCACATTTATACCAATGACGCACGTCGGTCATCTTGCCGAACATCTCGACCGAAAGACACTCAACGGATAACCCAGGAACATGACGGATAATAAATAATCCGGATGGAGACTCTCCCGTTGCAAAACGCTGCAAACATCCAAGCATCAACGGGCACTTTCTGCGACGAACATGAACGAGTATCTTCTTGTTGATACTCACTCCCCACGCCTTGAAGTATGGCCTCCCAACCTCCCCCCAAAGGGGGCATGATGTCGCTGTACGCCAACTTGCTTGATCCGGCTTCAGATAATGGCTCGGCCCCTGGCACTATCTCGCGTGCTCCTGTTGTATTTAAACAATCCGGCGAAAATGATGCGCCTCAAGATGATGCAGCTTCAAAGAAGCAGCAGATAAGTGCTGGTAGCCAATTTACCCTTCCCTGACCATACATCTCTACTCTATCCGATTTGGTTTGCTCACTCGTTCGCCCTGTTTGATATGCTCCATGGGATTTAAGCTTCTCTACGGTTTCAACCTACCAAAAGACCTCAGTTGGCTTCCCAGAAGACTAAGGCTAAACCCGGCATACCCAAGGCACCCGTCGTGGGTTCCGCTGTGGGAACATCTCCTGTGTCTGGAATAGCCGTCAAACCCACGACAAAAACGTCACTTGCGGATTGGGCTGCAACGGCCGAAGAGGATGACGTGAACGGGTTTTATGGAGGGGAAAAACGACAGCGGGGCGGCCGTAAAAAGCGCAAGAAGCACCGCGAGGAAACAAACCTGCAGAACTGGGATGATATTTACGACCCATCGCGACCTAATAGCTACGAAGCATATAGACATAGCGACGAGAAAATTCGAGAAGTTCGAGAATGGAAAGACCGGCTGTATGCGCATCGGATGGCTAGAAGAACGAGCAGTGGTATGGATAGCGATGAAGAATATTCTAGATCACCAAGAAATCGTATGTTCCACACCTTTTTCCTCTGGAAATAATAATAATGTTACTGATATCCATGTGCAGGGCAATTTGGACCTCCAGGCCTCAACTTTGCGCCCCCTCCAAATCTCAATGAGCCTCGGTCAGAACGACAGGATTCGGAGGGTTTATCAGAACCCGCTCCAGCGGTTTCTACCACAATAGTACCAGACGATGCGACTGGGGAAGATGCGTACGCGCGACGGCTTCGGATGAGTCAGAATTACATCTCTCCAGATCCTGGCTCTACAAATATACCTATACCCCCTCCGCCGCCCACCTCATCGTCAGAACCTTTGCGTCCACAGCCGCCCCCGCCCGATCAAGTATTCGCATCTGCCACCATATCACGAGCGCCAGTCCGGTACACGTTGCCCCCAGCACCCGAAGAGATTCCCGCGACAGAAGCGGAATTGGAGGCAACATTCGCCAAGGAGGAAGATCGCAAACAAGAACCTGACGGAGAAGGCTATCGATCACTTCGGCCAGGCCAGAAAGGGTTTGCAGAAAGATTACTCTCAAAATATGGATGGACAAAGGGCTCTGGTTTGGGTGCAAGTGGGGAAGGCATAGTCAAGCCTCTGCAGGTCAAGTTGGAAAAACAAAAGAAGAAGCCGGCTTCTGAGGGTGGCGGATTAGCTACACCAGCTGGTAGAGCTAATATAGTTGGTGGAAATCAGAAGAAGTCAGAAGATGGCAAATTCGGGCGGATGAGTGAAGTAGTTGTTCTGCACGGCATGGTAGACGGGATGGATCTGGACGCGGAGCTGGAGAATGGAGAAGGCGGAGGCTTGATGCAAGAAATCGGAGATGAGTGTGCTGAGAAGGTATGCCAGGTTATATTCACCAAAGGAATACTCGCCTTGTTACAATCTTTTCTTCAGCTGCTAACGAATACTGCAGTATGGTCGAGTAGAGCGGGTCTTCATCGATCGAAACAGCCCAGGAAAAATCCCTGTATTTGTAAAATTTACAAGCCAACTTTCCGCATTGCGAGTAAGTTATCTTACCCCAGACTTAGACTTGACTTCTCGAACCCGGAATTCATTGTCACGGTCACTAACGAACGGAATAGGCGGTAAATGCTCTTGAAGGGCGGATTTTCAACGGAAACACGATTATAGCACGATTTTTCGATGTCGATAAGTTTGAACAAGGCGTGTACGAATGAATTATACAATTATAGTTGCATCTAAAGTTGCCTTTTCGCCTCCAGTCCGGCGATGTTTAGGCCTCTCGCCGTGCAACCTAATCATGCACCCATCAGTACATATATACATATTTAATCGCAACTTAAATTCAATTTCCTCTATCATTCTGCATGGCCCTTTCACCATTTCCATTACAGTTCCATCCATCATCCCCAACTTTCTCATCCACAAACTGGAAGAAAGTCGTTCTCAATTCCACAAGCTTCAACTGCGATACTCTAAGCCACCATTTTCCTCCCCCGGCCCTATTTTTCCCCCCTGCCACTCATCCCAGTTCCTTCGCCTTCTCCTTGGCCTTCTGCTTTTCCTCACCATCAACTCCATCCCCCCTCAAACTCCGACATCGCACACACATCCCGTACATTGGGATGCGTATCTCCTCAACCTGGGTGCACGCGGTACCTGATCGTATGGCGACATCGCAGGGCAAATCATTATTCCGGATATTGCTGGAACATGGAGAGTCGGAAGTGGTGTGGTTGCAGAGGGCATAAGACCAATGCACTCTATGACACATAGTAAATAGGGGAACCAGATGGTTCTACTCCAAGGAGTGATTTTGTTCAATTTGGAGGAGCCAGTCTGACGGGGAGAGCTTGGGGTAGACAGTTTACCCGATGCGTGTCCTTGACAGATTGAGTGAGGGAGGTAGACAGTAATGAAAACGGCAGATTTAATCGACTCCCCAGCGTGGCTCTAGCTTTGTCTTTTTATTCTTGGTTGACGAGGGAGGCATCCATGTGGCCTACAACCAAACAATCAGAGAGATACATACCATCTGGTTTTTAAGAGCAATAGGGTTCGAACGCAAATTAATGTTCTACGCTTGCTTGTAGTTGCGTTATCCCACTCGACCTTAAATGGATCGTGCACAGCACATGCCAGGTATTCTGTGTACCACAAGGCTCTGGTACATAGGTGAGCATTTCATTTGTTACGCAGCCCCTGATTAAGGGGTTGCATGGACATCTCATTCTTCACAACGGAACACATCGGTCATACACAAATGAAACGAAAAGCCAAGTTTATTTTCGTGCGCGCTCCTATGTTTGAAACTACAGAAATCGCTGCTCTGTGATTCCCTTTGAAACGGAGAGGATACCTTAGCTTATGCTCAAAATAACCGAGTAACATGCTATAGGCGACGGGACAGTTGGCTATTCATTCGATACCTAAGTAAGTAGCCTAATATGTAACTACATAGTCATCTCTGTAAATTCCTGCCTGCTGACTACTTCACTGCCCGGAATATCTGTCGTTCGCCATGGGGAGAGCGATGTTGGGGATACCCCGCCAGCTGTGAACTAATAGGTATTCTCAGATAAGCTTTCCGGCGTACGACCCTTGCAAACAAGCTAATTTAAGTCGATGATATTTATATACGCCGTACTCCGCTCTTAAAACACCAGGAGGCAGTGCATGTACGACTCACGTGATGAATATCACCGAGAGCTCGAGGTTCCTGATCTTGATTTTGACCTTGATCTTCCTCATGAGCGTTCAAAATTCCAGTGAATATGTCTGCTATAACATCAACGATAACTGCTAACTACATACCATAGTAAATATATCCACCTTGCCTGATTAAATAGCCATGACCTCGCAAACTCCAGAGCATTCGAAGCCTGTAAGGCGAGTAGATTCTTTCCTAGGCAGCCTTCATCCCATCGCATGCAACGACGTCGAGCTGGGGCTTATTTGCTGTTTGTTTAGATGCGCGTTTGTCGGCAGCGATGGAGTCGGCAAGACATCCATATTGTACAGGCTGTTTCGATCAAAAGCCCCGCCTATAGAGGATTTCCTCAACGTTTCTGATGACCAAGCTCCAGGAGGCCGATATGGCATGCCGAGTCTTTGTGATATTTGCGACCACCAGACTTTGAATATGGAGTATGATGGCCTTCTTTTTCTATGTCAACATCCTCCACTCTCCCTCAACCCGTTGAACTGTTCGCTGTTGGAGGCGGCAACGAAGACAAAAGCACATCAAGCCCCCTTTTCATATACCTATTCTGGTATATAACCAGAAAAACCCCTATTTAACCCAGTGCAAAACCCTATCCAGACTCGACGGAAAAAAGTACGCCTTGTATTTAAGAGACACCAGCGACGAAGCATCACGGCTACGGCCCCTCGCGTACTCTAATGTGAGCATAGTCGTCATCTGCTTTTCCGTAGCCGATGTCAATTCCTTCCACGCCATCGAGTCTTACTGGCTCGAGGAGATAAACCATTTCCATCCCAGAGGCATCCCCAAAATCATCATCGGCAACAAAATTGACCGGAGAACACAGCATCGCGCTAGCGAAGAAGAAGAGACGGAAAAAAAGAGCAAGAAGCAGCAGCAGCAGCAGCAGAAGAAGAATAAGACTAAAAATAAGAAACAGCTCCCTCAGCTCTCATTCCGGAGAAGCGATCCCCCCCTGCCCGCGCACGAGAGCCAATCGGTGTCTCGCGAGGAGGGCATGAGGCTCGCGGAAACCATCAATGCTGTGGCCTATGTTGAGTGCTCAGCGGTGACAGAGGAGGGCATGTCTGATGTGTTCCGCGCGATACAAAATGTAGGAGTTTAGTCCTTCCCCCTCCCCTCCTTTTTTTTCCCCCAACCGTCGCAGATAAAGAAAGATGGGGAAAAAAAAAAAATAAGTCTCTGGAAAATCAACAAGCAGCTAAACTCTTTTCGAATACAGGCGTTGGGAAAGGCGCAGGCATACTCCAGCGCGCCTATTTATTGCGGACGACCCGGATGTACCATATTGTAGAATACAGACTAGTATATAGCATTTGAAAAAAAAAAAAAAAAAAAAAAAAAAAAAAAAAAAAAAACTCACACAAGAGCTGAAGATAACAAAAAGGATAAATTAAATAAATAAAACAAAGAGGGGAAGAGGGAAAGAGAACTAACTACCTTCGGACCACCTCCCTTTGATCACGGTTCCCAAAGGTGGGATGGCACCAAGAGCAGCGCCTCTTCAATCAAGCAAGAAAAAAGAAGCAGAGTCCACTTTCCGAGTCGCGTTGTCAGGATAGAGGGGTGGGGGGGAAAGCGTCGAGGAAGGAAGGGTTATTGGGGGAATGAATATGGATAAGAGAAGAGTTTTACCATTCCTCCGTTCGATTGAGCAACGGTCATACATACATATATGTCCGGATCGACCGGTATTCAGATTAAAACCTACAAAAAGGGGAAAGCAGAAGAAAAGCAGAAAGTTGATGTTTATTCTTAGAAGGGTAGAATATCGAGATGACGAGCCTTATGTGATGTACATGTACGTGACGGGCACACGGAGCGATTGATGGACGACTGCAAGGGGAAGAAAATCCAACAGATCAAAAAAATCCATTTAGTTCTCATATACAAAGGAGAAAAAAACTATGAAGTTAACTTAAAGTTGCAAAGAAAGCATCAACAGTGGAAGGTAAAAGAAAGGGAGAGAAGAAGGTGAGATATAAGAATATTTTTTTGTACACATGCTGCATATGTAAACCCCTATTAAAAAACAGCCAAGTTAACAAGCCAGCACACTTTTTTATAAATCATGTAAGAATATAATATAATGACAAGAAAATAAAACGACGACGACGATACATGTTTAAATTTTAAAAAAAAAGAGAAGAGAAGAGAAAAGAAAACCCCTGCCTGCTTTTTCCCGAAGCGCCGCAAATAATCAAAATATAAAAATATAAAAAACACAAACATGAAGAAGGTAGAGGAAGAGATAAACTATGTCGAAAATAAAAAGGAGAATAAAATGGAAAAGAAGGCAAGAAAAGAAAGCAACACAAAAACAGGATGAAGCAAGCTGTGATTGAAGTTGCGCAACAAGAATAAAATCAAAGAAAACCCCAATGACACGAAAAAGCAAAAGTGTCAAAAGAGGTGAACAACAGAAAAGTAAAAAGTGAATTTACTACACATGGGATGGAAGGTTCCACATAGAGTATTATAAACCTTTTTATAACTTTGTCTTCCTTTCCCATTTATTTTCCTGTTCCTTGTTCTTTTTTCATCCCCCTCCTCTTTATTTGTTCCGTCTGTCTTTTTGAGGTCTGTTTCCCTACCTAGAACACTCCATACGTGACGCGAGCAGCTTCCATGGCGTGTCGGACGGGGAAGTGGCGGCGGAAATACTAGGGGAGGGAAAAGTGTCGCAAATTTGTACTGTATGTTCCAGTATCAAATAGGAAAAGGCGTGCACGTTGCGTTGCATTGCATTTGCGCTTTTCAGTCTGCGGTGGTGGGTGGGGCGCCGCAGAGTTTGGCGGTTCGTAAAATGAAAAAAAAAAAAAAAAAAAAAGGCAAGTCGAATTTCGCCTGCTGCGGGCCAAACCGAGCCAAGTCAAAAGAGGAAAAAATAAAAATAATGTCACATTTCCGTTCCCTTATTATGATTATGATTACTTATCATTATTGTTGATGTTGTTGAGGTTGTTGTCGTGGCTGGTCGTTGTTAGTAGGCTGGTCGATCAGCGAGATTTCCTGCCTTTTCTTGCGTATCGATGTGCCAGACAACATAATTAGGTAATCCGACGACTTGATAGCCCGCCCGTTTGGCCATTTTGGCAAACCCTTCCGTTTCGGCTTGGTTTTCGAAGGCGTAGCATGGAAAGTTGATGCCTGGATGGGGTTTTTAGGCGTTATTAGAATCAATATCGTAATTAATAGTGCAGAGGGTGCAGCAAAACAGAGAAAGAAGAGAACAAAGCCTACCAGCTCTATGCACATCGGCTTTGACAAGTATATTGACGCCTCCAACACCATCCAATTCGACTTCCTCATCTTTGTTGTTTCTCCAGTCGCCCATTTTGGCCAGGTATTCGCGTCCAGTATCGAACTCCTTATAACCCTCTACTAGGATAGTGTCTTTATCAAGACTTGCAGCGAGCTTCAAGCCTTTGTCACTTTCTTTCCAGGAATTGTAGTCAACTGGAGTAATCTCTCGTCAGCGAAAATCAAGAACTAATTGCACATGATCGAAAAGAGATCTAACTAAAATCAGAAGCAATTACGTACATCTGCCTTCGATATCGCGGCCATTCTCGTACCGGTGGAACCAGATATCTGTAACTCCATGTTAATTGTTATGCCTCACTGACCAGCAAACAAAAATGGGCATAACTTACTGGGAACAAGAATATCCTTGTCATGTGCGACGAAATCCTCGATAATTCTCTTCGGGCTATCGACAATATCAACATCGCGCCAGTAAACCCACGAATGATCGGGCTTCAACGCAGAACTCAGCAAGAAATTCCGGGCTTTCGCAATTATCTTTCGTCGAGGTCCCTGGGCTTCAAAACCATGCTTCTCATGGACCTCCATACTCAGATCCAGCCCAAAGTCCTTTTGGATAACCGAAGCACTACGGAACGCAATCTTTTCAGCCTTTTGTATCCGTTCTAACTCCGCCGCTAGAATAGCTAAAGTATCATCCGTCGTGTCGCTGACCAAGAATGCGAGGTCGATGAGGTGATGGGGATAGGTCAATTCGGTCACCAGGTCGAAATATTTGGGCAGATAAGCGGCAGAATCTCGGAGGGGAGTGGCAATGAGAACACGTTCGTTGTTTAGCGCAGCTTTGGTGGTTGTCTTAACAGCATTTAGGTCAATATGTTGGATGGTGGAAGAATTAACTTGGTAAGGTTCGTGGTGGTTAAATATTACTGGTGTCTGGAGATATGAATTCCACTCCACCATCTCATTTGGTGTCATTTGCGCTGGGGACTTTGAGGGGCCAAAGCAATAGAAACTATATAAAAACACGGGAAAAAAAGGATTCAAGTCAGCAATGCCCCGGTCCCAAACAAAAAGAAGCAGCGGAAAGGTAATGAATGTACACCCATACCTCTGCATCTCCGCCGCAGAACTCCAGATCCCTTTCCATAGCAGTACTATCATACTGGTAAGGGCAACGGATATGAGAAATCGAGGCCTGGAAACCAGCGAGGTCAGAAGCCTTGTGGGAGGCAACCGGGCCTTGACTGATTTCCACGAAACACCGCCTTTCGGAAGCAACATGCTGAGATGGACCCTAGCTGATTTGAGGGAGATGACTATTGAACGGATGGGTATGGCGATGGCGAGTGTGGCGATAGGTGCCGTGCGGTAGGGAAGATGAAGTGCAGACGCAGAAAACTGCGGAAGAGAAACGAAAAACAAATGAAGCAGATCTTGAAACCGAGACCGTATAGTACAACTGAGTCCCAGGATTCACAAGCTCAATAATGTCTCAACGGGGGCGCTTTCCAATAATCGACGTTCAGTAACAAGAAACAGCCACCGCAACAAGTTAACGGCAGCAGTGCTATACCCTTCCTGCTTTGGTTTTGCTCAATCGGCGAAGAATTGAATTGACGGGGGTGAGACGACTGGGTGGAGGGTTTTGAAAAAGCAGAACAGACTGCCGGCTCTTGTTGCATGCAAAAATGGTTTGTTGAAGAGGGAGTACGCGCGGTCGAAGGATTAGAGTTTCGGTGGTGCCGGATGGACCTCCAGGCGAGGAAAGGAGGAAGAGACAGAAAAGAGAAACCGCCCAAAACGAATGCGAGCGGGAGGGAAAAGAAGAAGAAGAAGTGGGTGTAGACGAAGAGGGGAGAAGAAACGGGGGGAAGAAACGGGGGGAAGAAGAAACGGGGAGAAGCGGGAATAAGCCAAGGATGAGGCTGTGGAGGAGGTGAGGATGCGTGGAGCTGGCGGAAAGGAGAACGACGGAACAGGGGCGATTTTGCCCGCGCGGCTGAGACCACGTGATTAGCTGGCTCCAAGGTTGGCTCTAGACTACCTATTACGGACTAGCGCACCGCTTATCTATGCCTCGGCTGCTGGCTAATAGTCATAATGATTAGTCACCCATTAAATGAGCTCACATCAAATAGACACTATGACCTATAAGGTGTTGCACGACGGAAACAAACTCACAAATGTCGTCGACGGCCTCCATATATAGAAAACAATCGGTCTTGGAAGGGGATTGCTTTGCTTGTTGAACAACCCCCAAACGAATCCATCTGTCAGCTCTCTCCCAAACGTGAGGGGTGGAATGGACAGGGGGATCTTAGGCATCTTACGCATCTTATCTCCGGGTTGACTTAGTCTTTCTTTTCTAATTATGTTGTATATATAGTTATATTATATATCACAAACGCCGATGATGGCGGCCATGCAATTGCAGACGAACAGAAACCCAAGAGAAACCGGTGGAATTTCTGGAAATTGGCCTCGATCCTGATACTGATCCTATTCTGGAAAGCTAAGAAGATCCCATCACACGAAAAACCAAAAAGACCAGTTTCTCCTTGCGTGGGGTGGGTATGTTCTAGCCTTCAACGGGCCTGTAAATTAAAGTGAAACACTACATCAGCTCTGGTAGCGGGGACTTCTGCTGAAAGTTCGGTTTTGTGATGTTCTTCTGCCTTCATCACCCCAAAGACTTCCACACCCAGTAATGGCGTGGGGATATGAATTATCTGGAAGCCCGCCATCACTGAAATAGTGGTGACCCGGGAAAAGGGAGCGAACGATTGAACAAGCTACGAGCGGAGAAAAATTAAGAAATAGGAGCGGGCAAATCCCGTTCTTAGAGCATTTACATCAACAAAAGAGGTCTATGTACGTTCTTGTCTCTTGATTGATACGGTCCCCAACAAGTCTCAACTAAACTGCTCATCATCCCTTGCTCCTACGACCACAATGCATCTTCCTCATGCTTCCAAGTGTCCCAGTGCGGATATGTTTCATTTCCTCTTCAGAACGAAGATTACAAACAAATAAGAGGGAAAGAGGAAAAGGAAAGTGTTTGGGTGCACACACACACACACACACACCCCACAAAAAAAAAAAAAAAGGAAGCAAAAGAAAAAACAAGGAGTTAAATATTACCATAAAAAATAGCTGCGAGTTACCAGAGTGAGAAAAAAAAGGGAGGGGGAATGTGGTAAAAGAGAAAGACAAACTTGAAATCTCTCAAGGAATGCACACGAGCAAACTGCACAAATAGAGGGAAGAGAAAAACGCCATCCGTGTCACGCAAGCATCTTTTTTACAGAGCGAAGGTAAGGAGACCACCAATAAGAACCAGCATGGCGATGCCGGAGGGTGGTGAGAGAGCACCAGCATTGGATGGCTTGGGTTTTTGTCCAGAGGTGGTGGTGGTTCCAGTTTGAGGGTTCTCTTCTTGTTCTTTGCAGACAAATTCTCCGACAGAGCCAACTTGCGCCTTGAGAGCATCGCAATCAAACTTCTGGGTGGTTTGCAAGTTCAATTCGCCGCTGACTTCCTTAAGGCTTGGGAGGTCGACCCTGAAGAGAAAAAGGGAAGAAGTAAATTAGCTACACTTCCGCACAAAAACCTCGCAGACAATAAAGAAGGTGATGCTTGCTCGTGTACTTACTTGGAAATGTTGCCAGTGAAATCAAGAGCACCGAAGACAGTCGTTAGCTTGGGAACACCATCGATGCGCTGGAGCTCAGTATTGTTTGCGATAATGAAAGCACCATTGACGGTCTTGAGGCTTGGAAGGGAGATGTTCTTCAGGTCTGAATTGCTAGCAAACACAAGATCTCCGGTAGATGTGAGGTTGGGAGCAGCGATCTTTTCAAAATAATTGGAGTAGAATCCAAGGAGACCCTCAGTTGTCTTAAGGGATGGTATCTCGACTTCGCTTACATTGCGGAAGGTCATGTTCAAGGCACTCTCGAGTCTGGGGAAGGAGATCTTGAGATCTGGGTGATTAGCTGAAAAGCCAACAAAGCCAGTGATGTTAGTGATCTGGTCGACGTTGGCTTCCATCAGTTGAGGGTTGTTGGAGACATCTAGGTTGCCAACGGTTTTCAAGCTAATGCCCTTCAAACTCGTCAGGGCAGTGTTGGTGATCAAAATGCTCTTAGCAGTGGAAACACCCTTGGTGAAGGCTAGCTGTTGGCAATTGGGAAGCGCCTCCAAGTTGAGAGAGCCAACTGATGTGAGAGCATCGCATTGAAGGGTCCTCATCTCAATGGCACCGCTGAGGAAAAAAGCGTCGCCAACAGTTCGAAGGTCAGGGCAATACAACGCAGTCAAGTTCTGAGTGCCTTTGGCCATCAGGCTGCCGGAGATTTCCTGTATGCCATTGAGCGTCAGCCCTCCCTTGGGAATATCCGCAGCAACTATGAGGTCGCCCTCGAATTTCTTGCAGGAGCTGAGGGCATTGGCATCGCCTTGGCTTTGAATGGTCTTGGGACCCTTGCAAGCTAGTCAAAGACGCACGTTAGTATGAGTATAAATACATATTTCCCCGTTCAATTGAAATAGAATTGTTGGATCTGAGGGGATTAAGGATAGATAGACAAACGGGAGAAACTCACAGTTCTGGCCAGCTGCCAGACCAGCGATGGCCAAAGCAGGAAGAAGGTACTTCAAGATAGCCATTTGTTACCCCTTAATAGCAGAAGATGTGATGGCAGCAGTGAGAATGAGTGAATGATCGAAATAAGTGTTTTGGCAGCTGTAGAAAGGAAAGGAGAACAGTCAGCCAGACAGCCAGATAGCCAGGACGGAAAGAGGAGATGGGGGTAGAGAGAAGAAACGGCGGGATCGAAATTAAGAATCGGGGAGATGTTTGGAGGGAATTGTTATCGAGACTGGCAGGTGTTTATTTTAAGGAGTCGCTTGTGTTCCAGTTTCAGGAGGATCTGGGACACAACTGAACAACGAACGAATAACGAATAACGAACAACCACTGGGCAGATTCTGATAGCCGGGGTTGGGTGGCTCTCTCCCTCTCTCCCTCTTTCTCTCTCTTTTTTTTTTTTTTTTTTTGGTGTTGGTTGGCATGCAGGTGGAGACACGACAACAGGGCAACGGGTGACACGAATGGTTGACCGGGACTAGCACAGGAACAAGGCACAAGCACGAGGAACTCACAATTATTAAATAAACTATTTGCCAATTGGGGGGAAGGCAAGGATTCGAAATATCAGATGCAGAAAATAAGAAGCAATGGGGTATACAACGTTTAGCTGACGACAGGAATTGACGAATTGTACGTTGACGGTGAGAAGTCTGAAGGCGGTTGTGTTTTGGTGGGAAATAAAGGAGGATCAACGAACGACGAGAATGTTTGTCACGGAGCAAGGAAGGAGCAGCGCAACGCAGCTGGCGGGAAAGAACAGGGCTTCCCGAGAACGAGCGGAGGGAGAACAGAGAGCGAGAGAAGAGAGGAAGAGCGATGACAGCGACGACAGCGACGACGACGAGGACGACGACGACGGATGGTGCAGAAAAAGCGACGCGGATGGATCGCTGGCGGCCCTGGAAACCGGCGCCAAGCCTGCCCGGTTCCATCTCGCCCAAGATTACCAACAAGCCCAGTCCCTGGTATTGACGACGTACTACTGGACATGCTCTGTGCGGCGTATTCAGTGCGTACTGTACCTTGATACGGCTGCTGGGGACAGTCGCACCATCAGCATAGTACGGAGTTGGAGAGGAATGGATTTGTTGATTGACCTTGTTCTTGTTCTCTTCAATATGGGGATGAGCAGTTTCCCAATCAAAACCGACAACCCAGCCTGAAAGTACATGGTTTTTTGCTCGCTTTCATCTTTCGTTCAGTTCTCTTTTTCGGCTTCTTTTTTCTTTTTTCTTTCTTTTTTTTTGCGAAAAAAACTTTCATTTTTTATACCAGTAACTCCTGCACCCAGGCTGTGGCGAATTCCTGTTTTTCGGTGCAAATCTGCAGGCTGATCGTTCAAACCAACGCGTCCATTCCCACGCCACTTTCAAGATTCTGAGACAAGAGACGGGGAGTCCTTCTTGGCTGCCGCTGCCCTGCGGCTGCAACGCCAGGCAAGCATCACCTAGTCACGTAATTTCTCAAAAAACAATCCTGGAAAGACATCTGCAAGCTGCCAGCCATCATCAATTATACGCTGTAATAATGTGCCAGTGAGGTGTCAAAATGCTTACGGCTCGCTCCACTACTCCTATTCGAAGTATACTAGTCCTGCGCAACAGAAGCTTGTTTTTCTTTTCTTTTCCTTTGCTCTTACATAGTGCATTTGCTAACTAACTACAGGAGGCGTGTTAAAACTTCCAACTACCATGATGAGAAGGGGAAGAAAAAAAATTTTTGTACAACTGGCTGGACCCAATTTATGTCCTGATTAAATTTTCAGTGGCCAGCTGCAGAGCGGGGTGGGTTATTCGTCCAGTCATTGTGCTAAAGATAATTATCCACCCATTTTTGACCATTTATTGCTCTCAAGCCTTGTGTTTTGTGTTTTGTGTGAATTTTTTTTTAAGCTTTCCACGGAAGAGTCGCCCCTTTTTTTTGACTCCCGGAGACCTGAAAACCGTATGGAAAAAGATCCATGGATTTGCTGTGGAATCTTACGGATAAAATATCGCTTAGAACGCTCTTTTCTTTGCTTTCTCATTGGTTCTTCCCATCTCTTGGAGGGAAAAGAAAAATAACACACATAAATAAACAATCCAATATTCTACCCATCTACGTACCTACTAAGGTTATCGATTTGAATGCGAACTGATGTGTACGCTTTGTACAGGATCCAGCGCGCGTGTGTATACTTGCATCTTCTTATCAGATTGTTCCCCATACAAGTTACAACGTGAATACCCAATGTCAAAGATAGTATCCAAATTGGTGTACCTATATATCTTATGATGCTTGGGTAGATTCTTGAGAAGAAATGCTAACTACTAATATCCTGTCAAAGTCATCGATGGATATTATTATTCTTCTTCCTCTTTTCCTTTCCTGCTAATTAATTTGCCAGAGTTCCCAGCCCAGCCCCGGTTTATGGATATGCGCCCAAAGATGGATTTCTGGGGCAACTTACTTATGCGAGCATTTCTTCCCGCAGGCACCAGCAGAGCAATTGAGTATCCAATGATTGTGATGAGTATATATAGGAGAGCTTCCCTCGTTTCTTAACCGGTAATACATACTACTCCCTGTACCCTCCTGACCGCAGACTCTTTCCCGGCTGGAAGAAGAAAGAATAAAAAGCTTGACGATGAGGCTTCCGGTATCTGTTAAAATGTAGGAAGTAATGAATGATTAAGATTGAAGTGGTTAGTGGTCGATTGAGAAGTTGAGTTAGACACTACATAGGTAGGCGTTTCCTGTGTATAGTTACAGTTAGACATCCATCCACATTCGTGTCTACGAAAATGCGGGGCGGAGGGTGAGAGAAGCCCCCGAAGCCATCCAACATTCAATTTATAGATCAATAGTGAAAACCAGACGTAGAGCGCAACCATGTGGAAATGCAATTCAGGAGATCCCATGGGCGTAACTTGTTGGGATGTATGGATGGATGGATGGGAATGGATAGCTGCTGCAGAGCGTAAGCGTTCATGCACTGACTGATAATGATATTCGCGAAGTTAAAACGACATATAATGTGGACACAAAAAACTGGTTGAGGCTCCTGGCCATGTGTTTGGATATTCTCGGCTTCACTTTGCTTCTGGCTTTAACTACTATAAATATGTTTATTTTATCTCTAATATTGATATACATACATAACTATCATCCCCGGATTGGCCAAGAACTTTCCGAAGTTGCCATGTTAGCCGCGCGGATGGGCTTGAATCAACCGCCAACCAAAGGCTTTCTTCATTCCATAACTAACCGCTAGCGAATTAACGACCGTCGCCGATGATAATTGGAAACAAAATCCAAGAGCGATATCGGTGAGATGGTTTAAAGTAAGGATTGCCCATACGAGGGAGAGCCCATCCTGTATTAATTTTTCTCCGTAGGTACCTCTAATCTTCCAGCCAAATATCGAATCGATATACATATCAACCTATGCAGCTGGACCTGAACAAAACCATTTTTCCCCCGGAAAACGCCAATCATATATATGTGCTTATACATACATGAGCATATATTTTGGTACCAAAACCGCACGGCAACTTTTGCTTTTCAAAAAGCTTCCCATTGCCATGGCGCCGAGACGCTCAGCTCGAGTAAGCGCAATAACGCAGCAGGCTGCGTTGGACCTCGATAGCATACAAGAACAACCATCAACAAGGGCAAAGAAGGTCCAGAAAGCTGGTGTTCTGGCGAAGAAACCCACAAAAGTAATCAAAAAGCAAGCTGGCGGGAAGGGCGGGAAATCTGTATCAAAAGCTGCCGCTGTGGCAGCAGCAGCAGCAACAGCAACAGCAATTGCTAATCCCGCCTCCAAAACCCCCCATATACCACCCCCATCAACCCCCAAACGGCCACGAACACGGCCAAACCCCACATCCAGTCCAGCCCTCAATCGGCCCATCGACCCGCACCTCACTGCCGCAACACTCCTCACCCCACGCGGTAGCCACCTAACCGCCTACCCAGCGAACCCAGAAGATGCCTCCCCTTCCAAAAAGAGCCTCCCACGCCCAACCACCACAACAGGAACCCTACTCGAAGAAGCCACCGCCCATCTCTTGAACGTCGCGCCGCAATTACGCCCCGTTGTGGAGAAGCATCCATGCCCGCTGTTCTCGCCCGCAGGGCTCGCGGAGGAGATCGACCCATTCAATTCGCTGGTGAGCGGCATTATCGGCCAGCAGGTCTCCGGGGCCGCGGCGCGGAGTATCAAGAAGAAATTCATGGCGTTGTTTCGCGGCGGTGCCGAAGGGGGAAATGGTAATTATAGTAATAATGTCCATAATAATAACAATAATGCGAACGATGTTATTGTTACTACTATTGCTACTAACACCGCTGCCCCGGAAAATCCCTCCGCGAACGAGATAAACAGCAACAGCAACGGGGGCGACAACGAAAGCGAGAGCGAGAAACCAGAGGCGGCGGAAATGCGCTATGATCGTGATGACGACTTCCCCACCCCGGCGCAGGTGGCTAAATGCGACATCGCGACGCTGCGCAGCGCGGGCCTCTCGCAGCGCAAGGCGGAGTACATCCAGGGGCTAGCGGAGAAGTTTGCCAGCGGCGAGCTCAGCGCTCAGATGCTCCTGCAGGCGAGCGATGAAGAGGTCCTGGAGAAGCTGATTGCGGTCCGTGGTCTGGGGAGGTGGTCAGTGGAGATGTTTTCGTGCTTCGGGTTGAAGAGGATGGATGTGTTTTCGACGGGGGATTTGGGGGTTCAGTGAGTTTATTTTTATTTTTTTTATTTTTTTTGTTCTGCCTGGAGATGACGCTTATTCATCTGACCCTCTACCATGTAGGAGAGGAATGGCTGCATTCATGGGCCGCGACGTCAGCAAGCTTAAGGCCAAAGGGGGTGGGAAGTTCAAATACATGTCTGAGAAGGAGATGGTGGATATTGCAGCGCCATTCTCCCCCTACCGGTGAGAGATTTTGATTTATGTCTATATCTATATAGCTACCAGCAACCCCTTTTTGCTCCCGTTTTCTGATTCAACCCCTGTTCTATATCTCCCACTGTCGGTTTTTTTTTTTTTTGGCTGATTTTGTGGAAAATATATTAGGAGCCTGTTCATGTGGTATATGTGGCGTATTGAGGATGTGGATGTAACCGTCATGCAGCAGTGAGCCTGGAGATGGGCGGCTTCAAAGAGAGAAAGGCATGGCATGTGAATAAGTGAGTGGAGAAAAATTACGTCTTGGGCTTCAAATTCTTTTGGCTTATTAGGCTACACTTAGATACCTTTATACTGTTTTGGACATACTCGACATTTTGCAAATACATATATATACTTGGAATGCTGATAGTCAAAGAAATGTTTATATCATTAGCCAATAACTTTTCTGGTCATGATTTTGATTCTTATGAATTAATTAATGTTTAAAGGGAAAAAACATCCCATTCCATCTATGAAAGTATAGTAGATCTGTACAGTACAATAGTAGAAGCATTTGTTCTCCAATATAACGTTTCCCCTCCCCTAATCACACAAACCAGGCCAATCACATCGCTGCGACAATTACCCCAGTCCAAAAATTAACAAAATTGAAAGAGCGGCGGGATGGCAGTTGGGTCACATTTCCATTTCTTTAACTTTCGAGATGCCGGTAAAGGGCGTTTTCACACAGGTAGCGCTTCATCCATCCCGGCACCTAACAACAGTTTTCTATAGGCGATTATATAATTTTTTACCGCTTGACGATAAGGTTATCGAGTTCCTCCCGTTCCTTGTTCTCGCGTTCGATTTCTCGGATGATGGGGCTGAGATACTCGACATCCTAATGGTGTTGACAATCGGTGGTTAGTGTTTGTTTGAAATGGTCTATTGTGAAAATGGATAAATATATCTAGGGTGAATTTAAGCTCCGAAGTGGATGGAGTTATATATCTATTTTTCCCCCATGGCCAATCGGCAAGGCTTCAATGGAGATTGTCCAGTGGAGGGTATTGAAAAAACAAAAATGGGCAGGGCGGAAGTAGGCTAAGGCGGTGCGCACCTCCTCTGGTTTGGTTTGTTCTTCGGCAGCGAGGAGCTGATGCTCGATGGATAGCTGTTTTTTGAAGGTGCATATGTTAGCCAAACTGCATTTCTCTCATGTTTTTTTCTCATTGCCTTCTATACTCAATTCAATTTTTAATAGCGGGACGTATGCGAAGAAATGGAGGCGCCAAACGGACCTGGAATGCGCGTCGGATGCGGTAAACGCGGTCGTAGGCTTCCTTGGGTGGAAGCCTTCTAAGCGCCAGTTGGACGGTGTCATTCTCTTCTGGGATCAGGTCATCGGCTCTATACGAAAAGCATTGAAGTTGTGTGTTAGCCGCAATTTTATCCGTCGAAATCTGTCCAAAATCAAGCAATTGGCTTCACAGTCCTTCCTGCCCGAAAACCCCACATCCCCGGATTCCGAATACCGCATCTTATGCTATCCCGCAGATGCTCTGCATGAGCTTAGGTTGGAGATATAATTACCTCAGTCCCATTTGTCTGTATCCGGAAGCATTGGCGTGCCAGTTGGCGAGCGGCAGCATCATCCGCTTGAGCCATGGCCGGGCGTTGATTTGTTTGACGAGAGAAGGGGCGGACATGGTGTAGCGGAGGACCGGACAGTCAACAAGCGTCTTATTGGTATTTGAGTAGCGCAATGGGCAGCGTGGATAAATTGCAGTCTATGTGGGATGCGATTGGGATAGAGATCGTTGTTCACAAGCTGAGTAATCGGGCCGTCTTGGGAGCTAACTAGCGGTCTCGTGACCGGACCTGGTTCCGACCAAGAATATCAAGACCGTCAACACGTTGGGAGGGGCCGTTGACAACGTCCGTAGTTCTTTGCCTTTTCCTTTCCCATTGCGTTCCACGCCATTGCGGCTGTTCCTCATTCGTGCTCACGTCATCTGTTCCCGGCCTGGTTGTTATCCTCAGCTCAAGTCACTTTCCGCTGGCCTCCCCGCTCCTATTACCGCCGTTCTCTATCATTTGTGGCATGGGTATGGTCGATCGCTAAGTTGCACCGCTCCTGTTAGGAGCTGTGTGAGCGTAACGAACCCGCAGGCGCTGCGGTTTAACAAGACTATATCTACGCCAAAAGGATTTCATCTAAACCTGCCTGATAAACCAGAGGGTTAGAGAATAATTGTTGCCGACATTAACAGATACACAGTGGGTCCTCTTAAAAAAACAAGGTATATAATTACCAGATTCAACCTCTCAAGTAACGGTTCTCGTCCCCGCACGACGGCATTCTTTCGTCCATGTTGTGGCGGTGATCGTTAAGGATTTGAGATCCCCGCACCCTTTGTCGTCAATCGACATTATGTCTATGGGCCGCACCAGCTCGTCAAGAACTCTTGGCGGCTCTCCGTCGCAACAAGGGATCTCAAATTCAGACAACCAATCGACAACTCCTACATTACATTCCGGGGCGACTCCGCCGCCGGGATCGTCTCCTTTGAAAAGTCTACAGGTATATTCCACACGGATTCCTCAGACGTACATTACGCCCTTCTGCGGGGCTAGCGCGGGTGTTGCGTCGGGTATCGTGACGTGCCCGCTGGATGTGATAAAGACAAAACTACAAGCACAAGGAGGGTTTCAACTGCGTCGGAATGGCAAACTGATTGAGTCCGGAACACTGTATCGGGGGATGTTCGGGACGGGGAAGACGATATGGCGAGATGAAGGTATTCGAGGGCTATATAGGGGACTGGGTCCGATGCTGCTGGGTTATCTTCCCACATGGGCTGTCTATTTGACGGTCTACGATAGGTCCCGCGAATATTTCTGCCAAAAGACAGGTCTGCGCGATTCACTTCTTCTTTCTATCCTTTGATCTGCTTGCTGATTTTTTTTTTCATGACTATTTGTAGATAACTGGTGGTTAGCCCGAGCATACGCATCACTCACAGCTGGCACTTGCTCAACAGTAGCAACAAACCCAATATGGGTTATCAAGACGAGGCTCATGTCACAGGGTTTTCGACCTGCTAGTAACGGCTACCAAGCTCCATGGTACTACAAGAACACATTGGATGCGGCACGCAAGATGTACGCGAGTGAAGGCCTCCGTGCTTTTTACTCTGGCCTCACTCCAGCACTCCTCGGACTTTCACATGTCGCCATTCAGTTTCCACTATATGAATATTTCAAGATGGCTTTCACTGGCTTTGGAATCGGTGAACACCCAGATGCCGGTTATCCCCACTGGACAGGAATCTCAGCAGCCACTTTTCTTAGTAAAGTATGCGCCAGCACAGCAACATACCCGCACGAAGTCCTTAGAACCCGACTACAAACACAGCAAAGATCCTCACCGGCCTTTTCATCAGAAGGAATTGCATTTCGAGGTGGACTTGAACAGCCGCAGGATCACGGCAGGCCGCCAGGGACTGGTGCGGGTGCGTCCTCCTCAGATGGGATGCGCAACCGTCCGCGATATCGTGGCGTAATTCGCACGTGCCAGACGATTTTTATGGAGGAGGGCTGGCGCGCGTTCTACGCCGGGATTGGAACGAATTTGTTCCGCGCTGTGCCAGCGGCTATGACAACGATGCTCACCTATGAATACCTTAGAAACATTATCCACTGGATGCAACACGAAGGCGAACAAGTGCTGATTATGAGCGAGGAGGATGGCTCATCCGCATATTGAAAAGCAAACTTTCTTTTTCCATCAGAAGGCTGCCTGGAGCATTAAAAAGGCGTTGCGACTTCTATATAGACCGCACATAGCACCTTGTAAAGTGCTGTATTAAATTTCTCCAAAAACGAATGAGGGAAATTGATAGTGCGCCCGCTGCTCTCAATTGACTCATTTCACTGATCTACCATGCCATTTTCATATTTTGACGCACTTCATCATCCTTAAATGTTACTATCCCCTGTCTATTTCCTTCCCTATCTTCCCCAGCAGTACATGTGTATATATTCATATGTACTCTATTTAATTTCGTGTTCTTCGGCTTCGAGTGACCCTCACCGTCTATCTTTCTATTTCCAATCCTCTCACCTCTTTTTTAAACCCTTTTTTGACCAATACTGTGACTATATTTTTGAATGAAGTGTGAAACAGAACACAGCATATACGTACGAACATCTGAGCATTTTCTGGCGTTCTCTCTCTCCCTGTCTCTCGTCTTCTGTCATTTGTTTTTGTTTTTTTTTTTTTTTTGTTTCCCTTAAGCAAAATACCCCAAATATGGCCGTGGAGCGCAAAATTTCAAGAAACATAGCTACGCCACAAAGGGGATTTTTGTTTTCACTTCCTTTCATTCGTTGCTTCAATGATTGTATTTGCCCTCCACTCTTTATTACCGTCTATGATCAACATTTACTGAGTTTGATTTTTTTTTTTTTTTTAATTTTATTTGTTTATTATCTTATAGCATCAGGTGTTACTTCTTGTCCTTCTTATGTTATCTTTGTATCTTCTTTTTTGGGCTATCGGGAGGATTGCGTGTTTTGGTCTGCATCTGCCGTGACGTATGGTACTTGCTGTTCTGAGGACTTGCGAGGTTGATTGTTACATTCCCTCTTGGTAACGCGGTTCTGTTTTATTTTATTTATTGTTTCTCCCCCTATATATACTCTATTTTATTTTACGCTCTATTTGCATTTTCCCAACTTTTTTTTTAATTTTCTATCAACATACGGACAGACAGACAGGCTTTTAAATATAAGCTTTTCTCTAGCAGATTCGTTTTCAGTATATCAGATATTAGATTTCCAAGAGCTTAATCACCCGTAAAAACTTTTCTTCTTCCATTTTCTCTTCTTTCGCCGCTCATCTTGTTGTGCCGGCTGAGGCCTCATATTGAGGGAGCATGGCAATGAACATTTTTTACCCCTAATTGGCGTTTGGGTCAAGAGCAAAATCAAGTTTTGAACTGATTTCTGTATAATATAAAGTTGACCACATTAGCTGTAAATCTCCATATATTCTATGATTTGGGAAGCCTTCCAGGGACCTCGTAGCCATGCCCTTTTTAAAAAAAAGGCGGTCACGATGTTATTTTGTACTTTTAGATATACAAACAAAAAAAATCAAATAAAGCTAGTAAAACATACATTTTCCTTTCTCAAACTATTAGTGTAGGTGTGTGTATATGTCTAAATAAAAACCAAAGAGAAAAAAAAAACCTCAACCGACCCTAGATCATAAGCAGAGATCCTGAGCAAAACACGCCCCAAGCTCCCAACTCCCGTTTCCCAATCTCAACTTCAGGGTTCAACCCCTAGTTCTTTCGTCCAGACCCTGATGACTCGTTGTGGTTAGTTGGGGTCAAGGATGAATATCTAGCGTTACGGCGCGCACTGCGTATACTGGTTATGCAGTATGCACCAAGCACAAGAGCCATTCCGAATGCGGCCATCGGGACGTGGATGGACTGGAGAGAGTGTAAGCAGGAAAATAAATGATAGGATAGGGCCGGGGGAAGCCACAATGGAGAAAGAGGGCAAAGAAGAGATTTTTTCCCTGGCCGTGAAATGTTGGATATTATTCATTCAGAAAGCTTACCCTCGGATTATTTCTCGATAGTCTCTTGCCTAGGGATGGCTTCTTGTCCGTCGTCATGTTTGACAATGCGCAGGAGGCTTTCCTCTCGCTTGAACTCTGGACAAGAATCGAGGGTTGTCAGATGTCTTCCGTCTTTTTGCTGTCTTGAGTTTACACTTCTCCCTGGACCTTAGTTTGATTGACGGGCTTTAGATCCTCAGAGACGTATCATAGGCTAATGAAAAGTTCTCATTGAGATGGAGATATTGAGAAGTATTCTCATCATATGCTGCCCTTGTTTATCTTTCGTGGAGTATAGGAAGGCGGTGCGTACTAAAAATATTTTGCGACTTGGCGTTGCAAGATCCCTCTCGTAAGTAACCAGGTACTTTGCGCCGCTAAATTAGTATGGACATTGCCTGCTTGTGTCTGTCGTTTGTCCTGTTTGTCTCCGAGGTACTGAGCACTCTCTCACACTCGATTGACGTGGTGGCACAAAGTGGCCGAGAAAGTTGTTGAGTGCGTCATATATTGTTTTGTGTCTATCCTCATGGCCAGCTGTAAGGCTCCTCTAGTCAAAGGGATGCTGCTAATTATTAAAACTGCTTTTGGCATCCCTCCTATCCGCCAGCCAGTTCATGCGTGATACAGGCAGAATCCCATCTACACCTTTCCATTTTCTCAGCCTGCCAGTTGATTTCTGTCTTGAGGTGGTCCGCCCGCGGAAATTTAACGCTATGGTAGCAAAGGGGAAGCAATCCCCGCTGGATCGGCTAAATTCTCACACAAGCCATGTTCAACTTTCGGAGCCATGTATGGACAAACCCCATCAGGGCTGTGTTTTGGGTAAGATCTCTCCGTTTCCAAGGAGGAATGCGGAGAACTGAGTGAGCTTACTGGCTGTGCACATTGCGATACCTGATCTTGGAATGTCACCAATGTTGCACAAAAGTTCTGCTGCCCCAAACCGCAAAGACATCCTTAAGAGTCCTTTTTCTCTTTTCCTGCTGAATATACCTTCATGCCATGTGCCCGGAAAGCCCAAACATCCCATATGCTTTTCCTGTGTAGCCTTGACCCGTCTGAAAGCGAAATGAAATGCAAACTGGGGAATGCCTTGACGGGCAGAATATCAAAGTTAGATATACACTGCATCCCCTTGATGCCTTTTGACCAGACAGAAGCCAAAGAACAAAGCTTTTTTTTGGGGGGCCAGAATGAGCACCAGAGTTAAGTGCAGACGTGACTTCAGCATGTGTCCGAATTATCCACTGGGATGAAATCCCGGGAGTTCAGTCTCCTCTGTTCCATTTTCTGCACTTCACCATCAGATGAGGATCGGATGAATTAACGTTGTCAAGCTGAACTATCCCCACCTCGGACTGTTCTCTCAGCCCTCACTTTGCAGGGCAGATAGCGCGAGTTTGACGAAACCGCCCATCCAAACCTTGAAAGGGACAAGTTTCAATGAAGGATTCAAACTGAGACTTTTGATCTTAAAAGAGAGCTGGTTTTTTCCAACCTCCCAGCCGGCTGAGAAGAAACCAGGATGAAACATGAGCGCTTATCAACATAACTTATGCCACCTCTGCCATTTTCGAGGCGCGTTTTGCAACCGCAATCGTTTTCTCGTCAGATTTGATTGCTCGTCCATTTGTTAATGCAAGCAGGGATGCTTACCCTTGCCCACCGGGCCAAAAGAGCTCAGCTACCAACTGGCCGTGGAGGGGACGAATCGTCAGTCCAATCTTTCCAACACATACACACACACACACACACACACACACTCCTCCCACTACTTATCAGGATTCTATTTACACCACACATGACCTTTTTCTCTTTCGCTTTCTTTCATGCTTTCGTTTTTACCACCTCAATAACAAGAAGTCTTCATAACAACCCATCAATCTAATCTGATACATAATGAGTGTGTCACTTTTCCAAACAGCCTCCCCCCTCTTCGTCATCTGCGCGGCCTCAGTTCCCCTGTTGGTCTTCTTTCTCTATTCTAGGTTGAAATACTACCGCTTCCATCAGTTTTCCCACTTCCCTCAGGCCCCGCCCGACCTCTTCTTCGGCCACCTCAAGATAGTCAATGAGACCATCGCCGAGGAACCCGGTAGACATCATGGTATGATACATATAGTATATGGATATTCACATGGGAAAGAAGCCAAGCTCTGACCAATATCATCTATCCAATCTCTAGATCATGCCTTGTGGCAGCTCTTTAAGAGCACTCCAAAGAATGGCGGCATTGGTCTATTTCCCTTCCTTCCCGTTCCCTTGTCTCTCCCTTCTACTTACCATTTGGTTGGTCCATGAAATAAGCCCTCTTCGACCTCCGCCCCATCCAATATCCGTTAATTCTCATCGGCTCCCACGAGATTGCTGAACAGATCTCCAAAGCAAGCGCCGTGTTTAAATATAGCGTTCCCAAATCTCCTACTGCGGGCATGCTGATACCCGTCGTGGGAAAGAAATCTATCATTCTCACAAATGATGAAACATGGAAGCATGGTCGCAAGAAATTCAATGCCGCCTTTGCCTCCAGCAACCTGGTAACCTTCTTGCCAAAGATACTTGACAAAACCATGGAGTTCCTTGCTTTGCTGGATGGATATGTAGAATCAGGGGAAGAGTTTTGCTTGGCGGAACCATGTGTCCAGGTTACTTTTGATATAATTGGTGGGTTTGAATTTCCTACATATGTATATATATATGTGTGTGTGTGTGTGTGTGTGTTAGCAGTGAATATTGGGTCCAAAATATTTCCGAAAACTAAGCAACCAAACTAGGTCTCGCGGTTCTCAACATCGATTTCAAGAGCATGCAAGGCCAGGATAAAGTGAGCGTTATTGTTCGAACCTTCCGTTCGCTTCTAAGCACTTTTCCTACTACGTTCGCTTTTGATAGTTGGTTCACCAATCCAAAAGGCCACTACCGCCGCATTGCGCTAGTGAAAACACTCACGGCCTCCCTCACGCCCATCGTAAAGGAGAAGTTTGATATGGCGCACAACAACATACGGCTCGACAATAAAGTTGTCGATCGCAGCGTCATGGCCATGGGGTTGAGGCAAGTACATACTCTCACCCCACAAGTTTTAGAGGAATGTGTTGATGCTGTTAAATCTTTCCTCTTCGCTGGACACGATACTACTGCTGTCGTACTGCAATGGTCAATCTATGAACTCTCTCGGACGCCACGCGCTCTCGCGGCGATGCGCAAGGAGCTAGATGAGGTTTTCGGCCCGGATGCGGACCCCAAATCTGTCGCAAACCAGTTACTGGAGGATAGCAATAAGCTCCAAAATCTCCAGTACACATCCGCTGTAATCAAGGAGTCGCTGCGTCTGTATCCACCTGCTGGCTCAGCCCGCATGGTAGCCCCGGGAAGCGACTTCAGACTTAATACCAAGGATGGGCCCTTGGATGTCGGAGGCATGATTCTCTATGTTTGCCATTATGCAGTACATCGGGATCCCACGGTATACGGTGAGACGGCCGACGTTTGGATACCTGAACGGTGGCTAGGCCAAACGAGCACTACATCAGAAGACAATGCACCAAGCTCAGTTGATAAGGACAAGAACTCATCAACAGCCGGGGCAGAGGGTCAAAAGATTCCCATATCGGCGTGGAGGGCGTTTGAACGCGGCCCGCGCAACTGTATTGGGCAGGAACTGGCTAATCTGGAGGCCAGAGCCATTCTCGCGATGGTGGTGAGGCGGTATGAGTTTACCAAGGTAGGGATTGGGTCGTTGGCCTTGAAAGATGGCAAACCTGTGCTGGATCAACACGGACAGTTTGAGGTAACGAAACCGCTGTTTGGGGTGAGTTCCTATGCTTTTCCTCGTTTTTCTTCTGTCCCTCCTTTTACTTCATTCTTGTCGCTCTCATTTTTGTTTTTTTCGTTGTTAATATTCCATACTAATACGGATTCTCAGACCTTTAATGTTACCATGAAGCCGGTTGATGGAACCTTGATGACAATTAAATACGCATAAAATTGAATAAATATAAAATCTGTTTTATCTGCTTTCTTATGAGCAAGCTTTTTGGCATCGTTGAAAGAATCACCTTTGCCAGCTTGGACTCTGCGAGGTTTCCAGTATTTTCGCTTCCATTCATGACTCAGTGATTTTGTGGGTAGGCCAACCTAATGCCAAATATCGGCATTCTCTGTCCTCCATACACAGGCTAAGAATGTTGATTTAGGGCATCCAGCATATTCTGGTTCCTCATCTGATCGCGAGGGCCGAATGCAAGATCAGTTGTGTATCAAGTACTTAGTAAAGTCCCAATCAATGACTTCTGATACTAGATTGTATGCAATCCGATTTTTTGATTCAGCTCCACAATCTCCCGTGTTTGCTCTGCCAGTCGTGTCGACCTCTTTCTTCAAATCTACGTCATATCCACTACAGAATCCAATTCCCCACCCCTACGTACGTCAAATGCCAGTCAGTCAGGGGTGAACGAGAGTAGGAGAGGATAAAGGAAGAGCTTCACGACTAAGATATGATTGTGTGCCTGCACTAGGTAATATTGCTCTCTACTGATTGAAAAGAGGGACTCACGCTTCCATCAGCGGGTAGCAAGACAGTCGATCTCTCACATAAAATCAGGGAATAGTTTTCGTGTACACACTAACGTATTCCATACACTTAAATCGAAAAATGAAGGACAAATACGTTTCTTAACAAGATTTTATCTCCTTTACACATTCGTGATCAAAAACATTCCTGATTGTCGAAAGATTGCTCTCATCTCGAAAGCCAATTTATGTAGAAACCTTTAGGTAATTCTCTGAAAATGATGTCAAATTTAAGAGCTTTTATCAACATGACACTTTCTGTAAGTAACTATATAAAGTGTTCAACCAAACCCTCTAGAAAAGAACCTTTAGGTAGGTGTCCGCCTCCATCATTCTCTTCCTCGCGGCCTTCCTTCGCCCCCTGTCTCTTCCTCTCTTCCGAAAATGTCATCAATATTCGCCCCATGCCTCCCCATCCTGGCCTTATCCAACCAACATGGCTACTTATGAAGTTTTGTTGACCCAACTGCTCATTGTAATACTTTAGTATGCCGGAGGTAAACCTCAGACCCGAGGGATTCTCGCTAAATTTAAAAAGTTTCTAGTATGGAGGCTGCGTTTCTTGACGCGGTTGAAAGTTGCTTCAAGTGATTCTGTTTGCATCCTCAGATTCAACATTGTTCTGTTTTATGTCTCTGTTCATGTTCAGCTCCCAGGTGGACGATGTTATCTCCTATCTCCGGTCATGTATATATACATCTCTGCCCCCTGCTCTTTCCCAGGAAATTGCCCGGCACTGGAAATTGGTCTGTAGACCTCCCGGCTGGTATTCAAAGACAACTGCAAAGCCCGAAGGTAGTTCCATCTCGGGGCTAGGAGCTGAATATAACAATGGCAGCATCCCTGTGTGCCCCGCCCTGTTGATAAGCAGGCTGAACATGTACATATAATCCACAATGAAGGTCAGAAGATGGTGGAATTAACGGTGATTTACATTTATTTCGGTAGAGACATTCCGAAGCTCTATACAAAAAGTCTATACATCCAGATATCGCTTTAAAAAAAAAAAGGCAGGTGACCAATGATTTTAATACAGAAAATGGGCTGTCCGAAGGGAACAACAACTTAGCACGATCAATTCTCAAGAAGAAAAGAACCCATCCGTTAATGCTGCTTTAGGAAAGTAAGGAGAAATGTGGATGAAAATGGGAACAAAAAGTCACCTGTCGAAGGGAAAATGGACGGAAGGGCGAGGTGTATCTAGACCGATATACCGGGATAATACTTACTCCCGATTCATTAAAACCATGGATATTATATTATAACGGCTCAATCAGTTATGCAAGCCAAGCCGACCCCTGAGCAAGAGCCAATGCTCATAAAACTCCAATTTAATCTCGACTCGTAGATAGTTGGCCCATGCCTGAAGGAACCGGACGAAGTTTCGTGGCCACAGGATGCTACCGTGTTTGTGAATGATTTCCATTTGCTCCTCGAAGACGGTGCAGGTTGCATACTTTGCTAGAATCAAGAATGTGCGTAGGGGCCCGTGGCGGGTGTGAAGGTTTTCGTCGAGGCTGCGGGCTGGATTCGTGGGGCAAAAAGGTGGTTGGTAAGTAAGTTCCCATTTTTACAATATTTGGTTGGAGGAGGTGCAGTGGATGAAGTAGCTTACTTAGATCATTGGTCTTCAGAATCAAAAGGATGATACGGGGAACCTTCCCAAGCATTTGGACTAGTTCTTGAAGCAAGCCCTCGCCAAGTGCACTCGATATCGCTTCCTTTTCCTCCTCAGAGCGGGATGATACGACCTCCTTTTTCAACAGTACGGTGTAGTCCCTACCTGTAATCGCACTCGCAAACAGAGGGAATTGGGCATCTGTGACTCCAGCTACCTTATGCGAATACTCGCGCATCCCCGCTTCATCGGAATTGATAACAGCAAGCCATAATTTTGCATAGTTGCGTCGTAGTTCCGTGGAGATGTCACGATATAGGCCGTGATCGTAGAGAATGATATCAAAATTTGGCTGTCGTCTCGAATTGTTTTTCCTGACAGCGATATTCCCACCATGGGGGTCACAATGGAGAGGAGCACCATCTCCGAAAATCATCTCGTTGAATATGTGCGCCAGCGCCGCGGACACCTCGTCTCTATCAATTTTGTTGGAGTCTAAATATTCGAGGTCGTCAGGCCGATGGCCCGCAATAAATTCCATGACGAGAATTCTCTTCTTTGCCCACATCACTGGATTTGGTAAAAGTTAGTATACACACCGCGCAGAACATTCTTCGCAGTGCATTATGCGGAGTTACTTACCTTGAGGAATAACCAATGGCGCAACAGCAATCGCCTTCTTCCGAAAATACTCGCGGGCTCTCTTGGCATTCTCCCCTTCCATTCTAAAATCCAACTCCTGCGGCAAAGAAAACTCCATCTCATTAGATAGCCACTCAAGATCGTATTCCGGAAAGAACTTTTTCAGCATCAAAAATGTAAACCGGGTCAATGCAAGATCTAGCGGAACCCATTCAGCCAACGTGGGGTGTTGGACCTTCACCGCAACCTTCTGGCCTGTTGCCCTTAGCACACCGACATGAACCTGCGCCAGGGATGCAGCTCCGATGGGGACTCTATCAAAACTCGAGAAAAGCTCGTCGATCGTGTGTCCAGTATCCTTGACGAACATCTCCTCAATTGACTCAAACGAAGAGACCGGGCATTTATCCTGCAGAGGGATAAATGTCGTAGTCCATTCCAGTGGCAAGAGATAACCCATGCTACTCAAGTGTTGTCCCAGCTTGATGAATATTGATCCATTCTTTTCCAGCACGCGCAGGGTCCGTTGCGCGCAGCGCTTGTGGCAGGCTTTCAACCACTCCGCTTTTTCTTCCTCGGAGTCCGAATCTCGGTTTAAGGTCTTGCGGTAGCTATACAGAAGCGAAATAGATTAGCCCAGTCTAACATTTCCTTCCCGCTCTTTTTGATTCAAATTCTAGTACAAGGCATACAACCACCCCAAACCCCAAAACCCAAAACCCAAGCATAAGAGGATCCCCCACTTACTCGTTAATGCAAACGGCCAACGCAACACTAACCCTCCCCGTCCTTTCCGCCGCCGAATATACATGCTTCAAATCGTCCGAGAACGCGAACAACGCCGCCCCCAACGTTCCCCCTGCCGCGGCATATCGCAACGCCCTTCTAGGCCGCCTCTTATCATTGGTGTTGTTCCCCCAGTTATTATTGAACTTTTGAAACTGTGGTGTAGTCGTTGAATATTCACGCGAAAGAAGGTGGGCGATCTGATGTCTTTGCACCCGACGTTGCTCCAGACATTGGCGACATGTCCATTGTGACAGTCGGGAATTGGGAGCATACAGGAATAAGGAATTGGACGATATTGACGACGAAGATGCTGATGCCGATATAGGGCAGCTACAAGGGAGTAGGAACGGAATGGGTATTCGAATTTGGGGTCGCATGGTAAAGTATGGATAGATAAGATGGAGACTTCTTAAGGAGGGCCAGATTTCAAACTGCCATGATAAATTCAAACGAATAATAAATGAAATATATGAGGATCCCCTTCCCTTTAAACCGCATCATCTCAATTTCGATTCCGCCTTTTTAGTTGGCTTGGAGCTTGATTCCCTAGACGGTCATATTATCTGGCCTCCATATTTTTATCGTCTGATGACGGAGAAAGTTCTTACATTTTTTTTTTGGACTTGCATGGATTAAACTACGTCACGTGCCATAACCTTAATGTGTGTTGGGGCTTTCGATTGGCTCGTCCCAAGCAATGACGCTGGTGTGATCGAGCTCTGCTGCCACAGTATCCTGATATCATTTAACCCACAGCGGTCGGTTGAAGGTGTTACTACGTAAGTTTTCAATGCTTCATGAGATTATTGTGAAATCCCAACGTTAGCAGTAATGAATGATTTTAAGGAAATAAAAAAATCATCCTGTGAAGGAACACTGTAGCATTCGTTGTATGCAATGGAAAACGACTGTCTGGAAAGTTGTTTCGATGTATTCAGGGGTAAAATGAAGAACATAACCAACAGCGTTGACAAAACATGGAGCTGCAGAGATCAGATGAGAGCTAAGCCAATAGAAAGGAAGTCTTCGTATTCTTGAACTTGTACCTTCTTTCAAAAAGGCAGGGGAGGCCAAGCCAATCAAAACACCCTACGCTTCATACTCCATCGTTGAATGCCAAGAATGGAGAGGAGGGAAAAATGAAAAATTGATAACGATGGTAACTGAAAAGAGGAAATGTAGTTAACAAAATAGAAGAAAAGGAGAAGTAGAAGAAGTACTATAGCTGAATAGCTATGCCCAGTGCGCCTATGCTATGCGGGTATATGTCGTGTGCGAGTGTAACTGTTAGTATGCGAGTACGAGGGGGAAATTCGAGGAAAACTTCTCTCTCCATTTCTTCCATTCCTAACGCTTCACACATCATCATAAAAGGAAAAGTAATCTGGTCGCTCCGGAGATTCACGGGATTTTCACCAATAAATGAATACCCGTATGTGGGTTATTAGGGGAAACCCATTCTCAGGATGCAGAATTAAAGAAAAGTGAAGAGGGGTAGAAAATAGCAAAAAGCGGGGAAAAAAAAGGCCGGTGGATACCAGGAGAATCGCTAAGAGGTTGAAATAAAAGGAAATAAAACCAGCATCACAAGCAACTCCCCATCCAGTCTCCGGTCAAAACCGTGCCCAACAGCCACCATTGATTAAGGACATTTAACACAATTTCATGGCTGATTTGCCCCAACCATATCACGTCCATCCTGAGCCACCCGTATTCGTCCTCCGCCTTCGCGCATTCCCAGTGGAAGACGGCGGCATTATCGGTGATGTCGACGTTCGCATATGATCACTCAACTGCGGCGACGTTGCTAATGATGATACCGACGACTGCTGGGACGAGGATGGTGACGACGATGGTGGAAGCTGAGACATGGAACGCGGAAGACGCACTTTCACACCCACATTTCCGGCCCCGCCGGCCCCGCCTGCACCACTACCACCGATGGTCACCCCAACAGCCGCAGAAACACCGCCATTTTGGGACCTCCCATCTCGACTACCGGGCCTCAGGCCTAGGCTGCTGCTGATCCCATTCTCGCGACGTCGCGGCGTATCCCTGCCCTCATAGAGTAGCTTCGACGCGCTGGACCGGCTGACCTGCGGCGTGGTGGGCATTGAATGGCTAGAAATTAAGGTGGCAGGTGTCGTGGAGGTGCTTCTGCGCCGCATGGTTGTTCGACGCTTGATTCCAGCAGTACCAAGCATTGCGGCATCGCTCTCTTCGCTCGACTTTATAAGCTGAACTGCTAGTTCGCGGACGAGGACGCGTGAATCGTTTTGTAGTTCTCGGATTGCGTCGAGGAGACCGTAGCGGCTTAGAAGGCTGCCATGTTCCTCTGTTGCGTCACATATTGTAGAGAGGATACGTAGGAGGTTCACCCGCACAGCGGGTTTGGTGTGATGGAGTTTTTGCCCGATGCGGCTGCACATATCTGGCCGGGCTAAGGTCGATGCGATCGGTGGGCTTAGTCGCAATAGCTTTTGGAGGGGTTCCAGAAGATTTTCAAATGCATTTGCTTTGGATATGGTAAGGCAACGAACAATAGCCTCGATGAAGGGAGGAGGGCCGTTTCGATCGTCGAGAAGATGTTCTTCAACTTTGGCAGTCTCTTCTTGAAGCCTATAATTTTTAATTCGTTAACCGGGAATCAACACGCCAAGGGCATTGGATATGATATGAATGTATAGAATGGGGGGGATGATACCATGTAAATATGGCGTCGAGGGCTGTGACCTGCCAATACGGATCAGAAAGTAAAGATACGTAGAACGATAGGCCCTTATTGCGCCACAGCTCTCGACGACCGACTTTCCCAGAATGTGCCATATCGCAAAGAATAGGTAGTGCGAATTCCTTCAATGGCCGCTCTGTCTTGACAATTTTTTGCAGGAGAGGTATGATGCCATTCAAAGCTGCGTCCTCCTGGCGCGGTTTGCTTAACCTGCACATGTTATAGATGGTGTTAAGAATTTGATTTGATACTTCTCGGAAATGTGTTCCTTTCATGCTCGATCTCAGGAGCTCCGTAAGGACGTCGATTGCATTAGAGTTTTGAAGGCAGTCGATGGTCGTGGACAACATGGATAGGTTTTTGATAAATTTCAGCATCGTTATTTGGTGAACAGGAGTCATCCTTTTCAGCTCCTTAAGAACTCCTACAGGCAATTGTCAGTAAAATGCGAAAGAACATGGCCCATGTTTCCTCAGATTCGATTTAACATACTATGCAAAACAGTCCTTTCAGCAACCATCTCCTTGACGTGGCTTTCAGCCTGAGAGAATATGAAAAATATATTCGCAATACGTCCTTCACAAAGCCTAGCCAGTTCCCCTTCTTCATCCAGAACCCTGCTTAAAACGAGGGACAGTGGATCCAAGACTGAATTTCTCGACAGGATACGGCAGAAGTCGTTTTTTGGTGTCGATCCCTATATTTCAAGCGAACAAAAGAAAGTAAAAAGTTCAATGATGTGAGTCCGAAAAAACTTCTAGAAATAACAGCACTGGTAGGTGACAAATAGGTAAGAATGAGAAATATTCTTTTACCTGCAATTCAAATACGCTCCATATCCCATTAACCCCGATTAAAACGAGGTCCCGCTCATCTTCATAGTCATCCTCAAGAAACTCGACCAGAACATTCAACCCACCCGCGCTAACGAACATCTGCAAAGTCAACGTCGACGTCTGATACATCTGCTGCACGAACGCTGCGGCCTCAAGACGGATTTCCCGTGGGTACTTCTTGGATGCGAACTTGTTGATTATAGGGATCCCGCCGACGAAACAGAGGTTCTCTTGGACCTCATAATCGTCGAATATAATCTAACTCGAAAAGAAAAGACAAAAAAAGAAAAGATCCATTAGTTGCGAAAATGAGACATTTATATTAGGTTGCGTTTACGGATAATGAAAATAACCCACCGCATTAACAATCTTCAAAAGGTTCGATATCACATCCCGTCTCCGGCAGTTTTCAAGAATTTCTAGAATAGGAAGCATGCCATGTGCACTGATAATTACACTCTTCGTCTCTGGCAAATCGGCATATAAAATCAACTTTAAAAGGGTACACATCAGTAAGGCACTAGGATAATTATTTATATAGAGAGAGGTGGCGTGGATGAGGGAGGGAGAGAGCGCCAAAGAAAAAACTCACCAACTGCTCCGATATATCCGCCAACACATCATCTTCCTGCGACGTTTTCAACGAGCAAACAAGCCCCTCCACCTGATTTCGCAACCGAGCATATTTATCACGAGCGATATTAGCCTCCAGATCCATCTCATCCAAGCCCTCCTCAAGCTGCGCAAACGGGTCGTCTTCATCATCCACATCCCCCAGCCATGAGTTACACGATAACTTCGAATTGAGCATGAGTGCGCTTCGGTCTGAAGCGTCACCATCGTCGCTTTCGGCTTTGACAAGCGTATCCTCATTATTGCCAAGGATGTCAGAAAAGTCCTCATCGCCCTCGTCTTCCGCGAACTTCTCTATCTCGATAGATGACCGCGAGCGGCTAATTGGATGCCGCCTGCGTGCGCGGCGCAATTGCTGCGGGGAATGATCCAAGTCATCGTGACCGGTTGTGCTCTGCTCCAGGACTGTGCAGTTGGTCGAATCAACGACATCAGGCTTGTTCATGTCATTGCCAACGCTCTGACACAGTCAGCTTCTTTGGTCTATATTACGAGCATTGCAAAATGGAAAGAATGGAAAATAAAAACACTATCGATACTGGAAAACTGAGGTCGTACCTGAATAGCACGCAACTTTTTCTCAAGGACAGCGTCATTCGCGACAATGAGATCAGAATAATCTTCCACGGAACTCTCTTTATAGAACGCAGCAGGGCGGGCTGGTTTAGCGGCGATATTGGATCTGGGATTGACAACGGCGCTGCCAGTTTTAATAGGAGGAATGGAAAACTTCCGGTGTCGCGATCGCGTTTGGTTTTTAGGTAGACTACTGCTCCCGGTACCGCCACCCTCATCCTCCGAAAACCTGTGAGAAGGAACAAATGGACGGATAGTTTGCATTGGATCTGTCTCGTTGTGATCAAAGGAACGGTTCACAGTCGTATTACCATTTTCGTCGCCGACTGCGGGGTCGTTATGACTCCCGATACTTTCGAATTCAGCCACACTCTCAAAAGAAGCAAACGCTTTCAGCTTCTCGGGTGATAGCATCCCACCAAAATTGTCATGTGGCTTCAAATGTGGGAGGCGAAGCGCGCTGGGGGATATGGCGGATGCAAAATCATCATCCCAATTATCATCGGCACCGTTGCCGGTGGGCGACCGAAACCGCTCCGCGGCATCTCTGTCGTTGCCCGTCCCCGACCCCGAACCTGAAAGTGATTCTCTGGATGGAATGACGAGCGGAAGTGAAAAGTCTTTCTGTCCCTGTCCTGGCCCGGGGCTCATATAACCTGGTCGGAGGGGTTTCCGCGCGGAGCTTGCTTCCGGTAATCGCAGTGCCTCATTCCATTCCTGCACGCTCTTGACGGCTTTCTCATATTCGGTTGATTTCGTGGGAACGACAGAATCGGATCTTCTGGCATTGACGATCCAGGGGTGCTTCAAAAGCTTCCGCGCGGCCACTCGGAGGTTCGGGTCTTTTTGGAAACATTGCATCAGGAAATCTCTCACAGCCTGCTTAATGGTTAGTCTTTTCAAATGGCGACATGAGCAAGATTTAAGGGGTTGGGGAGCGGATATGGAAGGCTAACAGGCGATGCTCCCTGGGGCAAGGGGGGATGGTCGTCATTAACGATACGAAATAAAGCCTGCATGGGCTGGAATTTGTAATAGGGAGGTTTCCCTTCCAGCAGCTCGATGACGGTGCAACCGAGACTCCAAATGTCGGATGCAGTAGTTGCGCCGGAGAGCTCTATCACTTCCGGCGCCATCCAGTACGGCGTCCCAACAACGCTAGACTCATGGAGTCCCGTTGTACGACTCGCAACGCCGAAATCTGCCAGCTTGACTAGCCCTTGTTTCGTGGTGAGAATATTTGCTCCTTTGATATCCCTGTGTATGACACCTTGTTCATGTAGGTATAGAAGCCCATGGAGCACCTGGGACATGTAAAGGCCGACGAGGTTCTCGGGAAATCTGCCAAAGTTTTTCGAGATAGAGTGCAGAGAGCCATTCTCGCAATATCTACAACCAGCTTGAAAATCAGGGAAACGCACTCCTCGAAAGTTAGCTGCGGTTGGTCAACGTACTCCAGGATAATATTTAGCGTCTCCGCTGACTTCACAAAACCGTGGTACTTGACAATGTTTGGATGCTGCGGAAGTTAAAAAGTAAATATAGTGTCAGTTTTATTGTTTCGGTTCCTGAACCGAAACAGCAGGAGCCACAACTTGACAAGGCAACCAGGGAAACTGGGACAAGAAAAGAAAAGTAAAACGGCCCTTACATCGAGATTCTTAAGCAAGTCGATTTCTTGCTAAAGATTTTGTTTCCAAAAAATAGACATAGAACCGGCGTTAGAAAAACAAGACAAAATATCAGGGTCGTGAGAGAGGATCAATTTCCTAACCATAATAACTCTAAGCTCGCTCTTCGGCAGGTCAGTAAGCTTGATCTGCTTGACAGCCACTGTTTCACCCGTGCCCCAATTCAGTGCCCTGTATACGGATCCGAAAGCGCCCTTCCCCAAGCAATCGCCCAGTTGCTTGTTGCAGCATTAGCCTACATGCATGGATATAAATATGTATGGAACTGGGGATGAGGCAGTATCGAACATACATAGTCCGTAAGCTCCGCAACATCCTTCGCAGTAGACTTTGACGACCTCGTAGACTCCCTTTTAGATGGAGATGTGGCCGATCTAGCAGCTCGAGATCTCGGGCCGGCGGACGTGTTATTCTCATGATTATTATCTTGAGGTCGAGACGATGACGGTCGAGACGGCGGTCGGGCGGTGTCTCCCGAGTAATCGTCTGATCGTGACACCATCGCGGCTAGATAGCGGAAAATGTATGATACTTTGGTGGAGATGGAGGAGGAGACACGGAGGCATGGGCGGCGGGAGGAAGTAGTTGTTCTTGAGGTGAGGGAGGAGTCAAGGGGGGGAGGACGGAGGAATGATGAGTGTCATGACAGGGCGAACAACGGGCGCCACCAACAACAAGCTTCGATTCGAATGAGGGGACGAAGGGAGGATGCTCGGCAAAGGTATTTCAGGAGGAAATGAAGCGGTAGTAGATGTTGTGGTGGTGGGAGATGAGGCAGTGGTAAAGACGGGAGATGGAAATGGAAGTGAGTTGGTGGTGTGGGTGAACAAGCACATTTCCTGGTTCCAAGGACTCCACCCTCGAAACAAGCTAACGATATGATCCAGATCTCTGGAGGATCCTTATTAGTGTGCGAATTTTAAACACTTGGGACATGGTGCTGTTCTTCTAGAGAGAGAGAGAGAACCCCAATTTTGCTCAATTTTCGACTTCAAACCCCTTTGTCGGATTAATTTTGCGGTGTCCTCTTCCCCGCCTGCGCAGCCAGGTGTAGTAGACCCGGGCGATGACGCAGTGGAAAACGCGATAAACAAGAAGCCGCCGACAGCTGGTGGTCGCTGGTCGCTTGGTCTCAGCCCTACTGATAGACAGATAGTGAGATATCTTATCAAGATGCTAACCAAGGCTAGGCAGATACCCAGACAGAGACCAATCCCTCAGGGCTTGCTTGCCCGATAAAATCAACATGGAATTCTATGCAAAATAGCTCAATGTGTACTCTGTATCTAATGAAACAATGAAAATGCAATATACAGTACAACAAGATATCTTTGTTTTAAAAACTTGAAAATGAACCATCGTCAAGCCTCCTTGATCGACTCACTAACTACTACTATCAATAGCCACACATCACCGCCCACCTCGCTTTGAGATGTCATCGGTCCACTCCATCGCGGACACTATATTACCGAAGATGAATAATTCTCAGGTGCGCGTGTCTCGGGATGTGGTGTTTACCCATGTAGCATCAACATCAGCATTGCCATTGACATCAAGATTGCCCGCTGCTGGATGGTTGTTTTTGGAAGTCTAAAGTTTAACTAATGACATTATTTATTGCCTTACCAAAAATGCCGGTGTAATTGCCTTTTTTCCGCCGCAACAGACTAACCAACAGTTCAAGAGAATAAGGTCTGTGCTTACAATCACTATATTCAACACTGGATATATGATGTATACAACATTTTAATGAATGCTCTGATCAGGTAATTCTCTGGACCTTAATTTTATAAAACCTTGCTGACCCTGGATGAAGCACAAAATCACACAAAAGAGTGCATCAAAGAACCGGGCAGAAGGGATTAAAACATGAAAGCAGTGTTGAAAAGAACTTTCACAGACAACTGCACAAGCATGAATAAAGTGGATTCCTACTCATATCCAAAAGATTATAGAGCTAGAATATGGAAATAAATACAAAGAAGACTGCAGATAATTGTATATAGATTGTATGATTTAACTAGAACACTTGCTTAGCTTGCTATCTTCAATTTTAGTATGAGAAAAGGACTTTTGAGATGAGCCTCGGTAGTTGACATCACTTTAGTCACACGAAAGTAAACTGGCACCTATATTGATAGAACTACGGAAACTAGAGTGTCAAATTTCTCATGCAGTGTATTTACTATTTCATAATGCCACATCAAAAAACATTGCGGTGGCAGTGTCTAAGATGCGGAATGGGTGGCTATGCCGTCGTGGGTGGCTGAGGGCCAGGTCACACCACCACGCCCCCAGGGGTATACACATCACTATGAGCGCAACCATTGCTTTTTGCTATGGATAACATAGTGGTCATAGTGCTATCTTATCACGTAGGTATTACTATATAAATAATTTATTCTATACAATTAAATAATTATAGCAAATTATATTTACTTGAAAATATCGCTTAACTTTAAAGTTGCTATATGTAGACAGTATGAAAAAAATGTCCGTGCTATGGATCGCTTATATCTCGGTTAGTCGGAATGGCGGAATCTCATAAATGTTCAAAAATCAATTATTAATATAAACCGATATATAAATATTTGATTCTTCTCGAAAATAATTGCATTGATTTAATTTCAACTACTTTTATTGATTGTATCTTAAATATGAAGTACATATTTTCCTTTTGGCAGTTTATAGTTGCTATGATAGTAGAACTAGCATTAGCAAAAGAAGTAAGTTTATCAACTTATTTTAATTACATACCACTTTTTTAATTGTATTTTTTTGATAATACATATTAAACTTCTCACAGAATACAGGGGAAAATACATTAAAGCTTCTAAATAATCAGAATATAAATTCTAATGAACTTATTGATAATAAAAATATCGAGGTTGAAAATACTCCTTTACTAAGTTCAAAAAGAACTCCAACAATGTCAAACTTATTGCTAAATAGCCGGTTTCTACGTTGCCATGACCTTCCATGTGATGTTAATCTAGAGTGTCTGGTACATAGTTGTGGTCCTTGTTTTTTCCCGGAAGATTCTCCCGGTAAAGGTTATTGTCTTGATAAAGTGGATTCAAGTTAACACAGTTTTTCATTTTACAATGGCAATATAACGAGATCTTTTCAACTTTTTTATTTCAACTTTTTTTAAATGTGTTTTTAAAGTAAATAAGAGTACTAAGAGCAGGCTGCTCTTAGCACCCTTTTTCAAGGCGTGGGCAAACGCGCCTCTTGATTCATAGGCGAAGTCAGTTAGTTGTTTTATGGTCTTTTTGTGGGTAGTTAGTGCTGCGCCAGTGCTCCCCATTACATCACCCTTTATTCTCATAGTAATTGTTTGAATATCTAGTAGATAAGCATGATATATCAAGATAGCTACTAGTTAGCAACCTCTATTTCATTAGTAAATTAATCAAACATCAAATATTAAAGCGTAACTATAGACAGATGAGAAGGTAGAGAGTGTGACGGGTTAGCACCCGTTGGTAGTTAACTTACGCAACCAACCCCCTACCACACGCTCACATGCTCATGCGCGCTCATGAAGTTCTCCCACACCTCCTTGTGATTCCACCCCACAATCATGTACATCTTGACATTCTAATGATTCTTCCACTCTGTGCTTCTTCAGAGTATGATCTTCAATATTTCTTCTGCTTTAATCTTCTTATCTATAAGAATCCTCTTATACAATCTCTTCTTCTGATCTTCTTTCTCTTTCTTTTCTAGACTGGCCGTGTGACCATGCATGGGACTGGGGCCAAATTTTTCCTCAGTCCCATTATTAGATATCTTAGTTCTGGTCCCATATAGTGTTTAGTAAATTAGTCACTTTACACTGTTTATATTATAAATCTAGTCTCAGATCATGTTTTACTAATAAATTAGTGGTTCCAGTCCCATTTGGTCCCATTTTACAAAATGGGACCAAATGGGACCATGATTTACCCTATATAGGTTGGCAGCGATAGATTAGCAGTGATAGATTAGCAGTGGTAGGTAGGTTGGCAGCGGTAGGTAGGTTGGCAGCGGTAGGTAGGTTGGCAGCGATAGATTAGCAGTGATAGATAGATTAGCAGCAATAGATTAGCAGCGATAGATTAGCAGTGATAGATTAGCAGTGGTAGGTAGATTGGCAGTGGTAGATAGATTGGCAGCGGTAGGTAGGTTGGCAGCGATAGATTAGCAGTGATAGATAGATTAGCAGCAATAGATTAGCAGCGATAGATTAGCAGTGATAGATTAGCAGTGGTAGATAGATTGGCAGTGATAGGTAGATTGGCAGCGGTAGATAGATTGGCAGCAGTGATAGATTAGCAGCAATAGATAGGTTGGCAGCGGCATAGATTAGCAGTGGTAGGTAGATTGGCAGTGGTAGATAGAGGATCTAATAGTGAGCCATCAGAGCATTGAGCACTAAGCAAGATAGAGGTAATATCTCCATCAATCATATCATCAGATTGATGTATTATATAATCATCAGAATGGGATCAAACTTGAGTCAAAATCATAATCAGTCCCAGATCATGTTCTGATTTTGATAGTCAGTCACTTTACATGAAATATCAAGATTTTTTAGTCTCATTTCACTCATATTTTGATAATTCTAGTCATTTTACACTTTCATTCTGATTCTGATTCTACTAAAATCATGCCAAGAAATGAACTGAGATCAAATCAAATCAAATCAAATGTGTAATTCATGATTCCAGCAGTCAGTCTACTGTGAATAGTATTTATAAAGAAGTTTGATAAGCTTAGCACTGTAATACTGTGAATAATATTTGTAAAAATCTGAGTATCTATAAATATTCTATTCTCTAGAATTATATATCTTTAGATACTGAAATAAATTATTAATAGACTTATGAGTATTCACTGTATTTAAATACAGTAAATAATAATCTAAATTTATAAAATATTCTTCAGCAGTAAGCACTGCAGATGACTGAGTTATAATAATAATTTACTGAAATAAATATATCTATATTTATTATTTCTTCTACATCTGCATTTTATGAAAAGTCTCTGAGAGAGAAGTTTTCAATTCTTGATAAGTATATAGAAAATCTAGTATTATATTTTATATAAAAGTTAAAAATAAATATCAAATTGAATATTAATAGTCAAGTAATAGATTTATTATTGAATTAAATATAATATATTTACAGTAGATTAGATGATGATATATTAGTAAAATTTTAACTCTGAATAAATTACTGCTTAGATAATCAGTATATATTAGAGCTAGTTTTCTGACAGTTTAATACTCTCTTTTTTAATTCTATACTTTAAAATATTAAACTGATTAAATAAAATTCATCAGAAAAATACTGTATTAGCAATCTATCTATTTAAATTTAATTATAAACTCTTAAAAGTAGATGAGTAGAACTGAAATGATATTATCAAAATTAATATACTGTTCAAAAATTTAAACTTTCAACTATATAATTAAAGTATAGAGTATCTGAAACTCTCAATATACAGCAAATACTA